TTAATTAAAAATTAAAAATTATTTTTATATAAATATATTTTTTAAAATATTTATTTTATTAAAAAAAAATATATTTAATTAATAATTATATAAAAAAATTTATTAAATTTTTTTTAAATTAAATTAATTAATTTATTAAAATTTTATTAAAATTTAAATTATATAAATTAAATTTAAATTAAATATATTAAAAATTTTATTAAATTAAAAATTTTAATTAATTAAATTTTTTTAATAAACCATTATTTTAAAATTATTTATTTAAATAATTTTTTAAATAATTTTTTTAAAAAAAAAATTTAACGATATAATAATTTTTCGTAAATTTAAAATAATATAATTTAAATATTTTATTTTTTTTAATTATTTTTAATTAATTTTTTTTCGTTTAATTTATATTTATTTTTTTATAATTATAATAATTTAAAAACTTTTAATTTAATTTTTTTTAAATTTAATTTATAATATTTAAAATATAAAATTTAAAAAATTATTTTATATTTATTTTAATGAGTTTAAATTAAAGCCCCGTTTTTATTTGTATTTTTTTAATTACATTAGTTTTTAATTAATTAAATGTGCGTATATAAAAATAAAATTTTTAATTTAAAATTTAATAATGGTTTTTTTTTTTTTAAAATTATACGTTTAATTTAATTATACGTTTAAATAATTTAAATTTAAATAAATTTTTATTTAATTAATGTTTTAATTATTAAAAAAGTTTAAGTATTTTATAATTTAAATATATAAGTTTTATTTTTAATATAAAATATAATAAATAAAATTAATATATTTAAATTATAATATATTTAAATTTTTTTAATAATTAAAACGCGCGAATATATTCGTTAATATTTAATTAAATTTACGGTTTAAATAATTTTTTAAATAAATAATTTTTTTTATATAAATAATAATTATTAATTTACTTTTAAATATATTAATATTAACTTTAATTCGAGCTTTAATTTTATTAAATAAGTTTTAATAAATGAGTTTTAATAAAGTTTTTATATAATAATTATTTAAAATATTAAATATATAAATAACTTTAAACGTAAAATTATTAAAGTTTTATATAATTATTAAATTTTAAATTAATTTAATTATTAATAATAATATTATTATTTTAAAATAAATAAATATAATTTTTATAATTTTATAGTTTTAAATTTTTAATTTTTAAAAATTAAAATATATTAAATTTAAATTTAAATAATATTTTAAATAATTAAAAAATTTTAAATTATTTATTATTAACCCCGAGTTATATTTTTTAAAATATATTATACGTGGTTATAATATAATTTATATTTAAATTTTAAGAATAGTTTTAATTTATAGTTTTAATAAAGGTTTTTACACTATTTAACCTTAGATTAAAGTTTAAGGAAAGCTGCGCCTTGCCCTATAAATACATTAGCACGGACCATGCGGGCCACGCGCAGTATGGCTAGGTATGGTTAATTCCTCAAACTCTAATCTGAGCTAGCTGAGATAATTTTACATTAAAATTAAAAGAATATATAAATCGCAATCGCAAGCGTTAAAATTGCTTCCATCCGATCAATGTTTTAAACGCTTAATATCTCCTCCAAAGTCCCGCTTCAGGCCCTGCAAATCATGCTCCATATAGAATAAATTGAGCGCTTTCAATCTATTATAATTGCAAGAGATTTGAACTTGAATTGGGCGAGGAATAATTGATTAAACGTAAGCGTAGCGTTAGAGGGTGTTCTACACACCGTTCGAACGCGGTAGCGCCATTTTAGCGGTACTGCGCGGCGGAGATAAGCAACGCTGAGACAAAAATTACTGCGACAAGCAATTTTGATAAGCATTTTCCTGGGACCCATTTTGAATCAACACCCTTTTGTAACCTTGAATATATTAAATCCTTTACCCTTTAATAATGTCCTCCTCCGACTCTCGTTTCACGTCTCAAAATAAGACTACCCAGGAAAGACTCTCCACGAATACTGTCGGGCTTGTTGCCTTATCCGACTTTCGTAAACGACGCGCCGAGGTCCTCGAGCAGCAAGAACGTGAAGCGCGAGAGGCGATCATATCTGGCGCACCTCTAGAATCTCCCGACCGTTCATGCTCTCTGACTCCCGACAACGCCAGCGACGCGTCTATTCCGCCCAAGAAGAAGAAGAGAAAGGGGAAGGAAAATGGGAAAAAGTCCGATAGAGCTGGCGGTGCCAAGTTGTCGTTCGTGGACGACGAAGATATTGCCGATAATGTTGACGTAGAAGATGAGCGCAATGTCAAAAAGGAATTGGGAAAGCAGAAGTTCAAATTTAAGGCCAACTCCTCCGTGTCGGTTGTCCCGCGATCTGTAACCAAAGCTGCCCTCCGGCGTGAGGCGACAGAGAGAGAAGCCCTACGACGCGAGTTTCTCCTGCGACAAGAGGCAGTGAAGACGGCCGATATTGTCATACCCTTTGTGTTCTATGATGGAACAGACATCCCGGGAGGTGCCGTCCGTGTTAAGAAGGGAGATTTCGTATGGGTGTTCCTCGATAAGAGTAGAAAGGTTGGTGCCGACCTCGGGGTGGGCGAGAAGGCAAATGCGAGGAGGGAATGGGCTCGAGTTGGGGTAGATGATTTGATGATGGTTCGTGGGAATATTATCATTCCTCACGTAAGTTTTCTTCTATAATAACACTATGGGCCAAGTTACCGCATGGAACGGCCTGCTAACTAGTTTACGTACAGCATTACGACTTTATGTTCTTCATCATGAACAAAGCTGTCGGCCCTACCGGCAGACTTCTTTTTGACTACCGTTCTGATGTTCCCGATCCATCGTCAACTGGGCATTCCGAAATCGAGCAAATCAGAAACCGATGTTCTACCACCAAGTCCGTTCGATTGGAACCGGAGGCAAATGATGTGGAGGGTGCTTCTGACGACCCGGCCTTTACCAAAGTGGTGGATCGGAGATGGTATGAGCGAAACAAACACATCTATCCCGCTAGCATCTGGCAAGATTTCGACCCAGAGAAAGATTACCAAAAGGAAGTGAGGCGCGATCTTGGCGGAAATGCCTTCTTTTACTCCTGAGCGCGCACATTGCCCGATTTTCAGACCAGGTGTCCGCTTGCTCGTCGTCTCCCATGGCTTTTTGTACCGGACGAAGCGTTGTCATCGGTTCGCCTTGGTATACTCCCTAAGAATTCAGTATTAGACGACGTAGGTATCCGACTGCTCACCACATACTACTTACAAGGTACTGGCATCTTGGGTACCATCAACCAACCCATAAACCTACTGTCCATACGATCATTCCGATCACCCACCATCCTGGCCAGAACAACAATAGGCATAAGGAGTTACCGCCTGACCCAAGGAACAATGTAAAGAATTCGAATGCAATCTTTTCCTTGAGGGATTGAACAAATCTCGTCTTCCATATCGCCCTTAACATGATAACTACATGGTACTGAAAGCACCCTGAAGCAATATCCCCTTGGCTGGCTACAACACGGCATGCGCTCAATATTTGCCATGCCAACCATTGAGCTTGGGTGTAAAGGGGTAAGGTCGCCGCGCCGAGCAGCTGTTGACAACGAAGAATGGCTATAAGCGTGGGCGCGAAGACCGTAGCTATGCCGGAACTCTGTTCGACTACCGCTCGGGGCTCCTTAGTCGGGGCGGCGATGATTGCTACCTTAGAAAGTCCCATCACGCTGGTCACTCGATAACGCGACAGTCCACCTATTAGTGCTATGGCCGGGAAGTCTGAGATTAGGTCAATTCGAGGGACTCTTCTACCTAAATACCTTGTCGGCGCTTTTGGAATGTATATTTCTTGGAGGAAACGGATTGCGCCGCAACCAATCAACAATTATACTATAGCATTTCTGTCACACTTTCGGAGAGGAGAGCTCGGATGCTAGTTGCTGTTTGGTACTGTGAGGTGGATCTCTACCGGAAGAGCCAACCGTAGAATAGAATCGGCCTCACGTAGTCGGCTTAGTAGACTGGATCCCGATCTAGTATAGACATGACCATGTGTTATGCTACCAAGCTATGCAATCAGGTGCCCACGTGTACTTCCTCATTGGCTATAGGTTGGAAGGACGAAGAGGAGACGAAGGGTTTGGGTGATACATAACTGCATATAGATTAGATCGTAGACCTCGTGCATATTTAGAGTTGGGTAAGATGTAAGTATTTTGTTTAAGGGGATGGCAATGCCTTAAAAGCACGAATAAACCCTATCTTGCAATTCCTTTGTCTCTGTGGCCACGAATAAGGCACGGGTAATGTCAGTAGGGCGAGCTCTGCACTCCGACCCGCAGATCACTAGCCAGATTGCTACCTTCCTAGAACGTGCTGAGACATGATCACTGATTGGCTCCTTGGTTCTACGAGGGATGATAGATACCTCTATCGCCTTTATAACCTCTGACAAGCTGAAATATGCCAAGGCGTGATCCAAGACTCGCTGGGTAGGAAATGTCCAGCGCTCACCAATGCAATCGGTATTCGTAGTATAAATATCTTGTTGCTGAGCGGGATGAGGAAAGCATTTCCCCAGACCGCAATACGAGTGGCCGCGTAAAACCAAATCACTCTGGACGACTGGATATTGCGAGACGATTACGAGATGGCATTCCAACAACTACTCGGAGTACTCGTCCTCTCTTGAAATCCACCTCTGATATAATGATCAAGAGGGGCAATTCCAAGCATTATGGATACGTAGTGAAGAGGTAACAACCGCTCTTACTAACCCCTACGTCCAATTCCTGCGTCCGCCTCGACCACGGCCACTAAATCCCCCAGTTCCCCCAGCTCCTCCCCCTCCACCTCCCCCTCCTCCGCCGCCGCCTCCGCCTCGTCCCATGTTTTGCTCATAGCCGAAGTTCTGTCCTTGGTTACCGCTGAATCCCTGGCCGACCCCGCCGAAATTCTGACTCTGGTTACCTTGTCCTCCAGTAGCGTTGCCTCCGGGGTTTTGCATGCCAGAGAACATGGCGGACATGGCAGAAGGATCCATCTGACTTGGGTCAAGACCGGACGCCATCATCTGTTGCATCATGGCTTGCATCTCGGGGGAAATACCGTCCATTCCGGGCATGTTTGCCATGCTACCTGATGCGCCTGCCCCACTTATTCCCGGCATGCCGCCCATCATCATCATCTGGATGTCCTCGAACATCTTCTTGTTATTCTGAGCAATGGCATCCGAACTGTACTCGTTGCGGACGTTGTCCTGCTTGGCGGCGTATAGAGACCAGGTAAACTCGTCGAAGCCGTAGTTGAAATAGTCGCTGAGGTCGGTGCCAGGTTTTCGCCAAGGTTTGTCATTCTCCGCGAGGTCTTATATATAGCTATGTCAATAAAGCGAGCAGACAGGGAAGATAGATACACGACAAACCTTCATCGATGCTGACTTGGGTGATGGGTTTTCCCACTGGTTTATAGACGGGTATTGCATTGACGTCCACCTTCGATGTAGATACCGCAGGTAGGTCGGAACTGACGGCAGGTCGCGTTGATGCATCGTCCTTCTTGACAGCGGCGGGCTTGGTGGTGGCATCACTCGAAGCCGACCGTTGTGGTATGTTTCTTATGTCGCTGTACCGCGATTGACTGGCGAATACGTGAGCAGATACAGAAGGACAAGAGCTAGAATGTAGACCCACGTTGGTGGAGGAGCATTTGTACCATCCTTTCGTTCTGTGATGATATCTATATCCTTCATATCCAAAAAAAAGAAATTATTAGCAATAGTGCAGGCCAAGTATCACCATTAAACATACCGAGTCGTCTTCATCCATTTCAGCACCTTCATCCTCTTCTTCTCCTTCTTCTAGGTCTTCTTCATTTGGGTGTTCTGGTTGTTGCTGCTGCTGCTGCTGCTGTTGTTGCGGCTGCGATTGTATAGGTAGAGTAGTTACGTTTGTTGTGGTAGGGTCGGGGTGATCGTTGTGGATTGTGGGCTCGTCGGGAGCGTAGAAATCATCATCATCGTCAATATCCATAATGCGGACTACCTAGAGATGTCTAGGGTTAAGCCTTGATCGTGTCTGGTTGTGCTGAAAGAAAAGCGACGTTTGAGAATGTTTGATCGTTGAGTGGTTCAGAGTTCAACCTTAATGTGCACCTACATATCTTACCTAGTTCTTCTAGGTACATACGTACCTACCTAAGCAGGGACTGGACCCGTTGCGGCTGCCGCAAGGAGCTATGACCAGGCTCTGGGCAGGGGTATGTCAATACTAGTACCTAAGTACCTAAGTACAAATGCACAATGCAGGCGCGCTAAGGCCACATTAAACGCGACTCCAGAAATATGCATTCACTGTTGTACATGCTTCAACCTCCTTCTACCTACATATTTACCTTCATACATACATAGCCAAGTGTGAAGGTACTAATACTTGGCTGTATGTACATAAAGCACCCGAAGCCTGAAAATTATACATTCCAGAATCCATAGGTAGCGGGCAATTATGGCCCTATCAAGGTCAGCAAGTGGCCCGGGCGGTCTTTCCATCAATACTTCGTCGGCGAACTTGTTGTGAGTTACAAGATTTGTTTTCTTTCTTCACTATTTGTATCTTCCTATCTTCCTATCTTCCCACTCTTATGCAGCCAGCCGAGTCTGCCTTCTCATATTTACGTCATGTTTTCAAGACCGCTAACAACGAATGCCCAACAAAGTGGATCTAGTAGCAGTCAACCTCCCGCTCCTGGAGGCCTATTTGGCTCTGCTTCCAATTCTCAGCCTGCTGCCGGTTCGAGCCTCTTCGGAAACACATCCACAACCCCTAAGCCGTCTGGACTATTCGGAAACGCCCCCTCTACGTCGTCTACGGCCGCCGCTTCACAGCTACAGCCACAGCCACAGCCACAGCAGTCCGGTGGTCTATTCGGGTCATCTTCCACCGCAACATCGCAGCCGCAACAAACGACCTCTAGCTTATTCGGAGGAGCTACCTCTACAACGCAACCACAACAAGCAGGTGGGCTCTTCGGAAACGCACAACCCACCCAAACTCAGACCCACACGCAACCCCAAGCACAGGCTCAGACTCAGAACACCGGCGGGTTATTCGGCGGTAGCATGGCTGGTCAGACGACTTCCGCGGGTGCTGGTGCGCCAGGAGGCTTGTTCGGTAACTCCCTAAAGCCCGCCCAATCTCAGCCAGCCGCTCTAGGACAGGCTCAGCCACAGCAGCAGCCCGGTATAGGTTTGGGCGCCTCGCTCGGCTTCGGCCTGACCATGGGCCAGTCGACCCAACAGAACGTCCCCGGCGTACGTATCGACGTTAGCAATCTAAAAGGCACCACGCGCTTCAACGATCTCCAGGAGGACTTGCAAAAGAACATCGAGCTCGTCGATATGTTCATCCAGCAGCAAATGCGACACAAGGAGCAAGTGGATTCCTTCATGCCAGGCCACAAGGAGATGCTCGAGAGTATTCCCAACGACGTCAACTTTGTTGCCAAGAAATATGAAAGTGCGCATAATGCGTTGGCGTCGGCGGCTCAGTCCATCGAAGCGGCCCGTGGTTTGGTCGGGCAGGATGTTGACCATGCACGACTCAGCTTCAGGGCGATTGACAATTTGAAATTGCCTGAACAATATCACACGGCCGGAATATGGTCTCCCAGGCAGCAGCCCGCAGGCACGGCCAACACGGAAGCTGATGGACAGGACCTCGTCGGTTTCTTCTCAAGGGCAGCAGATGAGATGGAGGATCAAGTGAGGAGATACGAGAAGAATATGACGGAGATCGAAATGCACATGCACGGCGTTTCTGACAGTCTGGTTGAACAGTTGCAGAAGATGATGGCAAACAAGAATGGCGCATCAACCGGTCCCAATGAGAAAGCCCAGGAGCTTAGCGCCGTGCTTAGGGAGCTGCAGCAGGGCATCCTCAAGGTAGCCAGCGACGTTGCCGGCGCCAGAGAGGGTATGACCCAACTCCAGTTGGGCAATTTCATCAGCAATGATCGCGATCGGAATGGTGTATACTAAAAGGGTAGTGTATTAAAAAGTTGGCCACGAGGCTCGGTGCTTGGTAGTTTTTAGATACCCAAATAAGAAATAGGGTCTGAGCCCGACATGTAAGACACGGGAGGTCCTTGTAGGGAATTTAGATGTGTGGTATTTCAAGGAATATTTCCTTCGACATATACCTTTATGGATACGGTCCGGAGCTTTCTATTAGGATGGAGTGCTCGGTCGAGTGATAGGAAGAAGGTGTGGTTCCGAAAAGGTCAGGACGAATTCTATGATTTCTTCCTGCAACAGGGAGACGCATATGGGTATACTTGGGTAACGTATTATGATGACGGCAATGGGCGTTCGTTCCCGGGGCCCAAGGGATCAAGTCGTGAAGCTGAGATAAAAAGAACTGTAAGATATATGTATATCACATTGTAATTCTTAACATAACATGGGTACGGTCTCCGCAGACCTAGGGCTAAACGACTACTACCACAGAAGCACTCGCCAACGCCAGCCTTTAAGGACTTTCATGTCGTCATCCCCGAGGCCTTGGTCACCTCTCTCAACCTTGGCGATGAGCCGCTTAAGTCGCTTAGACACCGTTCGAGCAACTCGCAAAGACACCTCGCTCTGAAACACGTACAGGATAGCTAATACAAAGAAGGCCACTGATGCTAACTTGCTTTTGCCACGCACGGAATCCAGGATACGCCCAACAAGCGACTTACTTCTTTTGAAGGCATACTCGGTGTCGTTGGCCTCGTTGTCTTTTGACGAACGACGAAATATTCTACGGACGGCGGGGATGAGAGACGCGCTGGGGGGTTATTAATACTTGCTATGAATGTATCTGACGGATTTCAGAGGGCATCTTGGTGGAAATGAGGAGGGTGACAAGATAGTGAGAAGTGAAGAAAAGGACTCACGCGAGACCACCCAGGATCCATCGACGCCATCTGTGAGACTCGGTCGTCCTGACTAGGTCCGACACCTCGCTACGCAATGCCTGCAGATCACTCATAACGATGCCTTGCTGCGTATGGAGACGATGTCCACTAGCCGGGTCGTCATATCGCCGTCTCTTTTGCAGGGTGAGATACTCGCCCAGCGAGAACTCACAGGCGGTTTTTATTGATCGGATGTCCGTTCCCGCAAAAGGGGTAGAGACTGGGCGCTCCAACCTAGAATCCGGAGGCATTGATGCCGGAACTGGAGCCGGGACAGAGGCTGGGGCCGTGTAAGATGGTGTCGGTGCTGGCTGATACTCCATTGACCTATGACAGGTGAGCGCAGAGTAGAACCAGATACATCCGTAGTAGCATTTACCTATTACTTTTCGAGTCGGCTAGACAAGGTACAGATTTCGGGTGTGGATATATCCTTACTTTGTCATTGACTGAAGTAGGTAGTCCTATCGTCTCTCTATATTTCTTCCTCTTTTTACACCACGGCGATCTGCATGATTTATGATGTACGGGATGAAGATAGTGAAGTCTAAAGGTGGCTGGGGTCGCGGGGTAATCACGATTCTTAGGGACATGCAGGCTCGGCAAAGTTGCCAGAATTGGGAACTAAGTAGACAAGAGGAGCGTTGGAGCGATGGATACGTTCCTCTACCTGCATCTCTGCAAATGCCACTACAGGAAGCGGGATGACGGCGACGCACATACCATGATTTCCAGAATAATTAATGAATATTTCTCACTTCTTCTTATACCATTGACTATAATGCATATTTTATGAGTTAATATATTGCTACTGAGAAACTCGCACACTGGAGCTGTATAAATATTCGACTATTTTTTCATGTATGGCCTGGTAAACTAGGTAATTTAGGTTCTTCATTGTTGTTGAGCTTCGGAACCCCCAGATCACCTAGGTATGGCACAAGCACTACCAACAATTATACGTAGTAGTTTACAATACTAATGTAATCCATAGAGCTCTCCTTTAACTTTGTTCACTACATGTACTTGATTAACCATCTGGTATAGGATGAGGCGTCCCCACGACAACAAGGTCGGCCATACGTCCAAACTATGTTGTTACTTTCAGTTTACCTAGTACCCGTGCTTTCTAACTACCCCAGTATCAGTCAAATCGGTTGTTTACAAGGATAAAGACAGACTTCATCAAAGCAAGGCTTATGAAAGTATCTAACGGCCTAGTCAAATCGCCTCGAAATGGTATTCCCCTTAATTACCAGCTGCTGGGGAGTGTTCAGCTATTGCCGTAAGCAACTCATGTATTGTTGAACTACCACCTTAAGAGGGTATTTACATTTGAAAGTGATTTCAAAGGCCGACATCGTTCTCAGGTTGGCAATTGATGAAAACGAGGGTTTAGACGGTGAGATCAAGATATAGGTTGTCGAAGACACGAGAAAGCTAAGTAGAGTTAATGGGATAATATATGCTACTCATTGGATAGGAGAGGACTCGTTCGATCAATGTTGATGCTACGATCCCTTTGTCACATACTAGTTTATTTAAGAGAAGGAGAGGAAGGAGAACGTCATCTTGAAGCCCCAAACAGATATTGACTGCGAGGGGAGAGGTAGTGTTGACTTTATGCCCTCCCACAAATTATATTCATGCCACCGCTGTAGTTTATTATCATCGGAAGACGTGAAAGTTGAAAGGGTGGTGAATATCCTCAGGTAACATCAGTATCCTGTCAAGTGATTCTTCCACGACCCTAATAATGCAATGGGTTTTTTATGCCTAGAAATGAAAGGGATAAAGAAGAAGTATGGAGTTTCATGTGACCGAAGTATTGTTTACAAGTATATTCACTCTTCCGCCCACCTGGCTCTGGGGAACCCCTTGTTTCAAGTGGCCGGTAAGGTGATGGTATATTAAGAAATGAATCTTGACATACGATTGGAAATCACCCGCCTCCCGAGCTGAGTGACAATATGTCGGTAGGGCTCGCAATGAATATGTCCCATTCACTTCCTACGTGTGGCTTTACGAAAGTAAACCTAAGATGGGATAGCAAGTAGGGGGTCGTTCATCCATAACTGCTAGATGCTGCTTGTGACGCCACCTGCGTATCCAATCATTATTGATTGACTGCAACAACTTGAACACTGATATCATGGGAGATATACGTGTGAAACCTTAGCCTACTTGAATTGTATGAACGGTTCCTCTACGACACTGTAATAATAGTATTTAGGTTAGTTACCGGATAGGCACCAAATGAACTAACCGTCACCACTGCTCAAAGCTACACTGCTATTCACGGGTACATACGCCACGTGATTATCAGCAGATGTCGGCAATGAGCTCTACCAGAACAGCTGTATTATTACGTGGTTAGTCTAAATCGGCATACGGAAGTGTCGCCACCAAATGGCAACTGGCTATAGATACCTGAGGTGGTGATGAAAAATACGCCGAATATGTTGACCGGTACCATTCGGTGGCTTACCTAGTTGACGATTTTTTTTTTTTTTTTTTTTTTTTTTGAATTCGGCCGTGAGTCGGTGAGAGGCGCCTCGTGGATGTTTGGGTTGGGAGCATGTATGGTAGTAACGCCGGCCCGCAAGTATGTAGGTGTAAATCGCGTAAATGCTGGGACGCGGTTGGACGGGCTGGGTTTGGGTGCATTTGCCAACTTCAGCATAAAGGCTCCGGGCCGCCCATCTCAATCTACTGTTGCCGACAAACGAATACCAATTGCCAGGCTCAATATATAGGCGTCGCGGCAACATGGGGGTTTCGGTGATGTGTGGTGTGGTACGGTGCCGATGTAGCCTATCGTACTTTATTGTACAATACACAAGACACAGCACACAAATCGATGTGGTGAACATTGACACATCCGTATACGTACATACTTCCGGGCCTTCCGGCGAATACCCAAGCACATGTACGACAAGACCGTCTAATCCGGTGCTGATGGTAAACATAATTACAGGGGTAGGAGAACGCAGACCACTGTTTCTTACATAGCATCTTAAGTAGATCAAATGAATGCGTATGGCGTGCCGACATTACGGGCTGACGGGGTTTATGATCTTTCGGCCGCCGTACAGTGCTGATCCAGTTTATCTGAGCGAGGACCACCGTATTTTCTGCCACGGAGTTCGCCATCCCACATCTCACGTCTCACGCAGGGAGAGGGAGGGATAGGAAGAAAATGAATATCATGCTTCCTTCCACTAACAATCCTTTGTGGACAAACACGTCGTCTATTTTTAGTAGCGATGGTAAATTTGGTCCTGTTCTAACTCGACGTTAAATACATACTGAATTGAATGGTGTAGAGGCTGTCTGGGAACGGTAAGAAAAGGGAACGGGGAAGGGAAAGGGAAAGGGAAAGGGAAAATGATTCCCTGTCAACCGTAAGTAATAGATTGTCGGCGGCTCCACAGTCATCCGGGAAAGCTAAAGATGAAGTTTAGCTCCCAGGAAATGGTATTATTGCAAAGTAGGGGGGCTGCGCGCGGACTTTATTCTTATCCTCCTTCCGGAAGTTTACGATGCTTGGCCCCTTTTTCGCATACATTCACGTGATGTGATAATCCGGTGATTGCTGGTCCGATCAAGTTCCATGGGTCTTCCGTGATTAAATCTTGTCCATTCCAATCACTTAACTTTGCTCTCGGTCGGGAGGGAATTGATCGATTTAATTAGGTGACGATAGGTCTCGGCGAGCCTCCCCACCCCACCTAACTATCCTTTATCTCTCGTCGTAGCGGTCTATACTACGTAGTAGGCCCCTAGCCGATCGAGAGTTGCTCAGTAAGATTCTTCGGCGGTAGCTGAATGCCTGGTAGGGAACGGAGCTGTAAAAGTTTGAGATTGTAGGTGACATTGTTCGGGTACATTTGACTTGGCACTTAAACGAGCGATTGGGGCGAGTACACGATGATTAAATAAAATATAAAACCCCTGGCCCCCAGGATCTTGTACATACGTATTCGTACGGTAATGACGGCAGCGACGGTAATGGGGGCATGGCCTTAGTAAGGTTGGACGGAATAGGCATTGCACCAGACGAGTTCCGGTGCCGACAAGTGAAGAGTAAGAAGGGGATGACGACGATTGCGCACATGCACTGCAGCTAGTGTTACCTAGTTCATCGCACGATCATCCGCCTCGGACTATCCGCCGTCCGGACACAGAAGCAATGTACATCGTCCATGTAATCTGTAGCGAAGCCAACTCTGAACTTATCTAGTATGCCGCATGCTATCCCTACCTGGCGGGTAGAGCAAGATGTAATATTGAATTTTGGATGAAGAAACGTCCAGGTTTATGGCGTTGCTTTCCTATCTTGCTACCAGGCACCGTTACCATCCGGACTCTCGCAGGCTTCGGCTTTGCTCCCTGTGCGACAAATGGGCGCTTTGGGGTTAGGTGCGATTCAAATCCATACTATGTAATGGTTTCGGCGACGGCGAAGCGGACCCCATCTCGGTCAGCGTGCGCGTGACCAGTAGGAATCATTCGGTGCCGTGTGTCCTCCTGAGTGGTTGTAACACGCCAACATTCACACTGGGCAGCGCGTAGTTTGACGGCCGGCGGAGCAAGTTCTAAGCAGCCAACGTGGCGGGCTGGGTTGCCTAGTCGAGGGTTGCATCGAGTCAGCCCCGGCTAACCGATTCATGGCCTCGTCAGCCGATAACAGCAGCCCCCGAAAGTGTGCCATGATGCCATCCTCCATGATATGCCGGGCGTATATACCTACACATACCTAAGCATTCGTAGGATGCACGAGGTTCGGAGGCAAGCGGGTTTTTGGCGAACATGTAATATCCGCAATCGCTTATGTGTTGACTTATGCGTTGACTTAAGCGCATAGTGATGGCAATGATGGATTCATTCCATTTCCGAGCTTATCGAAACTTGCCGATATCCATTTAATACCTCGATTGAAAAAGTATGTATGTAATTATAATAATAATAGATATACTTACATTATTTTAAGTGCGAAATATCTCCTTAAATAATTAACCCGGCTAATGAACTATTTCTTCGGGAAGTGTTCTGCATTGGCAAGTACCTACATACCCGTGGACCTACTTGAAAAATAGGGGTTGTAGGTAGTAAAATAGGGACCGACACTCCGAAAAGCCCAGTTTCTAACCCGCCGCTCTGAACCCCCGTGTCCGCATCCACAGTATGAGATGAAATAATCCATCGACATTATGTACGTACCTTTCTTACACATCGAAGCGCGTAGGTATGTATATACTTAGAATTTCGTACCGGTGTAGGCAGGCATGTACTTACATAGGTACACAGTTCCAATACACCTTCCTAAACTTTTATCAATTTTTTTAATTCTTAGGATTTGACTTTCTCCCGTCATTTAGCTCCGACCGATGTTCAAATGTGTTCGGGCGGCTTACCGAATATTATTAATATAATCAACTGTAAAAATTAAGCTCAAAATAATAAAATTTAATACTCTTAAAAATGAATTAATATAACCGATACCGATGAATAACATACTTACTTAATACTTGGGTATGTAAATGATATATGTGGATGAATACTTGGTATATAGGAAAGCAGGAAGGTAGGAAAGTGAAAAAGAAAAGAAACCTCCCGAGTTAAAATAAAAGCAAGTACGGGAGCGGACGGATTACGAAGTACGTGTTACACGCCTTCCTTCCCGTATTGTGCTATCACAGTACAAGTATACAGTACGGAACAGCCCCGTATCATTACCTAGCCAAATTGGTCGACTCCCACGCGAAAGAGACGACCAACGCCGGGAGCCGTGGAGCCGAAACCCCCTCCAAGAAAGAGGTTTGAGTTTAGGAATTTTATCAATCTTGCTCCGGTCGATCGACTTTAAGCATAGTTGAAGCATTCTTTCCCTCTATTTCTTCCTCTCCCTCTTTTCTTCCTTTCTTACGATTGCGCAAGTGCAACTGGCCGAGATCCATATTAGGATTATCGTTATCCGATCTCAATATCTTTCTTCCCTTCCAAATTCTTATTCCACTTGATGAACCGTTGATTAATAGTTGGATGGGCGAATCCCCGGTTGTGGCGCCCCCCACAAGGAAATAAAATATAGTAATAATAAAGGAAGGAAGAGGGAGAAAATAAAAAGGGAAAGCGTAGAATAGGAAGAAAGAGCCGGGCTAAGGCCGCCTTGCAACCCCCCGGATTGACCGCCTTGTCGCATTGCCCTTTCCTCGGGAATCATCAGTGCTCAAAAAGTTGGCTGGGTCTTTGGCTCAGGTGCGCGCCTGCTGATTTTTAGCGCAAACGCCCGAGTCTGGTCCGTCTTTAATTTCTCTCTCCCTCCCGTCCTGTCCGTCTCTGCAACATCCCTCCTCTCTCAAACGGCATCGCGTCAGAACGCCATTCCCAGGCTCCAGGCTCTCTCTTCCATCCCAATATTTTCCTCCTTTTCTTTTTTTTCTTCCTTCCCCTCCTTTTCCATCGTCCTAATTTCCCATCCATCTACTTAGTATACACCCCTTCCTTAAACCACTCCACTCCGACCGAGACTCATACAACAAGAGAAAATTTCCCACCCGCACCGAACATCCACCGCCTCCCGTCTTCTCCGTCCTCACATTTCTCCTCAACAAATCTTTCAACTTTTGCCGGACCTGTCTTCGGAGCATCACTCTACTGTTCGGAACAGCTTCATTACCTTTTCTTCTACTTGCGATACCTTATTTATCTACTTGTCGACATGGCGTCTGTCGTCCGCGGCACGTCGCTCAGAGCCGGCGGTGCCTGCGTGCGCTGTCGCAAGGGAAAGACCAAATGCGTCTATGAAAATGGTCGGGCGCCTTGTAGGAACTGCGCGAAGGGGATGCATGAATGCTATCTCCCTTCCGAGAGCATGGCTCATCATCATGGTCAATCTCCTGCCAGGCCTCCTCGTCCCCGAGAGAGTCTACCTGGGGAGCGAAGCGTGTCGGCAACTAGCGACCGTCAGCCTGTGACCTCCGGCGCAGTCTTACCGCGTAACATTCCTTCCAATACCGAGAAGTACGTTGTTATCTTTTATTGCTACTGATATTATTCATTTCATTTTGTTTCTTTACATATTGTCATCACTATTATTGCTTCCCTTCAACCCTACTTCCTGTCTCCCTCCCTCTCTCTTGAAAAGGACACTGGCCTTCTCTGGGTTCTGCCTAGTGATGGACTATGTGGGCGTCGTGGTGTTTCGGCCTTGACCTAAGATGGCGGCGACTACGCGCCCCGAATAGCTCTTGGCCTGTGATCCGTGCTCCCCTGGTCTCGGTCAGGCCAGAGTACAGCCGGCCAGACGCCCCAATACTTTTTTTTTACCTTACTACTCAAATTTTGGGTGGCTGTGGATAGATTATGGATGCCGGTTGCCTCGTCTCGCCTCGGGACTTCGATTTTTTTTTTTTCTCTGTCTGCCCTTCGCCCCCATCCTACCCATCCTGCCCTGGCTGTCCCTGGATTCCCCCTAGCTTGCGCTCGCGCTCCCCATCCCAATCTCAATCAACACCCTTGTCCTCCCCCAAACCTCGTTCGCGTTGATCGGCTCCACTAACACGTATTTTCGTTCGTCCCCACAGACTCACTCCGGAACTGGTGACGGAATGTGAAAGGGTAATCTCCAAGACTATCCCGTCTTGTGTTGCCTTCCACAAGCCTTCCTTCCTACAGAAGCTTAAGACGGGCACCCTCGAGGGTAGCATCGTCAACGGTCTCTTAACTTGCGCTGCACGGTAGGCAAACATCTCCTTCATCTCATTTTCTTTCTACATATTCATCGAGTACAACCCTTTCCTCCTCGGAACCCGCCTTATCCACTTTTGAAAGGATCCCGGGCAAATGGTTCATTCATCTCCGGAGGTGCATTCGCGTCTCGCCTAATGCACCAATAATTCCCCTCACCCGCTAATCCTTCCCCGCCGCTTCTTTTCCCGATCGCGCATGATGAAGAAGAAAAAGAACAAAATCACGTCTAGTTGTATCAAGTTGAATAAATTGGATTTACTTACCTAATCATCTGTATCTCTCGTTTACAGGAGCTCTCATGGGTTAATTCGTCGCTATGGGAATCAAGGCGGTGCTTCGGCAGCCTCCGAGCATTTTGCCGTTAAGGCGATTAATTTAATTATGCAGAATCTCGACAACCCGAGCTTGGCAGACATTCAGGCTCTTTGTCTCCTGATCATCCACGAATGGGGCAACCGTAATGCCGTCCGCGCCTACATCTATCTCGGCCAAGCTGCCCGCATGGCCCAGATGTATCGGATAATTGCCGTCCACCAGAATAGGGGCGATCCCGATCAGTTCATCAAGGACGAATCGTTTCGCCGCACCTTGTGGCTCATTTATGTTCTCGACTGCTTCCTTACAAGCAGCCCCGGTCGCCAGCCGGCCGTCTCGCACCATGACATCAAGGACATACCACTCCCATGTCTTGACATGAGCTACAACTTCGGTACTCCTGTCTATGTGCGCACCCTGGCAGGTGGACCGCCGCCTGGGATCCCGGATTCGTCTACGCAGATGACCGAGGTCGGTGAGTTTGGCCACATCGTGATGGCTACACAGGCCTGGCGTAATGTCATCGAAATGCTCACTACCGTCACGAGCACCACCTTTTCCGAGGAGGAATGTGCCTCTCTGGAAGCGGGTATTGAAGCGGTTCGTAATTCTTTACCGCCGCATTTCATGGATAAGCCAGGGCAGATCAACCTCCACATTACCATGGGTAGCGGGTTCACGTATGCTATGCTACATTGCCTCCTCCATTGCGCTACGATCATGGTCAATCGTCGTAGGCTCTTGCACCTTGTTACCACTGACGGGTTCAACCACGAGACCTGGCGCATGGTCCCGCATGTTCACTTGCAGACTGTCGATCGAGTTTTCGCTGCCGCTCATAGCGTGGTGTCCCTTCTGCTCGCTTTGGAGGCCAATGCGGACAAGGATGCCATCCCTAACTTCCCCCTGGTCATGTTATTCTCATGCTTCACGGCTTGTTCTACCGTGGCTTGGTTTAGTCTGAAGGGATTGACGCCTGCTGATGTAAACGAGACGGCTGAGTCTATTGTCCGCGACGGCATGCGATTCCTCCAGGAGGGCGCGAATATCTGGATTCTGGCTGTTCCTTGGTACCGCCATCTATCTGTCATGAATAAGGTTCTACGGAATGGCGACAGGACGCTTCAGAGGACGCAGCCCGAGCCCGCCGTGCCGTCGATTAAAGAGGACACGGCAAGCCAGCCTGACAATCCCGATAGTATGGATTATGAACGCCCCCAGTCAGCCAATGCGCAGGAGCAGGCCGACGGACGAGGCAGTGAGCCGCCACGAAAGTCTGGATTCACCACTATCAATGGAGGATCGGCTGGAGCGTCAACGCCCGCAACGGCAAGCCCACCTCCGGGGCAGACAAAAGCAGAATCACCAGCGCCTTCCTCGTCTGGGCAGCCAGCGGAGTCTGCGCCAGCTTCAGGTAACGACATGACCGCAGCTGAACTATGCGTGGCCTTTGAGCGCCAGCTACTAGAACTAGATGACCTCGCTGCCTTCATGGGCGGTGGTGTGTGAAATACCGAGCACACAGCCTCGATACCCCGGAATGCGTAGTTTCTGCTTATCTGTCACTCATGCGCCACTTATAAGCGTTGGGCGCTTTTTCTACAGGGGCTGTACCTTAATAAAGGAACCATGGATCGGCGTTAGTTGGAGTTCTCGGATCGCTCTCGGGGGGAGCTTTGTTCTTTCAAGCTGTTCAGGGGGGCTAACGCAACCCGTCATCATATCATTTTCGCCCATCGCTATAACTTGCAGCAGGTGTTGAAACCTGAGTAAAACGAACGATTCACGACGATTGAAGCCCTCAAGTTTTACGGTGGTAGCAGGAAGCAATTGCCATGATGCGGCGGAAATTATTCGGTGATTTGCTTACGGATTTATCTATTCCTCAGGGTTGTAGCATCTTGTCCACGGAGCGGACGCACATTCTCGACAAGGGTACTTACTTATCGCCATCATACATGGAGAGGCCACAGGAGAAGACGTGAGGGTTAAGGGTCCACCAGAAAAAAAAAGCGTTCATGTCTGGAATTTCTATATGTATCTGGACGAGTTAGCTACCCTCACCTGACAGGTGGGCTATATTGCCTGGCTGCTGTAGTTGAGTGGGGATGACTTTGCGGCTTCGAGAAAGCTTGTTTGTACTATTACTTTGACGCATTTGAGTTGCGACTATTAGCTCGTTCGACTGTGCTCTATAACATAGCTAATCCAAAACACAGTTAATCTGTTGACCGGTAACCCGCACGTACAATGGCTCGCTTACTGTTTATTATGGATTTTAGGAGAAATAGCAATGAAAGTGTAGGTACGTAGGTAGAGAGCTCTTGCTATTTGCATGTATTTCGATATCACGTGCCTGGTGGATGCTATGATGTACCATGCCTAGGTATTTATCTACGTCAGGTGGATAGCATTTTTCTTCTTTTCATCGCCTCTTCGACGTCTGTTTTAGCCCTGATTATCAACGACGACGTCTATTCACTTATTTTGGTATGTGGTAGAAATCGTACCTCGCAAATTACAGCATATATCGGCTTTACCGAGATATAGACTGAGGAGATGGATTCGTCGGTTCACGGTGATAACTACGAACGAGGTGCGAAACGGAAATATGCTGGAGATGGGCCTGATACAAGAGATCCTGGTAAACTCGCTACTACCGCTGGCCATGATTTATCTCCGGCAATGTCACATACGAATCCAGCTTCAGATTCGGTACTGGCATCTAGGGATGATCATTATTACAAAACCCTCTATCTAGAGGAACCCGACTTCCACCTGCTGGGACAGCGTGATCCAGCATTCAAGGCTGTGTTGGAACGAGGCTCGCACCTCGATTTTGCTAATCCCAAGTCCGTCATGCAACTTACTAAGACCCTTTTGAAACTGGATTTCGGCTTGCTGGTCGACTTGCCCACCGACCGCCTCTGTCCTCCAGTACCTAATCGTCACAATTATATTCTTTGGCTGAAGGACCTTATCGACTCTACCTCTCCCTTGTGCCTGGATTCCGCTGAGCCAACCCGGCAAGTGGCGGGACTCGACATAGGCACCGGCGCCAGTCTCATCTACCCACTTTTAGGCTGTGTTCAGCGACCATCGTGGTCGTTCATCGCTACCGACGTAGACCCAAAATCACTAGCCTACGCTCGTAAGAACGCTCAGCTCAACAATATGGGCCTACGAATACGTGTAGTCCATCGGAATATCGCGGATTGTCTCATCCCTTTGGTTGAGCTTGGTCTAGAAACCATCGACTTCGCCATGGTTAATCCTCCTTTTTATACATCTGAGGCCGAACTGGTAGACCTAGCTAGTCAAAAATCCCGGCCCCCAAATAGTGCATGTACGGGGGCACCGGTAGAGATGGTATGCGCTGGGGGTGAGGTTGGCTTCATCCGGCGAATCATCGACGAGTCTTTAGTCTTGAGAGAAAAGGTGCAGTGGTACACAGCTATGCTCGGTAAGCAGTCGAGCTTAGAAATCCTCGTTGACGTCCTCAAGGGTCACGGTGTGACCAATTATGCCATAACCGCGTTCATCCAAGGAAACAAGACTCGTAGGTGGGCCATCGGGTGGAGTTTCCAGAGTAGGAGGCCGAGTTTGTCGGCGAGTAGGGGCTGTGAACCTTCGGCTGGAAAGAGGATTTTACCTTTCCCCACCGAAGCAACGGTTGCTTCATGGCCGATATCTCGAGTTAAACCCGAGAAGCTCGAGCGGGTCGTCTGTGATATGATGGAGGATATTGACTTTGCGTTGTGGTTCTGGGACAGGTCACACTTCAGAGGCACTGGCTTTGCTGAAGGAAACGTGTGGAGTCGAGCTCACCGGAGGAAAAGGGCGAGGACAAAGGAAAACACGAACTCAAATGACGAAGAGAGTACCAGAACTAACACATCATCCTCACAAGAAATGCATCATCACCGAACGACCGAGCACGATTTCGCTCATTGTGCATTCGGCTTTTCCCTGACTATTCAGGTCTCAAAGGATAGAAAAAATAGCCAAGATCAGAGTGTAATCGTGGCTCGATGGCTGCAGGGAAACGATTATGCCTTATTCGAGAGCTTCACAGGTTTACTTCGAAAATCCATGCGTTTAGAATGACCTAGAGAAATCGTCATATCTACAACGCGCGATCCTAGTGCCTCAAGATAACTATTAGGTACGTATCAATTACAGTCTACCCTTGACAGTTTTCCGATCGAAAACATCTAGAGAATCCCATTCCGGCAGTCCCCGCTATGCGACGTTATATCTCTGTTAGTGTCGACGAGCGTGGCAGTAAATTACCCGTGTTATCATCGCGAATTACTCTTCAATCCGAACGAAAAAGTTCGTCTCACCTTCCTTTGGAACCACGGCGGCGCGCTTGACGAACTCGTCGCCGATAGCCAGACGCAGTTTTTCTGGTGTTCCTGGCGCGTTGAGCACCAATGGTTCTTTCACGCTGTTCATTTCCCTTGCGGCCTTAACTGCTTCCCTGAGAGCAAAGAATACCGTGGAGCCTAGGAAAAGCGGCGGCTCGCCGACACCTTTGCTACTTTGGATAGAGCGCAGGTGCTTCCAGTTTATAGCGTTCCCGCTCGAATCATGCCTCAACATAGACACATTGAATATCTGAGGGATATCGGAAAAGCCTTTTGCCAGATTTAGCGCATACGACTTTTTGCGGGGGAGGGGGTAAGAGCACTCACCTGGTATCTTATATGTCCCGGGGCCTCTGGTGAACAGTTCGCCCTGCCTAGTCCAAAGTGACTCTTCCATAGTGAACAAGCCCTGTCCTTGGACAAATGCTCCCTCAATTTGCCCATAGTCGATGGATGGGTTAATCGAGCGACCGACGTCCTACATTTCTGTCAGATTAAAATTCTATTTCGTACCCAACTCGATACTCACCATCATTATATCAGTTCTAAGAACAGTGTGATCCCCCGTGAGGACGTCTAATTCGACTTCAGTGATCGCCACACCTTGAGTGAAATAATAGTACATCGGAAGGGGGTCTTTGTAGTTGCCCCATTTGTAACCTAGAATTATTGAGTTAGCCTACGTGGATAGCGGCCAGAGACGAAGATGGCGGACCTATGCGAGGCATCTTCCAAAAGCCGTTTGCTGCAAGGTTAACCCGATCTCGGTATGCAGCGTGCGCTATCACTGACATCGGAGCGTCTCGTCCGAATTGTTTCCTATATGGCTCCAGCCGTTCGTTTAATTGTTCGCAGGCGTTTTTGACAGCCATTCCGTTTAGGTCGCTGCCCGATGATGCAGCAGTGGGAGAGGGGTTGGCGACTTGATCAGTTTGTGAATCCTTGTTGAATATCTGGTCAACGCTTACGCCGAGTTCCTCGGCCGCGACTTGACACATCTTAGTATAAAGTCCTTGGCCCATCTCTGTCCCTCCGTGGTGAAGCAATATACTGCCATCTGGAGCGTCGGATCAGCATGCTGGGAACATACGCGAATGGTGGAAGTTACTCACCCTCGTAAATTCTTACGTATGCGCCGGCCTGGTTTAAATGCAGCGCAGTCGCAAAGCTAAGCTAGGGGTTAGTATGGTATCGTAAGCGGCCGTGAAGTAGCTTACCTCAGTCCAAATTTAGTTGGGATTTTGCAAATCCCTCTCTTCCTATAACGGTTCTTCGAATTGAAGATGCCGACTTCCTTTTTCCTATTTTCGTAGTCTGCATTGGCGCTTAGTTGCTCTAGCATGGTCGGTATGTGGAAATCGATGTCGATCGTTTGCAAAAATGGTGTTAATTCGCCTTGCTTATATAGATTTCTGGCTCGTAGCTCATCGATATCAACTTCGAGGCGCTCGGCGATGGCGCTCATGAAAGATTCGGTGAAATACATTGCCTGGGGCCCCCCAAACCCACGAAATGCGGTGTTTGAAACGGTATTGGTCTTGCAAAGCCAGCCACGTATCCAGGCATGCGGTATATGGTAACAATTGTCGATGTGAGTACATGCTCGATCCATCACGGCCCCGGACATATCTAGGGAGTATCCGGCGTTGTTATAAATGTCTATGTCGAGACACTGGATTATCCCGTTGGCATCGGTGCCAACCTTCCATTTACACTGCATAGGGTGCCTTTGTCCACTAGTTGCAATGTCTTCGTCACGGTTCAGCATCATTCTCACGGGACGTCGCTCCTTCTTAGCAGCAATGGCGACTAAACATGCTATTGGCGTACTCCTCGATTCCTTACCACCATAAGCACCACCAAGACGCCTAACTCTCATATTCACACGACTCATGGGCACTCCGAGCACTTGAGCGACGAAGATCTGGTTCTCCGCTAAGTTCTGCGTGGAAGCGTAGAGTTCCATAGAACCGTCTTCGATATGCGGGATCGCTAATGCAGCGTTGGTTTCCAGATAGAAATGCTCCTGTCCGCCTAACTTTGTTATGCCCTCTATGACGTGTTCGCATTTCGCAAATACGCCATCCAGGGAGCCTTGTATAGCGGCCCCCTTCTTCAGCTGCTTCCCATGTTCGAAAAAGCTTTGGGCTTTGATAGCTTGGTCTATGGTAAGTATAGCGGGCAATATTTCGTATGTGACTCGGACTTTCGCTGCCGCAGCTTGTGCTTGTAAAACTGACTCAGCGTAGACGATGCCTATGGTTTGACCATGCGAATGAACCTCGTCTACCGCAAACAAAGGTTCATCCACTCGAATTGGGCCCCAATTATTGTTCTCACGCGATACACTGTCCTTGTCAAGGTAACCGACAACGCCCGGCATCTTGAGTGCAATGCTCCAATCGACTGCAAGTATCTTTGCATGTGCTTTGGTTGAAAGCACAACAGCGCAGTGCAGCTCATTCTTCTGCTGTGGCATATCGTCGACGTATTCGGCCTCGCCTGTACAGTGCTTTAGAGCGGATAGGTGTGGCATTTCTCTGCCTACAACTTTAGTACCCGAAGCGACAAAGTGATCACGAGTCCCTGTCGATATTTCTCGGTGGATTTCCTGAACGGGTTTGTGGTCCAATGGGGCTATTCCTAGTTCTGAGATGCTCTCGTTCCAGAACCGGAAAAACAAAGATAGTGTTAGAGCTATTAAAGACGTTAGATATCAAGTGAAACGGCGTGTAGTTATTCGGCAGCGTACCCTTTCTATACTGGGCCATCCCTCCTGGCACACCGAATGGCAAGTCAAAATCTTCTAGGAGAGCACTAATAGCCTCCTCTCGTGTGTTGCTATCTATCCATCTCTTCCCTTGCACGATGTGCTGCGTCTTAGCTGCGACCGTAGTGGTTGGTGCCATACCACCGAAGGCGAACGTCGCTTGCTGGACAATACCTTCTTCATTTATACGTACTCGGAAGCCAGAAGTTACAATAGCAATGTCATCATCCTTTCTCTTAGCCTGTTTATAAGCTTTTGTCACCTCTAAAGTCTCTGGGGAAGGTAGCGGTATCTTAATGTGTGTGATCACACCGTTAGCAGGGAGGTGGGTTGTTCGATACTTCACGAAGAAGTTTGACAATGGTAAGTCATAGGAGCCTTCTTTCTTGGTTCGAACGGCAACTGTAGCTCCTGCTGCTATCAAGGCTGGGGCGGCGTCCGAGATAGGGCTGGCTGTTGCTAGATTTCCGGCCAAACTTGCCACATTTCGAATCTGGCGGCCTGCGAAATATCTCAGTTGCTTCGCTAGCGCCTCAAGCGCGCTTGCCCTTGGACCAAGTTTTGAAAGAAGAGTGACACAGACTTCCTCAACTTTCGTCAATGACATATTACCTGGGATTGATACTTCTGACAGGGCTAGAAGTTCCTCGTCACTTTGGGGTCCCTCAAAACGACTAAGTTCCTCGATGTCTGATGCGTAGACGCATACCCGATACTCGGATTTCTTGAAACGGACCTCAATCTGCTTACGCATGAGCTGTGTTTCTAACAGTAAAACATGACGATGATAAGCGTACTTGTGTTTCGCTGGCACCACCAATGATTTTCGCCGATGGCCAAGCATCTTTAAGTTGGATTAGCTGTTCGAGACTTGTGGGCTTAAACCAAATCTTCCTTCCGTCTCCATAACATATAGGCTGCTGTTGATATCCCCAGAGAACAGGGGGGAATATCAATTCCGCCGTGGGGTCATAAGGTGCAAAATCTTTAGGTAAGGGAGCCTTTCCATTCGAGCTTACGGAGGTGGCCTGAGTGACTGAAGATTGCTGAGAAGATGTTTCGCCGACGCTACTCTTGGATGAGGACCTTGATGAGTCACGACAGCACCCGCCTGGACGTCCGCAGGAGCCGTTAGAAGAGGCACGGCATTCACCTCCATTTGCTGCAGTTCCTGGAAGCCTATCGGTAACATCATCAACCGCTAGAGGATAGGAAACAGTTTCTTCTATTAGGTCGCCCTTTAAATCCTCTACGATGAACGTCTTTGCCGCCTCTAGAATCGGCTTGTAGCCAGTCTAGAGATGTTGAGCATTCGCTGTACTCAGAACTAGGGGGAGGGCCGGAAAGGAGTACTTACGCATCTACAAAGGTTGCCATCTAAATGGCCTTGCAATTCAATATCAGAGGCCGAAAGACGGAATTTCCCATCTTGATACGAATTTCTGACCAGTGCGTACAGACTCATGACGATTCCAGGGGTACAGAAGCCGCATTGCGAACCACTGCGTGACCGACCCTGGGTTAGAGCAAGAATGAATCGGACGAGGCGCCGAAAGATTGTAGGTATCCACTTACTGCATCTTCGCTACCCTTTCCTGCAAGGGATGAGGGCGAGCAACTGTGCCCAGCCCCTCAATTGTAATCACGCTCTTCCCATCGACGCCGACCAAAGGAAAGAGGCAGGCGTTCACAGCGATATGTTTCAAACGCCTCCCCTTTTCTCTGGTCTGTAGAACAACAGTACACGCGCCGCAGCCTCCTTCTCCGCATCCGAGTTTAGTCCCTTTCAAGTTGTCCTGGGCACGGATCCAGTCAAGGAGGACCCATTCCGGGTCCGGGTTAGAGAGGACTACGGAGCGTCCATTCACGAAGAATCGTAGCTCGGAAGTCCGATAAGTTGACTGTATTAGAGGCGTGAGAGCCTCTGCAGCAGATGGTGCAGGAACAGGCTGAAGACTAGAGATAGGAGCGATCGGTGGCTGTGGGAGAACCTCAGCTGCTGCCATGACTTTGATGGGGTGAATAATTGTCTTGTTGACCTAGCTATTCTTTAGCTTAGTTCATGACAATTCGTGACGGTTCATGTCATAGCGTCATTGGCGAGACTAAAAGAGTACGGGATAATTTGGAAGATAATCTGGGCGACTTCTTGGGCCCTTCTCCGTGTCGGCCGGAAACATGTGGATAATCCGGAAGTTTGGTATTTGACTGAGAGACGATCGAGAGAGGTTGACGGCTAGCTGGTGGACAACTGAGAATAAGGATATCTTAGCTCCAACCTTGACGTTGACTGATAAGGTCTACATCCGAACTCCTCCTTCCCCCTTGCCCCCTTGCCCCCCCACTTTGATAATAGAGAGGCACCTAGGTAAGCATATACATATCATTATAGTATACCTAGGTACCTAGGTATACATTCAAGAGGCGAAAACGTTAGGTAGGTAGATTGGTAAGCGAACGTGAAGTTCGTCATTTTTGTGTAAGATTATACCTGTATAGTAGGTACTATGTAGGTAGGGACGTAACACCTACTACATACTGGGTACCCTAGTAGGTGTGCGCTTGCACGGGAATAAACTTTGCCTTAATCTAGAGATCCTTGACAAGATGCAGGCTCAGGCGTAGGCGCGGATGCAGGCGCGGGTAGGGCCCAATAATCAATATCCTTACGGATCCGTACCGGCCTACCCCCATCCCCGTTTCCCACTTCTCATCTCCCATCTCCCATCTGCCATCCCCACCCCCACTATTGCCCGAAGGCAAGAGTAATAAATCGATGAAATATGGGGAACGCTTTCCGTGCCGACGGACTCAAACCACCAACTTTTTCAACTTTTCTCATCTGCTTTCGGAACAACACGAAGCTATCCCACTTTAGGGTTATGATTACCTACCCGGCTACCTTAGGTATAGTATCTTAGGATGATTATCAGGTAAATAGTGTAAATATCTATTCATCGTTTTGAATTCTGCCACGGCCGACAACGGCATCATGCAGATCCAGTACAGCGAGTGACCGTTCCTATTTCTTCATCTCAGGGCTCTTTTGGATAAGCAGTTAGGTAGGTAGAATTCTTATACGGGTCCTCTTTACACACTTACCACGTATCATATGACAACGGATTCTCGCAACAATGACAGCTTCAAGCTTTGCCCCGCTGAAAGACACGAAGCTCTTCGCCCCCGTCAAGATAGGGAACTGTGAGCTCCAGCACCGAATTGTTCAGGCACCATGTACTCGCATGCGAGGTGTCAAGGAAAGCGACGGCGTCAACGTTCCCGGTGATCTCATGGTGGATTATTACGGCTTGCGTGCCACCAAGGGCGGCTTGCAGATCACCGAAGCCACCGATATCTCTCATTACGCTTCTGGTTATCCTGGCATCCCAGGCATCTTTACTTCCTCTCAGATATCTGGCTGGAAGAGAGTTACCGATGCTGTTCATGACAAGGGAGGATATATTTTCTTGCAAATCTGGCACACCGGTCGTGCCTCTCCCCCATCATTCCGAGGGGGAAAACCGCCAATAAGCTCGAGTAATCATCCTATGGATGGTGATTGGCTTGACGGCACGTCCTGTGCATCCAGTCCCCCAACGCCCATGGATGTAGAGGAGATCCAGGCTATCGTTCAAGACTTCGCAGAGGCTGCGAAGAACGCCGTCAAGGCAGGTTTTGATGGCGTGGAAATTCACTGTAAGTAGGAAATCTCTTCCGATGGTCGCTAAGTTCTCATTAACCGACTCATGTTCGCCCACAGGCGCCAATGGCTATCTCCTGGAACAATTTCTTCACGACAACATCAATGACCGGACTGATGAATATGGCGGGTCAGTACAGAACCGATGTAAATTCCCTCTAGATGTCTTGAAAGCCGTCTGCGACACAGTTGGCCCCGAAAGAGTTGGCATTCGACTAAGTCCGTGGAACTATTTCCAATCTACCAAGGACAGCAACAGATTGGATCACTGGTCTTACCTGTGCGAGCAACTTGCTACTCTGCCAGCAGGTCAAAAGCCTGCTTACGTTCATATGTAGGATAAGCCTTAATGACCCTGTAGCTCTAAATATGTACTAATGTCTGCTCAAGGGTCGAGCCAAGATTTGACGAGGTCTTGGATGAGGAGCAAAAGATCGAGTCTCTTTCTCACGGTGACAAGACAACCAGCATCTCGCTGCTACCATTTAGGAAGATCCTCCAGAAGGGCGGCATCCCGTTTATTAGCGCTGGTTGTTTCAACTGGGAAAATGCTGTGCCGAAGTTGGAGTCTGGGGCAACAGATCTGGTTTGTTTCGGAAGGTGGTTCATTGCAAACCCCGATTTGCCAAAGAGACTCGCTGATGGGATCCCCCTTACCAACTACGACCGCTCGACTTTCTACTTCACGGACCCTCCCGAGAAGGGATACACGGATTACCCGATAAGCACCGCAGAGGCCGCCTAAGTTCTGGACACTATTCGGTGTTTTGGGACTCGGTTAATTAGCTGGATAGGTAGTTACCGTTGAAATAAACATCCATAGTGGGCTGAATACAACGAATCTTAATCGGGTGAATCAGGAGTAACATGATTGTACTACATCAACTCATAGAAGGGGCCGTGCCTGGGTTTCTCTCCGGACTTGTTCCCATCTATGTTCTACATCCTTCTCGAGATCATATGTCAACAACCAGCCCCCGACACCATGATACCTCCAAGGCAGTGGGTCATCCCCTGATCCTGCTCGTGGCTCCGTAAGAACCTCCGGAGTTTTGAGGAGGTGTTGGTCAATTTCCCCAAACATTTGTAATCTTTTGTCCCTCTCCCTTTGTTCTTCGCCATCGTGGATATGATACATGTATTGTTGGAAGTTACCTCTCTCTACTACCCTCTCCGTTCTCTCCTTTCGGCACTCCTCGTACACTCTAAGCGCGTATAGCTTTTGCTCGCGAGATTTATTAGTCAATTTGGAGAGGCAGAGACCTAACGCCGCACCATCTTCTAAAGCCATGCCACAGCCACCTAAGACAAATTGTTAATCGACGAGCTGGATATGAGGCGTATTGGAGTGAATCGTGTGTATATGACACCGTGGCGTGATCGGTTAGGCATCTGCAAAGGAGGGTAACTCACTCGCGAGATAAGGAAGTGTTGCGTGAACTGCGTCGCCTAATAGCGTGAAAGCCCCCGATTCATGCGTCCATTTCTCTAATGTAGGGCGGATGCAGAGCTTCCACTTCTGGACTGATTGGCAGAGGCTCAAGATCTTTCCAATTCTAGGATCCCAGTCTTTGTATAAGGCTTGCATCTCTTCTACATTTCCATCCACGGTCATGGAAGCCGCAGGCATATCATCCGGGACTAGCAATACCATATTGAACAACTCTCCGCCCCTAAGGACGTAGTTGACGGCGTGTGCGTCGGGCCCTATCCAGTAATTGACCTGCGGATCTTCGATGAAGTGTCGTAGTTCGGGATCGTCTAGCATATCCCTTGCGTTGATGAGCAACCTATAGGCAAGGTCCCCGGTGGGCTGAGGGGGATCCGGTTTACAGAGGAGAACCTCACGTAATCGAGAGGAGATGCCGTCTGCCCCAACGATCAGATCCGCAGACATAGACCTCCCATCACTCAATACGGCGGTTGCCGTTAGCCCGTCTTCGGCATACTCAATTGTCTGAACTCTCGACCTGACCTGGAGTTTGGCTCCAAGCTCCATAGCCCGGTCCATGAGGCAATGATGTAGATTGGCCCTATGAAAATCCCAGAAGGGAGTTCCCAGGGCCTCCGCATAGGCATGAAGGTCCATCCTTGATAGGTGATTTCCCTTCCAACCGATCATGTTGGCGTATCTAGGCATTGTCGCATGCTTGGCGAGCTTCTCCTGAAGTCCCCAGGAGATCAGTATTCTCGACGAATTGGGCAAGACTTGAATGCCCGCCCCTATCTCGCCGATTTCCGACGCGCTCTCGAGAACTGTCACATCGTGTCCTGCTAGGAGGATGGCGATGGCCGCACCGAGGCCGCCGAGCCCAGCACCTACAATGATGACCTACGCTGGAAATTCAATATGTTGATCTTGTATGCCTTTGGTATGCTCAAGTTGGACTCACGTGTAGTTGACTTGAGGGATCCCTGTCAATCTTCTGCCATGTCCTAGGGGGAGGTCTCGGAGACATTTGTGAAGTTGATGTTACCGGCGTGATTGTAAACTACAATTCTAATACAGGTAGGATAGTACACGACAGGGTCATATCCCAAGTTCTTAGGATAACCCAGACGATTACCTGTCAACTTGCCTTTTTACCTTCGGAAGTCCGGATTGTAGTACACGTTCTTAACTCCTTTTATCACAGCCTACATATATACTACATACGTAGGCAGGCAGGAAGGCAGACAGGCTGGCTGGCTGGCATGTAAGGTAACATTGGGGTCACATGAATTAGGTAAAGTGCTGCTGTATACCTAATACCTCCTCACCTTGGGTAGAGAGGTACGCAGATTTCACACCCTCGGACGACTCCATTAACTGAATAGTATCTACCCGGCATGACAGTATGTGCTGTGTACGTACGTGAATACTGGCTTATCTCTAACCGACGCCATCCAATGCAGGTAACCTAGGTGGGACGCACTTATTTTACCTAGTACTAATGATCACCCCCCCACTCTTGTCAGTAATAGGTGACATCTTAAGAGATAGCAAGAGTGGGGCGCGGTAGAAAAGAAGCAAAACCGTCTATCTCGATTGGAGGAATACTGAGAATTGTGAGTTCGAGCGCGGCACTGTCGCTCGGTAACGGAAAGGTATTCTAACTCTTTTGAGAAAGAAGGCTCAATTACTAGACTTCCGTGATCTATACGTTTCTCTGTCGTCTGTCACCCCCCTTCCCCCACCCGCTCTTCTCTCTCCTCTTTCCCTCCCTTTCTTAAACCCTTCGGGAGAATGGGGGACTGTACATCCTTAGAACGGGTCCACATGAGACAGTCTTGAAAGTGGTGAATGAAATACAATCCTCGTGTCCTATTGTGATACTGCTCGAGATGCAGCGAACCAAACGTAGAGTCAGGGATGGAGATGGTACCAGGCGGTTGTTCACTTGCACTCAAGATGGATGTGGGAAATCCTTCTCGCGATCTGAGCATCTCCACCGCCATCAGAAAAATCATACCGACGGCGACGCAACCTGTTCGCGGTGTCGCGCCCACTTCAAGCGTCAGGACCTTCTCGGTGAGAGCTCCTTGGCCTCGGTCTCACCTATCCCCCGTGTCTCCGTCTCAGCGGACTGACATCATCGGTAGAGAGGCACATGAGCAGGCATAAGCAGAAAGACGAGGAAGCTGGTGGTGAAGGCACCGGTACTTTGAACACGCGCAAGCGCATGTGGAAGGACCATGACGGACGAATTGTCCAGAAAAAGCCCATCGAGAACCCGCCTCTTGATACTACTGGCCTAGAGGCGCCGTTTGCGCGACAGGTAGAAGGGCCTATTTCACCTCCCGTGTCGTCCAACTCGGATCATCCTAACGACAACGACCCAATACACACGGCTTTCCCTAGTGACCAGAGCCTTTTGCCGGATTACACCCTATCAACGGAACAGTTTGAATCTCAAAGTCCTGACGGATATTGGATTCCGCCGGAGGCATCTCAACCACGGAGTATCGCGCCCCCTTATCTCGAAATAAACTACGACGAAGTCTTCCAACCTGATACTGCAAGTTCATTTAATATGCCGTATACGACACAAATTAACTATGATTGGCTTTTCAGTTTAGATCATAATTTTGGTGGCAATGCCGTCTCGCAGGCCCCTTATGCTTCTGCCACATCCTTAGCCTCGTATTCTTGCGGCATGCAACAACACCCTGGATCTATGGGGATAAGCCAGGCCGATCCCTCACCAGAGGTTAGGCAATACGACAGTAGCACGACTGAAAGCCCCCTAGCATCTATGGCTTCACTTGATTACGTGCGCGCAACGGGAAGTACACATAGTCTAACAAGCCCCAGCCTCTCAGACGAGCCCGCACTTAGTCTCTCACCGGCGGCGAAGCAGAATACCCCTGAAGGCTATAGAAGGACCTCTGAGGTAGAATTCGAACGTCCCTTAGCTGCACTTCAGTCGTCGAATCGACTTCCGTTTATAGATGGTTACGCTTATGCTCAGATCTTGGAGACCATTAAAGCTGCCAGGCCGTTAGCGCCAGACGGCTCTCTTCTAGATGCCAACCATCCCCTATTATCCCATTCTTCATTGCAGTCGTATTGTGACTTATACTTCAAGAGGTTCAACTCCGCCTATCCATTAATTCACCAAGCCACCTTCGAACCCAACAAAAAGGAGCCCTTATTACTTTTATCTTTAATCTTGCTCGGTGCTACCTGTAAGTAGCTCGATACTTGTTCCCTTTGGATTTCGAACTATTCATGGTTTTCAGTCTTCGTGTTGGATATGTGGCCCCCTTTCGCACATCCTACGAAATTAATTGCTAACTCCCATTGATACAGATTCTGAGAAGGAAGCGCATCAACTCGCAGTCTGCATACACGATGTAATCCGACCTGCCAGTGAGTACTTCAAATCGCCTATCGTATCTCTTTTCCTATGTGCCTATATCGTAGAAACTATATTTTTGAGAATAGTAATTCATACCCACGAGATTATCGCGTGGGATTCGTAATTACTCCCTCCTATCGTTGCCTGCATCCGGTATCACTGACTCTAGCGGCTTCGTAGTATTTTCTCACGCCAGCTTCAACCCCAAACCAAAGCTTTGGATGCTGCAGACGATCCTGCTGGTTGAGTGTTTCGGAAAGAGCCGAGCTGGCCAGAAACAGCACGATATGAGCCACCTATTCCATGGGATGTTGATCAATTTAATCAGGCGGTCCGACTGCCAATCGATTCGGCCAACCCGACCTTGTGACGGTATTATTAGAGAGGAATTGATGAGTGACCGTAGCTGGAGACAATGGGTAGAGGCTGAAGAGAAGAAGAGGTTAGTAATTTATTATCAGGGTTTTTCAGATTGACGTCGCAAGCTAAAGCAACCCCATAGGCTAGCTCTCCTTTGCTTTATGTGGGATACGCAACATGCCGTCCTATTTTGCCAATCGCTCTGCATGTCGGCCTTCGAACTCAGACTGCCTCTCCCATGCAACCAGGCGTTATGGGAAGCACCTACAGCCGCCGAGTGGTCGCGTCTCTCGTTATCTACTACTCACGAGCCGATGTATCTCCTGGCATTAAAATCGTATATCACCCTTGACGCGCACCGGGTTCCTCTTCATAATAGCCTTTCACGTATTATAATTTTCCATGGCCTGATGTCTATATTTTGGGATATGCGGCGACGGGATCAAACCAGCCTCGGGGTTATATCGCAAGGGGGACGGTGGCAGAGCCGTCTTGCTGCAGCATACGAGGCTTGGAAAGAGGATTTCGACAGCTTCTGCGTTCGCCTGGAGGACCTAACGCTTGATGAGATGAGAAAGGGCGCCGTTTCCGAGAATGCAAAAGTTGAACTGGACGTCTGGCGAACTGCTTATGTAGCGGTTTATCATGCTGCACATGTGCTACTGCACTCCGAGTTTCTCGACATTCAAATATTCGCAGGCGCGCGGCATATCTTAGGCCGTTCAGTCCAGCGAGCCGACTTCATGCGCTCCGAGAAAGTGGTAAAGCGATGGGCTACTCATGCCACTCAGAGCCCTGAAAGCGCTGGTGGACCCGCGGACGCTGCCTCTGCGGCTTGGCACGCTGCCCAGCTCCTTCAAAATGCATCACAGACTCTCGTGGATTTTGATTCTATGGGTCTGTTTCATGTACCGTGGTGCTTGTATCTAGCTACCTTAACGATCTGGACATTCCACCATACTGGAGCGAGGGGATCAGGTTCCGGCCCCGATGATGATAGCGAACTAGTCTGGGACGCCCCGGCGGAGATGCGCGCCTTAGTAGACTCGATGGTGGAAGTAGGCATCGAAGGCTTGACCGAAGTGCAGGGAACAAAGCGGACTGGCGGGCTGGTGTGGATTATTGCGGAGGTGTTGAGTAAAGTCCGCTGGGGAATTGTTCACGCTGGCGTTACCGTGCTCAGGGGGCTAGTTCCGTGGAGATCAATAGGCCAGTTCGATGATGCTACTGCTTGAGTACGAAGACCTAAATATGTATATCAACATAACTCTTCAAATATGGGCAGAGATCCCTTGGACGTACCAAATTTGCCTAAGCAGGATGATTGTGTGCTCGAGTGCCGTAGGCACTGCAGTGTGAGTTACTCGTCTTGGACGGACCGCTTAACCGAGATTTTAATCCTTCAGGGTATTTATACACCGAATAAACACCTGCCTAGAACAGATACCAAGAGACAGCTAGGGATATTTCGAGGTTAAAGCCGGCTTTAAGAAATGGACAGGTGAATTGAGAGCATATACCCCGCAAAGATGAGCTACCTAGTATGAAGTATGCTGTACAAACTCGCCAGAATTATGATAAAGAAACCCCGTACACCTCGTCACGTAGGTTATGCCGCTTCCCACCCAACAGTCATCACTATTCATTATCTTAACTTATCCCCAGGTACTTTGAGGAACCCATCGTAATATGAATTAAGCCAGTCGGCTGCCGTCGAACCAGCATTTACACCCAGAGAATCCCACCTACTGATCGATCCCACGTAACCGTCGGGCCGCAAGATTACTATCGCAACTTCGTCTTTCTGTAGAGTTCCCACCCACTTGCTCGTGCATGTCTGCCTGCGAGTGTCTAGGTAGGGAACATTGTCTAAGTAGAACGTCCATGCGCTTCGAGCAAAGAGCGGAGGAAGATCCTGTATCTCGACCCTAGCCTTATCCATAGTTGCTACATCCAGGTAAGCTAGGCCTCTCATCCTGATATATGCGCGTATATTGAAATGGGGGTATGCTTACTGATAAGAGCAAACGTCGTGAGCTCGCTGACGCCCGTATATCTTTCCGAACGTATGTAAACGTCTTCGGCAGTCGGAGTACGTGGCTTCTCCACGTAACTCGCTGCGGCGGCCTGACTTAGTTTCCTAAACAAAGAGTCTTGCCTTGTTAAGCCGTTACAGAACGTTTGGAGGAAGGGCATGCTGTTGTGAATATCCGGCACGAAAAAGTATACCCTGAATTGACCCAACATGGGAATATCGAGCTGGACGTCGATCGGATTTGCGTCGATATAACGGGTCACCTTGGCAGGCGGCACGAGGCAACCCGGTCTCAGCTCGCCTCCGCTACGTTTGGATGGGTGGTTGAGTATGTTGTGATCATACTCGACGCCAACGCCAGAGATAAAACGTACGTTGGTGCGGAAGTTCTCCGCTAGAGCTTTGGCGTCACCGCCAGCCATCTTGTTGGCGTGCTCGTAGTCGAAATTGATAAGGTCGTGGGCGATCTTCCTACGCTCCATCTCATACGACTCAAGTAGAACGGGCTTTGCTAAGCCTCTCGTTGCGAGGTTCAATTTCCATGCCAGGTTCCAGCTGTCGTGCATACTCGTGTTCATGCCCTGAGCGGCCTTGGGAGAATGCGTATGACTCGCATCCCCCGCAATGAATGCCTGCAGATGCGGATCGGTGAATTTATTTGCTATCCGCTGTCCAATCTGATAATTACCGAACCATTCCACAGTGCGCCATTCAACCGAGTACGGCGCCAAGATCTGCTTGGCACGTTGCATGACGAACTCTTGTCCGAGTTCTCGCAGGTTGCCAGTCTCGGTGTCCGGTTTGATCTCGACGTAAAATCGAGTTGTGCCCCGTTCCCGCGGGACGATGAGTATGGATCCATGCACCTCGCTGTAGACGACCGTCTTAGACCAGAGATCCGGGAAGTCGGAGATGAGCTCTCCGTCAAGCACGGCCCAGACAGATTCATGTGATTTGCCTACCGAATACGTGTCTGGTATGCAGTTTCTCACCTTGGACCGCGCGCCGTCACCTGTTACGGTCAGTCAGGGGTATGTTAGGTGGCGTAGACTAGCCTTTTGACTTACATCCCACTATATACTTCGACAGTGTCATCTCCTTTTCGCCCGTAGTCGTGATCTTGCTCTCAATTTCTAGTAAGCCTACTTCATCTTCTTTCTGCTTGAAGGTTTGAAATTGGTGGGATCGCTTCACTTCGATACCCCGCTTCCGAAGATCTTCTATGAAGACCCCCTCGACGACCCCCTGATGAACAAGGAGGATGTAATCATCGAGAAGATCAACAACCAGTGCCGGATAGTGAATCTCACGGCCGAGACGCCTTAAACGGCGATTAGCTGTGGCTTCCCAGAAGCAGATATCAAAAACTTTGGCGCCTCTCTGAAGGAGGCCATCTGCTAGTCTTAGTTGACGCAGAGTCTCTATGGTCTTAGGTTGCAAGCCGTCGGCTCGACCAGCTTGCGTCTGGTCGGCCCTCTCATCTATGACCTCCACATTGATGCCAAACCTAGCTAATAGCACACTAGACGATTTTATATGTAAGCATGGGCAACTAAGCACCTATATAAGAGAGAGGATATGCAGTTTGATGAGAATGGTTGTTCTGACAACAATAGCAACAATGTCATCACCGCCCGTATATTTTACGACTACAGGAAGGAGAGGGGAAAAAAGAAGAGTAAGAAACAAATGAAATAAGAAATGAGCTATAAAAGGCAAGGGAACAAAGACACTTACGCCAACATTAGACCAGCGGGTCCGGCTCCGACGACGCAGACTTCAGAGCTGTGTCGTGATCCGTTGGTTTCACGGCGTTTGGCTGGGCCATGGCTGTTGAGGTCGCCATTGGTCTCGCCGTTGGTGTCGCCGTTCTGTCGCACACCGTTTATCTCATCTACAATCATGGCGCCGATAGAAATCCCGAGACGAGACGAGTCTTTTAAATCATGCGAGTATAACTGGAAACCCTTTTCCCTCTTTTTCCTTTTTAACAGAGTCCAATAAATATCTAGAGCAAGGTGGTGGCTTGTTTTAGGTAGCAAAAAGTAACAGGGTAGTGGTGGTAGGTTGGATGGCGGCTGGCCCGATCGAGGATGGATTGATTCATCGGTTGATGGAATTGCTTGATTTGATGGGATGGGGATATGGATATGGGGATGTAGGTACAAGTATGTATTGTGTGGAATTTGTGGATTGGAGGTGTTCGAGTCTCATCGAACCGAAACAGTGCAAATCACCGGCGAACAGCGTTCCGATTCACGTTCAGGCTCAGGCTCGCAGGCTCGGGTTCAGAAAAAGAAAGGTCGAACCCTTGGAGGGGCCGTGAATTGATTGTGAAAATTGGGGGGCATTGAAGGGAACTGGGGTGACCTGAGGTGACTTTTAGAACGTATGAGAGTAAGTGAGAAGCAATAAGAGCCAATGAGAATGAAGAAGACCGAATGAGCTCACTCAGATCAATTGTAAGAGGACTTCAGGAAACTGTAAAAATATAAGGTTTATGTGACACGATTTAGACTTTCGCACTGTGCTCAGACCATTGTCAGGTGGTTTGGTTCTATTCTCGAACCACTCCGATCCCTAGGTCGGGGGCTTGAGAGGCGAGTGAGCCGTGTAACTGGGATTTAACTGGGCGTAAAAGTGTGGGCTGGTGTGGGTGTAAGTGTGGGTTGTTTCGACTTGTTCTGGACCCCTGAAAATGGGTTTATTTTATTTTTCGGTACAAGTATTTTTTTTTTTTTTAATCTTTTGTTTGCCCCTCCCCCATCCTTCGCCTTCTCCGTAACATAAACCTCTCTAACTGCAACATGTGTCCTCCCACTTCTTATGTGCGCTTCACTACACCTACACTTCGAAGAAATACATAATCCTTGTCAGATATCACACCACTTTTATACAGCCATTCCTCAGGTTGGGTACTTCCAATAGGAGCAGGTGGTTAGGGTAAGAATTCATAATCGCTTATCGCACATCGTACATCGCAAAACAGCAAATACCTCTAGGGCTATTTATGCTTACATAGCTCCGTGGTACGGTAAGCTCCATTGCATACATATGATTTATTAATCAAGTCACCGTCAAGATCCCACTTTGGGCACCTGGCGGTATCTCGGACAGGCACCTTGGCAAGGTTAACATCTACGTACGTTATCTTGTCTCGCCGCTACTTGCGAATATGGCCGAGTTCGCAAGTGCGCATGCGGCAGCTAGTCCGATGATAATAAAAAGAAAAAAAGAACAAGTCCGGGTATCTCTATGATTCATAATACATGGTGTTTCTATGGCGACAGTTTCGACCTTGATGTTTCGGCGATTAGAAAAATTACCCCTTCCCTATTTACCTAAGGCACACACAGAAGTTTTAGACCCCTCCTCTATCTGATTCGCGCGAAACAAGAGGCCCCCTATTTCGTTATGAAGAATTCCCCAAGCACATGGCAAGAAAAAGTCCGTTTGAAACGCGAGGTTCAAGCTCAAGCGTTGACGACTATCGCAAATGATCAAGTATGTGTGAGAAGAGGTTATCTCAATCATAAAGATTCGTCGTCATGTTGCTAAATTTGATCAAAATCAATAGAACCCGGAAATTGATCCGTCGGTGGTAGATATCGACGATATCTCGAAATTAGCCAGTCGTATCGCGTCCAGTGAACTGACATCAGAAGCGGTGACGAGGGCATATATACACAAGTTTAGTAGAGACCATTGAGCTAAAATTTCAGAGACCCTGTTCATTATTGAAAATGCTAATCCTTTGGGGGGTAAACCAGGGCCATTGAAGCTCATAGCCAGGTAAATGCAAATCAACTCGCCGTAAGCTACCCAGTCTAACCTTGTGATAGACAAATTGGTCAGCAATCCACGTCAGATATCTTGTTCAGTGACTAGGTAGCTAATAATAATGACAGCCTCACCGAGATTCTCTTTGAAGAAGCTCTGACACGGGCTCGTGAGCTCGACGATTACCAGACCAAGTATGGAAGCGTTGTTGGGCCGTTACATGGTATCCCCATCACCTTCAAAGATCAGTTCAATGTCAAAGGCTATGACAGTACACTCGGATACGTCGGCCGCACATTCGCTCCTGCGACCGAAGATGCCGTTCTAGTTGGCATGCTCAGAAATCTTGGCGCTATCATGCTAGCCAAGACAAATCTTCCTCAGAGTATAATGGTAAAGCCCGATCCTCATCCTTAACGTAGAAGGATGAATAGGTACCTATCTGATAATGAACGGGTTGTAGTGGTGCGAAACTGAAAATCCCCTCTGGGGTCTCACGTCAAATCCTTCGTGTAAGGACTACACTCCGGGAGGCTCAACCGGTGGTGAAGCAGCGCTGTTAAACCTTCGTGGCAGCATCATTGGTTGGGGCACAGATATTGGTGGTAGTATTAGGATACCTGCTCACATGATGGGCCTATGCGGATTGAAGCCAAGCGTGAGAACCTCCTCCTTATATCATCGGGTGATCCCTAGTCTCACAGTGTTATCTACTTGTAGAGTTCGCGTCTTCCGTATTACGGAGTGCCTGTGTCAACTGAAGGCCAAGAGCACGTCCCGTCATCAGTAGGCCCACTGGCGAGGAATTTACCGTCGCTAACCTTGGTGATGAAAGAGCTGGTCCAGATGAAGCCGTGGGAACACGATGCCCGATGCGCCCCAGTGCCCTGGAGGGATGAGATTTTTCAAGAATTCAGATCCAAGCCGCTGACCATCGGTCTCCTTACCGATGACGGAGTAATGAGACCGCACCCGCCGATCATACGGGTGCTCCTATCATTGGTGGAGAAGCTTCAAGCAGCGGGCCATGAAATTGTTGAGTGGAACGCCGATCTCCATGCTGAATGCATTCAAGTCATGGTGAGCTTCGACCCCTCGTATTCACATCATTATAATCAATATTCCTAATATTTCTTTTTTCCTTTTCCGATTCAGGATGAATTCTATACAGCAGATGGTGGCGAGGATATTCGTCGGGATATCTTAGCAGGTGGGGAGCCTTTTATTCCCCACGTAGAGGCATTGGTCAACAGAGGCCAACCTATCTCGGTTTACGATTACTGGCAACTGAACAAGCGCAAAACTATGCTTCAGCAAGCGTATCTAAAGAAGTGGAATGAGATAGAATCGCCGAAGACAGGGAGAAAGGTCGACGTCGTTCTGATGCCTCCTATGCCCCATACCGCCGTTCCGCATCATTCTTGTCGATGGGTAGGTTATACCAAGATTTGGAATGTTTTGGACTACTCCGCTCTGGTCATCCCCGCAGGCAAAGTTTCTTCTGTAGACGGCGACGCTCCGTGGAAGTTTGCACCAAGAAACATGCTAGATGAGTGGAATGCAGGGGTGTGGGCACAAAGCAAGGCGAGGATGATTGAGCTCGGTCTGCCAGTTGGCGTGCAGATAGCCGGGAGAAAGCTGGAGGAAGAGAAAGTCTTAGCGATCGGGGCCGTCATCGATGAACTGCTCGGAGGTATACGTATGTAAGATCCCGAGAGTATTTTTTATTTATATTTCATGATTTGGTAGGTAATCTTTTCTTTCTATTGCTCTTCGATCATTTTCCCCCTTTATTTGAAATACATAAAAAGTTGACCTTTATTTAAGTTCCCCAGAATACGAAGTAGTTCCTGTCGCTTAGTTAGAGCCTCACTCCTTTGACTTCGTGAGTATTTCTCCAGGGGGAGCAGGCATCATAGCACCCTCCGGCGGCTTGTTTTTACTTTTGAAGTAGTCACTCATCTTTGAGAGTTGAAAATGTTAGTAGGTGCGTAAACAGGTTACCGGATCTGTGCTTACCTCGGCAAACGTCATCCATTCTACCCCTTCGTGCTTGTTGATGTGCTCGATTAACCTATATTGAGATGAGCATTATACTAGTACTGGGGATCGTTCGGGGACCTAGCACCTCTCGTGCATCAGGAGTACATGCGGCCGCCCTGATACATCAGGGTGTATTGTCATTGGGAAGATAAATTCGTCATATTCGCGATAAAAATAATCGAAATGGTCACGCCAGATATCCTCGACATCCCTATATAATGGTTAGACATTACTAACGAGTACGGATCCTTTCACGAACCTGGGATTAACCCATCCATGCGAATTTGCCGAATTTTTCATGAACATCATGGGAGGCAGGTCGTCGATATACCAAGAACCTGGGATCTCAACCATACCGGTTGGTTGACCCTTGATTAAGGGTTTCATCCACTCCTCGGCTTTTTTCGAATAGTCGATCCTGCTAAGAATTAGCAGTGCTCACATCAAACTTCAGATCCCGTCATAAATGATTATCCATCCCAGTTGCTAAACACGCACACGTCTTCCCCAGGACATGATGGAGGCAAGGAGAAGTAATGCAACATACTATGATTGGTCAGCCACCGTACAGAAGCGTCGTACCGACCCCCGTACGCTTTCGTAGGGAATCGTATCAGAGGTTGAGGTTCAAGTATATCACACTTACCTTTGTCCAAGTATCACCAGTGCGTAGCCAATACATTTGGCAATCCTCATGTGACATTGAGTGATCATATTCAATCCCATAAGAGAGCATCAATTCAGTACCTTCCTTGCTCGTTTCCCACCACGGCGCTACGCTACCCTTTGGGGGCTTACCACAGAACTCGGTAAGAAGCCTGTATGTCTTATCGAGCACATCTCGCTGTTGTTCAAGCGTCATATCGACGGGGTTTTCGTGAGAGTATCCGTGGAGGCCAATCTCATGGCCAGCATCTCTCACCATAGCACATTCCTCGGGAAATGTCTCGAGAGAGTGGCCAGGTATAAACCATGACGCTTTAATATTGTACTTTTCAAATAGTTTAAGAAGACGGCGAGTTCCAATTGTGCCAGCCCATATTCCTAATTAGAAGAAGATTGGAAGACTGTCATTAGATAGGTGTTTGAATGATGAGAAGTCTAACCTCTGCTGATGTCGCTTGTGCTATCTTCACCTCCGTATGAGCCAAGCCAGCCAGCGACGGCATCAATATCTACGCCGTAGCTAATCCCCCGACCTTATCAGTCGTCCTCAATTCAGTAGCTTGGGAGGCTGGAAGTTAACTTACCCGACAAGGACCTTTTTCTTACCCATGATGAAATACCTAATGAGTAAGCGATAGTGGAATACTACCTAGGTGAAGTATCAAAGCGACGTCCAAATTATTGGATCGGTCACCCCCGCGGAAGCTGGTTTGGAGAGTACGCGGCGAATATGTTGGTAAGTCGGATCGATAGGATTGGTGTCTTCCAAGTTAGACCCCAGCAGTATAAGAGATACTCGAATGATATACATACAGGAACATGCGCCGGTTCTATTTGTCCCCATCCCCCATGATACGGCCGCGAATGATAAGGTGATCTGTTTTTAGGCGCAGAACCCCCATTCTTGATCGCCGACTCCATGTACCCCGCAGTTGTAAGCCGCTTTAGATACGAAGCACGCTTACTTAGCCGCTTTAAGATAAATCGGTCGCCTCCGACTTATCAGCTCGCGTTCTTACATAGCTAGAGACAGACATTGTCCGGACGAGACATGATATTGAATTACAGGTCATGCCCAAATCATTTGAAGCGGACACCACCAATGCGGTGCTTAGGCGGGCGTTTAAGAAACATAGTAAAATGATGCTTCAGGAGAAGAGGGTCCGGGCCGGAATATCACCCTCCTAAACCCGCGATACACGTGCTGTGTCTGGTCCGTGTAGTGTTTGACATTTTATGTGTCTCAATTCTTTCATCAACTACTACGTAGTAGATAACTTCGAATTCAGTGGCTATTCCAATTCAACTCTTTCGACCCATCCCACCACAACCTTCATGATCTTAATACCTGATCTAGCCACCAGACATGAATTCGAATGTCGTCAGTCAGCTCTGGATGAAAGCTAGTCCCGAACACATTCCCTTGTCTTAACGCTACGATATCTCCTGCTCCCGTAGGAGACGTGGCTTGATCATCTCTGTTAAGCGTTGACGCCGTTATCGTCTTTGCCGCCGCCGCCGCCTTGTTCGAAGCGTGACGCCCCGGAAGGGTTGCCAATACTTCAACATTCCCTTTTAAAGTATGGCTCATTCGATCCCCGGACACAGGCTTGGCGATTTCCGATGTCGTGAAATCCGACTTATGGTCAATTGACTCCAAGTCACCAGTCAATACCTGATCCACAACAGGAGCCCGAATGAAGACGGCCGGAAAAGGAGCGACTCCGTTCCCTTCGCCCTCTTGGGATAAGAAAGGCAGGCCTAAGTCTGTAACGAAGCTTTCTATCTGTCGACCAAAATGATTACGGTGGACTTTGACATCAAGTCCCCCGATCAAATCTTGACCACCTCTTTTAGTGGCGCTAGCTTGCTCAGATAAGAGGATAAGACCGGCGCATGTGCCCCATGTTGGCTTCTTGTCGACTCTTGTTTTATTAGCAGAAGATACAAGTCAGCAAGATGTCCTTCGGCAGACATGTGTGCGCGTGCGGCGTACTCACTTGACAAACTCCCGCAACGGCTCCAGCAACCCGGACTGTGCTGCCACAAGTGAGAGGGTAGTGCTCTCTCCTCCGGGAATGACTAGCGCGTCACATCTAGCTAGTTGGGCTGGCGTTCGTACCTCCAGGAAGTCGAAGCTTGGTATTGGCGATGATGAAGTCGAGAGATGAGCAGCTGCTTTCCGTAGAGAGCTGAGATGTTCTGAGAAGCCTCCTTGAAGTGCGAGGACGCCGACGGTGACCATATTGACTTTCGTCAGATATGTCTACCTCAACTGGTACCACCTAGGTAGTAAGTAAGTTGGGCTTATCCAAACAATCGCGGCGTTTGAAGGTGATTATGATACAGATAGGTAATCGGGATCTGATGCGCTAATATAGGGCCTTAGTCACATGTAGGCGTTTGATTACGGTGATTGAATACAAAATCCAGCATTGTTCCGGGGTTGTTTAGGACCTAGGTATGTACTATGTATCGCTGGCTTCCTTCGTGTTTACCTAATGTTCCTTTACATGAATAGAAGTACGTACCTTAAGAAGAGGTATATTCAACTAATGCCTTGCCTACCCGGGTGCATATAGACAAGTTTGCCGTATTTGATTCAACGTTTCGCGGAATTCTCCCGTGCAGTTTCCCGATGTCCTATACGTACCTACAGTAGCTATCCCCGACACCGGCGGTTCCGTATGCGTCATTCCGCTCGCCGAGGTCTCCTTTGCCTTCCCTTCGCCGTGGAAAAGCCTCCATTGATCGGAATCCGCGACCCAACTGGGTCTTTTAGAGTTCTAAACCTAAGTAAGTCCTCTAGGGGCAAACCATGGGTCCGCCAATACCTGGGCGATCATTTGATTGGCGAAGAAGACCTTTGTTTGTCGCCTTCAATGGCTTAAGTCCGGCTAGTTCCTGAAAATTCCCGTCAATCCCATCCTTCCAGGACGGCTATATACGGTACCTACATAAAAGTATCTATGAGTGAGTTTATTGAAGGAAATAGACAAGTCCGGACCCTCGCGTACCTTGTCACTCCTGACATTTGACCCTTATTTGGTGTAGGTAGCCTATTTACCTACTGACTCATCTCCAATTTTCTTGGTCCATTTCTCTCTAAACTTCTATTCCTCTTAAATTTCCAGTTGAATTTTTCCAGAAAGTTAGTTTGAAGCTTCAAGTATTGTCCTCACTATCTAGTTCGAGTTTTCGATAAAGCATCTTCAGCAGCCATGACGAACAGCGACGCAAGCAAAACCTCGGAATTCGTCGTCAAGGCGGGACTGGCCCAGATGCTGAAGGGTGGTGTCATCATGGACGTGACAGACGCCGCCCAGGCACGCATAGCCGAAGAAGCTGGCGCTTGTGCCGTCATGGCTTTGGAGCGTGTTCCGGCCGACATTAGAGCGGAGGGTGGTGTGGCGCGCATGTCTGACCCGGGAAAGATCAAGGAGATCCAGGATGCCGTGACTATTCCCGTCATGGCCAAGGCACGTATCGGTCACTTTGTTGAGTGTCAGATCTTGGAGGCCTTGGGCGTCGACTACATCGATGAGAGTGAGGTGTTAACCCCTGCCGATGATACGTACCACGTCGAGAAAAGTGGCTTCAAGGTCCCCTTTGTTTGTGGATGCAGGAACTTGCCCGAGGCGTTAAGACGTATCGCCGAGGGAGCCGCCATGATCCGCACTAAGGGCGAAGCGGGAACTGGTGACGTCGTCGAGGCTGTGAAGCACATGCGTACCGTCAACCGCGATATCGCGAGGGCGAAAGCTACCCTTCAAGAGGGTGGCGATCTAGCTATTAGAGCTTTAGCGAGGGAGTTCGAATGCGATGCCGCCCTTTTAAAGCAGACGGCAGAGTTGGGACGCTTACCCGTGGTCAACTTTGCCGCCGGCGGAGTGGCGACCCCGGCGGATGCGGCATTGATGATGCAGTTGGGCTGCGATGGAGTTTTCGTCGGTAGCGGTATATTCAAGTCTGGAGATGCCGCTAAGAGAGCGAAGGCTATCGTGAGGGCTACAACGCATTATCAAGATCCGAACGTGTTAGCCGAGTGTAGTGAAGGACTCGGTGAAGCCATGGTCGGCATAAGCGTAAACAGCATGAAACCCGAACAAAAGATGGCTGGAAGAGGATGGTGATTGGATTTAAGACGATGGGGGAATCCTAATTTCAACAATCGGATACCGTAGTCGATCTACATTGCGGGAAACAAGAGGCAAAATCATGTGGGTTTAAACGTGCGCCCCTCCGACACGATATGTGTCCGCAACCGTGTATTACGCGACGACGTAGCTATATCTATGTATCTCATCAACAAGATCGTAGCCACAAACTTCGGATATCCGAATTCAACATTAGCGACAATCTAAACTTGATTACTTCACGCTGGTAAATCGCTCCAAATCAAGTCGCTCAGTGTCTGGTTAGGGGTAAAATATCGCTCTACACAGGATTCCGCGCGGATGATCAGATCTGCAACCATACGGCCAAAGACAACACATCCGTGCGGATTTAGATGTGTCGTGTCCGACATGTCTTCGCCATAGTTGTATTCTTGCGCGGCTTCTTTCCCTATCGCATCGATGTACTCCAGGCTTGCTTCGTTGAGGTCGATTATAGTCGAATTTGTTGCCTTGGCCGCTGCGATAGCCGCTAAGCGCTGGTCATGAAGCGAGTCTGTGGCATTGTGGTCTTGGCCGGAGGGGAAAACGCGGCGTGTAAGTGACGATGTAAGAAGCTATATTGTACATCAGTGATGAGCATATTCTCTCCCTTTTCTTCCATGTCTCCTTTTTCCATGTCTCCTTTTTCATTATCTTATATCTCTACTTGTCACACGCTCTTTCTTCCCTAGAAGCAGCAGGAGAAACACATACCGGCTTGCCACCCAGGGATTTGATTTCGCCGGCGAATTTGATGAGATTTTCCTGATATTGTTCGAAAGTAACTCCGCTGGTTGATTTCTGGTCATTATGCCCAAACTAAACACAATTGGCGGAGGCGCCTACGCGTTAGCTCGTGTGCACTCAAATTTTGCTTCTATAGCCTCCTGGGTAGAGGATGTGCCTCTAACGTTATATATTGTTTGGGTCTTGTGTCCTTACGCTTATAGTGACGTAGCTATCATATTTTTCAACGTTATCTTTAACTTGCTGCGTCACGTTTGCCCAGTATCCTCCGGCTAAGAATGACGCCGTGGTGGCACCACTCTTTCCGATATTCACACCCCAGGCTGGTTTCTTGAGCGTAGCTAGCAGGCCGTCTCCCCAGCCGCCGTCCGGTGCCGTCGTAGAATCGCCTGCTAGGAGGAACGCCGGAGGCTTGGAAGAGCACTCCACTACCGACCGTCCTACGACCAAGGCGGACAAGTTCAAAACCCAGTAAATGAAGCGTGGCATAACTCTTGAAGAATAGGTAGTCAGGCAATATAACTGACCATGTAGGTATTATAACATGCCCAAAACTAAGACTTTTTCTGTGGTCATACCTGTCAATCCAGGATCGAGCGTCCAGCAACGAAGGCTTATATACGAAGAACTCGTTACATTGAATGGGATAGAAGAAATGCTGGTTATGTCTGGTCCTCTAGTTTGTCTCTGAATGAGTTGCATCATGACGAGGTCCGCCATGGAAAAATTGACAATGTTCGTGGGATCATATACCGAGACGAGGAGTCAAGCTGCATCCAATCAGCTAGACAGCTGCTCCCAATTCACCCGGTAGGAAGAGCCAACTACCAATCGTCGGAGGCGTAGGTACTTGGCGGAGTAGAAGTTGGTATACCTTTGAAAGGGTACGGCGTAGTATCCCCGACGGGGTAGCATGACGTTACATAGGTAGGTTCGTGATCTCGCTTATCTTCGACTATATCCTTTTGACCGCATCTTTAACTTATTGTGTCCTTGGTTGTTAGTGCCTGGGCGCCCCCTTTTAAAATCATACACTCAAAAACCTTGTGCAAACTATTAGCAGCTCTCGTTCAACTTTTCTACTCTAAAATAATACACCATTACAGAATTCTTAGTCTATTTCGCTACCACTAGCTATTCGTACCATTCATAGTACGGTAATTGTTTGGCGAGAGATGACTCACTTGGGCTCGTTTCTGCAATAGACGCTCTGGTGGAGCTACGGAGACAGAACCAGGAAGTGGCGCATTCAAAGACTACGGATTACGAAATTGAAGGTCATTGCTTGATTAGCAAACCCACGTAATTGAAGAAATAAAGCCCTTCGCCAACATATTCGTCAATTAAAACCCGTCATCGATGACTTGGAAACTCTAGACCAAAGCAAACCCTTGACATGAGATCTGGCTCCCGTGAACGCCGTACACTTATCCATGCACAGACACGCCCCCACCCAGCGAGTTCTTGGTAAACGAAGCCGCCTAAGTATACACGCTTTCGGTCCATGAATTGACTTGCAGTCCTGTCTCAGCCATATTCGCATCCTTCAAATAATCCAGTGGCATCCATACAAGATGCCCCTTGATCTGGTCAAGTTTCTTACGGATGTCATCCGGGGGCAGGAACCTGTCGAAGATATGACCGGCTTTGACCCCTTTTGGAGGTAAGAAGGTATTGTAATCTTCAAATGTTTTTACTGTACTCAAGTTAGATTCCCCGAGCTTGTAATCTTCAACCCCGTCTCGATTTACTGGCACTTACCGTTGTCATCAGGATCCGCGTGGAATAGATGTCTAAAAACTTGTGTGTTCGTCGTCGCATTGGTGGTCCACATATCCCAGAGTTCATCTCTCATTGGATCTTCAACGAACTTGTAACTGTCATCTCTATCCCAGATGTCGTTAGGTGAGTTTTCTCCCGGCGGCTGAGCATTTGGGTCGTTGCTCGCGTCGCGCTGTTGCGGTGGTAATAAACCTAAATGCTCTCGCCAAAGATATCTCCTCAAGGTAGCTGCATGCCTCCCCGCCTCAAAGGGCTGACCATCCATGACACTCTGGATCTTATCGGTATCTTCCATGACGATTGATAGTTCACTATCGTGATTACCCAGCTGAGACCGATCGTTTAGGTTGCTTGACCCACAGATGACAATGCGATCATCGACAATGAGGAGCTTGGCGTGGATATATAGCTCCTCTTGAATCCAATTGTCAACTTCCTCTTGGGAATCACCCTCCCAGGGTTCTTCCGAGAGCGTCCCAGTGTTAGCCATGGCATGATGGGCTACACTTGAAGCTGATTTGGTATCGTAGCCATCCTGTTTAGCTTCTTCGAAGCGACGTTTGGCCTCATTACTTTTCGTATTTTCTGCAATTTCCTTCTGTTCCTCTCTTTTACCCATGTGCTCATCCCGTTCGCCCTCGACATCTACGATACCATGGATACCTTCACCCATAATCTCCTCTGCTTCGGCACGCTGAACTTCCTGGTACTTGACGCCAGAGATCTCTTCTTGCTTCTTGATTGCGGGTGTCTTGTTTAAGCGATCATAGGAACGCAGGTTGAAGAGGAAAATATGGTCTCTCGGATTGACACCCTGTGCACTGATCTGTTCGAAGATTGAATGTTCGCCACGGCATATCGACTTATATTGATAATCCATGATAGCGCGTGTGCCCGTTGCCGCATCGTCACGAAGGTCCCCAGCGAATCCGGGGATGGCGGGAATGACAATTATAACTCGGAATTTCCTTCCTTCTTTGCCAGCTCTTACGCAGGCGTCCACAATTGCCTTTCCCACCGTGTTGTGAATGGGAGATTGTTGATCACCGGTTGCAGTAATGAAGAACTGGTTCTCGATGTAGACATAATGCCGAGCGTTGCGTATTACCTCCGAATACGCATTCTGGATGCTGTGGTCTGTCAGTATCCCACTGGACCAGTCAGCGCTGCTACGGACGATTTGGGCATGAATTGTGCCTCGTCCATCGAGGTGTTTGCTCTCTACAGGCGTTAAAGGATGAAGCACATATTCACCAACTGGGTGTTTCGGTCGCTGCACACCCACAAGGTCCTCGTCAACGCCCTCTCGGCCCCGTAGCATTAGCCAGTCAAACCTGTCATCTCTTTTATACTTGTCTCGCTTGATAAAATTCCAACGCAAGACAAAGTGCTCGGCAATATCGTAGACGCACGGCCCAATGACCCCCATAGCCACGTCATGCCACGGCATCCGTCCGTAGTCAGCCTTACTCAACTCATTCTGCTTCCAGTCTTGGACGTTCTGAAAATCCATGACACGGTTATTGTTGAAATCTTGGCCTGGCCAAATTTCGTTGGCGACCCCTTCAGGATGAACGTCGGAGAGGATATGTTGGTGATCGTCCCAGCGACCAAAACAAAGGTCTAGGCCTCCAATAAAAGCCATCGCGTAGTCGATGACGATGAATTTCTCATGGTGAGCCCAGTAGAATGTCATATCAGCAGCATTCTCTAAGAAGTTATGATCAGGGTGTCGCATGACTTTGATGTTGCCATAGCCTGGAGAACCCTCAGGACACAAGCTCTGCAGCGCATGCTTCGTGTGTTCGGAGTTACAAGTTATTGCCGCTTCAACCTCGCGGTAAACCATAACATAGATTTTGACGCCAGCTTCAGCACGGCGCTTTAGGATTCTGTCTAAGCGCCATTCCTGATTAAAATACGGAGGCCTGCGGAGAAATAGCTCGGGCGAAAGCCACCAATCCGCGATGTAGATAGTCTCTTTCGCCTGCTCCAGAGCTAGGGATACGGCCTGCATATATAAATAAGCTTGTTACTCTGGAAAGAAAAAGAGGAAGAAGGAGAAAAAAACCATAAATTGAAGGCACACTTACCCAGAAGTAGTCCCTCCCGTCCACATACCATTTGATGAGATTGCCATCACGCTCGGGGAAATACGAGTTGAAACGGTGATTTCCGGAGATCTTGCTGCGCTTCTCATCGCATGCCTTCTCATGTTCTTCGTCATGACGGTGTTCCGGATTAAACTATAGGGGGTCATCTGTGAGAGAAATGTTCATGGAGTGCGGTGCCGATAGCTCTGGTGAAAGGAGAAACTTACGAGATTTGCAAGTTTCCCAAGCTTGTGTCTGAAATTCAATTAGTGTACTAGATTTGAGATTTACTCTCATCATTGTAGACGTACTTCTTGTGGATAAGATTTATTTTTGCATCATGCAAGTGAGTGTCCTTGAGTTTCTCTTTCAAGTCGTGGAATGGGTGTTTTAATTTATCGACGAAATCCGAATGCTCATGCCCACCATCGTGTTCATGAGAGCCAGGCATGGTAGATCTATACACCGTCTTATTTCATTGACATCTAAAAAGGGGTTGAATAGGGTGCGATGGCTTCAAGAGCAGTCAGAGCGGTCGGAGAGGTCGGAGAGGTCGGAGAACACGACGGATGGAAGTTGACTAATATTACACTATAAGGTAAATAGATGATGACGACGCTGTGGAGTATTAGGGGAAGGCACTAACTCTAGACACGGCGATTGAGGAAGAGAAGAAAGAATTGAGTATAAAGTGTCAAGTGGGGGATAAGAGACAGGAGGAGAAAGGACAAAACAGAGGCCTAATGTTTTTTGTATTGTGTGTAGTGTAGTAGGTATGTGAGGATACATGTAGATGTTAGGGTATGAAGATGTAAAAGAAACTTCGTCATAAGTGGCTGATTGACTTGCTCCGGGATATTGAAACAGGTAAGACCATGTAAGTAACCAAACCTACATGGGAAGTTGCCGGGGACCTAGGTGAGTACTTATATTACGAGGAAGGCAGGGTCTCTTCTTTTTTTTAAACTTGAATTGTAACAGCGTAACCAGTGGTTCTTGACAAAAAGATATTCGAGGTGCCATGACGGCAATACGGCACTTTTCTCACTTCCCCCTCGGATAGCTGCAGGTGAGGAAGAATTAGGTACATATGGATGTACGGTAACCAAGATCTCTCTTCAAAAGTCTTGGTCTTTAGGTAGGTACCCAATTAGATACATCCTACATAGTAGATGCCAAGATGCCAGGTGTGGTTGCTTGATCAAAAAGAAAAGAGTTCGAGTTTAGACAAGTACTCGAGCATGATGACGTCATTAGCATTTATGTAGCCAGGTAGCTACGCTAACAAGCCACGATCCACAGCACCGAGAGGACTTCGAAGGTAGCCCGGTAGTCGTGGCTGGTAAGTTGAAAGACCCCTCCTCCTGCCCCTCTTTAAGCCCCCACTACACATCACTCCTGAAGCTATGCCATGCAGTCCATGCCGGATAGGTAGAGTTTCGTATCACGTACCCCTATCCACTTGAACTTATTGTCATTGACCGCCCTTCCACTCTATTTGGTCTACGTCCATAATACTCTTCTTGAATTTCCAGTCCAGTTCAGTCCACTCCAGTCCAGTCCCAAGTTCAAAAAATAAACCGCAATATGTCTGCCCCTACCTTCCCTCCCGGCGGTACTCTGCTTCAGACTTTCAAGAAGTCCTTCGTCGACGTGCCAATCGATGCCAACAACGACAATGCCATCTCCACCACCGAGTTCCTTGACGCAGCCGAGTCTCTAACTACCATGTTTGGTTCGTCCACAACCTACAACCAAGTATAAGTAGAACTCGTTACTCACCACCGACCCCGCGTAGATGTCCTCGGATCAGTCGCTTTCTCGCCGGTCAAGTCTGACATGTTGGGCAATGTTAAGGTAAGGGCGGAACCAGACAATGTATTGGGCACCGCATGGTATTAACCCGTACAAGAAAATCCGCGAACGTCAACTCGCCGCCCCTGCCGAATCCGAGACACTACAAGCTCTCGTCATCAACGAGCTAAAAACAAAGAAGCACACCGCCACGGAGGGGCTTCTGTGGCTAACACGGTATGATGTTGCTTAGTCCCTCCTTAGACATCAAACACCAACTAATCAACTATCTAAATCAGTGGATTGGAGTTTACTTGCATCGCACTTAGCCAGAACATAGCCCAGGAAGCCGAAGAACTCTCCACCTCCTTCAGGAACGCGTACGGCTCGACTCTCAAACCTCACCATGGCATTCTCATCAAGCCTGTTTTCTCTGCCGCGATGAGTGCCTGCCCATACCGCAAAGATTTCTACCCCAAGCTAGGAGAGGACCAGGCTAGCGTCGCTTCCGAGTTGAGGGCTTACTTGGCTGCCCTCGAGAACATTGTCGGAATATTGAAGGGATTCCAGAGCCGAAAGGAGGCTAAGTGGTGATAGGGAAGCCAAGATCTCGTCCCAGGCCTACCGATTTCGGATAGCAGCGATCAAAATTATGCTGGTCTTTATATATTATCTATAGAGCACATCTGCTTCTCGATGGTTGACCAAGTGCTTTAATATAGGGCATGCCGCAAACTGTAATCAAAAGATAACATCAGCCAGGCTCCGCTACATAACGTTACCATATTACACACGTAAGGGTGCCTCGGAAAAAATCAGGTTTCGGTGAATATTCTAGCCACGGTCGACAAGTAATTGATCTTACAATGAACGTGTCCGCCTGACAAGTTGGTACGCCTCTGCCTGGGTGGGCAGGTCACTATCTGGTAGTTCTTACACGAGTTAGCTGTAAAGTATACTGAGGATTCCAACAATCACTAATTCTATCATTTTGGCGGGTGAATCTTCAAACTGGTTGAATTGGTTACTAAAATAGACTCAAGGGATGGTTTAGTTCTGGCATATGAGCCATAACAACTATCTACGAAAGTAGTGCTTAGAAAAGAAACTGTCAGCTACCTAAGGTGACGAACAACTAGATTCGTGGTAGTACACAATATTGTCATACTCCCGCAGTCTATACCGTTTAGATTGACCTAAAATATAGCTAGGATGCCTTCAATATTGCCCAGTTAATAGGGGCCGAGTTACAGGTGAAGTTTCCCGTGGCACCAACATGATCATCGACAGGGAATCTATCGCTTCATGTCAGCCAATAAATTAAGATGTAGATACGAAAGTATCGAAGCAGTTACTTACCTAATGATAGCCGAATTGATATTATCTATCACGTCCTTGCTGCCAATGTCAACCCGTGAACTTAAGCCGTCGGTACGATGAACACCAAACGCGCAAGTCCCACACACGGTCAGATAACTATATTCACTATCCATATAGTCTCCCGTTTCAAAGAAGCCCGGGTTTGCTTTGAGTTCGGTGATAATGGCGGAACAGTCGCTGCAAAGAGCCGACTCAAGAGTGGAGGTGTCTACGAAGTTGGTCTCGGCGCAGATCTCGGTGTGGTTACCATTGTGGTAGGTCTCATAGAAGCGTTTGTCGAGCGAGTCCACGTCGCTGAGAGGGGGCTTATAGGAGTCTCTAAGGTATACGTTAACTATGCTGCCATTTGGGTGCTGGACTTGGCGCTCGACAAAAGTCCCGTTGAGACCTGGGAGTTGAACTGCTGTCGCGAAGCTGGAAACGAGAAAAGCCCAGGTAGTAAATATGGATAACTGCATCGTGATCATGCTTCCTATAGCGTAGTAGTATGTTTTAACAATGTTCAGTGTGTTCGCATATGCAAGTGCGCTTCGCCGTCTTTGATATCCTGGACTTGAATAGGTAGGTAGGCAGTCTAGATTTTATAAGGACAAGTACGCATATCTCACAACTACGGTCCTACATATAAGGTGATAGTACCATGAGGCACAGAATAGATGAGAAACAATTAGTACAGAGAGCGTGCCTCATTCATTTGAGATACCTTCCTGAATAGGATGTGTTGCTCAAGTCACATGAAACCAGGTCCCTAGCAATATTCATCACATACCCAAGCCACTCAATCAAACGTAGGCTCCTAATCAATCTCATGGCCTGTTTCCTTTTATTGTGTTTTCCCTCCAACGATTAGCTCTTAAATCCCTTGCAATATTTCTCGTCCTCTGTCCCGGCCAGGTGAATGTAATTTTCCGAAGCGGGACTATACATACCTAGGCATGAACCTTGCTATCTCGCGAAGTACTATGGGATCTGAGATAACGAGGGGATCTGAAGTGTTGTTGGAGAGGAAAAATAAAACTAGTTTAATCATATACCTGTACGACCACTTTACATAAGACTTATCCCTTGCGTTAGGTATGGCACGTACCTACCTGGATATGTAATGAAATGCTATGACAGTGGCTGACTGCGATAAAATGAAGTAAATTAGAAGACAATCATGAGGTTTATTCTGGCTGGCCGCAAACTCCCCAGTACTCGTTATCATTCATCTGGATTTGAGACCAATATCTAAAAGGTCCCCAGGTAATCTTTTGGGTCCGTCTCTCCCTCCAGGATGGATAGAGATATGCTATATGTAATATATATATATATAGCTTTTCATGTCAAACTACATGTATCATTTACTAGAAATCTTCAAGTAAAGCGAAGAAGTACTAGTGCTGGACAGCACCCCTAACTTCGATCATCATCATACTCCTGCTATGGACTTCTCAGAGATTAGATCAAATCATCCCACCGCCCTTGAACTGATACGCGTTTCTACATATGAGAACGTACCTATGATGACATCTTACGGAGCGTGTCTTATTCAGGAAGGACTATGTCCCCTCCGCTAGTGGACATTCGATTATGTTACAATCTAGATGCCAAGGGCCAAAGTCGTCATTGTTCCGCCTATGATTTTATCCGCTGAATGCAGGGGCACTGAGGAGTATTAAGTTGCGGACATAGGATGTGCCAAGTCCGTGTCGCATAGGAGCCAGCCTTCCGTACCAAGTCGTAGGTCCCGTTAATATGTGTCATTCTGGAAGTCGGAAACAAGCCTGCTTGGGATATCTGGTTATTCGTTATTCCTTACCTACTTAAGACACACTAACACGCCGAATGGTAACTATGATTTACAACCTCCGGTGGACTTCTTCGCTGTCCTAATATTTAGGAAGAGATAATAGGAGTCGAACTCAGTCGGAGTTATAAACTCTGGATAAGATACTGAAGCTTCTCTATGCTCGTCAACATCGTACATTTGCCAAGCTATTCCCTAACATCACACTGCTAAGTGCCTACATACGTCAGTACTCAAGTAGATGGTTAGTAACTGGCAGGCGATATCATACCCCTACTCCTATAAGTTCTCTACAGGATGTGTAATAACTATATTCCCGATCTAGATCCTAGTTCTTTGAAGCACCTAGTAGCTGCAGGGTTGTAAATAGTAACTTCAAGTGTCGTCATAAGGACCGGAATTCTGCTTTTAGCCATGATACGAACCTATTATACCATTGGTTAGAATCTTCAGTATGCTGCATCAATATAATATTCCAACGATCTGGAAATGACCCCTGGCTATCACATGGCTCCTGAGCCTGTCCATATTTCTGAGGGTCGGTCTTGAGATTTTTTTCTTTTTGTTTTATTTAGATGCCGCATACACTGACAATATCAAGTATGGTGCTATAATATTTCTAACCTACTCCAATTGTACTTACATTCCGTTTGCATTTCCTCACGATGCTTGTCAGTGTAGCCAACATTGTGGTGGGGTTCATTGTGTTGTTTGTATCTGCTGCTCCTACGTGCCCGCTCGATGGACCTGCTTTCCCCAAACCTCTTCGTCTTTCCGAAAATGAGGCGGTTAAAACTGCCGTAGCAAACTTGCAGGAAAAGTTCGTTAATATCACGGCAGGGGCTCAGAATTATTCCATGTCGATACAAGTCTTCTCAGCCAACGACCCAATACCCCTATTCTCTTTGTCGCATACGGCACCGAGCCTCGCAAGCCAAAATACAACTGGAGTAAAAACGGTGGACGAAAACACTATATTCAGACTCGGAAGCCTGACTAAAATTTACACGATATACGCCTTCTTGATCAATGCGGGCGATAGCCACTGGAACGAACCTATCACCAGATACATACCCGAACTACAAGCACTAGCTAATCGATCGGACCCTGTAAACTATGTAGCATGGGATGAAATCACTCTTGGAGGGCTAGCAACGCAATTGACAGGAATTCCGCGTGAATGTTAGTGCCAATATTGAGCTCGGGTAGCGTACAGCTAATCGAGGGCAGATGCGTTACTTGGAGAACTTACACAGTCAAGAAAAACAAGGGGCCAAGTGATCCAGCTTGGATTTCCACCTTTATCCCAGGATCAAAAACCTCCAGTAAGTGGGTCGAGAAGCTATGATAATCAACTCCTAATTGGAGCTCGCGGTTCAAAGTAGCACTCAATGTTGACGTTACGTACGACAGTGCGGAGCGTTTCCAACCTGTGATCGAGCACGTAAGTTACAAATCACGCACGGGATGAGTATCAGGTCGTTGACAAAGATCTCAAGAATTTTTCCAAGGAATTGGCTTATTCTATCCATCTTTGGCACCTTTTCAGTCGCCAGCGTACTCCAATGTCGCATTCCAGCTCCTGTAAGTATATAACAGGGTTCACCGAGTCGAGAACACAGTTGACAGAAGTTTCCAGAGGCTACGCTCTCGAAACGATCACGGGAAGGGCTTTCCAAACTCTATTGGACGAAACAGTAATCAAGCCATTGGGATTGAACAATACATTTCTTCGAGCTCCAGAGGATTCACGGGGAATCATACCTGGTGATCACGTCACAACGGGATGGGCATTTGACATAGGTGAATCGGCCGCGTGAGTATATGGTATAATCCAATCATGGCGGTAGACGTTAATGTGAGCAAAGGACTGGAAATATGTATGCGTCGGCATCAGATTTATCTGCCTTAGGTCGAGCAATCCTCAGTCATAGATTGCTTTCACCGGTTACGACCCGCCGCTGGCTAAAGCCGTTTGCATTTTCGTCGGACCCGCTAGCTATGGTCGGTAGTATGTAACATCGAGAGCTATTCAACCTAGTTTCCCCTTACCCCTTTTACCCCTATTCTATATCTCGTTGTCCGTACCAAAACTCAGATCCTTCCTATATGGATCAGCCCGAAGACATTTTAAATCTCCTCTACCTCTCAACTGAAAGAATTAACAACTAATTCCTATTACTCAGTGCCTTGGGGGGCTAGGAGGATTAAGTTGGAAGACACATATCGATATACTACGGCTTTTAACAAAGCTGGAAATATAGGAGACTATTCAGCCCTCTTGGCCATATTACCGGATTTTGATATAGGAATATCGATTCTTCTCGCCGGTGATCTCCCTGGCAATGCTGGATTTGGTCTTGCTGGTACGCACATCACGATACACAAAACAACATGAAAACGTGAGAATGCTTACTTCGAGACAGATATCATCGGAGAATCTCTTCTTCTATCGATAGAAGAAGCTGCTCGATCTGAAGCGGGTTCATTATATGCTGGTCATTACGTTTTCCCGGACGGAAAATTGAATTCATCGATGACAATTACTACTGACGAGCTCCCTGGGTTAAGCATTTCCCAGTGGTTCAGCAACGGGACAAATTTTGCTCGGATAGCTACAGCCCTACAGAACCAGTACACCCCAGTCACTCCGCGCATTAGGCTTTATCCAAGCGGACTTGAGGGACCTGCTGAGGATGGTGGAAAGCGCGTTGCCTTCAAAGCAATGTTCGAAGATGCGGACGCCCCGAGAAACGACAATAAGATGTTCTCGACTGAGTGCGGGTCGTGGGTCTCGATCGAGTCGGTGATATACGGATCGGCAGCTATGGACGAGCTCATTTTCAACCTAGATTCTGGCGGCAAGGTTGTTAGTGTTACATCCCCATCGTTGAGAGTTACCTTAAACAAAGAATAATATTGTATTTATTCCTGTCAATTGTGTATCACATTCACGAGACGTATACATCATAACCATGTTTCTACCTATTGTGAAAAAGATCGGGAAGTCAGGGCCGGGTTCTTCGTTAGCCCCCTTTTCTTTCTTTTCCATCTAGAACTACATAGGTAGAATGGCATGGATGCAAATTTCTATAACATTGATTATAGACCTTGGTTGGGACACCGATGGTGATATTTACGAATATCCCTCTTACATACCTACTTGATGACTGAATGTCGCTCGTCCACCCCATATGCATTACGATTGTCTGTCTATCCTACCTAGGTAAGCCTTGAGTTAAGTGAAAATAACCTATGAGGAACTAATCCCACTAACAAATACCTTTTGGGAAATTATTGCTCGATTGCACACTGGTGAGGTAAAAATGGGGAATCAGACAAGATGGTCTGATTTATCACCTCTGCTCCGCTACGTTGGTTTCCCATCTCGGACTGAAGCGGAAATTTCAACTTGTCCGGGATCCGCAGCAAGCGGTAGATATATTTCATATATCCTCAATATTCTAAATCATCATTGCTCACTTGAGCTTCAATAAAATACCCTACCTACATCATACTTTGGAGGTCCCTTACCTCTAGACTCTCACAGTAAACATACGAAATCTCTCTTCAACAATCCGAAATCACTTCAGCACCAAATATGCCTTTCTTGTCAACGCCCTTAACGCTCTCGGCCACTGGGGGTATCCTAGGTTCTGCTTGGTTGTCAGGTTGGTTTATGAAGGTTCCCTGATTAGAGTAGACCGAGTCTCACGCGATTACGATATATAGGGAGTATCGGAGCATTGTCTATCTGCGCGGTGCCTGCGATTCTTCAGAGCGGGACCACAGTGGAAGGACTTCTCAAAGGTTGGCACCTGCAATTTAGTAGAGGGATGCACTACATACCAACAACAAGTGCCTTCATTGCCCTAAACTACATATGTCTAGCGCACAGACACAGAGTGCAGGGCCTGGAGTGGAGAGGATTCGCGGCGGGAGCTGTATCCAATCTATTGCTGGCCCCGTTTACGCTGCTATTTATCGGAGGAATCAACAACATCATGATAACAGCTATGTCGGGCACCGGCAAACCACTTAGCCAAGAGGCTGTTAGGAAATTGATCGATACATGGGGAGGCTTGAATGCTGTTCGACTTCTTATGCCGTTGGCGGGTGCGGTGCTGGGCTTCTGGAATCTACTTCAGTAATTACCTGGGTTTGGGAAGCTGGAATGATTAACTTTGTAAATATATGTCAAGATTAGGTAAAATATTCGTAATGCTACTCCTCACTGTAGATTTACACACTAACGGGCTGTAAACGATGGACACAAGTGCGCCAGTGTCGAGAATTTAAGATATTTGGAGCCTGGACGTAGCTATGCTGGGAAGAGAGGGCTGAGTACATATAAACTCCAATAGACGATACGATGGCATGTTCAAGCGCCCTTACTATAAACCCACGAGCTCACACCAGAACCTCAAGCCTCATAGACCTAGACACTGTTTCTACCGAGACAGCGCTAGCAGCAACGGCCCCAGTGTCATCATGCGGCTCCATCTCGACTTCTTCGCCTGCCGCCACCTCTCGGGAAGCTTGATGAGCCCTACGCCTCGTACCGAGACCGAGGGTTCGCAAAAACTGCGCAAGGTTGCTAGACGCCGCGGGCCTGTGAAATACTTCTTGTATATTTTCTAGGGAGCGGCCGCGGGTTTCGGGCATGTAGGCGGCGAGCACAACAACGGTGCCGAGGGCTAGGCCGCCGAATAGAAAGTAGGCGCCGAAAGCAGACGCTTCCAGAAGAATCGGGGTCAGGATAGCCACTAGGAAGTTTGTGCCAAAGCACAAGCCCATGGCGACGTTGTTTGCTGCCGCACGCGTGTGTCCTGGCTGGATCTCGCTGGCGTAGATCTTCCCAACGATTCCCCAGGTCGCGCAATACGTCAAGCCGAACACGAAGACGGCTATGATAACGAGCCATCTAGCGATGCCGTATGGGTGAACTACGCCTGCCGCGTAGAGACCGCCCATAAGAAACATGCAACTAGCTAGTGTGAGGCCGCCAGCGATGGCGGAAGTGCGTCTCCCCCACTTGTCAGCGAGCAAGAAAGCTGGGATAGAGATGGCGAGCATCAAGATAGACGAAAGGCCTGAAGCCAAGAAAGAGGCATTATCTGATGACAGCCCAGCTTGCTCGAAGAGAATAGGTGCATACTGAGTGGTAAGATATATTAAAACTTTGCGGGCCGTTTGAGGCAAAAAGGGAAATACTTACGTAAGTGATAGCATCTATACCCGACAGCTGGACCATACCGAGGATGAACAAGGCGAGTATCGTACGGGCACGATAACCCCTTCTGAATAGAAGAGAGAAACTTTGCCAAGGGGACAGACTGGGCGTTTGTTCGGTGGTTGTTAGGAAATCTCGCTCGGCTTCGACCATGTTGAAATCAAGTCGTTCCAATGCTCGGAGTGCGTCGGCTTGCCTCCCCTTTAGCATGAGCCATCTTGGGGAATCCGGGAGTAGAAGACAAGCCCAGGAGAGAACGGCGGAGAAGAAACACTGGACAATGTACGGTAAACGCCATGCCATATCCGACTTGATATTAAGAGTACCATAGCACGTGAAATATCCAAAGCAAACTCCAGCTGTGGCCATAAACTGAGGCAACCCCGCCAACGCTCCACGGTATCTAAGCGGCGCGATCTCGCAAATGTATACGCTGATGTTGCTGAGAAACACGCCTTGTCCGAAGCCAGCAATTGCTCTGCCGGCAATGAATTGCGGTAAGCCGTGGGAGAGTCCTTGTACCAGCGCGCCTATACCGAACAGAAGCGCGCCGGGAATAATCACGGATATCCGCCCAAATTTGTCTGAGAAATGCCCGGCGAAGACGGACGGAAGTGTACCCGTCAGCATGATCATCGAGACCGTGATCCCTAGCATTGTAGATGAAAGTTGTCCTATGGATTCGGCAAATTGGGGCATATGCGTGATGGCACCAATTGACCCCGTGTCGTATCCATTAAGTAGACCTCCCAATGAGACCGCAACCGATGCCATCACGTATCGTGGTGCGAAGTATGGATAGGGTGAAGAGGGCGATGTTGATGCCATGGTTACCTAGGTTAGAGCGCCCAATTACTTTGAATGAATTGATGATACTGAGGAATAGAAGGGAGCAAGGAAATACTTTACCTCTACAACAAATGTGATCCCTTATTTATAATATAGCTTCTTCGTATGCAGATAGGTAAGTAGGAAAGTAAGTTCATCACCGTAAGACCTAAACTCTTTCCGTCCAATCTAGGTTATAACGGCCGACTCCCCGCATTGTAACATCGTTACATGCTCCATCCCTTAAGTCCCTCCCCCCTCTTCCCCATCGTGATTCCCGCCGGCGCCGGAGGTCTGGAGTATCCACCCACCGGGGAAAGATCCGTATTCTTGTGTTCTCCCCTGCATCCGCCCAAACATTTCTCGGTCTCCCACCGTATTTAGCGTCTACGAGTCTCTGCTGCCGACGAATGAGATATCAATGCTTTGTCGGCGTTACACCATATTATGCCCCTCAAGGCTTTTGCAAATTCCAGTCTTCCAAAATATGTGTAATGGGTGATTAGTAATATAAAACTGTGAATAGGCCCCTGTTTTAGCAATTGAGAATAATGATTTCGAATGGAATCATTGGTGGTGGTAATACGGTGAGTCAACTGTTGACTCACCTTGGGATTGATAGTTTGTGCTCAACCGAGAACGGCGGCGTTGAAGAGAGCAAAATTTTAACAACGCCCCGAGTCGCGCCCCTTTATATTGGGTATAAACCGGGAATTGATGGTGTTATCAATATCAAACATGGACGTCTTGTATTTACAAAGCAGCGCATCGATCATAGATGGGCCCTACCCTCTAGCCGTCTTCTCCTTCTCTCCGCTTTGACGGCCCTCTTGAGCTTGGCCGCTTCTTCATTATTTAGCTTAGCCTCGGCTTTGCTTTCCGGACTGGTGGCTTCCTCAAACAGCTTCGACCCCAAGGTATCCGCCAGCCTGAGCACGCGAGTACTAACTGTCGCGCCGTCTCTCCGGTTTTTCCCTTCCCGTCTACTCGCTGCAATGCGCTCGATGAAGTTCCACAATCTACCTGATGGCTGTAGTGCACCGGACTTCGTCGGGTCACGAGAGGGCATCCACTCAGAGGCGAGACGTAGGCGAGGTGGTGTTTTCGAATCTTTCGATTTGACAACGTAAATGATGCCTTCCTCTTCAAAGCGCTGATACGAATTCTTCAGCGTTTCCTTGTTAACAGCTTCAAAATAGCTCAGGTCGCCCTGATGGTATAGAGTTTTGCCTAGCTGTTACGGTGTTAGTCTTGGTGTTCTTATTTTGAGGCAACGTCTTGGTCATCTGCTTACTAGTTGCGTAGTATTTTGCGCCTTCGCAACATCAATCCAAATTGCGTCGCCATCTTTCTGTTCGAGAGGAGGGGTAAGTCCCATGAGCGAAACAGCAGCAAGCCAAGTAGACTCGATAAATGGCCAGATTAAGAAGCAATAGAAGTCGTAGTTTTCTCTACCAGCGGCTCTTTCTTCATTTGCAAGCCCGATGCTTAATATACCGCCTTGCTCATCTCTCTTGAGGTCAAGTACACGGTCGTTTTCCAATCCGACCAATGTCTTCTCCAAATTGGCTGCTAATCCTTCACCCGGAAAGATGAATTCCCCACGGAATAACGATGAAAGGAACAGAACTTGCTCTCGCAAGGTACTGTAGGATATTTCCTGATGAGCTGGGCCCCCACCTAACTTCACACGTGTATACATGCTGGCGCTAATGAGTGCTTCTGAGATAAAGAGGTGAATCGTCATGTTTCGATCTATAAGATGTTAGTATTATCTTGAGAGGTGAATACAGAAGTTTAAGCATGTCCTAAAGATGATGATTGTCGTGAAGAATTGACCAGAGTCGGGGACGAGCGTAATTGGGAAGAGACTCACAAAAGGAGAGCTGAAATCTATCCACTGCATAATAGGTTGGCTCTGCTAGTCCTTGAACCACGCCAACTAGGTCCTTTCCGAGGACATCCAACCCTCGTTCAACGACATCAGATAATGGGGCATTTCCAAAGTGTGCGACACGGCCCCCTTTTGCTCCCACACGGGCAATGAGCCATTCGATCCTCCTCATAAGTTCTGACATACCTACGCCTCGACCTCTTAGGGTAAGCAATACGGTTCCGATCAAAGCCGTTGGCATTACCACGGACACGTTGTTGATGTCCGATAGAACTTTGTATCCCATAGTTCTTAGCAGCTTCTGTTTGATAGCGGCGTTTTCCGGGCTCTTGACATCAAATCGTAAAGTGGTAGGTGATACGGCGAGTTTTGTCAACTGTTCGTCGATATACTTACGTAAACTCCAAGGCTCGTGGAAACGAACGTCTACCCTTCCTAGTCGCAAAGACAAGACGGACGAACCGCCACTCAAAAAATCGGCCAAATTTTCCTTCTTTTTAGGAACGCCCAAAAGCTCCGTGACGTAGCCTTCTGTCTCGATAACTTTGTCGTACTGCGTGCTCACGGGACATATGATAGCATCTTCGACTCGACCTGACAAGAGGCTGTCCAGGATGAAGCTCAGGATACCAAATTTGGGAGGAAGGAGCTTGCCTGTCCTTGAACGACCACCCTCTATGAAACACTCGAAATTATATCCTCCTTGGAGGAGGGTATCTATGTAAGCTTGTACAAGTGTTGTGTAAAGCGTGTCATTCCCGAAGGACCGTCTAATCCACATTGCGCCTTGGGCAGTAAGTTGGTTTAATGTTCAACTATCTTAGCAGATATGGTATAGACTTACCTGCATGTTGTAGAAAACTTCCAACGACCGGAAAATTAAGATTATCCCCTGCGACGACAACGGGTAATGCTAATCCCAGACGGTAGCAAATTAATTGCATAGAAACGTAATCAACGTGAGATCGGTGGGAAGGCAAGAATATGATGCTTTGCTTCTTTGCCTCTGCCACCTCGGCTACTTTTCTTAATCTCAAAACCTCTTCGCTGGAGACATGTATCCCTACTCAACCGGTTAGCACGGCCGACGAATATGATGCCAGATGCCATTGAGCGCCCACCTTGATGATATGCCCTTGTAAGCAACTGTGTAACCAAATAGTATGCTCCTCTGATGAAGGTTTTACTCTCGAATTTGCAAATCATATCATTCGTCATCTTTTCCGCGACTTCTCGAATGCCCGCCTCTATGACAGCTCGCCTTTGGGCCTTCTTAATAATGAAATCTTTGTCATCTTCCTTAAACCATCCTTCATTCTCCTCGAATTCCAGTCGCTTGTCGGCTAGCTGGGATATTCGGGCCTGTAAAAGGGGTGCGGATACGACGGAGTTTTTAATCTGTTCGGAGAAGCCAGAGTAAAAGATTGGTTGACCGATGACCTTGTCGTAAGCTCGCCATCCTGTGCCGGAAACGTATAAGGAAACTTCACGAAGAAATCTACATAGGCGAGAACTTAACGAGTTTTCTAATAACATATAGTAGGACCTAAGGTAGGGCAAATAGATAGAGGGGAAGAGGATAGGGTAGCATACTGCAGAGGCTCTGAGCGGAAGCGAGCCATGTTATGCATCAAGGGTTCTTCTTGACCATCCTCGCGGCGAGCTTCGACATAGCTCCTCGGCTGGAGGGTAATCTGGTCACCTAATATCTGCAAATCAGGCGCAGAGTCGCGCGTCGGATCATCTTGTTGCGCCATGATGCTATTCTCGTGGGCGAATATGGGATCGATGGAACGGACACTTTTCGTATCGGCTGCAGCTGAGGATCTCTCAGCAGTTCGGGAGAATTACATGCTAAACATTAACGGCATGGTTATAGGGATGACAAGAAAGAGAAGAAAGTATTGGATTATACTTCGTACTAATCGGTATACATGGGTGCTCCTTTCCTGGAGGAAATGGGTCCGTGGATGACAGCTAAGGGCGTTGGAGCTTCCTCCTGCAGCAGCAATTAAGCTCTTAGGGCCGTTGAATGCCGAGGCTTCTAGGCATGTGAATTAACTTTAAGTCCCTGCAAGGCCACCCGCTGTCTCCACTAATTTATCTAGTAGCTAAAGTTGGGATTCTATCTTAGAAATCTTCAGCACCCAAACTTCGTCATAATTATTGACACATCGTTTCCCCAATTCCGAAAACAACATCGAAAATATCAACATGACATCAAATAATACCAATACTAGTAATAACCAATCTTTAACTCACGAACTCCTCTCCCGCGCCCACAGTCCAGACAGTACGAACCGGATCTTCGCCGATAAAATTCAACACCGGCCTCTCTTCCTGAAGCCGACCTCCCCCCCGCCCTCCTCAAATGCGCGCGATGCACGGCGGAGAGCCCGCGCCGAAAAGCGACAGCGCGCGAAAGCCCTAAAACCAAAACCCTTATCCGCGCGTCAGCGACGCAACCTTGGACTCTATGATATACCCAGGGACGGTCAGAAGTACGCCGTCTTCGAGCCACTAAACCAGCTCTGGCTCGGTTACGCCCGTGAAATTCTTGGCAACGAACTGTATAGCGGCGGGCAGGGCGCCGCGGCTAAGCTGAGCGCTGCTGATTTCCATGGTGCCGAAGTCGAGGTCTCCCGTAGTGGCTGTCCCAGTCGCGTTGGTATAAGAGGCATCATTATCAAGGATGCGCGCTTTGTCTTCGAAATAATTACGAGGAAGAACCAGGTCAAGACTGTACCCAAAGAGGGAACCATATTTCGTATCAATGTTCCTTCTGCGCAGAATCAGGACCAAGGAGATGCGACCGTTCAAGATCGGAAACCCTTTACGTTCGAGTTACACGGCGACCAGTTCCAATACCGGTCAGCAGATCGCGCGAATAAAAAATTCAAGCCACATTACTTGAAGAACCTTTGAGGCTATCAAGGATATTCTAGCATATCTGCATATACGCTTAAGGTAGAGATCCTGTACGAGCGTATGTATCATCATGTTAGGAGCTACCTCTTGTCAGGCCCATCTATAGAGGAGCAGTCACTTTGCCGACAGCCAGTGCTGATCGGAAATCTCGTGATACCCATATCATCGATATCCGACAGTACTTTAGGACCTCTAGGCATATCGGAGACGGGTCATCGCACTTAGCCCGGAATCTTTGCGCTGGGTGTGCCGTATTAGAGACCGACATGGAATACTCACGCTTACGCCGGTATTAGTTTATATTCTCTGACATCGGGGAGCAGCCTACGGGAATAAAGGGGCACACTCTATAGTACCGCCCACTCGACCTTCACTCACCTCAGTTTATCATTATCTTGAAGAAACACCCACCTTTGTGTTCTATGACTCACTGTTTCATATCCCTAGAAGTGGGTTCTGGCCAAGAAGGATGTTATTCGGAATAACAGACGCGTGCCGACAATGGCATTGGAGAGCAAGTGCTCTTCTTCTACCAGAAAGAGTAGCTTAATTACTGGCTATAAGGGGAGGAACATCGCCTAGGTTTCTGGTAGTTCTATGCCTCGCGAGGACGACGGAAATAGCCGTACCAATTCGACAGACCTAGAATCCTAGTCAATACTATGAGCCCTGATTATCACATAACTAAGGCTCAGTGAACACACTATCATTTGAAGGGCGTGCCAAGTCAAACCATATAGCGCAACAGAAAAAAAATAATCTATGTAGGTGCACCTAGGTAGTCAGTCATGTGTTGGCTCTACCGGGTTGGCTCATCATAGACTAAGATATAATCTGGTTTACCCCTTGTACTTGGCTAGTGCTGTCGATATGTTAGGCATGAAATACACAATCCGTCATTCTTGACATACTGCCACACCAAAGGCGATGATAGAAGCCGTAGGTAAATTAAGTGGTGAACTAGATATCAACTTAGAATCGTACTATTATCATTCTAGATGAGAAAAGCTCATTATTCATATACACAAGGCAGACAAGGCCACCTAGGTAGACGCTTCGCTTCATAACTCCATACGCTCAAGTCAGTCTACCTAAGCACCGCACCCCAAAACCCAATAGTATCCTTTACGCGGGCACGGCAGCCGGCAAGCCTGCCTCCTCAAGCAAGATCTGCATGGCCTTGAACAGCTGCTCGTCGTGGTTTCTGGAGAGACAAGGCACACATTAGCTTAGTCCTCTTGGGCATTTTAGAAAGTCGCCACCATTCTAGCAAAATCAAATAAACTCGGATTGACTCACCTCCTCCCAACGAGCTGGAGAGAAATTGGCGCGTCCTTGTAACCCTCGGCGCCGTTCTGCCTCCACAGATCGTAAACATATTTATCCTCCTCGCCGATGGGCTTGTAGTCTTCGGGGTACTCAAACGGCTTCTCCCTCTCCGGCGCGTCAACCCTGTCCGCGACGGGAAATACAATGGCAGGATAGTCTAGCAGGTTCCATTGCGAGGTATAGCCCCAGTACCTACTAGTCTCGAGCTTGGGGGCGACGCCGAAACCCGTCGGGCACAGGATCACGTCAATGGGCCTCCCTTCTGGGCTCGACCTTGCCGTTTCATTCCACAGCTGCGCATACTTCGTTCGGTACTCCTCGCGCGCCGAAACGGCTTCCCATAGGGAGGCGATAGTATGCTCTTTGACATGAGGGTTATCGAGGAGGATGAACTTCGATAGGGGAAGCCACGGCTCTCCTGACGATGCGATCGCGGCCTTGACATCCGCACCGCCGTCGGCGAAGTATAAACTTGCCTATGTTCTATATTAGACGTAGTCATAGCATACCAGACAAGTGAGGTGAGGGTAGAAAGGAGAAACATACTATGATAGACCACGCAAGATCGTGTTTCCATGGGTTCCAATCCACGACTTCTATGTTGGAACTCTGTTTTAGTTTGGCGACAAGCTCGGTAAGAGCTCTTAGAATAGGTGGATGCGGTCTGACGACGTTATCACTGTAGATAACACCTACTCTGAGCTTTCTATCCGGAAAAAACTCAGCCGAGCTCTTCCAGTCCATCGCAGTTAGACTTGGCTGCCTCAACCAAGGCTTCTGATCCACGATCACCTTGGAAAAGAGCCTTAGGCCCTCCAGGCTTGTCGATAGAGGGCCCGTAGTGCCGAGAATAGACTCTGCTCCATGCATAGCGACAGCCCACCCATCGCTCGGCAGGCGTAGGCACGTAGGCTTGTAGCCAAATACGCCATTATTTGCCGCTGGTGATCTGATAGATCCGCCGATGTCACTCCCAATTCCGAGGATCGAGCCGCGGAGCGCGACCAGCGCGCCCTCTCCACCCGAAGACCCTCCGGCAGTAAGAGTAGTGTTGTGGGGGTTTACGGTAGCTCTTAGTAAATATCAGTCAGCCGGATCCTGAGATACCTAAAATGTCCCCCTTGAGATATAGATGAGCTGGCGACTGCGATTTCTACTTACCCGTACAAATTACTACTCGTCTCGAGATGCATCAACGTCTGCGGCTGCGTAGTCCTTGCGTAAAATACTGCGCCGGAATTCCAGAGATACTGCAAAATTAACGAATCCTCTTCAGGCACTTGCCCGACCCAGCCGACGAAGCCCGCATTTGCATCTTCGCCCTTGAAGCCCATGTGCTCTTTAACACTAATAGGGACACCGTGTAAGGGACCAATCGGTTTCTTATAGGTAGCTAGATATTGATCGAGTTCGGCTGCTCTTGTTAAAGCTTTCTTTGGAAGCAACTCTGTGATACAATTTGCAAGCTTCTGAGCGAGACCGGCTCGACGCAAAAAAGCGGTTGCAACTGCTGTCGAGGTCCATTCTCCTGAAGCTATCTTTTTGACGAGTTCCTCGACATCCGTTCCCGTTACCTCAATCTCTTCCTCCGTCAAGAACTTCTTCGGAATTGCTGTCGTATTCAGAGGCCTTTCTTCCAGACTCAATTCCGGTACCGGGGGATGGACTTCCGAGATGGTTGTGTCCCTATACCGTTGCCGGTCGGCCGCGACATCTTGCCAAGTTGCCCCATTAGCAATTGTTACGGTGGCAGGAGCCATACTACTCGTAGAATCCGAATGTAAGCTCTTGAGATAGATGATTGAGTACAGTCCGGATTGAAGTTGGAAGAGATTCAGACCAAGTAATGAGCCTACACTCACATTCTAGCTACATAGGGGGCTAAATCACATCCTATATAGGAAAGGACTCCTGCGCACGATACCCCATGTGGGTAGTAGCTTTACCTATTGAGCTATCAGCATGGTTACCCCCGTGGTGGTAACAACCGAGGAGTAGAATGAAGTACAAGAGATAGCGATCCGGTAGTGGACCTGTGTGGTGTGTGATTGATAAGTTAGACCCATGCAAAAGTCCGGGTCGACACTGCATAGACTGCCAGTCAACTTGCCTATCTAAGAGCCGACTAGGCTTCCTCCGAAGAGCTAGATAAAGATAGAAATGACACACCGGATCTATTTCATAACCAAATACAACGTCAATGATTATACCATCTATGGTGAGTCAGACGTTAAGTGGTTTGATGATCGACATCGACATGAATAAGGTAGATATAGACGTCTCGAAGGTGATATTTCTCCCTTTTTTTGGTCTTTCCCCGTCCTCGGACATATATTGTACGAAAGCAAATAATCAACTCCCCTATACATATTCATAAGATATAAATATTACTTAGATAATGGGGCATGATGTAATCATGGCGTCTGTATGATTTTCTTGGATGTTTTCTTGATCTTCTGTGTCAAGACGAAGAACTTCAGCGACAGGAAATATATTTAGTCCCGTCCACGAAAGAAAATAGTATCTACGTTTAATCGGGGAGAGGAATAGTATGGGAAAAAGGGTAAATGAAACACAACGTTCGGGAAACTATTTACTCTCAACCACAGCTAAGACCTCTAAGATGAGGTATACCTACTTCAGCTTCGGACGCTAAGAGCCAGAAAGGTAGGCTCATGAGTCAAACCTGAACGTGTTGACCTACCAGAGCTTGGACTATTGGCCTGGCCCGTTTTGCGAGAAGTTCATGCTATAGCCGCCGGTATTCTCGTCCTTAACCATTTGGAAATTATCCGTGCTGAGTCCGAATGGTTTCAATATACCATTCCCAAGCTTAGCGTATTCGATTAGTAGGTTGTTTCAAGCGTCATGTCGAACTTCTGTGCTGAGTACTCACATCCTTTAACTTCCCCCACATCTCCGACATCTCCTTCTCCTGAGCTGCCTTGGTTCTTTGCGGCAGAATCTTCAGCTGAGTCTGAACGATCTTCCGATCTGCACCACTGAGGTTCGTCATCGCCGATAAGATCTTGTAGTCCTCCTCGGCACCAGCAAGGTTTGACCAGCCACCTAGCTCACTTCTTGCCCTGGCTCGTCTCATCAAGGCCTTAGCCCTAATTCGGAGGATATCATCTTGTCGTTTCCGTCTCATAACCTCGGCAGGGCTTTCTTCTTTTATCACAGACGCGCTTTTCTGGGCCCCGGAGCTGACAATTTCCTCTTCGACTCCATCGTTCTCGACGTTGTTCTTATGCTTCTCTTCTGCATTTTGCTCCTCGCTAGCTTCGGCCTTCTCTAAGCGACTTAAGCCATCTATAGCGTCGGTGGCGGATTTTATTGCTTCCTTCCATTGGTCAAGTTTAATGTGGCATGCAGCAATGTTGGATTTCAGAACAGCAAGTTCGTAGTCTAAGTAGTGCGGACATATCGAAGTGGCCTCTTCGTATTTGGTAATGGCATTCTCGTATTTCGCTGAAGAGAACAACGCATTCGCTTCGGATTTCTTGTCGTTGGATTCACTCAGAAGACTCTAAAGAATAAAACCACCAGTTAATAGAAGTCGAGGGAGAATTAGTTAAAAGTGATGGACATGCCGTTTCTTCTTCGGGGGTAAACTTCTCAGGTGTTATGAGCTCGTCATCGTTGTCTTCGTTCTCGGATTGTAATTTGGTCTGGTCGGCTTTTGTCTCCTTTGTCTTCGGTAAGTCGGCCATATTTTCGCACCAGGAAGTTGTTCGTAGTAGAGAATGAGGCTATGGATATAGTAAGTTAAAAACAATTAAGGGATGGTTTAATCTTGCTTTTATACCTCCTTCCTGGGTACTTCCGTCAGCCCTACATATGGCCCAACCTTACTTGAGGAAGCAGTTTCCAACAATATGCAAACAAAGGGGCACTTACAACCCGGATCTCTGGGTTCGTTCTAAATGTGGGGTTTACCCCGCAGGGATTCCCCGCCATAAATTCAATTAAGAGTAATGGTACCTGACTCCGCCTGTAATGACTCTCCGAGGTTCTGTGATAACTTCAGTTTTTACTCCTAAACCACCGTACCCATGTTTTGTAATCCACTCCAAGTCACATATAAAGCCTTTTAAGACATCTATAAAACGTTTTAACCATCTAGAATAACTTATTACCACCACGTCGTAATAGTAAACATCCAACCTCACACGATGGCGACTCGCACGGAGCAAGTTCCCCCGTTTGCAAATAGTCATAGTCCAAAGCTAATGTTCGACTATTTCCCATTAGCTTCCCACCCATAAGAGCCTGTCTATTCGATATGGATGGTTTGCTTCTAGATACTGAAGACTTATATACCCTCTGTATCAACCTTATCCTTGAGAAGTACGGAAAGACGTCGCTTCCCTGGTCCATTAAAGCGAAGCTGCAGGGACGGCCCGGTCCCGAAGCGAACGCCCTTTTCCACGATTGGGCCAAGCTGCCCGTGTCAGATTCCGACTACCTTTCAGAGTTAACGGCCCTACAACAGCAACATTTTCCAACGGCTAAGCCGTTGCCGGGAGTCGAGAAACTGCTCAGCGACTTGGGGAGGACGAGATGGTGGGATCTTAAGGATCAAAGCGGCGTGAAAAACGGGGAGAAAGGTACGAGTGACGGTCAGAAGGTGCACAGAGTCCACATCGCGCTGGCAACAAGCAGCACGTCAGCCAATTTCGCCGTCAAAACTTCCAAGTGGACTGAACTGTTCTCTGTGTTCGAGTCCCACAGAAGAGTCCTAGGCGACGACAAGCGCATCCAGCCTGGCCGTGGCAAACCGCTCCCAGATATCTACCTGCTAGCGCTGAAGACGATCAATGAAAGCCTAGAGGAAGGTGATAAGCCAATTACACCTGAGGAGTGTTTGGTCTTTGAAGACAGCGTTCCAGGCGTCGAAGCTGGCCGACGTGCAGGCATGAGGGTTGTTTGGTGTCCTCACCCGATGCTGAAGAAAGAATATGAAGGTCGAGAAGCGGAGATTCTCGCTGGGCGTATGGGAGAAGCAGGCCAAGTCGATGTGCATCAATTGGGGGAGATTGATGATGGATGGGCTGATTATTTCCTCAATCTGACCAATTTTCCATATGATAAATATGGAATAACAATTCCACCTGCCGAAGTAGAGCTAGCCGCGTCTATGAAGGAAAATACCGACGACGGGATTGTTACTCAGGAAACTCAAGGCACAACGACGTAGGCATTGAGATGACGACGAATAGAACTTAGAATGTATTAGCATTATTGCTCATATAGAGCTTCAATATTATATAAGAGATAGAGAGAGCCTAGATTCTTACTTGGCCTTCATACTGGTATTCGTGGGTAGTGACCACCCCCCTAATCTACTCTGTGTAGATATAAATACACGGTATAATTTGATAGACAATCCGTGTCCGAGACGAATGTAGTGCATTCTGAGGATAACCAGGGTAGTTTTTCAATAAATATCCCATAAGCTAATTTTCCCGTCCTTACTACCGGCCGCTAGCCAATGAGCCCCTTTTGCCATCTTTATCCGCCGATCTTTAACACTCAGTTGGCCTGGCTTTGGTAAAGTCGATGTATGAGTTGCATCCCTGTTGTCTAGGATAGTAGAAGTAGCTAGTCCGCTTTTTGGGTTCTCATTGGTCTCTTCCTTCCGAGTATTTGACTTCATGGGGTCTAAGGATTGCTCATCAATCAATATGGCGAAAGCAACTGCGTAACAGCCGACATCGTGCCACTTCAACACCGCTAGCTCCGACATGGTCTTCGTTGAATATACACGCACTTTTGAGTCCCATCCTGCCGTCGCAAAAATCTTACCGTCGGATCGGATACGGAGACTTTGTTGTCCCGAGTGCTTAGTGTTGATAGTTTTCAACGGTTGTGTTTCGATGCTTGGTCTTGTTTGCCTAGGGGGTATAACCCTAGGCGCTGATGAAAGAGTAGCAGAGAGTAGTGATGGGTCGGGATCTTTAGCAGTCTCGTTGCTGGTTTGTCTTGTGCCCTGTGACTCCTTAACCAAAGAAGCTGCGGTAGGAATCGGATGTTTCGCGATGACGGCATCAGCACCGGAAGTCAAGAAAAAACAATTATGGGGATCCACATCCAGTGAGAGCACCGGTTGACTATGCACTTGTGCTCTATATAATATGTCCCACGTTTCACCTCTTCTGAGCTGCGCTAGCACTGCGAGGCCAGATTCATAGGCAGCAACAAGGGTAAGGTATCCTTGGTGCCAGAACAGACGTACCGACATGACCATACCCTTGTTGTCTGTATTGCTTCCCAGATGAGCAGTACGTTGCCGGCTTTGACTGGGAAGATGGAAAATATCGACCTACCTGGGGCGTGAGAAATATATTGCCTTCTAGGATAAGTTTAGAACTTACAGCTTCGGACTCCAGCGTGTTAGGAACCGCAATGAGGAGTTCATCTTGAGCGGTATCCGACGCAGGGGGGCAATATGTGAAGGAACAAAAGTTTAACGTATTGACTTCGAGTATGTATAGGATCCACGGCTGAGGTCGTTCAGGTGCGGATTCATCAAGTGGAAGAGCAGTACTCATCGCAATCTCATCTTGACTACCAAGCTTCCATACGACAAGTCGATTGTCTCTGCCGTGCCTGAGAGGTTCTTCTCAGCCACCTGATAGCCAATCAAGAAATAACGTTGGAATAAAACGACATAAAGATGTTGTGAAATGAGACTAAACCTACGTAATTATCTTGTCGTCTCCCCAGTCGGAGATTCCGAGTATGGCGTTTGTGTGAGCTCGCCAGACAGTCCTAGGACGCATGATAGTCAAGTCCCAGAGTATTACGAAGCCATCAGCATCTCCAGATGCTAGTCTCTGATTGCTCCTAATAAAAGTAGTGACATGCACCTGGGCACGATGACCTCGAAGGACTGACCTAGGCTGCGCTGGCTGGTATTGAGACATCTTTACATTTTTTTATGGGAGTTGATTCTCGAAAATAAAGTCCTGTAATACGCCTAGGATAGAAAATGTTGTGTTAATTATTTCTTTCCCTTGTACGCCATCGCTTATGCGATGCGTACGAGACCGCCGAAAGACGCGTTTAGAGAGATGGTTAAGCGATGACTATCCCTTCAAATATAAGCAATGGATTGTTAGGAATAGTTGAGGAAACGAATAATTACCTCTCAAACGGGACTGGGTCGAGAAGTGAGTATTGAAGTTACATGTGTAGTTCGACTGAGCCGCATCAATGATGGATGTTGCTGTTCCAAGATCAAGATTTCGCCAAAAGTTGCCTTGCTCAACTAGTAGGTACCTACATAATGCATGGTGGGGAATTGGGATGCTGGGTAATGTACTAATGCACTAATACAGCATTAGGTAGTTAATCAGATATGCACTTCAAGTGCTGTTTTGGTTCATTCAACCCTCGTTTAGTGCATAGCTCGAATTACTAATCCTGTTTTCAGTGTCTACATACATACCCGAACCCACGCAAGATCTCAGGTTGGATGATTGTCGTCTAATCTGATCCTAAAGGTGTACGAAGTTTCGAATCGTGAAATAAGATATTGCTAATACTCCGTATAGTGGTCGGACTTCCAACACCCATGACAGAGGCCATATAATTTGAGACATTCAATATCTCGACAAGAAAGTGGCTTCAGCTCTAAGCTTGGCTTGATGTGAGTACCTTAGTAGCCTTGATCAAAGTTTCTCACTCTAATACATAGCCCTGGAGGTACTACTTACATATCTAATTGCCTACCCAAGTAGGTAGGTAGTCGTGCGTGCGGGCTAATGGCCTCATTGCTGAGCGTCAAGTTTTACGACACCTTCGTCGTTCCTATGGGCCATCGGGTGATGTCGTCCAATGAAGCAATACAGCACTGGCAATAAGAGGACAGGCCCCGCCGAGAGCACTGCTCCGCCCAACGAGCTACGTTACTTATTAAATGGAATCACGACTCGTCGTCTCCGAAGGAGTATTATATGTAGCTTGTGATACCGAGATATCCAATGACAGCTTGCATATATATCCTCTATGTACCATGTTAGATGCAAGCAGCTACCCGCAACAAGAAACACATGGCAATTGTCGACGGTTCTCCTTACCGGGTCCGACTTTTCACGAACCGGGTCTAAAATTTGGCCTCTTTAATATCGCTTCCGCCTCGGTGATGTCCTCATTGGCCAAGTCATCTCGCCTTCTTGCCAGAAGCCTTCGATCGCCTCCAATCTAAAGCACGTGTCATACGTATCCTCACGTTTCTAGGGGATCATCTGACATTATCTGCATTGCTTCACGTCTTCAGCTTAGCCATTGGGAATCCATGTCCGCTCCTCTCTCGGGTACGCTGTGGATTAGGACATTTGGCTGCCTACAATTATCACACTGGCTGATAAATCCATGTCGACCATACTGTATCGATGGCAGATATCGAAACATACTACCTAAGAGATTGGTAAGTAGTGCTTACGAGTTCTCGGTTTCCGTTGAAACCGGCGAGGAAGCAACTTGATCGGCAGCATTAGCCCCATAACTGCTCAGACCGGATGGCAGGGGTCTTCGCTTCTCTGCCGAGACCCATCCGGGTCAAACGCGCTGCAGGTCAACGTTGGTTGAAACGAAAAACCGTCCCATTCAAACGTCGGCGAAACAACTTTCAGTACCTATTCGCGCCCCATACCACAATTATGACATACATGTTAAAGATGCCTCTCCATTTATAATATACCGACTTCACGCATACGTATACTTAGGTACATATGCCACAGAATGTCATCGCGATTTACCTAATTATGTACGATTGAAGCTGACTTGCCTGCAGTCTGCAGGTATTTTCTACACTTTTACCTGTGCAATTACCAGAAAGGTTAGTGGAGTTTAGATGGCAACAGTGGGACGATCAAACAATACCGAAGCTTCATAGCCACCATACAACTTTTATCTGTTCATGACGGCATAACGTTCTAAAGAACAAAATCTCCAGCATCATTATTTCATATTCCTAATTTTAGAACACTTCATGTTCTTGAGAACGTTAGTGGTTCAATGATATACTATCTGATACTTTAGGTATGTTTATCCATTACAGACCTACCTACCTACCTAGGTAATGTATGTACACTACGTGCTGTATGTAGTATGTACACTTTGTAATTCTTTAACCCCGTATCATTAACAGCTGCGTAGAAGCTTGGCAGGGTCCCGTGGAGTACTAGTTAGGTACCTAGGCACCTCACAGCTCGCGTGTTTTTCTTCTTCCTCCCCTTTTTATTTTCATTTTGATTTTATTTTAGCTTTATTTTAGTATTCTTTTTATTTTTTTGCTCCTACGTTACCGTCTGCGCGGCGTTTCTAGTTTAGTTTTCATCACGTATGTGTCTGGTAAGATATCCGCTGAAAGCCCACTCAGACTTCTGGGCGCACCTCTGAGTTCCTGGAAGCAACTTAAGCCGAAGCACATCTCTAACAAGAGATACTCGTCACGGAGAGCGGGATGCTACCATGATACTGGGGCGGTGGAGACGTACTAGACACTAAAGAGAGCACGAATCGTGGAAAGTAGTCGGTTTCGAGAAACGTGGTTGGTCAACTACCCCTAGTCGGATCTGCACCAGCTTTGGCTGTCACTAACAAGGTTAAAATACAAAATCAAGACAAGGGGCAACGTTTTGGTATTGAAGGGGATCTCACGCCCAAAAGCTACCCCTGTAATTGTGTTGACTGATGATTTGACCACCGATCAGTTCCGGTCTTCTTGTACGAAAGCGAGATGTACACTCCGTGTTATTTCTAGAAAGTGTAGCGAAGAAAAACAAAACAGTTGGAGTCCTTTTCTGATGCGCCGTGGAGCAACAGACGAGTTATACGTGAACCAGCGAATATACGTACGACAAACCGTTGACATCAGATGTTCACATTGCACTGAATCGGGCAGAAAGAGCAACTGGATATCTGATTTGGATTACTTCACCTTTTTCTTGTTTCCCATTTACTACAATCACAACTACCTACTTACGACTACAATCGTAGGGTAGAAGATCATCGTGGTTATTCCTCTTAATACCTTGCTATTATACTCTACATCACCCGGGCCGGGAGCCGTTTGAATTGTCCAGGTGGAGGTTCAAGGTTGTGCTTTTTTTTTCTATCATTGCGCCTCCCCCTCCTACATAAACTCTATCACATCGCTACAAGTCGGTACGTATATACGTCCATTACTTACTGAGGTAGGAAGCAACCTTAGAATATTGAGGCAGCGTGACTTCCAAAGCCTACACGTTTTATCTTCCATACTTTCCTATCTCTTTCTACTTACCAGGTATCTACTTTAACTTCCTTCTATAAACTTTAAGTGATCAGACATCAAGTCTATTCGACATATCAGATATTATTCACTTTGTCTCAACCTTCCTTTTGCTCTATTCGTCCAACCACATACAACTATACACTTATGTGTAGAAGCTAATACGATCTAGACCATTCGGAAACAAGAGAAGAAGAGACGAGCTGTGGTAGAGATAGGGAAAAGAGAAAAAGGAAAAAAGAAAAAGAAAGCGTACCGAATTTCTGACTTCCTAGTTCCAATCTTTAAATTGGCACGACACACAAACCACGCGCAACGGTACACCACAGCTTCGCCTAATCGAGAGCTTCCAATCAGCTAGTATTCGTCTCGATCAAACCCCGAGACATTCAGTACACGTACCAAGATCCTGTGCCTGAGCTTAACTCTGGAGAATAAGCAGTCGTGGCCACCTACGTACAGCACGCCGTACAGGCCGTCCCGAAGGATCTCGAGGCGTTCAACAGAGCCTATCAATCCCTTCCCCCCACTATCCGTGTCCCGTCCTCGACAATACTTGCCTAGCGGACCTCCAAGTAAGGTAGACATTGTATGTATTGCTTATCATCGACGAGACTGCTGGTATAGGAGCAACAGAAGACAGCCTTGGCTTGATAAGTTGCAGAACATAGTATTCCGCCATTTGCCTCGTCCGCTGCCGAAGGTTCCAAGAGAGCCACGGTTTACTATATTGTTCTCGTCAACTCACCCCGCCTGAGCTACCTCGTGTATACGGGGGCTTATCTACCGTAGTCCTGGCGGCTTACGACGTCGCCCCGTCGAACATCCTCGTAGCGGGCTACACACTCGGCGCGCCTGCGCCATTGATGCACCACTATGCCGAGCAGTCTTTACTCCCGTACACCGTCAAAAGCGGCTTTCCGAGTGACCAATTCTGCTTCCCTACTTCGAAGCGCCGGAGACTCTCTAATCCTAGTTCGCCCAACCCGAAGAGGAGCGGTTCAGCCAAGTCCGGCAAGGCCGCCGATATGACTTCTTCGGATGCGGTACCCGCCAAGAGCAGAAGGGTCAGGACGGGCTGCTTGACTTGTAGGGAAAGACACCTCAAGTGCGATGAGGGCACGCCGGACTGTTTGAACTGTCGGAAGAGCAATAGAGAGTGCAAACGAGGCGTGCGGCTGAATTTCATCGATATGACTTGCAAGGAGCCACCTTACATCCCCACGACAGAAGAGTGGGCGGGTATGTTCCCCTTGCGCTGGGAGGCCGATAGATCCTACTTAAAGCTAACGCAAATATAGTGCAATTTCAAGACGAGTCTCGTATAATTGCGTCAGAATATCAAGGCGGTTTAGGAAGGTACCAAGCTGTCACTCCGCCGCGGGAAGCCGACCTTGGCCCTAGCCCTCGACTACAGCCACCCGTCATTGAGAATATGGAACCGCAGAGCAGGGTCGAGAATAGGTCTGTTTCCATGATGCCCACGGCCCAATCAATTTACTATGGGGACCGGGGTCAGACACATCTGGATCTTATCGCGGACGGCCAGCTGCATTCGCGGAAGGGCAGTGATGCGTCATTCATGGCACCTCTAGGCTCTGCCCACTCAGCAGGATATGGCAATATGATGTCGGATCAATTTGTGACCGTTAAAAACGAAATAAACCGCGCCCCCTCCCACAACGGGTACCGAAGTAGCGACGCGTCGACAGCAAACTCCGTGGCCGGCTTCACTGGTGTCGGCCCGCCCTCCACCTTTCGAGGCTCGGGGGATAGTAACGTGGAAGCGGATGTCGATGCAGGTATGATGACACCTTCGAGTGAAAAAGCAGGGGAGCGCGAATACCTCAATTCACCCGAGGAATTACGGTTCATGCAGGTTTTCGTCTCTGAAGTAGGTGTATGGATGGACAGCCTCGATAAGGAAAAGCATTTCTCTCGCCTGATCCCGTATCATGCGCTCAAATGCCCGATGCTTTTGAACGCACTCCTTGCATGCGGAGTAAAGCATCTAACTCTTACGCAACAATATGGTGACGATAAGGCACTATTCTACTACGACACGGCGACAACGCAGCTTCTGCGTAGCCTGCAGAACCCAGAACGTAACACTGCCGAATGTGCGGCTACCGCTGTGGTGCTTAACGTTTACGAGATCATGAGCGAGAAGCCGACGCAGCGCATGAGTCACATCGCTGGCGCGCGAGCGCTCATTCGTGAGTGCGGATGGAATGCGAAGAGCGAGGGCTTGGGCGCCGCTTGCTTTTGGTTGAACGTGGGCATGGAACTTCTGTCGTGTCTAGCATTCAACTGGCAGACCGCATGGGAACCAGACCAATGGGGCGTCGATATGGATTTTAGTACCGAGACGGACACGGGCAACGAAGAGGTTTGGGTCCATCGTATTTTCTACATCGTAGCCAAAATCGCCAACTTCCGCGCCAGCATCCCCAAGTTTCAAGAGCCTAGCCCCCGCGATGAACAAGTCCGATTGCAGGCCAGATATGCGGAGTGGCAGCGCCTCAAGAATATGTGTGACAGCTGGAACAATTCGTGCCCTCGTCCCATGCATCCATTCGGTTACTTATATCCTTCTCAGCAGACGGGTGCCAACAAATCGTTGTTTCCAAATGTTTGGTATGTCATGTCGACTCTTTCGCCACTTATCCCCACTGTTAGCAAGTCGTGCTTAGAACAAGAAAGCTAATCATCGTCAAGGCTCATCAAGCGTGCCGCCATTGTTGGTAGGCTCTATTACCATACAGCGCAGTGCTTGCTCGCGCAAATCAACCCGGTCCTCCCTAAAGATTCCGAAGAGGCCCGCAGCGTTCAGCAGCATCATGCTCATCAGGTCTGCGGCATCGTAGCACATACTAAAGACCGCGGCGTTGCCAGCGTCTCCATTCGATCCTTAGCTATCGTAGCCGAGATCCTGACCGATCTTGCAGAGCAGCGGGAGGTGGTAGCCACTTTGGAGAGGATCGATCGAGAGACAGGCTGGAAGCTTGCAGGTGTTATCCAAAATCTCAAGAAAATTTGGGGTTGGGAGAAGATGGGACAAAAAGGACTCGCGGCGCAGTTTCTACCACGAGCTACTGGCGGTCATAAGACAACGATGGGGCTACCAAAGCGCCAGCAGCAGATGGAGCCCATGCAGACTATTCGGACGACTACTCCTCCACAACAGCAAAAAATGCCCACAGTTTCGCAATCAGGACCTCAACAAATAGCAGCACCACGACCAATACATGTCAATCCGTTAAGTTTTGCCGATTTCAGTCTTCCAAACCATCCGTATCAGAATTGGTATGAGCCGCCTAGCCGGTCAAATGCTTATAATTCCCAGGGACTTCTCTGAGGTGTTTATAAAAATAATAAAAAGGGCCAAGATTAGGGCCTGTTTTCAGCGGAATTGTATATAATTTTAATGGGCCAAATAGGGGTGTCAGCCTGACTCCGGGTATGAATGTTGGAATATTTTGTTGATACCTCCTCAGGCGGCATATGCGATGTTTATCTCTTTTATTCGGTACCCACTTCTCTCAGTTATATTTCTCTTCCCGGGCGGAGTATGAAGCTTCACAGCGCCGATAGACGGTGCTTGAGGACTGTTTGTAGAAAAGATCAGAGCAAATCGGGTCGGGTCGGAATCTTGGCATCAGCGACGGTTACTTTGTGAGGGCTGGTCTGGGCATGGATGGGTTAGGAGCATGGGGGAATATGTCTGGGCGATATGCATTCTGCAGTGTGTTGAACATTATCACGGTTGTACATAAATCACAGCATAGAAACGAAGATACCTGGCGAATAGGTCGGGCCGTTTCTGAGCAATAATTATGAAAGCACGTTCTCATGTCCACGATCTCTTATGGTCTGCTTGCTGTTCATATATACTAATATGGTCCTTACCTGGATGCTATTCAACTCAAGAAAGCTAGAGGGGGCAGCCGAATAATGTCTATTGTTGAATAGGTACCTATTCCTGCCGGGATATCCTTTGGGGAGAATCAAGCACAGTAGCTGCTCAACAAGAATTTTTCAAGTAGCAATGGGATAGGTGATATTAATAATCTTGGCACCAATGCACAGCCAGTTTCTACCGCCGACTGTATCGACATACGCGTATCAATTACCTCAACGAAACCTCTTATCCAAAGAATACTTCAAGGAACACCCTAAGAACCGTGTTATTCCCATGATTTTGCGAATAACTGACGGCGAGTCTCCAGGGAGCAGCCATTTCTATTGGTAAGAGCTTTGGGGAGATGTAAGACAATTTGAGTACCCCTAAATAAATCACAAGTAATTTAACCGCTCCTCTATGGACTTAAGATATCACCATGAGGTACCTGAGTGATCATAATGCTCTAATGCTCAATATAGAGTTACTGGGTCGTGACGTTCGTTATTCACCAGGAATAGTAGTATAGTAGTATACCTCAGGTAAACACGAGAGTGAAAGGGTAGTTCTATGGATTTGGGTAATATAGGAAGATTGTAAATAATTTCTTGCAATATCCAGTGACTGATATCTGGTCTTCAGTGTGGCACTGATATATCCAAAGCCGCCATACACGCCTTGGCACTCCTTCTGCGTTCTGCGTAGGGAAGACCGTAATTTCTCTTGCTAGAAGTCATAGTCAATGCTGTCGAAAGTGTTACAAGGAACATAGGACAAAGCCTAGAAATTAATCAACAAATCGAACCCTGCTTTTTCTCTAGAAAGTAGAGTACGATGGTTATACAGTTTAGGAATAGGTAAAAATGGCCCTGTACATTGACCATTTCCGTCAATGCGCTGTCTTGGCGCCTTTAGGGGATATCGCACCATAAGTTGACTTCAAGGAACATGGCAATTTATGAATCAAGGACTACTCGGAAAATTCAAATCCATGGTGTCAAATTAGATCCTGTGATATACAGAACTCTAACTAAGCCAATTAGTATTCGTCAACAGCAACATGATTAGTAACATGTTCGAAAGCATCCAATGCATGTCTGTATGACTCGATAACCCCCTTTACACGAACTGTCATATCCGTACCTAGGGGAATGATCCGCTCCGTCTCAAGTCCAACTCCAACGCCCTCTCCAAGAACAATTTCATAGACAGCCTTCATGGCCTTATCTTTGTAGCCCATACCAGCATTCGCACCCGGCAGCTTAGATTTGGGACTACTGAGAAACTGGAACATCTGGTCGGAAACAGAACCCTTGTAATCTTCGGGAAGAGGATTCTTGCCCACGACAGTGTGGACAGCCATGTCGGTGTTGAATGCACCCAAGATGACAGTCAGAGCGCGAATATTGTACGGGGCCACCTCTTTTGCTAAAACTCTGGTTATACCTATTATCGAATTAGAATATGACCAGAATAAGAAATAGTAGGAGGCAATCTGGGATTAGCATACCGTCAAGGCCGGCCTTAGCTCCAGCGTAAGAACCCATCGTATCTCTACCTTCAAGAGAGCCGCCTGTGCTAAAATTCACAATGACGCCATACCGGCGTCTACGCATGTGAGGAACAACCGCCCTGATTAGGCGTAAGGGTCCGAAGTACATACACTCCATCTGACCGCGGATCTCCTCCTCGGTAGAAGTCTCTATGGGGGAGAAGATGGAGTATCCGGCGTTATTCACCAATACATCGATCGCTATGCCCGATATTTCAAGCTCCTCGATAACGTCTCCGCTGTCGCTGTTGTTCACATCTAGCTTTAACCACTTTCCTCCTCTACTCTCGACCTCGGCGACGAGTTCAGGTGTACGCGAAGGATTTCGCGAGGTCGCGATGACCGTGTGACCTGCTGCTAGAGCTATCCGGGTGAGTGTCATGCCGAATCCTGAAGGCGACGAACATCCCGTGATAAACCAAGTTAACTTGTTCTTGGACTTAATGAATGTGGAAGACATGGTCAGTAGTGTATGCTAAATTCAATAGAATTAGATAGCTCAAGACAAGGAGTGTGTATTAGCAGGGCTTATTCTTCAAGTATGCTGAGCCTCATAGGAGGGTCAGGAAAAAGGAAGACATCGTGAACTTATATCGTTGTGCCTCGCAGGTTAACTTTACGTACATACCTCTTAGGTAGACACGGTGTTAACGCAAGCTACGGCCGTGATGTGCATATAGTTAGGTTTAAACACGGATTAAGACTCGGGATATGATTAGTTAGCTTCGGTAATAAAGGGTGCTTGTCTTCGATGACCTTAGTTCCTAATAATTACGTGGTATACTACTGTTTCCCAACTAGGAGTTCATGAGCGCTCATAAAGAGGGTCCTGCTCCATACGGTGTAACAAGCCAATAGTAGTCCAGTACTATTTTCAGGGCTGTTACTGGGAAATGCCTAAGCCAACTGTTTTCTCTATCTTTACTCGCTAATTACAAGTAGTTCATACGACGTGATGCTCTGGGAGGTTCGGCTCAGCAATAGGATAACGTATTCTCCACTCCTAGTATAACGACGGGTATGATTGTAATAATCTTCAAAGCTTTTTTCAACCGATTTAAGAGGCCGGTGAGCCTACGAATAGAAATTGGTATATAGAAGCAGCTGCTGACGCCATCTTCCTATACTCAACGGCGCTTGATAACGTAGGTAGGAACTGATACATGTGATGGCATGCCACCAATAGCATAGTTACCTACCTAGGTAGGTAAATTGACTTCTGGACGGCGGACTTAGGATTGCTATCCCCGAATAATTACTATGTCAACAGTGCGCTTCATATCTATACAAAGAACTTAAGGAATGCGGAGGACCGCTTTGCTTCTGGCAGTTTAATCTACCCAAGGAAGTGGCAGACAGAGTTATGACGATCCATAGGTACATTTTGAAACCGAGCATACGTACAAGCCGAGAGTATTTGACCATGGTCATATTGAACGAGAGATTTATTGAAAGAAAATTAAGTGAGACGCTAAAGAATACCGCGGCACCTTAAAAAAATTAGTGCAAAAAAGAGAAAGAAATATAAAAGGGGGAATAGTAGGTAACTTGAATTCATCAAAATGTAAACGTATTAATCCACGGCCTCTCTCAGGGACACATCAAGGGGTAAAGCCACTCCTTTAGATACGTAATATCCAGAGGCGTATTTCAAAGCACAAGGGTGTCTTATTTGAAGATAGCAGTATTAATAGAAAAGGGAATGCTACATTCTTATATTTTATTAAATTAAGTTAAGTCGTCCCTATAGTCGCACATTGACAGGAAACTAGTTAAAGGATAAGGGAGTGATTAAGCCTTACGATTCATCGTTTATTTAGCGATTACAGGGAAATCGACGTGGAGGACAAACGGTGATCTCGGAATCGTAGAATCATATCATTACATCGCTCTTAAAGTAAACATAAGATTAGATTCTAAATATAAAATGGGAGTGTGGTCGAGGCGGGCGGACTTGGGTATCACAGCGACATCGACGAGATGGGAACTGCACGTCCAGGCTGGTAAGAATTCAACTCATTAATTATGTACATGCCGATTCAATTGTTTTAGAAGGTAGCGAAAATGAATTTTGCCTTTGCATTTTCTAATGTCTAAATCAGGTAGACTTGGCTCAGCTTCACCCTAAAACGCCAGCGTCTCACACCTTTCCTCAAACTGTTACTATTTGCAGGTTGATAAACACCTCTTGTTTTCCCAAGTATATTTAATATTGAATGGACACCCTCCTTAAATCCCCTTAAAAGCCTTCGGCCCCTTTTATAATATTGTAGATGTTATACCCCCTTAGCGCTGCTACCTAGCCATTTGACCTCAGCTTAGCCCCTGACGTCAATTAACATCACATGGCTATATATATATCAAATGCATCTCAGCCAACGTTTACAACAATAGTAATAACCTGAGCTGCCATCAAAAGTACTATTGCGGTCATGGCAGGCCTTCCTGTTTCAAAAATCCCTTATACAGATAACCTTGGAAGTACTATAGGGAATAATAGCGTTAGTAGCAACATAATATTGGGATTCATATTAAGAGAGAATGAACGATACTGGAAGATGGGAAAAATAGAGGTTTAGGTTCGAGTTTAACTCATATGAGGCCGGACAGTCCCTTCAATGTTCCAAGCTTAAGGTTAAGATGAAGAACGATGAAGGTTGTCGTTGAAGTTACCTAATGTTGAACATGGAACAACAAATTACAAGGGTTCAAAGCTAAGGGACATTGTACCTGTACTTGCCTAACTTGAGAACCCTGGCACCCCGGTTCCACAAGGCTTATCAATAATTGTAGTGACGTCGGGTCGCGCTGATAAGCATCAAACATAGCCCTATGTACCTTAAAAACACGGTTCAACCTCAGGCTTTCAACCTGCAATCACTTAACAGTTCACATCGAATTGCAGGGTTCAAAGGCCATCGAGTCTGTTGCCTATATGTAGACCTCCACCATGAATTGTGCATCCGTACTCACCGACATTTAGAAACAGACGGAATACTTATTATGCCATCTTGTTTCCCTATCCGTTGTTTTCAAACAAGCAATCACCTCGGCAGACCTCAAAGAAAGCCCGGTATCACGACTAGTTGTCTATGAAAACGTCACATCCTACGGTCTCTTATCCGGCCTGACCTCGTCCTCACCATGAGTGAACTTCTCAACTACCTAGTGCAACATGACCAGAATTTTAGAAGGTAAAGGTTTCTCCATTACTCTGATAAGAATGGCGAAGATACATATGTTCTAACTCAAGAAACCTACCAACAGAGCGCGTCTTCCAGCTCTCTACTCTGATTTCCGCTCCCAACGGACCCTAAATCCGGATGGCTTCGTCGCCAACGTTGCAGCATGGAAGCGGGGACTCTCTTCTGCCGCACTCGCCGGCTATACGCCATCCAAATCAACCGCGCGAAATCACTTAATCCTCGACCTAGACAGTGATTCCCTCCTACGATCCCTCGAGAGTAAGCAATTTGGGCGGCCGCTGGCATTAGGCACTGTTCTGCAAGAGGCGATAGCGAACGGGGAGATGATGCCGTTGCAACAATTCCTTAAGGCTAAGGAGAGTATATACTACCGATCATGGGGAAGCATACCGTGGTCGGTTTTGTCTTGGGGGTTAAAGCAGGTAGGGATAGGTGGACCAGGTGACAGCTTGCCTAAGGGCCAATTCGTCGTATTGCAAAACCTAGAGGTAGTGGCCAAGGCATTCGGCGAAGCGATTGCGGACCGCACATCGCCATTCGAGCGAAGCTTTTCGAAGGCTCATTTCCGACGGACGTTTGCCGAGGGTTTACTTGAGAAGAATCAACGACTTTCTGAGACCGATGTTGAGATATTAGTAACGTTTCTTTCACGGGATAAGAACATACTAGCTACGGACGGGAACACGATCAAGATTCGGAGCACTGCTGAAGACGTGGTTATTACGGAGGAGGACTCGGCGATCGCGTCCCTGAAGGAGCTGATGGAGGATCTCACACGACAGACCGAACTACTGAACCATCGCATCGACGAACTAAACGTCGCTGCTCAAGATGCCGTGCGCAGAAAGAACCGGATTGCCGCGCTCGCGGCCCTCAAGTCAAAGAAACAGGCCGAGGCGAACCTATCACGGCGCCACGCTACCCTCAGCCAACTAGAAGATGTCGCTTCCAAGATCGAGCAGGCAGCCGACAATGTCCAACTGGTGAAAGTTATGCAGTCGAGCACGGTCGCGCTTCGCAACCTCAACGCCCAGGTGGGCGGTGCTGACAAGGTCGACGAGGTACTGGATAACCTACGCGAGCAGATGGGCGAAGTGGACGAAGTGGGCAACATCATCGCCGAAGCAGGACCTGGCGCTACTATTGACGAGACAGAGGTGGACGACGAGTTCGAGGCCATGTTGACAGAGGAGCGGAAGAAGGACGAGGAGGCGGAGAGGATCAAGCGAGAAGCGCGGGAGCAGAAAGAAGCCGAGGAGACAAGACGCAGGCTCGCCGAGTTGGAGAAATTGGGACCTTTGCCCCTGCCTGGCCAGGTGGCAGAGAAGGAGACTAGACCTATCACACCCGTCACGGCGACCGCTAACGAGCTAGGAGATATGCACATACAGAATGATAATGGGGCGCAGAAGATAGCGCAGAAGGCCGTGTGAATAATATTAACGACACATCTAAGACTAGGTCGTTCCATTGGAATAAGCAATATGTAATCTATTTTCATGATATCAATGTCGATTTGGAGGAAGTATCTAGATCTACCGTCCCGTTGTCCCCATCCGGGGGAGCCGTTTCGCCTGTCAAGTCAATTACCCCATTTGCTAACGTGGGATCGACCGGAGTCTGCTGTCCTCCCCAGTATGGTAACGATGTTGGCATCTCTGCGTTTGGCTGCGGTACAGGGTCCTCTCCTCCAATTTCCTCTGCTCCGTTTCCAGCATTGGTGGTTTGCTGTATCTCCCCCGTACTCGTTTCGTCTTTGCCGGCCTTCTGCTCTGCGAAAGCTTTATTTCGTCGTGCATTAGCTATTAGATCTTTGAATGAATTATCGTGTTTAGAGGCCCAAGCGGCACCATCGAAGTCCTTGTCTCTGATCTGCGCCCCGAGGTGATTCGACCTCGATGACATCGGTGCCCTGGCGCCTACCGTACGCTCCCACACATCTAGATCTTGCAGAAGTTCTCGTTTTTGCCTCGGATATTGCGAATCGCAGTTTGCGTTCCATATCGTCATCCATTCCTTATGTCTCCTTTCCAGCATCTGTCGGTTTCCCGCTGTCGATATGCCCAGCTCCGACAACTTTTTCTTTAATTGAGGTTCCCTAAGGATTGAGTAGTTTATTGCAGGTAAGCGCTCCATGTTTCTGGGCTGTTGCCTCTTAGGAGGTGGCGAGGAAAATGCGATCGATATGCTGGTAGAACGGGAGGGATGTCTCGAGGGTGTCTTTTGCGGTTGTGGTTCGCCCGGACAGGAAGTATCGAGATGCTTGTTGACTTGGACTTCTTTCATGCGCTGCCAGCAGATAGGACATGCAACCAGTCCGTCGTCAGGCTCGAAATTGGTTTGATCTTGGTCAGGTATGTCGGCTTCTAAGCGCGCCATCTCGGACGTCGCCTCCATACTCCTCGATTTGCTCAATCTTGCGGAAGAGCGCAATCTTTTGCCGGATGGTTCGCTACCCGATTCAAAGTCCTCCGTCTCTTCTAGCTTTCTTTTCGCTGGCTCGGCTGCGGCTTCTTGTGACGTCTTCGCGAAGAGCAGAACGTCCGGTCGGGCCTTCGTAAATGCCGCTACAACCTCTTCCATGGACCAATTGCTACGTAGTTTCATTTCCTGCTCAGTTGTGCGGCATAGTGGACATTTGCCATCGTTCGAAAGCGCGCGACGGATGCATATGGAACAAAAGGTATGATTGCAGGAGGTCAGCATCGGTGTCTTGTAGAAGTCCTTGCAGACTTGACATCGTAAGGCAGCCTCTACCGCAGCAAGGCCGGAGAGCGGCGTTGATAGCCAATCTGTCGAGTCGGCAACATCGTCAAACGTCTCGAGGGCGTTGTCGTTCATTGGGTTGGACAATTGAGGTTTTCGGATGTTTATTGAGTTTATCCAGTGCCTCGGCGAGCGCCGTTCTCAGGGGTTCTTAATTTTCGGCGCTTCTTTGGCGATTGCAAGCATGAAATTTTATGATTTGTGTATGTTATGAAAGAGCTTGTATTTGGGAGTTTCTGAGACAAGGATGGCCAATGTCGAAGTTAAAGGGTGAATTGGTGTCTGATGAGATCATTGAGTCGCGATTCCCTTTTGACACGCGCCTACCACTTAAAAATTGAACCCCTGTTACTGGTCCTTCCTGCCCTGTAAGCCGCTAGCCCCACCACTTAACGCGTTGTTCTTTCTTGACGCGACTCCTAACTTTTGTATTTTAACTCAACAATACCTAATCGGCAACCGGGATTTTCTAAAATTCGCCAAACAACAAGGGAATGAAACATATCACTGCTTGCTCGCCGAGGTCGAGAGTTGATTAATTTAATCAATAATTCCTCGCAACAACTGGCAAATATGGATGACTATAAGCAATACTTAGCCCAGAAAATCCTCACAGAGGATCAGCTTGTGAGTTATGATATGTGCTAGAATCTGATTTCCACCTCATTAACGCGTCCTTTTCAAAGGTGTCATACCGGCTTCTGAGTCGCGCCTTAAAGGTCCATGTCAATACTGCTAAAGAGTACGTATACACCACTTTATTTTACAGAATTCACCAACACTAACCGTATACAGGATGTTATATGAGTTTCATAAATGGCAGAATGACAAACGCCCGGGAAGTCTCCATGCTACTTATCTTGTCTATGGTAGCAAGAAGGTAGAAGAGGTGGAAGAGCAGGATGGCGACGTGAAGATGACCGACTCACAAAATTCTAAAGAGCTACCCGTTCCTTTCTCAGACGAAGTCCCTACTTATACGCTCTCTCTAGTTAAAGAGGAACAACTTCAAGGTTGGCGGACCTATATGCAGCTTGATGGATCTCGCTAATTGAGAATAGATGTGTTAGCAAAATATGAGGTCACCTCTATTCACGTCTATAGCTTAACCCCACATCCACTCAAGGATCTTCAGCTACTAGCCGATACAGCTCGACAGGTCATAGAATTGTCGACTACGGGCAATGTTCCGGCTTCAAGCAAGGATTTTGGTTCTATTGCCAATCCCAATGTGCACAGAAGAGAACGCCGAGGACCAGTATCGAAGCCTGTTGCTAGTAAACCCGCTCCTAAAGCTGAACCGAAGCAGGAGTCAAACCCTGCTGTCGTAAAAGAGGAATCAAAAGCAGCGCCTCAAGCTAGTGCTAAGGGACCGGCAGCTGCAACTGCTAAGAAATCCACGACCGCTTCATTAAAGCGCCAAGGATCTTCGGGAGGCATTGGGCAGATGTTTGCTAAGGCCGCCGCTAGACCCAAGAAACCAGCTGCGAAACCTGCCACTGCGGCAAGCACTGCTGAGGAAGATCAGAAAATGGCCCTGTCGGACGATGGAGAAGATGATACGGAGCCAATGCCCGGAGCTAAGGACGAGTCAAATAGCGCCAGACAATCGAGAATAAATCGTCAGGCCGAACTCCGTCGTATGATGGAAGAAAGCGATGAAGAGGAACCTGAGAAGCCGGAAAGCCCGACCGACGAACCCATGGAGGAGGAGCCCGAGCCGGAACCGGAACCGGAACCGGAGCCCAAGGTAGAAGAACCCGCTGAGATAGTGTCAGCTACGGGTGACGGCAGACGAAGGGGACGACGGCGGGTCACGAAGAAGAAGCAGGTCATGGACGATAAAGGATATCTAGTGACGATTCAAGAACAAGGCTGGGAGTCTTTTTCGGAGGAAGAAAAGGCCCCTCCCCCGACAAAACCAAAAACCCAGTCGGCCAAGTCCGAACCCGCTGCGAAGCCTAAGAAAGCCGCAGCGAAAGGCCAAGGTAACATCATGTCTTTCTTTTCGAAGAAATGAAGATAATCCCGAGAGTAGAAATATTTGATTTACTTGAGACGGGAGGGTAGGCGTTATCGCAAATTTGGTCGGGTATGCCGGGTGGGTTTAGGAATATAATGGTAGAGCATAATATTCAACATTTCCAACGTCAAGGCACTACGCTCGATGGAATATAAACTTGACGTTCTGCCCTAATAAATATGGTTGGTTATGCTCTTGACTTTAAAAGCTGTGTGCTCAATAGGGGGTACCCCTTTTTGGCTCTGTAAGGGGTGTTCCTGAAAAATCTCCAATTGCTTTTCATAACAATAACTAGGTACCTAGTGAACTTATAATAGCTTTAGAGGTATATACAAGTTTCTCTTCTACTCGAAAATGATTTACATCGACCACTCAGGCGGCGATAAAGAATATGCGTGCAGCTGTAATGTATACCTACCTATTTACCTTCTTCATGGGTGGGGATCAGATAAGAAATTTGAACGAGCCTTAAAACGAGATTTAGTCGTAGATAATCCGGGGAGCTATCCGGCAATTGGTGGTGTTAGTGCAATTGAGCATCGTCAAGCATATGCATAAATGCTTTAGTGATGTATGAGATCGACGATTGAGGTTGCTTCTTACTTATTAATATGTGTTGTATTAAAGGAACGCGGGTATGGTACCGAAAACCAAACCATCCCATCTTTGTTACAATGCAGGAGTGTTCTGCGTGAGTCATGCAAACTGCTTACACCATTGTGCAAGTGACTTTGATAAACAAGGAAACATTCGGTAGATCTTGAATTGAGCAATCGTCACGGCTGCCTTTTACGTGGCTAATGACCGAGCTAAGTCGGGAAGACCTAGCGAATTCCGTGAAAAGGGAGTTATTAGTACTCCCAGTTAAGGTAAGCATCTGATAAGAGTAACCCGGTCGACCTCGGAGGGTGAACGCTTAGGATTCCTACTAAATCGGTAATTTACGTAAGCGGGAGAACGGAGCAACAGCTAGGCCGTCGGCATACGGGTTTAGGACCGGACTCGGACGTTAGCAGACCTCGCAATTCCCGCGGACACGAGGCGGTGCATGGTTGACGAAGTGAAACGTCGCGGAGTATTTTCGTAGCAGGAAGCTGAAGTTGATCCCGTGAGCCTCTATTATGCCACCCTCTTTCCCCCCCCCTTTCCCCTCTTACCCACTTAGGGCTTGGAGTGGCGAGGCGGCTGAATGGATGTTATTGTCTATATTGTTAGTAGGTTACTTTAATTCATACATGCGTCGCGTGCTCGCCTAGAAGTCTCGCATCTCGGCCGTGAGAAAGTTTTAAGAGAGCCCCGAATATAAAAAAATTTGATGCAGCGATTGAGGTCCGAGGAAGGCTTGTGAAGGCCCTTAGTGGGGTGGTTCTTTTCTTTGTCAACTTTTCCATTTACATGTTTTCCCATTGGCTTGACTTGTTGCGCCATGAGATTTGAATCAGATTGCCGATATCATGACACTAGGATCTCTCCTCTAACGGTCAAAAAGGCTTCTAGTAATAGGCCGAGCTTAGATCTTAAGGGTTCAGATTTATCGCCACTGCCAAGTTGTAAATGCCGTTGTCCCTTGACTCCATGAAGAATGAAAAGCTGGGGTACCAGGCCAACATCATGAGATTTCTCCGCGAAAGCTTCGAGCTGCCATTGCACATCCATGCTTACCTACGCAGTTGTGCGCAGAACAGGTCAGAACAGGTGTGGAGATAGAGCTGTATTATGATGCACCTGAAGGAATGGGCGTGGGCATCGTTGAATCCCGACAGACTGGGATGGATGTTCCGGCTTCACCCACTGCCTAAGATGAGAGCGTTTCCTCATTGGGTATCTCGGCCAGGCTCGGGCGAATCAGGATTCTTCCCCATAGGCCCGGTGCCTCTACACGCGTCCTAATCCTCCCGGTTTGTTCTCTTAGCTCGACGAAAAACTTTCCAAGCAGCCCTGGCAGCCAAGGTTGTTTCCGAAGCTGCCGCGCCGCTTTGCTGGCTTTACTCGTCCGTGCTATTCTCAGCTTGTATCTAGGTAGCCTGTAGCCTGTAGCCTGTAGCCTGTAGCCTAGCTTGTAGCTTTGCAAGCATAATTGTCATCATCCAGGAATCCATGGTTTGAGGCTGCTAGGCAATAATATGGTTTCGTCATGGGAGTCATTTTAAGATGTAGTGACGATCTGGCCTTTGGAGGGGGCGGGGGATACACTCAGATTTTACACAAACAGCAAATGCAAGTGATGATTCTGGAACTATGTTAGCGTACCTACTGCTTTTTTGCGGTGAAGAACTGCTCTCGTCTAAATCTGTTACATGTATTAATATTGGGTCCGTATGTTGAACGGAGACGATGGCTTTTCAAAGACTTACTACGCTACTCTGCAGTCTCTGCTACTGTGTATTGTATGTAGGTGGTTATTAGGTACTAGTATGGTGTATGGGTAGCCTACCTAGTGAATTGGTGCTATTCCCGAGGTCGTTTGCCTCTCGATTTCATGACGACTTCGGGAGTATCTTGGGTTACGTCGTTTGAGAGCTTTTAGTAATTTGGTTGCCTTGAGTCACAGAATTTAAGGTGTACTGGCAAATGGGAAAATAACACCGTAGCTGGCAGTCACTACGGGCTACCTGACCTCATAACTCTCTAGCTCGTATAGTACTTACGCGAGGTAGGTACAGAGGTAGTTTTGGTAGTTGCAATAGCGACACTAGTAGACTTCCCGGATCCACTGACTTGATTGGAAATTCATGGAAATGTAACCCCAATGACCAACTGGAAAAGAAGGAGCGGGAGACATTAGCATAGGGCTAATGCACGCACCGCACCCTGTTCAGGTGGAGCCTTCCCTGCTTCTTTCTCCAACTGGATAGCTGCTAGGGCCCTATCATAGTAGACTTTTGAGAGAAAAATACCAAAAAAATACGATCCCTCAATTTTTATTATTCCACCCCCAAAATTCAATATCATCCAGCAAAATCCCATTCACACCAACCCATTCCTTTGATGAGATTCTCTTCTTTCTCTTCCTCGTGTGTTTATTGAGGTCTTTACACCCTACACCATAACTACTTTTCTTAATTATTACAATAGCGCGTTTGTTTGACGGCTGTGGTGCTGTCAAATGAACCTGCAACGACCAATTATATCTTTTCTCTATGTAAGTCGTCATTGAATTGAGGACCTTTTTTTCCGCGTCCCACTCGCGCCTCCGATCAAATTTTTGTACTCGAGAGGCGACCTCGACAAATATGACACGCGCAAAACAAACAGACAAAAACTCTACTTCGACATATTCAATCCCAACTATCCTATCGAGTGTATGCTAACTGGAATCTTTTCTACTCTTCTTTTCAGTCACCCTCCCCTCCTGGCGTCATCTAAATGCCCACCATCTATTCGTCCTTGTACCAGAATTTCATCCGTCAAGGATTTGCGAAATCTTTCACTCACGGCTACGCTCAATCCGTCGTAGCTGCAACCCATCCCCATGTTCTAAATTCACAGAACCGTCCGTCGTTTGCGCGACGTAACAGTCAGCGCCTCGGACGTCTCTCTGGTCTTCAGCTCCAGAACGCTTTCCATAGCTCGAATCAGCACGAGCTGCGCCATGACAAGCATGGCGGCCATGGAAACTTAGATGCCTACTTTGAGGCCCTAAGAAAACAGCAGGATACCGGCGATGTCGAAAAAGAATGGACACAATTTCAATTTCCCAAGCCCATAGAATGGAGGCCGAATGCTTCATCCGTCTTCGACGGCCCCGAGTCCAAGACACCGAACGCCGATGTTGCCGAGGCTCTTGGAGCTGACCAGGATGGAGGTGAAGACTTGCCTGTTGCCGTCGACGTAGAAGCAGCTTTGGCGCACATTGATGCCGCTATCGAGAAGGAAATTGAAGTTCGCGGGTTGCGGGAGGCCCTCGAGGAGAATGTCGCGCATTCCCCGCGAGCGCTAACACCGTCTATTGCGAGTGGTATCCAGTCTCGGGCTCTCACTCCTGTCATTGAGAGGTCCGCGACTCCTGCCAGCATTGCTCGCACCGCAACTCCGCCCGTCGATCCCCAATCCCAGAGCTATGCGGATCATCTCTCCAAGCTCTCCGAGGACGGCCGATACGCTGAGATTCCGGCCGTCTTCGAGGCAATGCTAGTCACTGATATCAAACCTATTGCCGCATCTTACAATGCTCTTCTGGTCGCTGCTATTCACATCCCTAGTGAGAAGAATGAGGTGGTGTCCAAGGCCTTGGATGTCTACGCTGATATGATGCGACGGAAGATCGTACCAGACGGCGATACCTATAACATCTTAGTCGGATTATTGGCTGCTCGATGTCTGGAAGTGTCGTCCCTCAAGAAGGGTCTTGAGGACAAGCGTCTTCGTTTTGGTGGTATGGATGAGCCTGGGAAGTTCATGTTCGCCTCGAATGAGCTGGAACACGCCATTCTGTCGGAGGACGATAGGCTCGACTTTGCCATCAAACTGTTCGAGACTTCTGTTTTAACAAACAAAGCGAACTACTCGTCAGAAACTTACCATCAACTCATCTCAGCATGTGCTCAAGCTGGTCGCGTCTCTGACATGCTCCACCTTTTTGAGCATATGGAGCTAAGTGGTGCCGTTCCTTTTGCAGCAACCTTCCCCTCTATGATCACCGCGTTTGCGAACACGGGTGATTTGGCCAGCGCTGTTGAGTGTTATAACGAATACAAGGACCTTGCTGTCGCTCATGACAATGGTAACTACACATTGAATGATCGATTGGACTCGCAGGTTTATGCTTCGGTAATCAATGCTTATATAATCAACGACAAGTTAGAGGGTGCCAAAAAGTTCTACGAGAAGATTGCGGGCTCATACGGCGTACGTGCTGCCGAAATCCGGGACGCTATTATCAGCGGAGGTTTTGTCAAGGGCTTCACTGCTAGGGGAATTTATCATGAAGCGCTTCAATGGGCCCAGAACATCGAGAACAACGCACGTCTAAATGCCTTGGCGGACATCGCAACTGCTGCTGCTGATTCCGGAGACCGACTTACTGCAGTGACTTCTTTTGCCCTCCTCCCCTCTGTTTTCCCGGGTATTGCTGCTCCTGCGATGGCTTTGTTGGCCCTCAGCGTTCGAGAAGGCGACGTTCCGGCTGCTTCTAGATACTGGCACATGCTAAGCAGCCCCGAAACAAGGGTTGACTCAACTTTCATCGAGCCGACCGCCATGTATGCCGTTGCGTTGATTGGTTCAGGTCAGGTTGCCGAGGGGTTATCCGAGTCTGAAATGATGTTCCAGCGAATTCGAGCGGTTGAGAATGAGACAAAGCCACACCTTGCCGATGAAATCGAAGAGGGAATTGAGTTTATCTCTAGGTTCATGGCCACTCGCGGCATCGCTGATCCTCGCGAGGTTGCTTCTCAAACCAGCTTTGGTCAGCAGACATTTTCTGCATCACCCTATCCATCAACGCCTACGGTCTCGAGCTATGAGGACAACTTTGACCCTTACGCCCACAACACCGACTTCAAGGGCTCTTCTATCATCTCGGATGAACTTGAGGGTGCCCATGGACGCAAGGGACCCCGGCTCAATGAGGCACTCTCACGTTTCCGCAACATGCGACGCGCAGGACGACACCCAAGATATATCACCTACGCTAAGATGATCTCTGCTGCGGCACGTGAGGGCAAAATGGACCTGTGTCATGACATTCTGGCCATGGCACGGACAGATGTGCCTTTCCTTCCGCAATACTCTGTCGTTCGTTACGGCTGGTCTTCCATTCTCGATGCTATGGTCGGTTCCTGCTTGACACTCGGCGACCGAGTTTTGGCGGAACAGTACCATCTCGAGCTTCTCCAAATGGGCGCTGCTCCCTCGGCAAATACCTTCGGTCTTTATATTACCACTCTCAAGGAATCCACTAAGACCTTTGACGAAGCTTCCGAAGCTGTCAAGATCTTCCACCGTGCCAAGGCTGAGGGTGTGGAGCCTTCGTCCTTCTTATATAATGCTCTGATTGGTAAACTTGGCAAGGCCCGCCGTATCGATGACTGCCTCTTCTACTTCGCCGAGATGCGCGCCCTAGGTATCAAGCCGACGAGTGTGACTTACGGAACGATTGTCAATGCTCTGTGTCGTGTTAGCGACGAGAAATTCGCAGAGGAGCTTTTCGATGAGATGGAGTCTATGCCCAACTACAAGGCCCGTCCAGCTCCGTACAACAGCATGATGCAGTTCTTCCTCACTACTAAGCGCGACAAGACTAAGGTTCTCGCATACTACGACCGAATGCAGGCCAAGGGAATTGCGCCAACTGCTCATACTTACAAGCTCCTTGTCGATACTCACGCTACTCTCGAACCCGTCAATATGACTGCTGCTGAAGTTGTTCTGGACATGATCCGTGCCTCTGGCCAAAAACCTGAACCGGTACACTACGCTTCGTTGATCCACGCTCGTGGCTGTGTTCTCCACGACATGCAAGGCGCGAGGAAGATCTTCGATTCGGTTATAAATGACCCGACCATTCGTCCCAACGCCTGCCTCTTCCAGGCGTTATTCGAGGCTATGGTTGCTAACCATCAAGTTGCCGACACCGAAGCCGTCCTGTCTCTGATGAAGCAAAAGCGTGTGGAACTTACCCCGTACATTGCCAACACGCTCATTCACGGCTGGGCTAGCGAGAAGAACATCGATAGGGCGTCCTCTATTTACAGCAGTGTTGGTCGCGACAAGCGTGAGCCTAGCACATATGAGGCAATGACTCGTGCCTACCTTGCTGTTGAAGACCGAGAGCATGCTAAGTTAGTGGTGGGCGAGATGCTCTCAAGAGGTTATCCCAGTGCCGTTGTTAACAAGGTTCTGGAGCTCCTTGGTGGCGGAAGCAGCGAAGAAGCGGTTGTTGCTTAAATGTCAACTGTGCGATCGACGTTGCTGCGAGTTCCATTTTCTTCTGTTGTTTCCTTTGTTCTTTGCTTTTGATCGCGATACCCCATCATCTTGTGCTACAAGAGGTTGATATGATTCTTTTTTCGCCGGGGTAGTCGGTTGAAGCGAAGGGCAGCATAACTGATCTTGGGCCAGGCGTCTTTTGGTTTGCATGTAAAACGGGTTACGGGCCGGGCACCAGGGGAAAAGGGCATCGGCTGGCACGGATTTATAGATCAATCTCCACTCTGCATATACTGCGAAAGAACTTCCATATTATTATTATCTACGGGCGGAGAGCTATTGGGGGGGACTAACTACAGGACCCCATGGGTTTGGGCGATGGTCAGCCCACGAGATAAAGAGAAAGGCGTTCGGGACGGTTAATTGATGGCGACGCACTCACGATACATTTGTATGGTGCGTGAGAGCGCTTATGGATTAGCGCTGACGTAGCTTCGGGTGTCTCGTATGATAAAATAATTACATGGAAGTTGTTCTAACTATTTATGCGTCCGTATTGTGATGTGATACTATCGTTTGCCGTTATAATCAAGGTATGCAAGGTACGCTCGACAACTCATTAGCATATTAGATGTACTATGAGAGCAGACTCGTTTCGAAGCATTGCTACAATAGATATATATATATATATATATATATATATATATATATATATATACGGGGTATGACCGGAAGTTAAATCAATAAATCATATTGAATTCCTCGTCAACTCCACTCATTCATCGTGCTCGTACTATTTTTTGTCTATACCCCTAATCACCAACCCATGCATGCCCCACATCCCATATCCCATCTCCTAACATCATCCAGCCCACCTCAACCGATATTAAACTCCCCAGCCGCGCTCATAACCTGCTTCATCTTCATCCGCATCCTCCTCGCCGCGTCCTCATCAACGGCATTTTCGCCATCGCTCTCGTCGCCAGCCCTGCGCCTATTCTGCCCACCATTACTGGTATTACTACTATTACCGCTCTTCTGCTGCGGACCAGGTCTATGCGTCCTCCTCGACGGCCCGCCCCCGATCCCGCCCGGCGCCTCGCGCAGCCCGAAGCTCTTGGCCGCGTGGCCCAGGTGCAGCTGCGTGATGTCGAAGAAGCCGCGCTCGTCGCGGACGTGGGTGGCGTACGCGCGGATGTGCGAGCGGAAGGCCTGGCGCGCCGAGTCCAGCAACTTCTTAGCCTCTCCCCCCTTTCCGCCTTCCGCGCCCTCCTTGTCAGAAGCCAGGAGCCGCTGCTCGATGTGCAGTTGCAGCGCCTCCGCGCGGGAGTTCGGCGTCTGACGTTCCGATACTAGGGTCTGGGCTTCGGACGTCTTGTCTGATTTGGGGAGGGTGATGGGCGTTACGAAGCCCTTCTGCAGGGTGGAGTCATAGGACTGGGGCGTGAGCGGGGTCGCGGATTTCAGCAGCTCGACATAACCTTCCTCGCAGCCCGGTTGGAGGAACAACGTGGCCTTGCCCGGCCGACCCGCGCGCGCGGTTCGGCCGATGCGGTGGACGTGGTCGTCGATGCTGAAGGCGGGGTCGTACTCGATGACGAGGTCGACTGCGGGGACGTCGAGACCGCGAGAAGCGATGTCGGTTGTGATGAGCACGGACGGGTCCTTGGAGGCGTGGAAGGCGGCCAGGGTGGATGTGCGCACGGGTTGCTGCAGCGAGCCGTGGAGTTTGAGGAGGGTTATGTCCGGGTTTGCCGGCGATGTGATGTAAGCAGCATCGGCAACGGTGTCTTTTGTAGGGGACGCGTCCTTGGATGAAGAGGATTGTGATGGCGTAGAGCGGAGTAAGTCGAAGTGAAAGTCGACTGAGTCGGCGCAAGAGATAAAAACGATAGCTTTCATGACCGAGCCTTTGCGAGCGAAGGACGACTTCAGAAGTGCTATCAATGTGACCAGACGTAATTTGGCTGGTACAACGATATAAGACTGTTTGAGCTGAGACGGCGCGCTAAAAACAGCATCGTTGGTATCAGTCGCCGCGTCGCCCTCGTTCTCTAACTTAGATGCTGTGATGTGGACAGCATCTTGTAAACTAATCTCGCCCAGCTTTTGCACGTTCATTTTCATTGTGGCGGAACAGAGGACGGTGACACGCCGTTGCGGCAAGGCGCCAAGGGTTACCCCCTCCTTATTCGTCTCTTTAAGCTTCTCCTGACGGATTTTCCCCACGATGCTTTTTAACTCGTCTTCGAATCCCATCTCCATCAGCCTATCCCCTTCATCGAGAACGAGCCATCTCACGGTGCCGACGTCTAGGACTTTCGTGTTGTCCAGATGATCAACGAGACGGCCAGGTGTGGCGATCAGTATGTTAACCCCCTTCCTAAGTCGAGCCTTTTCGGACTTCTTGCTCTCTCCTCCTGTCACAGTCGTGCTGACGATCCAAGGGGTAGAATGCAGCACCTTCTCCAGAACAGCAGCAATTTGTTTACATAGTTCCCTCGTAGGGGCTAAGACAATAGCGAATAAGCCTGAGTCACGATGTATTCGAGTTCCGGTACTAGAGCCGTCTTCATTATGACTTAAGGCTATAATCCGCTGAACGACAGGTAATAGATAGGCTAGAGTCTTCCCAGATCCTGTTTCAGCCTGCAGAAAAGCATCGCTGTCATCCTTTATGAGCAGCGGGATAGTATTCTTTTGTATAGAAGTCGGGGCCTTCATCTCGAGCTTAGACGACAAGTGTTGTGCGATGCGCGGCGACAACCCAAGGGCGCGGAAGTTTTCGGCTTCATCTGATAATGGGGCATTTGACGGCTTCGCTGGTTCTGTCTCGTCGATTACATCCTCGAAAACAGTTCTCGGTGTCGGGTTGGACGTAAATAGTCTGGACGTAACGCTGCCACCTGGTCTAGAACCCGTGCTATATGTGTCATGCCCAGAGTGCGCTATTCGGCCATTCGAGTCGCCGAACGTCCTCTGACGCTTCGCAGGCCTCTCATCCTGGTCGTAGTCATGGTGAAGGTGTCGTCGATCATTAGACAGCGGGGTGGAATTGGCTGAACTCGCATGCCCTTCGCGATTCTTTCGTGCGCTTCGCTGAGCGTGGACTCGATCTCTCCAGCGACCACCTGTGAACTTGACCTGTCTCTTAAGCGGAGCATCACCGCCAATGTCAAAGTTGAGAAGCATACCACCGTCTGCCATGGTCGCGAAATTGCGGATGTTCCTTATGAAGGTCTTGGAAAAGTGGAAAACGGCAGAATTTCCTGAACTTTTTGGCGGTCGATACCTATGCATGGATTAGTATCGATAGTAAGTACCTTTCTAGCTTATAATACGATATATGTATTTAATGTGCAATACATATACACTGATATATGCATACCCAGTTATACGTGATGGGAGTTTATATAACTTCACTACAGCTATATTGGTATCTAAGACTATTCACGAGCAATTGATGACCTTAAAAGAAGAGTATTGTCGTTCGAAGTAACCCTACTTAAGTACACGAACATATTTAGATCATCTAAGATAGACTCAATCTACGCCCTTCATACTCATTCAAGTCGCATCACGCCTAAGTAGAACACACCGAGAAACATATACAAGCACTAATCTAAACCCCCAAACAAACCAGGGCCTCGAATTCGAGAATCCGCTATCGCATGAAATGAAGAAGAAAAAAGTGTGTAGTCATTCCCCTAGGTTAGGTAACTAGTTACCCCCATACAAAACAGTATCATGTGAAGGACCTTTCTAAAACCATACATGCCCCATGCCAACCAGCCATGCCGTACCATCTACAGTAACTAACCAAAATCATCCTTGGCCTCGCCCGTATCCTGTTTATCCTTTTCCCCCTCTGTAGCATCAAGCTGCGCCTTCAACGGCGCCGTCTCCAAGCTTGCCGCGCCGGCGCCGCTCCCGGGGAGTCCCAACGTGCTAATACGTCGTCCTCTCGTATTATCCTCTAGAGCCTCGCTCTCTTCATCTACACCATCTCCCTGGTCATCCGAATCTTCGTCGTCGTCCTGGTCCGCCGCCTCGAGGTTCTGGTTCAGCTTGTTTCCGATGCCCAGCACGAACGCGCTGGCGTACGCGAATTTATCGATGCCGTTCCCGCTCGGCAGGTCCGAGTACGTCTTGCGGGCTTCGTTAAGGCACCGCTGTGACTGTATGTACTTCCCCTGCATGACCCAGGCTTCGGCGCCAAGAACACTCCAGAGCGCTGATTTCCGCCGTCTGCTGCCCCAGCGGTGCGTCCCCATGCCTTGCTTAGAGGCATAGCAGACGGCGAGGCGTTCCTTGATCAACGCGTCTCCGATTGGTCCCGTAATCTTACTTTCCAGTAGTCGAAGACCCCACTTCGCGGCTTCGTCGACGCTCGAGCCGCCGCGTAGGCGCAAGAGCTCTAGACCGAGAGCAAGGCATCGCAGTGCTCCGTAAGGCGCGCTGCAACGTGTTATGTACGAGTAAAAGGCAGCTTCAAAGGCGGTATCTATCATTTCCGCTCTTGATTTGGCCGTTAGGTTCTGAGGCATGATGAGAAGGCTGATGGCTGTCATCTCGCTCGCTGCTGCGTGATATCTCCACGCCTTATCGTTATTGAAATCGCCACGCAGGAGGTCATATGTGGAGTGGGCTAGCTTCCAGTCTCGTAGCATAAAGGCGTAGTCTGCCAGCTTTCGCATTATCGCTTCTGGGGCGTCCTGTCGGTAGAACCCGTGAGAATCGTAGTTACTTCCAGAGCCCGGTCCTGCGAACGATGTCCTAGAATTGCCACCGAAACCCCATCGTTTTGTTAGACCAACAAACCGGCCGGCTAATCCTCTTCTCCGCGATGCTACCTGGTCATTCCATACTGACACATGACGCTCCATCGTCGGTATTATAGATTGGGTTACCATTTCACGTATGAAAGTGCGTATTGCGGTCGCGTCCGACTCGAATATGTACCTAGTTGGGTCCTCAAAATCCTCTTGATCTTCGCTCCTCCGAATATCAACTAACTCTTCCGAAGCTGACATCCATTCGCTTCGGGGAAGCGGTATACTATCATCATCAGTAGCGACACTCTGTGTTCCCCTTATACGGAGTAAGTGACAGTGGAGGCCTAGATTTCGTTTCATCTGATCAAAAAGGGACATAGATCTCGTAATATCGTCTCTCTCTTCTTCGTGAACTAAGACATAGTAGCGCAAGAACTCTCCATCGACCCAATTAGGCAATCGCTTGTCTCCCGTGCTCGATTCGGCATACAGTCGCCGTAGTGTCTCTATTGGAGTTTGGTTGCGAGAACTTATCGCGATGACGCAAGCAACCGGGTGAGCAAACGTCTCGTGCGGCGTTAAGGGTAGGCCAGACAATAACCTTCGCAGGTATAGGGCATAATATGGTGACGGCACATCAATATCTAGGCCATTATTTGTAGGACTCTGGGGTAAACTGAAGAAGGATTCTTCAGCATACCTCAGGTGGCGGTCCACGACAGCCTCTACATCAGCGATTGCGATCCCTTGTCTCGATTGGCCCCTATCGTTCGACTTCTCCGAGACACCGTTCGTCCTCGGCACTTGCGACCTCAACCCGGTTGTTACGGGTTCTGGGTGTACAACACCCTCTCCGAATTGGACGAAATGTATCGAATAATCTTCATACGTCCGACTAGATCCATTACTATCCCGTATTATAACCTTGCCTTGGACTCGCTCGCCGAACGGTCGAAGTAGCTCCCATAAGCCACGCGCAAACCCCTTCTCCTTCAATAAGATATCGGTATCCTCGGATGAATATACGGCCACGTGCGGTACGAATGCTCTAAGTATTAAGTTAAGCGGATCACCTGGGCTATCGTTAACGTTAGAGACGAGTGCAAGGGCGTTGTTCGATGCTGCGCCGAAGACGGAACCGGATGCTAGTCGTGATGGTGGACGACCAACAGGCGACTGGGACCTCGAACCCGGAGGTGACAGAGTCGAAGCATATAGAGAAGCGGCAGAGGGATGTGATCGTCGGTATGGTAGGCTGATTTCGGAGTTATAAAGTGGTGAGACATCGTTGAGAGTATGGCGGCTCTTCTGGACCCTTAAGGCCTGGGATAGTACGGGGGATGAAGGGAGTGATCCACCCCCAGGCGGTGAATCATGGCCGGAAGGTTGCATGAAGCCGGGCAACCTTGGAAGTGTGGCTGTCCGTGGTCTTCTATCCCTCGAAACGACTCGACTACTGGGTGTCGCATTTGGTGACGACGACCCAAGAAGGGCGTAGGAGGGACAAGGTGGCCCTAATTGTGAAGACCTGCGAACACGACACAGTATGCAGATAACACCTAGCACCTAGCGCCAACAAAGGTCGAGTATTATCGGGTCAAACAACCATTTTGTGTTGAATTGAGTTCACGCACTAGAGTCCTTGAAAGTTGAAGCGATGATGTTATTCCGTAAGTTCCTAATTCCCAGTTCCGATTCAATTAAACAAAGTCGGGCTGTCAGCAGAATTCGGGTCCGGCAAGGTACATATCGATAGCAGACGCCACTTTTTCATGCCACTTTTAATTATTAGCCTCTCGGTATATGAATATGAGCCACAATTTATCATAATTGACCCCAATTAAACCAGGGGTTCAGTCGTACCTTTACGGCTGACACAATTTTGGATACAGGTTGACGTAGGACCTGCTGTGGCTTGACATAAGAACCAAAATCAATAGAGGAAACTTCCGCACATGCTTCAATCATGGATCCATATTATTTTTCTTTACTTTTACTCTCATCAAATGTCATTTAGCCTTACACTTCTCTTGAGTTTCAAGATGCACTTAGAAAAGAAATGCCCTCTTGGAGTTAGCAAAATAAAGGGCAAGTATGTTACTTGGGTATATATATGTCATGACTTGACTAATTACACAACTTCTAAGTTACCTATAGCTTTACTATTGTAAAGAGCTGTAATTTTTGTCCACTTGGTTCATAATAACACTTTAATATCTATTCAACAATTTGAGAAAACCTAAGATCATATAGTCACCTATTATGCGATGCCTCGCTTCCTTCCGGTCTATTTATAGCATTAGTACACTTCACATCTTACACTCGCTTTCCCATATTTCTGTCATAGGCACTCGTCAAAGTAACAAGTACCTACCTAGGCAACGTTGGATGGCTAGGTAGGCAGTTCAAGCCATAAGCATGTTGTGGCATTGTCATTATTCTTTCAGAGATGGCGACGGGTCGCATACTAGAATAACTACATAACCACTTAGAGTCGCGTCCGAGTTGAAGTTACGTAAATGAGACGTTACATCTGCGAGAATAGGAGTCGAGGAGTAAATGGTTGATACCTCTGACATGCAAAAGCTTTCGGCTGAGATTAATTCATCCGTAATTTACCGGTAGACTCCCCAGTCTTCCTAACATTAGGTAGCTTCAAACTAACTAGCTAGCTGCAGTAGATCCGGCAGTTGGGAGTTATGATCATGGTTTGTTGACTGGATGGCCGTGTTCAGAGATTTATTACGACAATAATCGTCAGGTCAAAGTGCCGAGGCGTGCCAAAGAACGTGAGCTTCAGTGCTGTAGAACTAACCATGAATTTAAAGTCCAGCTACAGCGTTGCAGCAGACTGAAAGACGATTAAAAGCTTTAAAAGTTACCTGGTTCTTAATGAATAGAATATACCTGTATCTGATAAAGCACATTAAACTGTCTTAACGAAACGCACTTCATCAACTATTAAGGTTCTCGGGTAGCGTAGAAGGAAGCTGATTGGCTCCTCCTATCCCCACATAGCCGAAAACGGCAATCATCAGGACTCGATAAACGAATCACATCTCGGGCAGAGATGTAAAAGAGTGACTTCGATATAGGAATAACGGAAGATAAAAGGACAATTCGATCTGGGTTCGGTGTTTTGTCGCATCTTGCAACTCCCCAAACTCTCTAAAGAGTCGAGGCAAAAATCAGGTTGCCATCAAGATACGCCTAGGCTGAGGATGGACCCATGGTTCGACTGAAGGGAATTCTCTGGCGTAAAATAAACCTCGAATTGGGCGTTGTGAATTTTGCCAAGGCGGCTGAACATGCAAGAGGATAAATTGACAACACTTTTTGCGGTAGAGCTCGTGTCTGCAGTGGCTGCAGTGCTACCTAGTCTAAAGTCTTGTCTCGTAAGCGAAAGATCTCTTCAGGATCTCTTCAGGTACCATAATGTCACGCTATAAACGAGAGAAGTCATATTGAGATCCATTCCTCGTGCATATACCGGTCAATTCGCGATTTTCAGTCTATATTCCCTCATGTGATAATATATTGAGCTGACGAGGCCTCGGTCTCTTGGCCTGCCGTCCTGCTGCCGACATGAGGAGATCTGGCACGACTGTCTAGTCCCAGATCTGCGTGACATCTAGACTTTAAGGATGCAGTTTTGTTTGTTTTATTCTTGGCATTCGATGCAGCCGTAGTTGGCACACTCGTATTTCATCCGATATTCGATAGCCACTTTGTACGACGCAGAAACTCGGACGGGCTAAGAACTTCTTAAAGGCTGATTTCTAATATCAGTCATCAAGAACCAGAAAAGAGATATTATAGCGTATAGAGTAGTGGGCAGTTGAAGACGAGTATTTATGCGATAGTATCGCTATAAGCCGTTCGAAGAAAAAGGGAGGAAAATACTCAAAATACCGGACCGGGAATCCCGCCAAGCCATTAAGCCGCCATTTCATTAATTTGTTCGTATCCTGACTGCAAGTAGACCTCCAATGCATCAGATCCAGAGTGTGGAGAACCCTGCCGGGAACACGCAGCTTCGCAATCTTCGGGTTCAGCCAATATGCTTTGAGAGAAGGCACATTTAGCCATGACAATGGAGCTCAAAATTTCTATCCACCTGCAACATTGGATCTTGCGCACTGGACGGTTCGTGAGTCCTTCTCGCGACGGGACCGAGGATCCCGGCAGTATCTGTCAATATAAGTCTGGACCACGCCGCCAGATGATTTGAATCTAGGATGGCCGCTTAACTCTGAGTTATCAAGGAACTCATCATGAGGTTCGGACAAATTGTTGGCGGCATCACCGCCGCCTTGCTCGTGAGCGGCATACCAGCTGCTAGGATTCCGAAGAGACAGGAACCTCCTCCTGTTTCTTCGTCTATTTCTTCCGCAACACCAGCTCCTCCGGCCTCTACTGAAACGCCAGTACCTCCACCCCCTAGTTCCACCGAGGACCCAGTCCCGCCTCCTCCTTCAGAGACACCAGCGCCCCCACCTCCCTCTGAGACTCCAGCTCCTCCACCTCCATCTGATCCCCCGGTCCCTCCACCTCCTTCTGAGCCCCCAGTACCACCATCCCCTTCTGAGCCTCCGGCACCCCCACCACCTTCCGAGACTCCAGTCCCGCCTCTTCCGCCGCCTCCTCCTCCAGCACCGACCAGTTCGACCGAAGTTCCTGCGCCCCCTCCGGTACCAACAAGCTCTACTGAGGTCCCTCCACCTCCCGAACCTCCAGTTAGTTCCACTTCGACGGAAGTCCCGGCTCCTCCAGCTCCTCCGGTTACTTCCAGTTCGACCAGCGTGCCAGCGCCTCCGCCTTCGACCTCAACGGAAGCCCCGGCCCCGCCACCCAGCACTACCTCCGAGGCACCGGCACCTCCAGTCACCTCTACCTCGACCGAGGCGCCTGCCCCTCCCGTTACTTCGACCACTTCAGAGGCCCCCGCTCCTCCCTCGACAACCGAACCCCCTACAACTTCCGTGCCTGTCCCACCACCTCCCGCCCCGGTTGAGACATGCAGTGCGCACTTGCTAGTAGACGACTTCTCGCAATGGGAGACCGGCGAGAATCTCTTGACGGGTGCTACGAGCGGTAAGAGATCCCCCAAACCGTAATCCCCAACACATTCATTCTTCTTTCTACGCGCAAATGTTTGTATGCTCGACCAACTGCTAAACCTCCAAACAGATGACCAAACCATGAACTCGACCAGCACCGACGGCGGCATCCTGACCTTCACGCCCAACAACATCGACGATTCGTACATATACGAACAATTCGCCTGCCTCGAAAGCATCGCGCAAGGCTATGACTCGCTCTCCTTCAACATCAAGGGGCCCGAGGCAGCCTCCGTCTCCATCGAGCTGCAGACGGTATCCGACTGCGCCTCGGAGGAGTACCAGAGCTTCTACTACACCCTAGACGGTCTAAGCGGGTCTCTGCAGACCATCAACATCCCGCTGAACAGTTGGGTCGACGCCAACTTAGACGGCATCGTCGGCGTGCTATGGTACGGGTTTTCGGCTGGCCTGACGGGCACCGACAACGAATGGCAGTTAGATAATGTGCAGTTCCTGTGTGCGGACGTCGCGCCTCCCGAGGACCCCGAACCTCCTGAGTCTACGTCGGCGCCGGCTGGACCAGGTGTCACTGTCACGGTCACTGTGACCGTGCCCGCAGACGATGATAGCATCACGAGAATACCGTTACCTCCGACAGCCCCCGGCAGCTCTGTCTGGCCGACAGAAGACCCTCCGTGGTGGGAAGACGACCCATGGGATGGGTGGTCCGCAAGCTCGACCCTGCCGGCCGCAGTTCCTGCTACCCCGACACCGACGGCGGAACCCAGGACAGACAGGAACCAGCTCGTAGCGCGACAGGACGAGTGCAGCAACCTCCTCATCGATGACTGGGTATCTCAGTCGCGCCTAACCTTCCTTTACTACAACGCGCTGCTGCAGTCGACCAGCGACGACGAAACCATGAAGTCCATCGTGGTCAAGAACAACAGGGTGACTATTACGCCTACGGATACTGACTCGTACTTCTACACGCAACTCGGCTGCATCAATGCGGAACAGTACGGAGGCGTCTCGCTCCGCATCTCCGCACCTGCCGGCAGCACATTCGACGTGCAGCTATCATCGACTAAGGGAACATGCGGCACCGAGCGGACCAACGACGTTACCCTAAGCACAAAACAGCTCGGCTGGACATTCGATGGAACGGAGCAGTTGTACTCGATTCCTTTCTCCAAGTACGACGGTCTCGATTTGACCAAGTTCGAAATGGTGTTCATCACGAACCTGAGGAAGGCCGTGACTTTCGGACCGATGAGCCTGTACTGCGGCGAGGAGGTCGTCGAGTACATACCCCCTTCCGTCGTCGAACCATCCGAACCAAGCGAGACCGTGCCCGCGCCGGTAGGCAAAGCGACTAACCTCGTGATCGACACCTTCTCCAACGAGGACACGAACGCCTTGAAGCAATGGCACGGAGCGGACGAAGGCATGACGTTGACTTTCCGTAAGAATACGATGACGCTGAAGACCAACGACTCGGACTTAATGTGGGTGACGCAAGTCGCGGAGACCTGCAGAGACTTGACCGAGTTCGACGGGTCCTACCTGCACGTCGCGTACACCGGAAGCAACCTCTTCACCGTCTCCCTACAACAACACAACGAGAAGTGCGATAACGACATCTACCCCTACCCGGAGACGTGGGACTCGCTTGAGGCGCAGCGGTACGCCAGCGACACCGATATCTACATCCCGCTCGACCACTTCAACGTGAACCGGTCGCGGTCCATCGGCTTCGCCTTCAAGGGCTTCTACAGCACGGACCCGACAGTCTTCTCCAAGATCGAGATCGTGAGCTCCGTGCCCGACGGCTTCACCATCCCAGAAAAACTACCCTCGGGCACCTTCGTCTTCTCGTGCAAGCGGCCCAACTCCTTCGCCTTCGCCATCGACGACGGGGAACCGGCCTTCGCGCAGCAGGTCATGAAGACGATCGACGACGCCGGCATCACCGTCACCTTCTTCACCGTCGGCGCGCCGCTGCGCGACCCCACCACGAACCTGAGCGCCATATACAACGAGATGGCGGCCAAGGGCCACCAGATCGCCCTGCACAGCTACACGCACCCACCGCTCGAGGGCCTGCCCGACGAGGCCTCGATAGACTGGGAGTACAGCAACGACATCGAGGCCGTGAAGGAGACCTTCGACGGGCTGACGCCCAAGTACTTCCGCCCGCCGTTCGGCACCGAGGGCGCGCGCATGCGTCAGCGGCTCGCCGCGCTGATCGAGGAGCCGTATATCGTGCAGTGGAGCGTCGACGTCGAGGACTGGCTGTGGGCCGAGTCCGACACGCCGGAGAAGCAGCTCGAGGCCTTCAAGCGTGACGTCGCGGCCGGAGGCGACATCGTGGTCATGCACTACTTGTACAACAGCACGGTGTCTTACCTGAAGGAGTTCATCGAGATAGCTAAGGCTACGGGTAAGCAGTTGATGCGTGTGGATCAGTGCATGATGGATCCCAACGCGCCGCCGCTACCGGGCGAGGAGCCAGAAGAACCGGGTGAGGGCGTTCCGGAAAAGGGAGAGTAGGGGAGTTGATTCAAGGCAAGGGTGCTTGAGCTATCAAAGGTTTATCGTATGTATCTAGTTCCATGTCATTAGCATATAATAAAACCATAAAACTACTATCGCAATTGAAACGTCTGCAAAAGGCTAAGCTAGGAGGATTCTAGCTTGCCATAAGTAGCGTACGTGACCTTAGTAATCGCCCTGGTAGATATCCGCCCCACGAGCGAAGCTATCATCACGAAACCCACTTCACAAGTCCGCTGATTTGGTGATAAGTTGCTCGGCGGCACAGCCGTTTCCTAACGCAGTATAAAAACACGAGCGGCTGCTGATGAAGTCGCTTTGCATGTGTGTAATAACACCATAAGTTTTGTAAGGCTATGCGTAAGAGAACATCATGTGAAGTGATAAGAGACTTGCGTGCTTGACCTGTGTGGTTACTGGGGTAGATCTCGATGCGACTGACCTTCGATATGCAGTCATCATGTACCCTGATGGGGGTTGGTGCAACAATAAGAACAATGACAAATATCCAATGACAAATAGGGGATTATTCAGTCTGTTTGTAGGGCATCAGTACTAAGTAGATAGGTACCAAGGTAAGTAGGTAGATATAAATGAGAACCCCGAGGACCAGCCTTGCGTCTTCGTCGTTACCTAGGTATATTTGACGAATGAATCCTCCTCGGTGTTTACTCCTTGATATACGGGAAGCAATCGACCATCCTAGTAAAGGTTCATCAAAATAGTCGCTCAAAGTCATGCCTCTCCCTTCTGACGAGAAGGTCGTCCAGACCAGTAGTGCTATAGTCAGCACTTTGCATAGCATTTTCGGACCACACCCTGGATTCAGACCTAGTATCCTTCGCTAAAATAGCCTCCTAAGACTAGCATATGCTAACATCAATATTTAGCACACGCAAAAGGGGTCTTGCTCAAGGGCACTTTCGCGCCCACCGAGGCAGCCAAGGCGCTCTCGAGAGCACCTCACTTCAACAACGCATCAACCCCAATAATCGCGCGATTCTCCAGCTCTACCGGGATTCCTGAGATCCCGGATACTGATCCTAACGGGAACCCGCGCGGCTTTGCCATCCGATTCGTACTAGCCGAGACTCCTCGCCGCGTTCACACTGACATCATTACTCACTCCGTAGACGGATTTCCGGGATCAAACGGGACAGATGCCCTTGAATTCTTTACCGCGCTCAAGGACGGTTCGATCGGCGACTATCTGGCTTCTCACCCGAAGGCGCTGGCCTTTGTTCAAGCCCCGAAGCCAACTCCGGCCAGCTTTGGCAAAGAGAAGTACTTCGGGGTGAACGCCTTCAAGCTTATTGCAGCTAACGGGAAGGAAACGTTCATTCGGTATCGCATCGTGCCTGAAGCCGGGGAGGAGTACCTCGACGAGGCAACTCTAAAGGAGAAAAGCCCATCATTCTTATACGATGGGGTGTCGGAACTGTTAAAAGGCGGACCAGTTGTGTTTAAGTTGAAAGCACAGATCGCGGAAGACGGAGACGTAACTGACGACAATACTGTCAAGTGGCCAGCAGAGCGTCAGGTAGTCGATCTTGGCACAATTAAGCTTGATTCTATTGCCGACGATCAGACTGCACAGCAGAAGAGGATAATCTTCGATCCAATTCCGAGGGTTGACGGAGTTGAAGCATCGGAAGACCCGCTCCTGGACGTTCGCGCCGGTATATATCTCCTGAGTGGTCGTGAGAGACGCGCTGCATGAAGATTGTATCTATCAAACCATTCTAACAAAGTGAGCTTGGCACAAGATAATGAGAAAAGCACTTTGCTGAGTCAGGCGATTTGAAGGGGGGCATATATCAGGTCGAAAACCCAAAATTAATGTCATTGAATCTTCCTATGATAATATGCGTTCAGATAAGTTATGCTATAATAGGACGTTTAGTATGTCTCGTGCACCCACCAGTGTATAGCCAAAAACTGGAACGTGGTGCTATGCCCTGGCGCCTTTCAACCCTCTTCCAAACGATAAAATCATATCTCATAAGGCGTTGCAGGTTCCTTGAAAATCAAGTGTGGTTTCCTCTTGGCAATATCGAGTATCGTTTCTGCGAAGACTCCGTTCGCCCCTGTGACGTCGTTAGTAAAATACGTGTTGTTTAGGTGGGCTTGATTGTCAACACTTACAAGCAAACCAGCTTCCTGAACCACGGTTAGTAAACGAGTCTAATAATAAGAGGAAGAACACTCACTTGTATAAGAATGAATTAGATTGACATCAACACTTTCATGTATTAAACCTAGTTTGCTCGACTTGAGAACTAGTTTTAGGCACTCGGTTATTTCTTCGTCATCGTTAGATGTCTGAGCTTGGATAAGAAGACTCATAGGCCATGCGTTTGAGAGGCCAATATGGGGACCTTCAAAAATAAAAGTCAGTATAAGCCTGATGACAAATGAACTGAAAAGTAACTCACCTCCAATACCCTGAAATTCTCTCCCGGTGAGATAGTAAGGGTTTGATGATTTCGAAAGCAGCATGCGCCGCGTGTTTTGGTAAGTTTTGTCATCTGGCGATAAGAATCCCATAAGTGGTAGAGCTAGAAGAGACGGGTAGTTCGCATCGTCCATTAGAATGGATGACCCGTATCCGTCCACTTCGTAGGCAAAAACATTGCCAAATGTGCTATGACGAACAATGCCATGCTCCCAAACACCATTGGTAATGGTTTGGCTCCATGACTCGACAGTTTGAGCCAGAACATTCTTCCCAGCATCCTGGAGAATAGCAGCTGTCCTCTTCAGCTCTACAGCCATCATTGCATTAGCTGGAATGAAGAAACCTAGGATAGTTGCATCATCACTTGGTCTGAACGCGGAGCGGACGAGGCCAGTACCGTTGTTGAGAGGATTCCCTACACCCTTAAGACTGAGAGTCTCCGTTCCCGTGTTCGTGTTACGGTTGAAAGTGTACTCGTTCCGTCTATATCGACCTGTTTCCGGATCGAACGTCGACATCGACTGTTGCTCAAGAACATTCAACAGAGTTTCTAACGCTAGATACCAGCGCGGCGTCAAGAACTCCTTAGATCCCGTATGATCATTGAAGTCATTTCCCAAAGCAAGGAAATGAGCGAGGGAGTCTAATTCGTATTTGCATTCGAAGACAGACGAAGGCTCATAGACAGGATGGACAACATCGTCTTGTCCATTATGAGACACAGGTAACCCACTTATGGGTGGTGGTTGGAAGGCATTGCAATACGGGGACTCGATGACGTATTCGGATTGGGTATTGATAGCGCCTAGGATCAAGTTATATACTGCGGGATCCTTCTTTGCCAAAGGTTGATAAGGGGAAAGCTGGTTGGTCGAGTCCCTAAGCCATTCGGCAATAATATCTCCAGTGATGATAAATGAATGTGTACCCTCCCACTTTCCTTCGTCGTATGCGTGTCTCTTCGGCTTCTTTTTGGTGGGTTGGGATCCGGTCGTGTGGAACTTCACGGTCGTGTCTGTGGTGGACTGTATGGTTGTCTCAGTCAGCTATACAGTCGTACAAGTACGACAGAAGGAAGAGTATGGATCCGACTGACAGGAAAGGCGTTCTCAAAGAGGCGCGCAAGGTCTGGGTCCTTCATACGTGAAGTCACATCCTGTATGACTTGTTCAATGGCGTCCGAGTGAAAGGTTCGACATCGCGGATCCGGTCTCTGGAAGGGTAGAGCAAGAGGTCCATCGCTGAGGGGACGGTGAGGATATGCCGAGTATTGCGTATAATCAGGGCATGCTTCCTGATATTGGAAATCATTCAATGGGATCTGTTCCTGACCGTACGCATGTGGTTGAGGCCCCGATCCTAATACGAAGGTTGAATACAAACCCGCAACGAGCAGGCTTGAGCCTATTGAACCCGTCATTGGTATGGCGCGAGCTGCCCTAGCTCTATATAGGTCATGAATTGTTCATGAGGAGAAGAAAGATCAAGAGTTGTAGGGATTACAACTCGAATTGGATAGAAACCTTAGTTTGAAGTAAAGTCAAAGGAAGGCCGCACCTGCAGGGACTTGATGCGGTTCGTCACGAAGACTCCAAGACTCTAGGGCTCTTTCCGTGGGGACACGCTTACAAGTTAGATGGTACCTTCTCTTATTGGCAGAACTCGTAATTGTCGCCCCGCAAATAGCCAGGATCGTGGAATGGAAGCTCTAGCTTCGGCTCTAACCCCCTAACCCCCCGCTAACGTCATGTCCATAACCCTTCTCGAAGCATTCGGTTTCAGGTCGTCATGTCACGAAACATTGCTTGATTTACGTTTATGATTTACAACATTTCTAGGGGCTTTACGTCCAATCCCGAGAAGACCTACAGAATATCAAAAGCAGGGGGCTCTATAGCTCCTCGGGAATAAACCGCCTAGAAACTGGACGTACTTACAGTAAATACATATGTCCTAGGTATGTACCTCCTTAAGCTTAAACTAGTAAGCTCCGCTAGCGAAAGGTAATCGGTGGGGGATCTTATCCGTTTGCTTATCGTAGCTTACCTACGTACATATTTTTCTTAAGAGCTTCACAAATTCCAACCGATCCGGCCTCAGATGTCCGCAGCAGAAACCATCACGATTTCCACAGCGTTCGCTTCAATTTCCCATTGAGCCACTGCGATGGCTCGTGATGTTTCCATAATTGCCTCATCTCGTCCTCCGTAACATTCGTTACCATATTTCCTATTTGGAATATCTCGTTAATCATGTTGGCACTCTCTATTCGCGGCTTCGCAGGCTCGCGTGCTCTTAATAGACCCTTCATCCGAACCATAGCCTCGGCTCGTCATAAATCATTCGAAACCATTCCATCTTCGCCAATTCGAATATTGCGATCGGTTGAATCAGTCAGAAGATGGAGGAGGCCCCAGTACCTCGACCATAGGATTGTTGGCCTGGTCCCCACTATGGGAGCTCTGCACGAAGGTCATCTTTCTTTAATTCGCTCCGCGGCCCGCGAAAGCCACCACGTCGTCGTCAGCATATACGTAAATCCGGCACAATTTGGTATCAAGGAGGATTTGGCTTCTTATCCCGTGACTTGGGAGTCGGATTGTAAGATCTTGGCTGAACTGGACCGTGAGTTGGCCGACGATGGTGGTAATCTGGGCCGCATCAGCGCTGTTTTTGCGCCAACAACCCCCGAGATGTATCCCTCCGGCTTTCCGGGCCAGGAGGTGGACTCGAAGGGAAGTTTTGTGGTCTTAACGCCAATAAGTGAACTGCTTGAAGGTGGCACTCGACCAACGTTTTTCAGGGGTGTTGCCACTGTTTGTATGAAACTATTTAACATCGTACAGCCTGAAAGGGTGTACTTTGGCCAGAAGGACGTTCAGCAGACGGTGGTCATCCGGAAGATGGTCAGAGACTTCATGCTACCTACCGAAGTTGTTGTCGGCCCTACTGTTCGGGAGTCTGACGGTCTTGCTTTAAGCTCGCGGAATGTCTACCTTGGCGAGAGGCGACGCAAAGTTGCTACAGTATTATATCATTCACTGAAAGCTGCCGAGTCTCAGTATTTGGACGGAAATTTGGATCGGGAATCGATCCTGAAAGCTGCCAATTCTATAGCTACGAATTTTTTAAACGAGCAAGCAGCCTTGTCTCCCGAAAGGAGGGTAAGGTACGAGATAGACTATATCTCGCTTGCAGATCCTTTAACGATGGAGGAACTAACTAAGGTTGATCCGGAAAAGGGCGGCATCCTAAGCGGTGCGGTGAAGATGCTGCCTGTTGAATCGCCGCAGCCAGGCGAAGACTTAGGACATAGCGGAGGGCCAGCAGTCCGCCTCATAGACAACATTGTCTTGAAGCCTTCTGCAAAAGTCTAGATTAGACAATGCTTGAAAATACCCAAGAAGTTCAATTATTACCAAAGAAGCAATCCTCAAAATATGCCCTCGTTTCAACTCGGCAGAGTTATATCATACTCGAGCCTTTTAATATTAACATATCTTCCATTACTGCTGGCCTACCGCCCTGCTAATGGGATTGGCTAGGTAGATCTAGCACTTTTACTCGGGACTTTCCCATTCACCACCTGCTCAGCGCAAACTCCGAAACTTGAGCTACACGTACCTACGTATATACATGGCAAAGCCAAAGGTAATGTCCCAAAGACGGTATCATTAAATTGTCTCCTTCGTCCGGCAGAGATACAAATCTCGTAGTTCTGCCAACTAAAGGATTTCGCCGCGATGCGTTGATTCTCCACCTGCAGTCTTACGATGAATTTCCAATGACGATGTGCAGGAGTACTACTCTATATCAAATAGCACCTGAAGTACATACGTATACATGACTCGAATTGAAGGGGGGCACATTTATGTTGGGATAGAACTGAACTTAAGTTCCAATTCCCCGCAGAAAAAGAAGGTTAAGCCGTTTCCGTCCCATCCACTTCAAACCTAGATTCTCACCGTATAACATTGTCGGAAATCTCAACCTTGTCTAAAGTTCGACTATCACAAACTCGTCTCGTTCAGAGTTGCGGTCCGGATCTTTAACCCTTTTCCCAAACAGAAAAAGTGGTTTTGTTCGAACAGTTTCCCCTGTCGATCATCTGTTCCTCTCCAATTGACTTCAGGTCATCCGGCTATTCTCTTTAGCACACCACACACCCACACACAGAGAATAAGGGACGCGGGGTAGAAGTCTCAAATGTCGGGAACACCCACCGCCGTCTCCGCTCCGGGTAAGGTGCTTCTAGCCGGAGGATACCTCGTTCTCGACCGTCAATATACCGGGCTCGTCTTCGGTCTGAGCGCCCGCATCAATGTCGTTGCTCAGGAGATCAAAACCAGCAAGGGCGTTCAGTTGAGCGAGATTATTGTTGATAGCCCTCAGTTCCTTGAAGCTCAATGGCGCTATGGATACCATCTAGCTCACGGAGACGGCGGCATTAAGGTCACTCAGTTGCAAGTGTAAGTCCTCACTCTTCTTGCTGGACCTCAGCATTCTTAATTTTCTTGTTCTGTCGTATACTCTTCAATTCTTCTATTATGAGCTATATTCATGAATATTTATAATGTGCTTATGTTCAATGCACTTGATCTCATCTTGCTGCTTCCATCTCTCACTTTACTGTATTAAATTATAAGTATACCCATACATAAGCACCTTATACTTAACACTTCCCAACCAGTGGCTCCAACATAAACAAAAACCCCTTCGTCGAGACCACGCTGGCTTACGCCCTCACCTACATCACCACGGCCGGGAATCTCAAGAAGTCCTACACATTCCACCCGGCCCAGCTCACCATCCTCGCCGACAACGCCTACTACTCGCAACCTCACACCTCCTCCCCCTCCTCATCCCCGTCTCTACCCAACCGCTTCGCCAAATTCCCCACTAAGCTCAAAGATGCCCATAAAACCGGTCTCGGCTCCTCCGCGGCCTTAGTCACCGCACTCACCGCCGCTCTACTAACCCACTACCTGCCTCGCACCGCCTTCGACCCGGCCTCGGACGCGGGTAAGCTAGTCCTGCACAACCTAGCGCAGGCGGCGCACTGCGCGGCCCAGGGCAAGGTGGGCTCGGGGTTCGACGTCGCGGCTGCGGTGTTCGGGTCTTGCTCGTACCGGCGCTTCTCGCCCGCCATCCTCAAAGACCTGCCGGAGGTCGGCGCGCCGGGTTTCGCGCCGGCGCTGGCGGCGTGCGTGGACCCGGCCTTCACGTCTGAGAGCGGCAAGGGGGTGTGGGACACGCGTGTCGCGAAGGAGGGCGCGAGCATGCCGGGCGGCGTCGCGCTGCGCATGTGCGACGTGGACTGCGGCAGCCAGACGGTGGGCATGGTGAAGCAAGTCCTGAAGTGGCGCGACGAGACGGATCCCGAGGGCGCGAAGAAGCTCTGGGACGAGCTGCAGAGGCGGAATGAGGAGTTGGCTTCTGTGCTTAGCGCGGGAAGGAAAGACGAGATTAGGGGGGCGGTGGAGGGGGTTAGGGAGCTGGTTAGGGAGATGGGGGAGAAGAGCGGGGTTCCGATCGAGCCGAGGAGTCAGACGGAGTTGTTGGATGCGCTGACGAAGGAGGTGGAGGGTGTGTATGCTGGTGTGGTGCCCGGGGCGGGCGGGTACGATGCCCTGGCGTTGCTTGTGCAGGATGATGAGGCGACGGAGGAGAGGGTTAAGACGTTTTTGGAGAGGTGGAGCGCGGAGAAGGGCGGGAAGGTTCGGTTGCTTGATGTTAAGGGGGAGATGGAGGGCGTGAGGACGGAGGAGTTGGGGCAGTATGCGGGGTGGATATCTTGAGGGTTTGTGGCTGCTTCTGAGGGCTTGGGGGAGGAGGATTTAGATATATGGATATCGTAGACTACTACCTAGGAGGTATGTATTTACGTATTTAAAATAGAATGTGATATTTCTTTTGGATTGGTCCATATCGGATAGGTGACGCTACTGTAGGCAATGGTTACTTTGTGAGATGTTAGTGTGCTTTATACACTCATTAAGGTCGACTTAAGGAACGGATGAAACCGTCTGATAAGTTGGATTCATCGTGATACTAGGAACAAAAAGAATATTGAATATTCCTCTTCAAGGCCCAACCCAGGATCTGTTGACCGGCTCCTGGCTATTGCGCCCCCGCTATTAGGTATTTCTTTGCCTCCCTTTTTCAAGGCCCAGACGATGTGCAATGTCTGGGAATCGAACCCTAGGCCATCCATTGCAGTATGGCCGTTAGAGCAGGAACGATAAGGTATCTGTGGCACAGACCATTCAACCACTCTGTATGTTCAGGTTGTGGAATTGATGCCGCCGGTGAAATTTTGTGACATTACCGCATTATTTAAGCCTGACTTCGGAAGGGGTGTGTTGCTGCCTATAGCTTTTATGTCACTTTCCATAGATGAGTCACGGGATAGCTAATCGATCACGTCGCGAACGGGACTAGCCATGAAACCAATACATCGTCGAAATATAACCACAGAAAATCCAGTTCTCTGCAATTTATATATTCGTACTACTACAGCATGCCGAAAGGACGACTCTCCCATCACGGACGAGAGCCAGAAAAACGCCGTATCCTTAATACCAGTGCAAGGCCCCCACTAACCGACCATGCATAATAACCAACCCGTTCATTAGCCCCATTAAGTCCCCTTAAAAACCTAACGCCTCGATGGGATTTGCTGCTGGATTTGCTGGAAAAAGGAAAATGGAAAAATGGAAGAATCAGGAATCATGAATCTAATGTACCGCACCCGGTTATCGTACTATCGTACACACCTCCTCTTACGATTTTTTTTAAAAAAAGCCTTAGGTTAAGTTGATTTCTTCGTATTCATTCGTTCGTTGGGTTGGTAGACGTAGGTGTCTACCACGTGATAGCATTAGGTAAAAGTGGCCAGGGACGAGGTCCCGTATCGAGGAATTGGGGCCACTGTTCTGCCAGCCATATTCTCGACTGCCAACACATTTTGCTCGTTTTGTTGGCAGGGGATAATGTATGGTCAGGAGAGGCAATGATACAGCTCAGCTAAGTTCAGATCAACGACCTTTAGACTCATCCGTGAAGCTCCACGATGCTGCTTGATGGATCGAGAGTTTGCAATAGGTCTTCAAGTCCTAGATAAGGTTGTCCGCAGGGGAGATGGGGGTGCTAGGTGTCACCTATCATATGTTAGTCATAATAAGACTGCATATGGAAGTCATGATATTGCATTTTATATCATGACAGGGGCAGACTCACCTTCAAGACGGGAGTGACGGGTCGCAGCGCGGGCGGAGCGGGAGCCTTGCGCGGGTTTCCGATGGCCGAGGGATCAGCTACGCCGAGGCGGGCAGCCGCTGCTTGCTCCTTCAGAATGGCGATCCTATCGTCGTGGAATAATGCGTTAGTTTCAGTTCTTAGTCCAATGTTTACCTAATAGCCTATTCCTGTTCCTGTTCCTTGTTCCTATGTATTCCTTCCGCCTTTTTTCCAGGAGGCAGTACATGGCGTGCTTACGTACGCCTCAAGGATTAACTGCGGTGAGGCAATGCAAAGCAAAAGCCGATCGACTGAGGCGCAAAAATAGAAAGGCTATTGGACGTAATACGAGGGGGAAAATAAACAGGAGGGAAAAGAGGGCGACAAGAAGAAAGGGAGTTGCTTACTCATCTTCCGAGACACCCGGTAAGGATACCGTCTCATGCTTGAAGTTGAAAGGCGCCGACTACAATGGGGCGGAATGTTAGCGATAGTGTACAGACGATATGTAAATGCAAGGGCAGATAAAATTAGTAAGCATCGTCACATCGCTACCCGGTAGCGGGTAGGAATATAGATTGTGGACGATGTGTGCGGAGGGTGGAGGGTTCATATATCGTATGCAAAGGATAAGCGAAGCGACTTACAATCTGCAGCGGCGCCTTCTCGGACGGCGCAGAAGACTTGGACTTGCCATCGACGAGTGCGAAGAGTCTCGCCAAGAAGTTGGAAAAACCACCGACACAGCCTGCCATTTTGGCGATGATTGTATTGCGACGCCGTGTATGTGGATACCAGGCAGGTGATGAAATGATCGGATGATAAAAGGTTGTAAGGATGGAAAAGCACGGTGAGATGGAAAATAGTAAGATATTTGATATTGTCAAAAATAATTTGACCGAGCGACCGTGGGCTTCGACGTTGTCAAAAGTACGTCAGAAAGTTCAAGGCAAAAACCTCGAACAACGAGGGGAAAGTCAGTTGAGAGTTGCGAGGGTTGGGAGTCGGGATTAAGGAAGTTGGGGATTGCGTCGTGCACAAAGGGAACCCTGTTTTAAGATATGTATGTCGAGTACGGGTACGAATGAATGCAAACCGAAGATGCCTGAACGAACTAAAAGGCAGGGTTGTCAAGGCCAAAAAGACGGTAAAAGACAACGGATGCCTGTCGTATCGCAAAGATTCAGGAAGGTTAAGAGGTTTCGATGTCTGAGGTTTGACGTCGTGGTCGAGGCGGCAATAAAATGGAATTGTTGATGCTTCTAGCTTCTAGGAGGGCCTCCCCCCAAATGCGCAGTCGTATGCGCAGTGCCTCAATGCTGTTGACCTAACAAGCTTAGGGGGCGACTGCACAGCACGTATAGGCGGATGTATGTCATATGCAGGTACCTTAATCAATTATCGACACAGTTCGATGATTGATCAACAATCATGCAAGCAAGCAAGAAAATCTGGAATATCCCTATAAGATAAATGGATTATAGCAAGAAAAAAGAAGCAGGCTCCTCTTTGCTGAAATGTAAAAAAAAACCCAACGTCGACGGATCTCCGTAACCCCAGAACTAGATGGATGTCGATGGAGACAGCGAAGGATTGACGGTAAAGGAATTGTTATGAGCCACAAAGCCTCAACTCTTTCGGGCAGGAGAAGCTGAATTTCGAAGTCGCTGTTAGTTGGACGGGTTGGACCGGTGACTGCGGTGACTGCAAGTCTGACAGATCGTCCAGAGCGGGGAGCGGGAGCTGAAAAAAAGGAACACGACAGTAGCCCTGAAAGATGCAGAATTCAAAAAGAGCGTGCAGGAAACTAAATGATTATGTCATAAATGTCATAAAGACCAATAAGTTAAACAAATTCAATAAGTCCGAGTCTAGGTGCTGAAGAGAACGAAATTCAGTTCGATCAAAAGGGGGTATCACAAAGAAATGAACGTGTTGCTGCGTATCGTATCGCAAAAGTACAATCTAGTTTTGGCTGACTCGGTTCCAAAGTTGGCTGTGAAAGAGTCAGGAACAAAGTCGAAAATGGAAGATGCATCTTTCAAATACACTCCAAAATACATACACACACGTACACGTAGAACCACTAAGTCATTGCCAACTAACACAACACAAAAAATAAGATAGCATCGTCACCCCAAATTAAAAAAAAAAAAAAGTTGGCAACTCCGGAATGTGGCAATTGTCTCTGCAGAACAAGGGGGGGTCGAATATGGTCTAATATGTAACTTTGGCCTTCCCAAGAAACAATACTGCGTAATAGTATCTCATTCGCAGGAATGGAATCGGTCCAAGAGTGTTTCGAAACGCCCAGCTTTGAGACACAATCTTCAGCTTGCATAATATCGTCGTCGTTCCGAGCATGCATGAAACAGGAACAACTGTTGCCAAAAAAGGGATCTTCCCATCTAGGTAATCCTTCCACGAGCCGTCCACCCGCGTCCAAGGTCCAAGGGATCAAGTGGAATTAGTGGAATTAGTGGCCCTGCCATTCCAGAACATTGCCCCCTTCGTCACTATTGGCTCGCGTGTCAGCCTACTTCGGGTAATCCTTGAGGTGGTAGCTCTTCAGCTTCACAAATTGGTCATAACCAAATCTGCTTAGGGTAACGCCCTTGCCCGAGTTCTTCCATCCTGTCCAGGCCAGATCCTACGCGAATATAATATTAGCAAAACATTGACAACTTCCATATTAGATAGAAAAAACAAAGAACCTACTGGACTCGGGTAATCCGCGCGGTTGACAAAGACAGTTCCTGCTTCGACTTGTTCTGCCAATTCATAGCCCTTATCCGTGTCTTTGGTCCATATACTGGCTGTGAGGCCAAATTCGCTATCATTCATTAGCTCTATGGCCTCCTCGTCACTCTTCACCTTCATGACGGAAATGACCGGACCGAATGTCTCTTCCGTCATCACCGTCATGCTGTGGTTGACGTCAGCCAGGAGAGTGGGCTTGACGAAATTGCCCTTTGCTGGGAGAACTGAGAAGGTCGGATTCTCTGGCGTCAGGTCCTTTGCGCCCTTGCTCAGTGCATCCTTGATGTGCGACTCGATCGTTTCTTTAGATCGCTTCGAGATGACTGGTCCGATCTGAGTCTCCTTGTCTAGAGGGTCTCCAACCTTGTAGTCCTTCAAGACCTTCTGGACTGCCTCGACAAAGGGATCATATATTTTTTCGTCAACATAAACACGCTCAATGGCACAGCAACTTTGTCCCGAATTGAAGATTGACCCGTCGACTATCTCCGCGGCTGCCCAATCGAGATCGACATCTCCTCTGACATATGCGGGATCTTTGCCGCCAAGCTCGAGGCCGACGTTGACAATCCTGTCCGCAGCTGCCTTCTGGACTGCCAACCCTCCTGCTACTGAACCAGTGAAGCAAATCAGGGAAATGGTCGGGTTTCGTACCACGGACTCCATAATTAGGGGTGATCCACAGTGGAAATACTGCAAGACACCAGCAGGTAATCCGGCCTCTGTGAAGATCTTGGAAACCTGCTCCACTATCGTAGGGGTCTGAGGGGAAGGCTTGAGGATGACGGTATTTCCAGCAAGCAACGCTGGTATAAGTGAGTTGACTAGGATCAGGTAAGGGTACTAAAGAGTATTAGCAAAGGTAAGTTATATGAGTAGTCATACCGATTTGATCGCCTTACGTTCCACGCGAAGATGACGAGAACTGGACCAACTGGGACTTTTCGAATGAATCGTTTGAATCCTTTCTCGGGTTCCCCTTCCGTATCTTTCAACGTATCTTCGCTAATTTTGACAAGATAGTTGGCACGTTTGATGGCGGTCGTAACTGATACGAGGTTAGTATAGGAGTCCATCATTGGTCATAAGAGACAATATGATGAGCTTTACTTTCGCCAGCAGTGTAAGCAATCGGCCGGCCCATCTGGACGGTAAGTTCTTCGGCCAGCTCATCTTTCTTTGCCTCGAGTAGTTTTAATGCCTTGTTGACTATGATTTGGCGATCTGTCAACGAAGTCTTGCTCCAGCTCTTGAACTTCTCGGCGGCGATCTTGGGGAGCTCTTCCAACTCAGAAGCCGTGATGCCATTGCGAGTCAATATCGGCTCGTTCGTGGTAGGCGAGATAGTAGTGAGCGTTTCTACGGACATCGTGTCGATATTCTACAGTATGAAGCAGCTACGATGAGACGATGTAGGTGAAATGATGGAGAGATACTGAATAAAATTGAAATTGACTTAGATATCCACACAAGTTCCGATTCGGACTTGGTTATCATATGTTCAACCGTTATGACGAACGTCGCATTAGATCTTTGATAGATAGGCGATGGACTTAGTGGGGGATCGACAACCCCTCAATAGTCTCGATAATGACATATTCATTTTACATAGTAATGTATAAATGCATACCAAATTTATTACATCGTGTCTTTGCTATCAGAAAATCTTATCGGGAGCTTTCTCCATTTTATTTTTCTTTGGTCTTTAATCTTCAATAATTCTTGTCAACAACAGCACCAATTGATCAGCCATTGGAAACACCTCCGAGTAAACTTCAGGAAGCATACCAGTAATAAGAATTAGTCACAACAATGTCCCCAGAGAAACGGAACAATTTCTTAGACGCGGATGAAAGCGAAGACGACGGTAGCCAAGGTTATGATTCCGAGGCCGAACAGTTACAGAAAGGCGGTCGAATCGCAAAGCGTCGCAAATTGAGTGACGATGTCGCAAGCGGCGAAGACGACGAACACAGTGCCGACGAAGAGGCTGGAGGTGATGCTGCCATAGAGGAGAATGAGGAGGAGGAAGAAGAAGAAGGGGACGAAGGGGATTCCCATACAAAAACGAATGGAGGCAAATTGAAGCCGGAAAATTTACAAGCGGAATTGCCTGATGTCTCACGTCCATTAACCAAAAAGAACTTGGTCGCCACAGAGAAAGCCATAAAAAAATCAGGCCTAATTTACCTTTCGCGCATACCCCCCTTCATGAAGCCTATGAAGCTGCGATCATTGCTCGAACCGTACGGCAAGATCAACAGGATATTCCTCACACCTGAGGATCCCCAAGAACGTTCTCGACGGATTCGACAAGGCGGAAACAAAAAACATATGTACACCGATGGCTGGGTGGAGTTCGTGGATAAGAAAGATGCAAAGAAAGCCGTCGACCTGCTGAATGCCCGGACTATAGGAGGGAAAAAGAACACTTACTATCGAGACGATATCTGGAACCTTCTCTACTTGAAGGGGTTCAAATGGCACAACCTTACGGAGCAGATCAATTCGGAAATGGCTGAGAGGACGAGCAGAATGAGGGCAGAAATCAGCAAATCAACCAAGGAGAACAAGGAGTTCGTGAGAAACATCGAGAAAGCCAAGGTGTTAGGAGGAATGCAGGCCAAAGCTGCCGCAAAAAGGAGTAGAGATGAGGACAACAGTACCAAACCCAAACCTGCATCTGCAGCGGCAAAAGATGCGGATGATTCCAAGAATGTACGGAAGTTCAAGCAGGCTTCCGTAGGAAGGAAGGGGGTGGAAAAGGCTCCCGAGGAAGCCAAACGAGTTCTAAGCCAGCTTTTTTGATTCCGTCAACAATGATACCCAGGCTTTTCACATTTACCTATAATTCACTTTGAAGATGCCTTAATGTGGTTACAGGCAGAGTTCGTTGACTAGCCAGCTACTTGGGGACATATAAACCATAAGATCTCTTATAGTTTCCGGTTCAACAACTCATCAGCACAGTAGTCGCATCATACTGAAATATCTTTCATATCAACTTAGCAGCTAGCCTTTAGCTAACCGTCTTTCAACATGGACAATCGTCTATCCGACAGTATTGCCTCATTAAAGGAAATGTTCGACAGTCACCGGTACGCCGCCGCCACCGAGGAGACATTGCAATCCATGGAACTAGACGAAGCTCTCCTCGTCCTGAACGCACCTTTCTGGGAGGACAGTGACTTTGCCACTCTCGTCCTCTGTCTACGTAAACATGCCAAACCCCCAACCAAAACCCTCCTCGAGCAGATGTGTCCGAAGCCTGTCTGGGCCGAAGAAATCATGTTCGCGGCCGACGTGCTGAAGGAATGCAAATTTCTTAGCGAACCAAAACATGTGAAACAGCGTACCCCTATCCTTCTGTACGTTTATGCCATCGCTAGGCTCTTGCGGGAAACGCCACCTACGTCTAGCGACGTCCTGGAGAGAATGCTAAAAGACTACAAGGTTCCCGGTCCGACAGAAATCAAGAGGAGGGCGTGGGTGCGGTACTCAGACATAGTCGCCGCTGATGGATCCAATGGGTCGGTGACGGTGAAGAAGGAAAAGCGCGGTGAAATTGGGGAGTTCGGCAGTGTAGACGTAAAGAACAACAACATGCCCTGTCCCGAATGGCATGCTATGTTCAAGCCAGGGGCCAGAGTAAAGCCCCCTCAGCTATCTCATTATCCGTACGGAGCAGCGGCACAGCCTCCTCAAATGATAGACCCATTGCCACCAAGGAAACGCCCTTACAACTCCATCGGCGTTCAAATGCCCGGTTACCAGACTCCAACGCCGGGCTCCGTTCAGAGTAACTACGGCGGCGTGTTCCCTCCCAATACCAGCTCCCAAACCCAACTCTCCTCTACGTCCGGCCGACCGCCAGCACCGAATAACCCTCACCTGGTTCGCTTTGGCAAAAATACGTGCCTCAAAAAGGCCAGAACAGGCGCTTGTTCACCCCCTGCCGATCCTATCACTAAGCCATCTACAACGACAGCTAGCTCTTCGGCGGTCCCTGCCCTAGGCAGAATCAAGATGCCTAAACCCCCGAAACAGGATGAAGAAGAGGACTGGTGAATGGGCTGGTGAACGATGACCGAGACGGAATTCGTGAGGTTGACGATCAACTTTCGTAAGGAGCAAAACTATGCTGAGCTTCGAGGTTAGTCCACTTGGGCATACAACTTCTTTTACCCCATATCAATGTAGTTTGGCTAGATATCTACTCTTAAAGACCATTAATCTGCTTGTGTGAGAAATGGGCATCATAAGGAAGAGACGAGGTGTAGAGTAATTTACTTCGTTGGACTCGCAATAATCTGCTTGAGTTTGTGAACACCGAATCTAAATCTCTCAGTAATAAGACATTGTAAGTCCTTAGTCGTCTAAAAGGTAGACAATAAAATTTTCCCAGCCCATCCCTTTTTCCCCTCCCTACTGATCCTCCATCGTAAGTTCATCAAAGTCCTCAAGCAACTCATCCATATCCACCCTCGGCGCATCATCATCCCCATCCCCGTCCCCATCCTCCGTCGTCGCCATAGACATCTCATCAGGCTGTTTCCGGCGCGGCGGCTGCTTATACAACTGGACGCCCTGGCGGAACTCCTCATCCTCCTCGATATCCTGCAGGAACATCTCGAACTCGCGGTCCATGCGCTCCTGGTCGGCCTTCTTGGGCAGCAGCTCGCCCTCGTCTTTCGCCATGCGCTTGACCTTCCACTGCCTCTTGCGGTTGCGGCGGCGGTTCGGGTAGTGCTTCTTGACGACGACGACGTCGGGGATGCGCGACGCGTACGTGTGCGACTCCTCGAGCGCCTCGAAGTGCGGGTTGTTGAAGTTGGTCCCCGTCAGCATGTACCCCATGACCGAGTCGCCCGCGTGCAGGAGCCCGCCGAGGTGCGTGCGCGCGAAGTACGTCTTGTCGTTGACGCCGAGGTCCGTCGCCCGCGCCAGCTGCGTCTCCGCCAGCACCCATTTCCCCCGCGTCGGCCCGATCGGCTCGCAGTCCATGACGATGAACTCGACGAGGTCCTGCGCGTCGGCCAGCGCGGCGAACGGCGCCCGCCAGAACACCGGCGCGCTGATTTCCGCCGTCTGCAGCGTGTTCGGGTCTAGCACGTTGATCGACGTGCCGATCCGGTGGCATATCGCCAGCGGGGAGATATTGCCGATCTGCTTAGCCAGCGGGATGGGCAGCGCGACTAAATCATCCTTGCAGATCGGTATTAACTCGACCGAGAAGGTGAATTTGTAGGACTTTTTGGCTGTGTGGCTATCCTGGGAGATGAGCTCCTGGGATTTCTTAACGCGCACGGGGACGACGGAGTTTAGGAAGTCGACGAACTTTTCGGCTTGGTTTCGGGCGGAGAAGAAGAAGTCGATGCCGTCCTTGGCTTCCTTTATGTTGATGGTTTCTCGATGAGCACCGTGTTTTAGGATCAATTGCTCGAGGTATAGGAATGTGCGTTTGTGTAAGACCTTCTGACGGACTTGGACGCTCGCTCTCCACACGTTGGCCGTGTATGACTTGGCGCATTCGGGACACTGCTGATATGCTACGACGTATACGACCTCCAAAGCCTGCTGCATTACCCGATCGTCCGCCACCGCCGCCTGAACCACGAGCTTCACCCGTACTCTCCTGGAATGCGGCTCTGTCCATATGAAGCTCGCATCGATTATTCGTGTTCGGTTAAGGCTTAGTTTTTTTAGGCACAGGGCTAGAAGTTCGCGGGACTCTGGTAAGGCTGTCACCCAGCTAGACGGGGGTTGAAGCCATCGATCGCAGTCTCGGCAGAAATGTAGGGTGGCTTCGCGTTGGATGCCTTGGGATATGTCTTTGGTAAGTTTGAAGCAGTCGTAGCACTTGGCGTCTATCGCGGTCGTTCCGTCAATGGGAGCGCCGCAGTCGCAACAGAATATGGTGGCAGCGGCACCGCTAAGCCCTTGAGATGGCGCGATCGAAATAGGCGCATCTACGTCTATATCCATCGACATCCTGGCTATTTGTCGAATTACTGCCAATAGTGATGAATTAGTTGCGATGGTGGGGGTTTTGACATTCCGGATAAGAAAAAATGTTATCCATCAAAATTCCCATTGCCCCTCGATTGATAAGCAGGACTTTTGTGGGTCATCGCCGGTTATCGCCACTAGTTTACTATGGATTAACAGCTAGCATGGTATGGTTATGCGACAATACCATATAAAGCAGTATACGATATTAATCTATTCAAATTCATAAAGCTTCGTTTTAGTCCACATCAACGTCTCCTCCTCTCCTTCTTGTTAACTTGTATATACTCGCACTAACTTCGACTAAGCCTGCTTCGGCACCATTCTAGAACCAGATCGTTGTATCTCGCACTGCTTGATTCAGCTTGTTCAGATCCATTACGGGTCTATTTTGGTCCTCGCTATACGCGTATTGGTCGAAGTACATAGTACAGCACATCCAGAAAGCTCCCCGGTGTAAGAAAGAGCAAGGCCAGAAAACCGGTGAAGGAACGGCTCGCCCCGCCGAAATGTTGTGAGTGACTGAGTGGCCGCGGCCGAGAGAACCAATTCCATTTCGTTTGCCTGATCACTTCGGCGACACATGCGAGTATTACCTTTCGCGTAATGGTCGATATCAAAGAGATCAGCGTGTTGAAGTTAGCACTGAACGGCTATTCTGGCAATCTTTGGTCATCGAAGTGCGACAAAATCGAGTAATGGCTGCTATTAGGCCGAATGCCACGATGAGTGACGATGATCTCCCAAGGCCAGAATCGGAAGACGTGATGTCGGCGAAGAGCAACAGCTTCTTGTGCTCATGATTGATATTCTCTTACTACATCTTTGGCACCTAGGCCTATACCTTTACTTCCCCCCTCTGAATCACTGTCGCCGAGTAGTTCATCAGTGGTAGGCCTAACTCAACTAGGTTCTGGGTCATTTTTCGCCATTATCGACGATAGAGGCAGTGTATAACATTCATATTAGTTAACACACACAAAAAAGGATAGAAGGTTTGAGAGATTTTAGATGCCGAATATTGAGTCTTCAAGTCCCAAACGGCCAGGGTCTTGGAGAAATGCCTAAGCGGCGCTTTTGGTACGACACTTCGTATTCATGGCTCAACAAGAGATAACTGAAAGCATATTATACATTTTCAGGTCCTCGAGGATCCTACTCCTATCAAATTAAGGTTGGGCATTCTCTGACTATTATGAGAGAAGTTTCGTCCAAGGATTCTATTCGTGGCAAGACGGTTGTGCTCCGGCCATCGTGAGGTTCTCGTCTATTATAAAGTGAAACATCCGGCTAGAAGAGGCGGAAATCCCTTTCGAATTTCAGTAGGAAAAGAAGAATATAAATTAGCCTTAGCAATCAGTTTCCAAGTGCTTCATGAAAGATATCCTCGGGATAATAGAATATATCAGTCAGCTTTTATCATGTGACTGCCTATAGTCTCGACCCCTTACACCATGTAGCTTACGAATACACAATTCGGAATGAGCTTCGACTTGATTCGCGGTTTTGAAATACGGGGTTGAGGTTTGTCGAAGACGACGTTCCAACTTCGGCTGTTTCCGACGGGGGAAGGAATCTTGCCGACGAACGGGTGCATAACTAGGCCCGAATTATAGAATCAACTCTCCCGAATCCGACGACGAGGTCGAAGTCGCCGACAATAAGGCTTCTTAAGCGTAATTAGACCCGACCAATTTCCTATCAATCTTGCAGTCTTGCTCTTCCACTACCTCTACACCCGTCGCTCAAAATATCTTAGAGACAAATATTTTCCATATCAAACACAAAATGAGGATACACAAGAGAAAGATCAGAGGTCGACGAAGCCAAGATCGCGTTACACATCAGATTTACCAATCCGTCCCGACTAGTCTCCTCTGCCCATATTAAAAGGAGGGGGGCGCGCGAACACGTATCAGAAGCATCAGCGACCGAGTCCCGGCAAGTTTGGTTGCAATTACAACGACCGGCTCAATGACGTGATCGCGGCGCGCAATAGCAACATCGCGTGCGTCAACACCAAGCTCGAGCGCGGGGTCGACCCGCCAGCCAGACAGAAGCTACGAAAGCTCCGATCGGATCTGATAAGGCGTCTTGACGTATGGCCTGAGACGGGGATCGTATGGCAATAGCTGCTAATGCCCGGATTCCTATTGGAACGGCAGATGTTTGCGTGATAAGGTCCTTGCTCGCACATCAGTATAGCTCCAAGGCAGTGAAGCAGGTATAGGGTGTCGAGCTTGTATATATTCAGGGAGGGGAGCTCGTCATTTCCTGGTTTTCTGGAATTGAACACCAAATTACACAACTTATTCGCAAAAATGGCACCATCAGCTACTATCACCGAGACTGAGGCTCCGTCTCTGCCGCTGTCTCTGAAGGCACGGGTTTTCAGCCCGTACAAGGAGATGGCTCCTGTCAAGTACGACAGAGACGTCGAGGAAGGCAAAACGGCAGCGAAGCCGGCCAAGGTAAGACAGCTCTACTAGTACCATATCGTAAGCGTGATGCTAATTCATCCCGTAGTACCCTAACTACCTGCCGACATGGAACCCAAACCAGAAGTACCCACCTCTGCAACCATTTGAGCACTGTGAGCACGGCAAGGACGCCGACACCTCGTACCCCGAACTCCTCGCGGAGGGCGTCGCCGTCAACCATCTCACGCCGACCATCGGCACGGAGATCCAAGGCGTCCAGCTAAGCACCCTTAGCAACGCCGGCAAGGACCAGCTCGCCCGCTACGTAGCGGAGAGGAAGGTAGTCGCGTTCCGGGACCAGGACTTCGCCGACCTTCCCATCGACAAAGCCCTAGAATTCGGCGGCTATTTCGGCCGTCATCACATCCACCCCACGTCGGGCTCTCCCGAAGGCCACCCGGAGATCCACCTCGTCCACCGCGGCGAAGGCGACAAGACCCACGAGACCTTCTTCGAGAACAGGACGAGCTCGGTGGCCTGGCACTCGGACGTTTCGTACGAGCAGCAGCCGCCCGGAACCACGTTCCTTTACATCCTCGACAAGCCCGAGACCGGCGGCGACACATTGTTCGTAGACGCCGTCGAGGCGTACAACCGCCTAAGCCCGCTCTTCCGGGAGCGCTTACACGGCCTATACGCCACGCACTCCGGCATTGAGCAAGTCAACGCCTCGGTCGCCAAAGGCAGCATCAAGCGCCGTGAGCCGGTCGTCAGCGTCCACCCCATCGTCCGTACGCACCCCGCCACGGGCGAGAAAGCACTATACGTAAACCCCCAATGTAAGTTCCTTTCCCCATCTATCCATCCGAAGCATATATATAGGTACTAAACGCGCGCGCCCTCAACCCAGTCACCCGCGACATCGTCGGCCTCAAGAAGGAGGAATCCGACACGATCCTGAAATTCCTGTATGACCACCTCGCCTACGGCGCCGACTTCCAGGCGCGCGTCAAGTGGGCCGAGGGCACCGTCGTCGTGTGGGACAACCGCGTGACGCAGCACTCGGCGCTGCTCGACTGGAAGAGCGGCCAGCGCCGGCACCTCGCCCGCATAACCCCGCAGGCCGAGCGCCCGTACCAGACACCTTACAAGCCTTCTCCTTAAATACATACATAGTTAGCGTCTCAAATTTCTCGTGTATTAATCGGAATCATAATTTATAAGAATCCTGGGATGATGTCGTCTGTCGTTGATCGCTTTGACTGTTGTGCTTTGCTCGCTGCTAGTTTGCGCTGTTCGCGGTTGCGGTGGCGGTCTTCCTGTCGACGCTTGAGGCGCGCGAGGAAATCTGCCTCGGCGTCGTCTGGTTGGTCCGCGTCTTTTGCGGCCTCTAGTGCTTCTTTCTGGACGGTAGGTCGTGCCGTATGCGTTGAGTAGCGTGATGATGGACTATCCCTCGTGATACTATGAGCCTGTTTTGGCCCGGTGGGTTGAGTTGTAGATGACGATGCTGCCCACGTTGATTTCGTACGAATCTCGAGAGGAGGAGATGCCTGATTATAATCATCGTCATCTTCCGTCTCACTAGCTTCCCTCAACGACGGCTTAGTCATGGGTTTAGCGCCAGGAAGAGTGCGAATGACTCGACTAGGGGTAGTAGGTGATGATAGATGTTTGGTAGTGCTGAAACCCGCAGCAGCGCGAGTTGTAGTGATCGCTTTTGTGAGATTATCTAGACGTGTGGCCTGTTTTCTTGGACTCTCCATGAGACCATACAGCGACGCGCTCTGCCAAGAATCTTCTTCCCTCTCTGTTTCGCCATCTTGGCCTTTGTTCGCCCTGGCCTTTCTGATTACCTCCTTCTGCCTCTCGAACCGAGTCTTGCGTTCCTGTTTCTTCTTGACTAGATCAGTCATTCGCCCCACTACCGGCCTCGAAATATCTCTAATGGTGTCCGCATTCTGCGATTTAGAGGCAGCCTTCAACCGATGGTATTCCGCAGCATGAAGATGAGCGGTAAATTGCTGGGCAGTTGAGAGAAATTCATCCTCTACCATACGGTATAGATCATCATTCTCAAGGCCTTCAATCATGTACCTAGGGGTCACGTTAAATGAGTTTATAGGTGTCTAATATGAACCACACGCACCTTTCTGGCAGTGGCTCTGGTGGTGGCGATGTTGATCCAGCTCGAGGCACTCTATTGGGTGTTGTACTACTAGAATCAACTTTCTTTATTCTTTTATTCGGCGCCGGTGAAGCTCCTGGCTCTTTATCGCCCCCGTCCAAATCATCGCGCTTTACTTTCTGTGGCCTGACGGAAGCTGGCGTAGCTGGCTTTGGAGGACTAGCAATGCTTCTCTCAGCCAGCCTCTTCCACGGGAGTTTACGTGTCATGTTTGCTGATTCAAGTTAAGTAACATTTTATAAGATTTGAGCTACTTAAATAGATGAGAAGTTGTTGTTATAGTTTGATACAATGCGATGAATAAGGCATCAACCGTGTTGTATTAGTGGAGTAACGCAATCAGATATTAAGCAAACATGTATATGCATCTATACAGACTACTATACGGTCTATATGCATGTAACTGTAAGTCAGGGGGTCCCTATAAGTCAATTAATCTCCCGCTCCTATTTCTCTTAATTTATTTTAACTTGGCGTAGATGTCTATAGAAAACCTGGCTCAGCTTCGAATAAGAATGTACAATCATCTTTGAAAAAAAATGACTATCTAATTTTTTTATTCAGTTTCCTTTTTTTTTTCTACAAACGAGACATCTCTCTAAGATGCGGTTCCTTTGCACCGTAAAGTCCAACTTGCCCAGGCTACCGGGGTATATCATCCCCAAAAGGCCATTATGTAGACGTATTGAACGAGGGTAAACAATATCCTTCGTAGCCTAAAGCCCCAAGCCACTATCGGATTATCATATTGTTGTCCCTCATTCCGAAGTTTTCAGCCTACCTTTACCATCCTCGCCCGCTCACTCCATTTAAGACCTTAATATATCATGTCCCTCGCCTAGTAAATATAGACCCCGTCATCACTCCCCTCCAACTTTCCCTCGGCCTCCAGCTTCCTCAACGCGGTGGCGACTCTCTCCGCGGCAGCCTGAGCCCTATCACCCTGGCTTCCGGCTCCAACACCGCCTCCCTGAGCACCCGTAACATCAGGCTTAAGGATAGGAACCTTCTTGCCAGCAGCATGCAACTCCTGGCGGGCGGCCTCGATCCAGGTGTCATCATACGCCTGGGCGCCGACAACGATGGCCTTAGGGGAGCCGTTGGCTAAGTTCCCGGACCCGACCTTAGAGGAGGGCGTTGGGATCTCGCCTTTGAGAACAAGGGGAATATCCGTTAGGGCGGTCTGAGGAGAGGTTGTAAAGTAGACAACTGGAAAGTGTTGTTAGTTATTAGGTTAAGGGGATATATGAGGCGCTGGGACTCAGAGGGGAGCCAAGAGGGTTAAAGGGGGATTGAGTGATTGGAAAATGGTTGAGTTGGTGGATGTGTTCGACAGGGGAGAATGGTAAAATGCGGATTACCTTCAAAGTCAGGCTTTACAGCCTCGCTAAAGGCCTTGCCGACCTCTTCGAACTGGCCAGCGAGGATAAATGGAATGACCGACATGATGTTTGATTGATGGCAATGATAAAGGTTGAGTGATCTTGCTGTAAGTCAGAAATGAAATTATAATTTGCTGTTGTGTTCCAAATTTCGTTTGATCAAAGACAACTTTCCAGGCAAACCGAGGAGGGCCGTCGTGTTTAAATAAACTTACTCTCGATGTCCTAATCACAGACTCGTACTCATTATCCTCATCACTCGGAGCCGAAAAACCTGCTCCCATCGTGTCGCTCCGAGCAGGTATTAGTTAGGTATCACTCTTATGAAACATCGCACACATCCAGGCATATGCCAGCCCATCGATGTCATTCGCAGACGAGAGTCCTATCCAACCGCCTGTGCATCATCTCCCAAGTAAGGTAATGAGGTGGTCGAGCTAGTCAGCCCTTCCTCAGGATCGCCTAGGCAGTCGAGCAAGGCAATCCAAATCACCCAGTCCAATCGAAATCATCTCATTTCAGCTTCCCCTGACCTGGATGACGCGCCCGCCAATCTGCAAACGCATCCACGGCACCACGGTGCCATGGTAACCGTTGCTGTGTTCTGCGTCCTCCAGCATCCAAGCATCTGACAGTCATGCGCCGATATTGTCGGGCAATGCGTTTCGGTGTCACGGACATGTTCGGGCGTCCCGTGGGGTAATATCAAGGCAGTTAGTTAATAAAGACCCGGGCCGTCTCACGCGAGTGGCGCCACAGGCCGTCCTTCCGAACGTGGTGAAATGTGTCGAGTCTATCATCTTACGCGTCCCTCCAGCCTACAGCCTCGCTAGTTCGCCTTCCTTCTTACATCTTCTCTTACCCAACCCATCACAAGTGGAACAGCCTTCGTGAGACCAAATTTAGAAAAACGGCGCAACGGCACGAACCTATCGCTTTCGTTCCATCGTCCGTTCTCGCTTCACGAGCAGAAAACCGCTTCGCCTAACGGTCATCCTTCCACTCTGCTACATAGGATGCATAACTAATGGTGTGTATTCTTGACGTTGGCGTTGTCGTAAGGCTGCTACCTAGTCGAATTTGAAGGCGTCATTGTGATATGGAAGCTTCGGGTTCCCTTACATACGTGTATGTGAACGCTCAGATAATGCATGGCTAAGGGATTAAAGGATTAGTGAATCGCTACGCAAATTTGACCATCTGATGTTAAGGGATTGGTACACCTAGAGGCCACGGCATGAATCAGGAGTCCGGTGCATCCCGCACGGAACAAGGCTCGGCCACGGTCGTACCTAGGTAGCCTCGCTGTTGTAGCTGGAATCCTAAGAGGACCTGATTCTAATAACCGGTCTAATATTAGGGATGAAGTCCCGAACCTCCACAGACCATAAGCTATAGCAGAAAAGAACTGATGCTCCTGGATGTTAATCACGACCCAATCAAGTCCTCGCGGGACCAAATATTGCAGAAGTTCGATGCATCTATTATTGATCATATTCCATTCTAGCCGTTAGCCCGAAGCAGTGAAATTCGACGCATTGACGAAGAGAGTTGCATGCCCTAATCCGTTTTCGTTATATCCCCGAACCGAAACCCCAGTAAAGCCCGTAAATTCACATAGGTCGCTCGACATCATACCCCTCATTCCTTTCACTGAACTTCCCGAACGATCTTGTCAATCGCCTTGGCAACGTACTCGACGTTTTTCGTGTTCAGGCCTGCCATGCTGATACGACCGTTCTTAGTCATATATATATGAAAGTCCGAGCGTATCTTTAGGACTTGCGGTTCCGTCAGTCCGGTGAAGCTGAACATGCCAATCTGGTCTGTGATGTGGTTCCAGGTACCGGGGGTACCGAGTTCTTCCAACTTTCCTCGTAAGGCTTTGCGCATGGAAATGATGCGACCAGACATTGTCCGTAAGTTCTCCTCCCACTCTGCAAAAAGCTTGGAGTCATTCAAAACAGTGCTGGCAATACGAGCACCGTACAGCGGCGGGTTGGAGATCTCGGATCGTTGCAGAATAGCCAGTTGAGAGGCAATTCGGCCGATGGTACTCTCCGCATCTGGTGCCGGGGCAGTTACGACGTGGAAACAACCCGCTCGCTCACCGTAGAGACCGAAGTTCTTGGCGAAACTTTGAGCTACTACTAACTCGAAGCCCTGTTCGACGAAGTATCGAACGGCGGCGTTGTCCTTCATCAGATCACCAGTGGCAAAGCCTTGGTATGCGCAATCAAAGAAGGGGAAGTGGTTCTTCGAACGCACGAGTTCGGCGAGTTCCTTCCATTGCTCTAGGGTCGGATCTACGCCAGTAGGGTTGTGTGCGCAAGCATGCAATAAAACAACCGACCGATCTGGAGCCCCTAATAAAGCAGCCTTCATGCCCTCGAAGTCTAGCCCTCTTGTCTCCTTGGAGAAATAGGGGTATTTGGCAACGGGAATGCCAACATTGTTAAATATTTGGTTGTGGTTTGCCCAGGTGGGATCTGAGAGGTAGACTTGCTTGTTCCCTGTGTAGAACTTGGCAAGGAAGAGAGCTCCTAAATGTACGGCGCCAGTGCCGGAGATGGTTTGTACAGAAGTGACGCGCTTCTCCTTGATAGCAGGTGAGTCGGTACCACCAAGGATCAACTCGGCAGCCTTGCTGGTAAAGGAGGTAATGCCGGCAATGGGGGCATATTCGTGATTGAGCTCGGGATCGTTTCGAAGGATTTCGTCTGCCTATTCAGATAAGGGGCGGTGGTGAGTAAGGTGAGTCGAAATGAAGGGGAACGCAGTGATGTTACACAAGAAGTGCAGTGAACCAATTCAAGCTAATGCAGAGAGCTTTCTCTGCCTTTTCTCTCTCCCTCTTCATAGGTAGGTAGCTAGAATACTTGAAATGGACGACGAATGTAGGATAAATACCTTCTTCACGACTGGCAATACCCAGGGTTTAGCATTATCATCACGGTAGGCTCCAATACCCTAGATGCTAGTTAATAAAAATATCGATATATCGCCGGTGGTAGTAATGACGCATACCAGGTCTACTTTCTTTGGATCTTGGTCAGCTCTATAAGCTCTCATAAGCCCGAACAGAGGGTCCTCAGGTGCCTGAGGGACAACCTCCGGGGTAAAACTTGTGGCTGAGGGTGGCGACATGTGTCTTGCTAGACTTTTGACTCTAGATACTGATTGACCGTGATATGATGGATCGAAGGGCATTGTTTGAGGAAGAGAGATATTTAAATGTACAGGCTAGGTCAACTGATATAGGTGAGATAGGTGTGGTAGCAGTGGTCAGTGGTCGGTGGCCAGTGGTAACAGACCCTGGAGCTCTCCGGGTTTGGGGGGGCGAACAAGAGCTTGCGAGGGCAGCTGCGCGGGGCAGTTTTTCACTCTTTGCTCTGGGGCACGCCTGAACCAACACTACCAGCACTAAGGGCTGTAAGGGTTCTCTGGGGCTATGGGGATTCCGATGCGAATCAATGCCAACCTAATGCCAAGGTGGGCCGATGGATATGAAACGCGGTGAATGTAATAGGTCCGCTGGTGTGTTATTCGCGTGAGTGGGACTAGTGGCCTCAGAGATCGCCTGATACTTTTTCGTCTGGAGTAGAGTAATAATAGAAATATGTAGGGATGAAGTGGGTGAAGTCCAGGCGATCCAGTTAGAGGGGCGGATGAGAGGATATGGGGGATTGGCGGGGTACAGAGCACACAAGCTAGGGAAGGTACGTCAGAACATTAGCGACCGGAAGGACAGCCCGTAGCGAGCATGAATGCAGTTACCTCTTATGTACGTATTAGATAATAAGAGAGGAAGGACGCGATTCAATCCGTACTTGAATTTGTTGAATGATATTCGGACAGCAATTCCGGCAACAACTAATCCAAGAATTCCGGAAGTTGCAAACAACCCTGAGCCTTTGCAGTTGGTGTTACTTGGACAAATTCGAGTAACGTCTTGGCTTAAAATAGTATGTTGAACAGCTTACAATAAACCGACTCATTTACTTGCGCACCGATGATCAAGGAGCTGGAATATATATCCCGAGTTTCTATATGGATACTACTACCTAGGTATGCATCAATCAACCAGATACGGATGAGTCGGTTATGATGGAGCCCAAATTTCAGTATGCACCGAGGTTCGAAGAAGTATCGGGAGAGAAATCAGCTTTTTTTGTCGTCATCGGTCAGAATCACTTAAACTTAAAACGGCCAAAACGGCTGAGACGGGTCGGTATATGTCTACCGAGCACTGAATCGTAGCTTCCGTGAACTCGGCATAAATCGACATTCCTTACCACTTTGGAAATTCTATTCTAAAGCCTACAGAGCTCATCTTCTAGTCTCAATTCCGATTGTGTTCTATTGCCAATTCAATTATATTCTTCAATTACATAGACCATGTCCGGCATGTTCAACTTCCTACTTTTCATACACAGGTAGTAAGTTAAATACTGCAATGGGTAACTTGGCATGTGATGTATGTATATTCCGTGACCCTCGTCTCTTCACATGCAAAATTGCATTATACTCTCTTTTCCGCGTATTACTATTACAATACCCGCTTATAAGGCAGTTAAGCAGATCAAAGAATTATCGATACTCCTTTTCATATAACCAAATCCCATACAATCAAGAATGCGCACAACCCGCAAGTCGCAAAAAACGTATACTTGGCCGGGCTGCCCTTCTGAGTCGCTTGCTTCAGCTGTCTGTTTCCTCCGCCGATATTCTCCGTCGTCTTTTCAGAGTCGGCTACCAGTTGCTCAATGCCCGCCGATTGAGTTGTCAACGTGTCGATGAGTTGTGTTTGCAGCTCCGATATTTCAAGCAATGACTTTTCCGCAGTTCTATAAGTATGCGTTAGCTTCAGCACCCTATTACTACTGTTGCGGGTAAACATACCTGACTTGATCCAATGTGCTTTCGTAATGTTTAAGCATATCTTGGTTGTCTTTCTCGAACATTTGTATTTGTTCCTCAGTCAAATCTCCTGTTGGTGCGTGGGACGGTGATTCTTCAGGAGGTAATGGTTGACTTGCCCTCCTTTTCGATTCTGCTGCACCTCCAGTCTCGTGCATATTCCCCACAACAGCCAACGGAGCTTCCTGTCTTCGCGATTTGGCCAGCACACTTCTATTCTTCTCCATCTCTCTCATTAACCGTATCTCCATCATATTTTGTTGTGTCTGGACACATTCTTGAAGTCGATGCCGTAGAAGCCATAGGACGCTATCTCGATGCGTGCTGATAGTCTTCGCGCGTTCTTCCGCCGCAGTATGCTCGGGAGATTTGCTGATCGCCATCCCACCTGCTGCCCATGCCCCTAATGCACCTAACCCGCGAGCGAATTTCTTCTGGATTACCCTAGATTCGATCTCTGACCGCGCTTGTTCGACATCTGCTAGACGACGGATGCTCGCATTGAGCTCCCGCAGCATTTTCTTGGAATTCGCATCTATCTCCTCGCGCTCTCGGTCTGAAAGCGGCCGCGACTGTTTATCTTTTTGCGCTGACCGAATTAATGTTCTTCGCGGTTGGGCGGTCGAGAGATACGATTGTCTAATGCTCCTGAGGTCGGCGTGAAGAGAGGTGATATGGGAATTCTAATACGGCAGGTTAGTAAGTAGGAAGCCTCCATAAAGTCCCGATCGTAACTACTTGCTATTCTATAGGCTTCCTTCAAGAAATCATCTAGATTATCCAAGCTAAAGCTCCGTGTCGCAACAGAAGCTTCATGCTGTCTAAGGAAGCCATTGAAGACGGGCGTAAGATCAGTCATGGTGAGAAGGGCGGTAAATGCAAAATTTCAGCAAGGTCATATGTTCATCGTTGTGGTATGAAGCATTGCGAAGCTCTTGTAAGTTGCTTGGTGTTTACGTAGTGAGAAGCCCGCAACCTGTTCAATTCCATGATTAGAGTCCACCTGGCACTAAATGATGTCGATTCATATTGTTCGTCGGAGGTAGACGCACGACTGATGCCGATGTGGCAGTGTGTGGCTAGTATTAACTAAAGTAGCTACCTAGTACATCGAAGCTGCTTATGTAATGGAACGTTATAGTATTCTTCAGCCAAGGTGGGTACGGTGAGTCGGGCTGGTCGGGTTTAACCCGGAGCCATGGGAAGCGACCTCGGCGTAAATTGATGACGTAAGTGGATTTACGCTTGTGGTACCAAGACAAAGCATATTTACACGAATAGAACAACATGAATTGTCATCACCATCGTCACGTTGATATGCGACTCATATACCTATTGCCTCACATCCAATTCAGAAAACCTATCTCTATAAGAATATGTTTTGCCCTTCTTTTTCTCGCCGTGGCTTCGACGGGTTTTCCCTTATGACTGATCTGATAGGTAGATGTCACCCAACATTGTCCCGACTTCGCTTTCGCCTATCCCATTCTTCCGAGGCACAGGTGACCGTAAATCGGTCGAAAGCCAGATCCAGCATTGAGAGATCTTCGGGAATAACGTCGCCTAGAGTAATTATGTGGGCAATTTGCCATAGTAGTAAGCCCGGAAATAACGTTTAGCAGAGGCGACCACTTACCTTTTAGCGACAACTATCCACTTTCCATAAACAGAAGATGGGAAAGCCCCGGTCCGTGAAGATTTCACCGTCTTTCTTTAATATCGCCCCTTATGTTGTTCTTGTAATCGTAATATACGTCGATAGTGAAAATGGATGACATCGAAAAGCCACCAGCAGCACCAAGGAGTCATGATAATGACGAGCAACAAGATCATTCAACCCAGGAAGAGGAACTAACATCTTCGGCGTTGGTTCAAGGTCGACGTCGGTCCCAACCAGAAGATTCGGATAGTGAAAGTAATCCAGACTCCCAAGGCGATGAGGAAAGAGGTGGTGAGGCTCAAGACCTTGAGACACTCTCACGAGTGTCTAGTGGGCCGCCCTACACTGCCTTCTCAAACTCTATGAGATGGTGGATAGTTTTCATGAACTGTATCTCAGCCTTCCTTTCACCAATTACGGCCAACATTTATTTCCCGGCAATCCCAGCTTTGTCTCAAGATCTAGGCGTTTCCGTCGCGAAAATCAATTTGACGCTCACAACATACATGATCCTTCAGGGTTTAGCTCCAACGATTTTTGGTGACTTTGCCGACATCGCCGGAAGACGGCCGGCCTTCATTATTGCCTGTACTATCTACCTTGCTGCCAACATCGGACTAGCTCTCCAGCGAAACTATGCGGCGCTGCTTGTCCTACGGATGGTGCAGAGCGGTGGCAGCAGTGGCACCATTGCCCTCGTTTATGGCGTAGTTGCAGATATTGCGCCAAGCTCCGAACGGGGGAAATTTATGGGGATTGTCGGGGCTGGCCTCACGATCGGTCCGGCGCTTGGCCCGGTCATCGGCGGACTACTCTCACAATACTTGGGGTGGCCGGCTATCTTCTGGTTCTTGTGCATCCTCGCCGTCTGTTGGTTGATCCCCTACATTTTGGCGGTTCCGGAGACGGGGAGGAAAGTCGTGGGGAACGGATCCATTCCACCTCAAGGATGGAATATGACCCTTCTCGATTATATCCGGTTCAGACGCCAAGCTATAAATCGACCATCTAGCCATGTGCGGCAGAAACTCCGATTGCCTAACCCGCTAAATACCCTCAGCGTTATTGGCAACAAGGATATGGCATTGGTACTAGGCTATAATGCCTTACTATATGTGGGCTTTCAGATCGTCACTGCCACTCTCGCCTCCCAATTTGCAGATATATATCATTACAATGAGATCCAGCTCGGTCTCTGCTACTTACCGATAGGGGGCGCCACCATGCTTTCCTCGATTTCTACAGGATACATCCTAGACTGGAATTTCCGGCGTATAGCCAAGAAGCTAGGTGTTCGTGTCACGGGGAAACGTGGAAACGACCTCAAGGGCTTCCCTATCGAAAAGGCCCGGCTTCAAGTAGCCTATCCTCTCGTTGTGATCGGACTCCTTGTGTCCATTGGATACGGCTGGGCATTGCAGTACGAAACTCATGTAGTCGTGCCTCTCGTATTATCTTTTTTCATCGGAATAGGCGTCACCGGTCCTTTTCAGATCATAAACGTCTTAATCGTTGATCTATACCCACAAGCGCCTGCCACGGCGACGGCCGCGAACAACTTGACTCGATGCCTATCGGGTGCGGTGGCCACAGCGATAATACAATATATAATTGACGCCTGGGGACGAGGATGGACTTACACCTTCATCGCTCTCATCTACGGTACCTTCTCTCCCGCACTTTGGATCATACAAAAATATGGGCCTAAGTGGAGAGAGGAACGTATGGAGAAGATGAAGCAAGCCATAGAAAAAAAGGAAGCAGAAGCCAGAGAAAAGAATATGACGACAAATGAGCAGGTTCTTGCAGAAAATCAGCCTACATGTCGCTGAGTCTTATTAATGATGTCTCCTTATATTAACGAATCACGACTTACGATTTGTTTTGCTCGCGTAGACGTATATAGTCATATCCCAAGTGGGATGTAGGTAATGACTTCGAAATGGATAGGATCGTTTGACATCCTAGCCTTGGGAGAGCTTCTTCAGATATAAGGCAGAGAGGAACCCTCATTGAATCGGTTACCGGGAGATATATACATGATCTTGGAAAAATAATGGAAGGTAAAAGGTACATACTTGTCTAGAGATAATTCACGTCGTATATGAATGGAAATGAATATAATTATTTCTTGGATTATATGGGTTAAATACCAAGTAACCACTAAGCAGAATAAACGATCTGCAAAAAGATATTATTCTATCGGTAGATAGACCATCATTCCCAGGCTCTTATGTCTTAGATTGTTCTAAGGAAATAGAAGCTTGATTTATAACATACTGTGAATCGATGCATAAATAGGCACGGAAGGTTAAACAGTACTTCGTAACAACTCGATGAGCGTCAATATGAAAAATATGAAGAAAGCATTCTATAATTGGCATGTTTGGGTATCTAACTTTAATGAGCTATCCATTTACAAGGTTCCAACGCCGTCATTATGATTAAATCAACCAAACGCCTTACCAACCCCAAGTACGCGAAGAAGCCGTAAACACCGGAGGTTTCCACTGGATGCGTTCCGGTGCGATGAATCTTTTTTGCTTCTGCTTGGTCTTCTCGCGCAGCTTGATCAGTGACTCCGGTATGACAAGTTTGTGCTCTCCCTTATGATACACTTGCATCTTCAGCGCCTGGAGGGTATGCTCGACGTCTTGCGTGGTCATGGCTAGAGTGCTTGATATCTGCTCGATACTGGACTTCTCATCCCTCTCGTTACACTCGAGTAGTAATTCAAGAATGTTCTCAGACCAATACTGCCTGTAACTAAGGAGACCTAAATCAGATAGCGGCTTCTCGGGAGATCCTAGCTTTCCCTCGATTTTGGACAGCTCGTAGGAGAACTGGATTAGCAATCTACCGAATCCCTTTCGCTGGTATTGAGGCAAAGTGAGAATACAAGCGACGTTGTATCCATCGGCGCTCTCTTTCTCTTTAGAGAAGTAGCCTACGAGGTGATGTCCTTTCTCACTTTTCTGGGTCATCACGTAGAATAAGAAGGGATCTACGTCATAGTAGAGAGTCTTGTGATCGAGGAACATCTTGGATATTAGACATAGATTTCGACACCAGGTGCGTTGCCGCCGACCGTCAATCTCGAAGAACGATACGTAGTCGTCTCGATATATCTCGTTTCCAGGCGGATGTTGAAGGGTGCACTTTGATCGATGTCGACAAAACGATTTCTTGTCACCATAATAGCTTAGACAAAACTCGCATATGAAGATAACATCTTCCTGAGTAAAAGCTTCTGGGTATGGCGAGAAATACCACGGGAACAGGTCCCATTGCCCGAACTGGACTTTGGAGATGTTTCGGATTCGGGCGAGTTCGGTGGGATTTTGGGTCATGGAACCACCTGTCCGGAGCTTCTCAATCTCAGCCTCTCGACTGAAACCGCCACCCTCTTTCTTAACTTCAAGTGTTGATTCATCCTCGTCCACGTCCATATCATCGCCATTGGCACCTGGCGTCTCTCCGGCCTTAGGTTCGAGATCTCTCGGCGTGGAAGGCGCTTTCGATTGCGGCTGACTATCGGTAAAATCAGGCCACGGATGGGGCGTAACAGCCTCCGAAGCAACAGACTGTTCCCTCTTTCCTGGCCGCTTTTGCGCCTTGTTCCCGACAACCTTCCTCTTAGGAGCTGTAGAGTTCTTGCCTTTTCCATCTTTAGGTTTGTCCTTTTCGGGGTTCGGCCACTCAACGTCCTGGTCAAAATCTATTCGCTTAACGGGTACCCATTCGTCAAGACGCTTATTGAAGTTGTCGAAGTTGCAGTAAAATTGGCGGCCGCTCTTAGTATCTCTTATGCTAAGGATTTCGGCGCGACGAGCTTGTCCATCTTTCTCGACCATCGCGATGCAGCCCACGCGTATCGTATCGATGGTGGCCCTGCTCTTTTGTCGGGGTCCCTCAGGCCCCACGGCGGTCTCGCCATTTAACGCGCTAGGACTCATGATGAAATTCGATGGCGACGTGTTAGTTTTGATGAAAATGTGAAGACGACGGTTGACAACAGCAGAAATGAATTAAAAGTTTGGAGGGGCAAAGCTAGAAAACTCCATAAAGTTGAAGAATATCGGTAGTCGGCATTTAAAATTCCCTAAGCCTGGTACCTGCAGCAGCAATCAACCAATCACAGTTGGTACCTAGGAAGAATGACGTACTGTGACAATTCAATAAAGTACAGTGCACTTACACGGTGTCCTATAGTACCTTATCCTATCACATGCTATGGATGTCAACTTGTCTATGTATATACATGGAATCAACCTTGATATTATTTTGTTTAGCTACTTGTCTGAAGGCTTCTCAGACGGGTATGAATGTATCTGCAGATAATTAATTAGAATCTTTTAAGTCTTATACTCAATGTGTAGTTGGACAGACCTGCTCTGCAAAGGATATCCATTCCTCCATGCCTCTTAGATAGGGGTCTTCACTAGAATTGGCTAGGGATTCGTGATTCCAGATCATGAGTTCATCAAACGTCGCCCTCCCTTTCATTGCACCCATTTCGAGTTGTTCGTCTTCGTCGTCTCGTATTTCAATGACCTCGGTCATTTCTTCTTCATCGCTTGACGTCTCGGGCTTCTTTGGCTCTGACTTCTCAACGACGGTACCATAATAACCGTTTGGTAATTTTACGATTTTGCCCTGAAGTTTCCGGCCTCTAAGATAGGCCGTTTTTGTTTGGTCTACATCGTTCATATAATGAGAATTGAGTTTCAGTGAGGCTTGAGAAGTAGTTGTTATTATCATACCTTGACCATCCTGCGGATTCCAATATGTATCGATCGGATTGACGTCACCATCATGATGTATGCGACAAGGCAACAAGTTGACTTGGGCCTTTTTGGCGATAGATTCCTGAGACTCAACGGTAAATACGGGTTGCGCCATCTTTTTCTGTTTTTACATAGATTCTAAATGTTGAGTATGGAGTAAGTGGTAGCATCAAATGTGATGGGGACTAAGAGGATAGGTAGAACGCGTATGACTAAGAAATTAATTACCTAAGACGCGTAAAACACTTCGCTACCTGCAAGTTAAAGGGATTGCTTAATAGTAATATGACCTTAAGCATAATATTGTTTTACCTGTTTAACGACTTGTCAACCCCACTATTGTGAGCTCTACAGAATATTCGAAAGTCAATTCAATTCCAAACTTTTCACACAATTTCGTTCTCTTCAGGTTTTCCCAACAGCTTTAGTTTATAGCAATTGAGTTGCTACGAGTTTTCTTTCCCTTTTTAAATGAGATAGTTATATTAATTTAGTTAGGTGAGCCCGTAGCCCACTTTGAAATAAATTCACCAATAGCTCCCACTACGAGATGTGTCCGAGACATCGATTAACGCTATACTTTGTCTGTTATCCGACAGAAGCAGTCTTGATGTCATTGAGAGCTAACCACGAGCTAGTCATCTCCATCTTATTCCGGCATCCGATGGCGAGGTGGTCATGGATTAAGCACGATCACATAGAGAAAGCGACATCGCTAGAAGCGTATATGCGCTATTTCCCGCTATGGTAACATTCCGGGTTGTTAGGAACAGTAGGAACTAACCCGTCGTCACACAAACCGGGGGCTACCCGTACTTGGATAAGGTTCCTGAGACTTGCATTCCACAACGAGGATCACTGCCGCCTTGACTGCTTGGCTGGATGTTATTTCCTCTTCTGCGCCTATGCAGCGTCTTATGCAGCTTGACAAAATACTAACGACATGACTATCCCTTGGACCCCACGCGACCACCCCGCGGCCTACGAAGAGCCATGCGAAGTGTTTAACGCTTAAATATGAAGAATTGTCTACGTCTCCTTTGAGACGCCAAGTACATCAATACTCGATCTTAGTGTCCAATCTAGATTAACGAGTGAGGCTGAAAAAGAAGCCGAGATGTCATTATCATTGGGTGGTCATTCTCGCCTAGTATGTATTAATTTGGCGAGATCCGGCTTACTGCCATTGGCTAGATCCGCCGCAATATGATCCCTCATATCGATCATGATTTTAGCATGCCTCTGTTGGGATACATATCTCATTGGCATGCAGGATTTTGCTACGAGACTTTTTTTTTTCAACGCCGGTTCACGTACATCCCGAAACAAAAATGGGGGGCCGGTCCCTGCTTCCCTCCTTGACCCATATTCATCATCCCTGTTTATGCCCAAGCACGAGCCGGTCCTCACCAAAGAAGATCTAGTGTTCTCACGTTTTGACTTCGGTAGTAGTGTTCCTATATGAAAGTAGAATAAGTGCAACCGTAGCTCAAGTGCCCCTAGATAGGGAACTTCGGACTACATGGCGGTGACAGCTTGAAACCGTTGCTTTTACATCCATCCCTAGGCGTTACCCTACTAATTCAAATCTACCTTGGAGTTCTTGTTTTCCTTTGTTTTTATCTCTGATGTTTTGCACTTTATATCCCCTAAGTATTTAGTAGACCATTTAATTTGTAAGTTGCTTACATGAAAAACGATCGTCTACATTTAACGTCATAATAGCATTGTCAGCATATATCCCGGTTTGAGTTTGTGTCTAAGGACCTAATTGTCTGAATAACTTACTCATCCCCTCTATCTATACACAGGAGGCTTCCTCGGCGGACAATGGCTCCGTCAATTCCATCGGTCATCGCTAGGCCTCTCACCCGCGGTGCCGATATAGTTCGCGGAACTATAGGAGGCTTGACTTGGGGTCCGGCCTTGGCTGTTGCCAAACCGGCCATTCTCTCAGTCTTCTCCAAGATCGCAGTCGGCACATTGTTATTAGTTGATGAACCGGCAGGAACTAGACTGGTGTACGGACAAAGGCTCACTTCTAAAAGCGCGGAGTCAACGAATGGAGATTACTCGATCAGGAGAGCTGACACTATTCCTCGGGTGGAAATCAGAGTGAAAGATGACGCCTTCTGGATGAGGTTGCTTTTATTCGCCGATATGGGGTTTGCGGAATCCTATATGCTAGGTGAATTCGAATGTGCCGACTTGACGGCCTTCTTCCAAGTTTGTAACTCGCTCTTTTCTTATTGCAACTCAGCTGATGAATATTATAGCTCTTCATCGTGAACCGAGATCAGTTGAGCAACGGAACCACATTGTTCTCTTCGATTTCCGGCGCGATCTCAAGTGTTGCGCGGACTACAAATACCTTATCCAACGCGCTCTTGAACATCTCTGCACACTATGATATCAGTAATGACATGTTTGCGGCATTTCTCTCAGAAGACATGACTTATTCATGTCCAATTTGGCAGCCACGACTCTCTTATGCCGAGCCGGAGGAGACTCTCATGGCGGCACAAATCACCAAACTCAACAGGTTCATCGATGGCACCAGATTGAAGCCAATTGACCATGTTTTGGAGATCGGAACAGGCTGGGGGTCTTTTGCTATCCAGGCAGTGAGGAGGACAGGGTGTCGAGTGACAAGTCTAACGCTTTCAAAGGAGCAGAAGGCACTAGCAGAAGAACGAATCAGAGAAGCAGGATTTTCGAGCCGGATAGACGTTCAACTTTTAGACTACCGAAATTTGCCGGAGACGGCAACATACGACAAGATTGTCTCAATCGAGATGCTAGAGGCAGTCGGCCAAGAGTACTTGGGTACTTACTTTGCGTGCATCGATCGATTGCTGAAGAAGAAAGGCGGTATCGCTATGTTCCAGTGCATCACGATGCCAGAGGGGAGGCATGAGGCTTACTCCAAATCCGAAGAGTGAGATTACACCTAATTACTCTCTCTTTCTTATTAACACCACTAACTTACTTTTTAGCTTCATAAACAAACACATATTCCCCGGTGGATACCTACCTTCTATTACTCAGTTGCTTAATCACATCTCAAAGGAGTCTCAGGGTACACTGATCGTGGAAAAGGTTGAGAATATTGGTGGTCATTATGCCAAGACCCTACGACTGTGGAAGGAGAACTTTCTGATGAACTTCGAGTCCAAGATCAGGCCAGCGCTAAAGGAGGAACATCCGCAGATGACTCAGCGGGAGATCGACGTGTTTAGGAGGAAGTGGGAGGTATTTATCACCTGCTATTGAGTATATGTGTATTGGCTACTGACATTTTCCTAGTATTATTTTACGTACTGCGAAGCTGGATTTGTCACGAAAACGTTGGGCGACGTTATTATTACGGTCGGAAGAGAAGGCGCTCTGGAGTTGATGGAAGATATCCCACTTTGATCAAGCCGACGATTGGTTTTAAAGGATGTGTAGAAGGGCGTTGCCTCTTTACTATATATAGGCCAAGCCCACGTTTCTCACGACTGCATGGAGCGGAGCGTATCTAGCTTAGGAAAGGGGTATCTTGAAATTATGAGACCGGTGGTCATGACTGCGGAATTCCAATGCGAAATGCTGTTCCAATACCAAAACCATATGCGCAAGAATGTGACTTTAGGAAAATAGCCAGACCAGAACTCACATCGAGCGACTTCTTTTTATTCGGGGTATACTATATATCAGTGTTTCTTCTTTTTCTTCTTTCCCTGACTCTTTTTAGCCTTGACTTGCGCCTTACCACCACCGCCGTTCCTACTATCCCCCGCTACCTTCTCACTCGCTATCGTCTTCTCCACAGGCAAACCGTATCGACTCGCGTGCTGGACATCAAAATCCGATTTCTTCTTCCGAAACAGCAGCATTGCCACCCTCGCATCCTCAATACTCGAATGGTGTCCCGTCTGTATCTCGACGCCCAGCACCTCCCGCGCCAAAACCCGCAATGCCGGCTTCGGCCCGTGTCCGTACTTCCTGTACCCTGCGAACTTCGCCGTATCCCTCACCTGGCTACTCGGGTGCGCGAGCTGCAGCGCCGCCAGATCGTGCTTGATATCATGACCAACGACGATCCGACCCTTCAGCAGCTCCGCCACCGCGGCCTGCACCTCGTCGAAGCTGCGCGCCGACGCCAGGACCCGCGGCGTGAGCCCCGTGATCCGCGTCCGGTAGTCGGTGACCCGCTCCCGCGGCGCCACGAACGAGTCGTAGACTTGGCGCCCGTGGAAATCGACAATGCTCACCCTTGCTAACACGGATTCCCGGCCCTCGGGCCCGACGCCGACCATTTCGCAGTCCACGGCGATGTACTTGCCCACCTCGACGCCGGGAGCCAGCCCTTCGTTCACGCGCGCCGGCGAGGCGGCGGTGAGAGAGGCGTTGTGCTTTACGCCTAGGGAGTACGCTTCGGCTAGGTCCTCGGCGGAGATGTCGTTGTCCTCGGCCCAGAGGGCGAGGGAGGGGGTTATGGTTGCTGGGGTGCCGCGGGCGAGGGCGGAGGATTGTGTTATGCCCATGGGGGGTTTTGTTGGGGGGTTTGGTGAGGGTTTGTTAGGTGTTTTTGATGATGACTGTTGCTTCGGCTGCTTGGAGGGGTTCTGTAACTTTTGCCGTTTTGGATGAGGGTGAGAGTGAGAGGATGAGCCGTCGTCGGCCTTCCTCTTGGTTGTGGTTTTTGGCGCTGATGAAGAAGTCGTAGTAGATTCTGCCTTGATTTGGGCTTGCAGCTTCTTCCAATTTGATGATAATTCTGGTGCCATTGCTTTCGTAATTACAGCGCAGCTGCACTCATGGTATGGATGAGTGACTGGCTATCTTTGAGATTTCGCACTGGTGGGGCTTCGATTTTGTAAGGCCGCAGTCAATCATGAAAATTTAGAGGGGCTCAGAAGTAGTTGGGGATTAAAAGCTCTGACTTCATAAGATGAATGACATGTACTGAATATTTGTTCTGCTTCTTCTGATGAATGCAAGATTTGTTGTAGTTGTGGCATTCATCAGGTTTCAATTTTCCACTATTCTTTCAAATACAATATTTCTTTTAGCATATTCATTTATGGATGAATTGGACGGTACTCGTAACATTCACCACCCTGCCAAATCACCCTAAGCTATGTATTTATCAGACATTGTGGTATTGCTTACATGTATATGTCGTAGAGCTATATGCCTTTACATCATATCGTATATATGGTATAGCTGCATTTCTTGAAATGATTTGGCAGGCTATCGCCCTGTGTCGAGAGACGGGATCCTTGCATTGGCATCTGCAACCACTTAGAGATACGTTTTCTCATTGGTCAATTATATGGGTCCTAACACCAAAATTCGCGTCTAATAGATTTAACACGCGACGCGACTTAGGCCCCGTTCTGCCCCTCCACTTAACTCCTTAATTTTTCTGTCTTGACGAATATTCGTGATCGAAGCGTTGTAGTAATTGCAGTACCCCTCAACACTACAACAAATACGTATTGCCATTTTCGTACCGACAATTCGATCGACAATGGCGACTCCAAGCGATTCGGGCATGTTGATGTCCGACGCACCTTCGAGAGGTGCTACCACTCCTAGAGCCAGGCCGTTTAACAGAGGCTCTTCAGCACGACCACGAGGTCCTCCCTCCGAAAGTCTAGCCGCGCCTAGCGACGACGAGGCCGATGGCTTCGCAGATGACCAGATCCCCAGTCGCACACGCCGGAGAGACCCTGCTACTATCCCGCGAGTAGAAGATAGGATCGGTATCACCGTTCAGGAACACTTTGAAAACTTTATTGAAGAGTACGTCTCGTTCTATAAATAGTATATATCGTAATTGACCAAAGAAAAGATTCATCGAAGACCCTGCTTCGTCCGGTGCGCCCACGTCGAGTGCTGTTACTACGAACAAGTTCTACGTAGCTCAAATCCATGGCATGCGTATCTACCAATTATCGACCTTTTACGTCAACTATAATCATATTGCCAGTTACCAAAATGGCGGTCTAGCCAATGCCATTAACACACAATACTATCGATTCCTCCCCTTCCTTACTAATGCCCTTCACAACATGATCGCCAAATATGAGCCACAGTATTTCCGCGATCATCGACAGGCCACTACTTCTAGTAACCAAACAACCTCTGGCGCAAGTAATATTGGCTCGGGAAGTCAATCCGAGCAGGGCAACAAGACGGCAAACCAACAGACGGATAAGCTATTCGCCATCGCCTTCTACAACCTCCCTCTAGTCTCTCGAGTTCGTGCCTTGCGTGCCAAGAATATCGGCCAGCTACTTTCCATATCAGGAACCGTGACACGTACCTCTGAAGTACGACCCGAACTCTCTCTAGCGACCTTTCTCTGCGAGAATTGTCGTTCCGTCATCCCAAATGTCGAGCAAACGTTTCGGTATACGGAACCTACGCAATGTCCCAATGCGGAGTGTGGAAACCGCCTAGCATGGCAGTTAGATATCAGACAAAGTACCTTTGTCGACTGGCAGAAGGTCCGCATCCAGGAGAACAGCTCGGAAATCCCTACAGGTAGTATGCCGCGAACGATGGATGTCATCCTACGGGGTGAAATGGTAGACCGCGCAAAGGCAGGCGAGAAGTGCATCTTCACAGGCGCATTGATCGTGGTACCTGACGTGAGCCAGCTAGGCCTTCCCGGAGTCAGACCTACGGCGATCCGAGATGATCGGAATACACCGCGTGGCAACGACGTTGGTGGCAGTGGAGTCTCGGGCTTGAAGTCTCTAGGTGTTCGCGATCTAACGTACCGATTAGCTTTCTTAGCTAATATGGTTACCCCTGACTCGTCTACGCCCGGCCAATCTGCTTCGCGCCAAGTCCACGATATCATCAACTCCCTAACCCAAACATCGGCTGACACAGCTGAAACTTCTGAAGAAGCTCAGACAGCCATTCTCAATTCTATGACGCCCAGTGAAATCGATGAGCTCCGTGAGATGGTCCACAGCGACCACATCTACGCACGTTTAGTCCAGTCTCTTGCGCCCACGGTGTACGGCCACGAGATTGTCAAGAAAGGTCTCCTTCTGCAGTTGATGTCCGGTGTCCATAAAACGACTGCCGAAGGCATGGCCCTTCGTGGTGACATCAACATCTGCATCGTCGGCGACCCGTCTACCTCCAAATCCCAGTTCTCGAAATACGTCTGCTCCTTTGCTCCCCGCGCAGTTTACACATCCGGTAAAGCCTCTTCAGCTGCTGGTCTCACAGCCGCCGTCGTCAAAGATGAAGAGACGGGTGAGTTCACTATCGAAGCCGGTGCGCTCATGTTGGCCGACAACGGCATCTGCTGTATCGACGAGTTCGACAAGATGGACATTGCGGACCAAGTCGCCATCCACGAAGCCATGGAACAACAGACGATCTCTATCGCCAAGGCCGGTATCCAAGCCACGCTCAACGCGCGCACTTCTATTCTCGCAGCCGCAAACCCGGTTGGGGGGCGGTATAACCGAAAGGCGACGCTGAGGACCAATATTAACATGTCGGCGCCTATCATGTCGCGTTTCGACCTGTTCTTCGTGATTTTGGACGAGTGCAACGAATCCGTCGACCGCCATTTAGCCGAACATATTGTCGGGATCCACGCGCTGCGCGACAGCGCCATCGAGCCCGAGTTCAGCACCGAGTGCCTGCAACGGTACATCCGATTTGCGCGGACCTTCCGGCCGGAGTTCTCGGACGAGGCCAAGGAGCGCCTGGTCGAGAAGTACAAGGAGCTGCGCGCGGACGACGCGCAGGGCGGCATCGGCAAGAACAGCTACCGCATCACGGTCCGACAGCTCGAGAGTCTGATCCGACTAAGCGAGGCCATCGCCAAAGCGAACTGTGTCGAGGAGATCACCACCGAGTTCGTGGACGAGGCGTTCAACTTGCTCCGGCAGAGCATCATCTCGGTCGAACACGACGACGTCGAGATGGACGACGACGAGTTCGGTGATAATCCCGAGGACGCGGCGGCGCTGCTCGCTGCGGCGGATAGGGCGGCTTCCGGGGCCAGGGATGAGGAGGGCGACGAACAGATAGGCGATGGTGAGGACGATGATGGTGCGGATGCGCCGGCTAGCGGACAGGCTAGCAGGGAGCCGAGCGCGGCGGCGCCACCGCCCAAGAAGAAGACGGCGATTACGTACGAGAAGTACATTTCCATGGTGAATCTGCTAGTGTCGAGAGTGAAGGAAGACGAATCGGAGGGCGAGGCGGAGGGGGTTGATGGTGACGCGTTAGTGGAGTGGTATCTGGAGCAGAAGGAGGAGGAGCTCGAGGGCGAGGAGGATTACCATCGGGAGATGGGCGTTGCGAAGATGGTGCTGAAGAAGATGGTCAAGGTATGTTTTCATTTTCTGGCAATTTTTCTTTTCCCCCTTTTCCCCATCCTTAGAGAATCGATGCTAACTGCAAAATAGGACAACATCCTCATGGCTGTGCACGAAGGACTTGCTCAAGAGGGCAACCAGGCGCCGGCTGGAGAGTCGGCCTCCCAGAAGGTCCTCTATGTGATACATCCTAATTGCGCGATTGAGGAGTACTGAGTTACTAAGTGAACGGGATACGACCATGACCATGAACACGAGACTTGTCCTGACGCTGGACGGCGTTAGGAGAAGGGGAGATGACGAGATGAATACAGGCGCCGAATTACCTAGGTAATATAAACTCATCTTGTACGTGTGTGGATGGAGCTGTTTATATCACTTGCTGGTTGGTTAACAGAGGGGGATGACGAAATGACCTGAGAGCTTCTAAGGATCATAAGGTGTTGTCTGCTATGGTCTACGAACGACGAATGGAGATAATGAATAAAGTAACTACGGAATACTACTGAGAAAGCGAAGCTAAGGCGCCCGGAGTCTAGAGTTAGGGAATGAGATATCAGCACGTTTAGGTAAATGAGCTTAATATGAGATGAGATGAGATCAGATCAGATCAGATGATGTCCGTACTATCTAGAATGTGTTATGAGTAAGAGCACTGGTTAGATGGTAGAGCTTTATAGGAGGGGTTATGTAGTTGTGAATACAGCCCCTGGCTTAGGTTGAGCAGTTTGAATTGATGTTCGGACATACCTGAACGTTTGTCTCTGGTTCTGTTAGTATTGAATAAATAGTATTGCTCATTGGCTTTCCTTACGTGATAAACATCCTCTTATTATCTATCTGATATCAGCGAGGCTAGGTCTAGTTTATCCTGCCAAGTCACAATGTATTAGTCTAAGATGGATATTCCGGAAAAATGAACATCCATCTATTTACACTCAAAGAAGCAACTTACCTCACCATCCTTAAGATGTTAGATATCTATTAGATATCCAGGACTGTAGTTTGCCATCAAGCAACCTTACACTTACCCTTACAATAAAAGCACAATTGTGTATACTCAATCAACTAAGGTCAAACATCACCAGTCACAAAAAACATCCTTTATAGTATCATAGGTATCTCATGTATCGTGGAAATTTCTCAATTAATGAGGTTTTGATGACAGCGAATTGTTAAGCCAATAGCTAAGAGCCGGGCAATGGGAGATACCGTAATCCTCCGCCTACTCATACCCTTACTCGTATCGAGCGGGTACAATTCGGAGTAGGACGGAGTAAGCCGATATTCTCCAGCTCGAACACACAGGCCTACCATGTGGTGATTACAAGCTCACTCATGCCTTGTTCAAATAGGAGGTAGTAGTTGTAGTAAAAAGAAGAGGTGTTTGGCAAAATCCACGCATGCTCGCATTCGTGCCCTGCCGCTGCATTGTTTCCAGGCAGTTATCATTTTTGTCAGTGTTAATAGTTGGTAACCAGCTCCTCTCGCTCATATCTAGTCATCCACACTAGGGATGACTTTTCCAAACCCTCCATTCCGGCAACGCCCCAAGGATCCATGGTCCCGACAATCCGATATTGTATATGAAAAGTCGTGACCCGCCGCCAACCAGTCCAGTGCAGAAGGAAAATGCACCTGTGCCTTGATTGAATATATCTCAGCATACCAATAGTGAAAGGTCGACAAAGGGGTGGATATAACGGTGTCAAACGGACTGATAAACCATTATTTTTTTCGTGGAACTAGGAGCGGTTGCATCATAGTTGAAAAGGGGCCAATGACTTTTTCGTCATGAGAAGAACGCAGAAAAAAGATGCGTTGGAAACTTTGTTGTACAAACTGTCGTCCAAAGACAGGCTTATTGTCCGTACGACAGTAAGAAGATGATGGAATTTGCAATGCATCATTGCAATCGAGTATACAGTAGGGAGAAATAGTATGATCAAATCTTCAAGAGCTTGATCCTTTAGGACCACTGTGACGGCGCAGCAGTCGACGTGTGTCTGCCTGCCATATTCTCCATCCTAGGCCGATAATTCCCACGCCCACTACGAGTGGAGGGGCGGCTAGGTGGATGGGATGAGTGATCGCCAGGGTGGTCAGAATGTTCTCGACCGCCGCGTTGGCCTCCGCGGCCTGACAAGCGTCGGGCACCCCCACGAGGTCCTTGTCGGCGCTGATTACTATTCGAGCGACCGTTGTCGTGCCTCATTAAAACGGTCTTAGCCTCGGCCATGAAAGGACCCGAGATTCGGATCACGTTCCTGCCGTTGGACATCTCAGGCGCAGAAAATCTCCATGCCTCGGCGCCTAATGGATCAACTCGTAATTTGATAGGCATAGGCTCGACATGAAGTTCCGCTGGTTGCCACAAAGCATCCGGCGCCTCGCTAGGAAGACGGACTGTAGGTAGAGATCCCATCTCTTGCTCTCCGAAGCATTCCTCGGCCATTTCTCTACTAGTATAGTCGCTACCATCAGAAGTAAGAGAGCTCACCGAATGGGAAAGTCCGGGCAGCGCAACCGTTGCAGGATCATACGACTGGCTGTGATCCAACGCTATTCTACTCGAAGAATCTACAGCCAGAGACTTGATCGGTGCAGGCGAGGTATTTTTACCGAAAAGAGTGTTAATCTTTTCCTGCCAGTTTTCCTGTGATGAGATTTCGTAGGGCGTCTGATGAATTCCACCGTAGCCCCTACCTCTGCTAGAGGGACGGGGGCCAGTGGATTGCTGATGCGCCCTAACAGGTGCTGCAGCCGCGGCTGCGAAGGATATTGGCGCCGGCTTAGCAGGCGGCATGACAGGGCTAGGGCCCGCAGAGTTGGTAGGGGGTGGTAGCTTGACTATCGGACGAGCCGGTGGCAACGCCACGTGGGGACGAGTACTGTCACCATCAAATACAGGATGGCCGTCTGCGGTGGGCGGGGGTGGAGTCGGTGACTTCGTCCGAACCTGCTCCTGGAGATCATCCTCATACTGGGATTCTCGAGTGGAGGGGAAGAAGCGGGAGCTGCTTCTAGGTTGAGCCGCAGGACTAGTTACAGTTCGCCTAGAGGGTCCAACTGTGGGCTGTCTACCAAAATCGGCATTGCTGCCGTTCATTTTCGCAGCAGCCGCTTCCCTAGCTTCCCTGGCTGCGGTATAGTCCGAAGGCATGCGGCCTTTCCATCGGGCAAGATCTTCTGCTGTCGGTCGGCTCTCTCTGGCGGCCGCTTCCTTGGCTTCTCTAGCAGCGGCTTCCCTAGCTTGTCTAGCAGCAGCATAATCCGATGGCATACGGCCTTTCCACCTTGCAAGATCCTCCTCTGACGGTCTCGCAGGCTGTTCATCACGTGCGGCATTGGTTGCCGTATTCGCTGCAGAAGCATTGTACGAACTGCTCGATCGGACTTCATGATGGTTGTTGACCGCATCGGCCATGCCTTGTCTAGCTCCGCCTGACGCTGGCTTCCCTGTAGCCCTATTGCGCCAATCCTCACTCATCGGTAGCGAAACGTCGTCCTTCTGAGCGTCGATTTTGGCCTGCATATCAATCGCTCGTCTACGGTCATCCTCTTTAACATTAGAGGCGAACGACTTCCAGGGGTTTGCAGCACCTGACTCGGGTCCTTGGGAAGTATTGGCGGAACGGCCGCGAGGTGGTCCAATAGGGGCCAAGCGATTATTAGACATGGCCTCTGGGCGTACAGGCTGCTGAGATGCGGTCCGTGGAGGCCCAATTGGGGCCGGGCGATGATTACGATCACCGATGGGGGGGGGACGGGAATCAGGCAGTGTTCCCAGGTCGGGATTGAAAGTGCCGTTTCCAAGTGAGCGGTCATTGCCGGGGGCACCCCATACGTTACGTGAGGTGTTCTGGGGACCATTGCCCCATGAGGGATATCGCTCCGGATGTTGAGCTTCCGGCCAAGACGTCGGATGTTGAGACTTCGACATGGAAGAAGTTCGCATCTGCTGGCCTTGAGGTTTGTCAACTTGACTGAGAGGCCTCTTGACTTCTCCATTTGCTCGGTTATCGCCACCAGATCTTGCATTACTTGGGTCCGGATGGGTGGAATCCACTGGTGCTATAACAGTGGAATCTTCATTGCTTCTTTCCTTGTTGGCACTATTTCGTTCCGGGGGCGGGCCCATGGCCTTCAGCTTTTCGGCAATCCTAGCCTTCCGAGCTGCTTCCTCACGTGCCTCCTGCTCCGATCGACGCCTAATCGCCTGCTCGCGACGCTCTCGCATGATCACTGCTTGCATTTCTAAATCATCAGTGGGCTGCATATCAACAGCAGGAGAACTATAATAGGGAGCGGCGTGATTTTGTCCAGGAGATAGCCTTGGCTGATATGGATGGACGACGGGTAATCGTGGGGTAGGCTGGGTATGAGCTGAGATGGGACTCTCAGCACCTGTAACGGATTCTGTTCGGGATTGGAATGAATCTGCCGGAGGTTGAATATCATAAGGTTTACGAGCTAGGATACCACTAGTGCCACTGACGTTAGAAGAGCCCCGACGACGGTAAGGGCCTTCTTGACCACTGGTTCTACTTGTTTGGAAGGCAGCCGACGGCTCTGCAGGGCCTTGTTGATCATGGTACTGAGGTCTTTGGAGGACGGCCGGCTGACGGCCGTGAGGTTCATTCCTAGAGCCTCTACGATGATCCGGCACCGGATCATATTGTCCCGAGTGCGAGTTAAACAGTTGGCTATGGTTACCAGCATGTCGATCCCGAAAACCAGACCGGCTAAAGTCGTCTGCAGCAATCTCTTTGGTCGTAGGTGTGCTTGCGCTCTTTGTAACGGGAGATTGTGAAGTAGCTCCTCCAATGGTCGTATCTGACTGCACAGGAGGTACTTTTTCGATCGGAGGCAAACGTGCCCACGGAGATTTAGCTGGAGTTGGTGGCGCCTGCGGTTTCGTGACTAGAGTAGGTTTCTCGGGTGCGCCCTTAAGCACGAGACTCTTGCCTGACGCTACAACACCCGGCTTGACGGAAGGGGATCCGGTTGCACTTGATATAGGGGCGGGTGACTTTGACTTCGGTGGCGCGGAAACAGGGACGGGGACGGGAGCCGGAGCCGGTTCTTTATCAAGAGTAGCCGGCACTACATTGGGGCTTGGAGCAGTTTCGTGTGGTAAGGTAATCTTAGTACCATCTGTCCACGTTATATGGTCCGGAGCCCACTCCTCGTCATCATCGATATCAGCCCAATTTGACTGGCCCTTAGTATCTTCCGGTCCTAGACGACCTGCCATGTGAATTCCGTACTTATGCATGAGTTCCTCATCAGACAGTTTCTTCTGCTCCGGTTGAGATACGGCTGTTACAATGGTTAGCAAGGACCTGAGAATAATCAGCGAAGCAAGATATTCTACAGTAACTTACGTTTATTACGATTCCAAACGGTATTAGGATCAGGCGCAGAAGCAGGTTTACCGTTACTACTAAGCGTCTTAGTAGAGCCACCAAGGCTACTGCCAGACTTGGCGACCAGTTTCAGACGAGAAGCAGAGGTACTAGGAGTCGGCTGAGGTGTAGAGGATGTCGAGCCGGTTGCGGAATCAGGACGAGCATTAGAATTCGCTGCGGTCTTCGAGGCTAGATAAGTGCGATTTACGGAAACCGACTTAAAGCTCTGAGGCTTCTTGATGCTGGAAGAGGTGCGCGCATGATTCTTGTCACCGAGTCGTGCCTTAGATGATTCCGTATCCGAACCCCCGCTCACAGACACTTCAGCTGAATTGACTAATTCGTCGACAATCTCTGCGATCTGCTTATTCTCGACGTCGGAAATGGATCCGTTTAGTGTAGCACTCGAGTGCCCGGCATCTTGAGCGGTGTTACTCGAAACTGCTGGTTGAGCCTGTTGTAAAATGCACGTGAGCAAGTGGTTTGCGACGACAGCGCGGTCGAGCAATTGCATCGGGATTGCAGGAAGCAGAGGACGGGAAGATATATTAGAAGGGGGAGGAAGGGAGATGGAAGGCTTCAGGGAAGGTTGCGGACGAAGGGCGACACGAAGAACTTACGATAGGTTCAGTTATCGATGCATCCGGCTGATTGACGGTAGGCTCTGTCGCCATCATCCAACTCGAGAACTGTCGTGAAACGTTGATGTTTGCGTCGCGATCAAAGAGTACAGTACGTTGCGATAGTCGAGTGCGAAAGAATGCGGTGGTAACTTGAGGCTGACAGGTTGGTCGAGGTGGTCAGTTTAAGGGTTGTGTACTTGGCGTCACGCCGTTCAGAAATCGGAGAGTCGGTTACTTACTGTGGTACCGAATGTCTAATAGGTAGAAAGAAAGTCGAAAGTAGAAAGTAGAAAAAAAAAGAGAAGAGACCTGATCAGCCTCGATCGCACAAGGCGCGACTAAAATGAAGTTTAGTACGAGGAACTACACTCTCGGTATGAGGAAGAAATATGAAAAAGAGGTTTAAGTTGTAATACCTCGAGAGAGCTGCAAAGTGGGTTGTTGCAAAGTTGAAAGTTCAGTCCTAAAATGGCCCTTTCAACGTTCAGCGTCGTGTTGGCAAAGTTTACAAGATCCCGAGCTTTTGGGGCTTGCGCAGATAAAAAGTGGAGTGAAAACGAGGAACTGGAAGGGAAGTGGAAGAGCACGGCTGGAAAAGGTGAGTGTGGAACTCGAAAATAGGTGGGGCTAGTGTGGCTGACAAGGTGGGTTGGTGGGCTGAAAAGAGCGAAAACAGCAAGAACCAATCATTACCACGTACTGACAACTGGCAGGCAGCTGCAGCCGATATTTACATCCCAAGGACTGATATATGTACTGGTGCACCTAGTACATGTGATGGAGAGGAAAAAGAAGAATCCATAGAAAATACTAGAAAAACATACCTGTTCAGTTCAAAAATATGAAAAGTATATGAATGTGTATGTGATCAGCAGTACTGTTGTTGTGTTCTGCGTGAACAAAATGCGTAGAGAATGTGTGGCAGTGAAAAATAACGTGAATGATAGTGTGAAGGAAGTGAATGTGAAATGTGTGTAGTTGGAAGAAGTTGAAAAGTATTGAGAGGGTGAATGGTAAAGAAAATAAGATGGGAAGGAAAGAAACTTGTTAGAAAAAAGGGTGCGGTTGTTTCTTGGGTGACTTCAAAATTCGTCACTCGTCAACAGTCCAAGTTATTTATGTTGTTCATTCGTAGAATCAGTAGGTATGAGTCATTATAAACCATGCTACCAAAATACCGATCATTTGCAAGTGAATGCATTTGCCTCAGTACTTCCCGTATCCTACATAAGTATAAGAATATCGTATGACACGATTTGGGACTAGATACCAACGTTGCTTATCGTAGTACCTACACATCACACGTCCTATGTACTACAGTTATACACCAATAAATATATCAAATGAAAACTGTAGAATTCTTTGAGACTAAGCTCGGTTCTGTTCTGGTACAGAGAGGCTATCCATGCTCAATGCTTGATGCCATCTATCTTTATACAGCTTGATCACCTGCTCGACCTTGCCCAGTCTTCCACCTAGTGGTACCTTAGTGGTGAATCTGCTTAGTGAGGGTTGTTCTTGTGGTGGCCTATGATATATTAGCATTCATCTATGTATATATACAGTAAGAAGGTAACTTACGCAAGTGGAAGTAGTAAGTCATAGGGTAGCCAATGGCGAGAACGAGGCCAATGGCGTGGATGATAGCTAAAGGAAACCCGTTAGTACGAATATGAACCCTCCATATTGTATACAGTTTATAGAGAATGATAGGGACCATGAGACATACGCTTGGCGGTAGGGTTCTTGCCAAAATGCTTGGCCTGGTATCTGCCGAGGAGACCGGTAGGCTGGATCTCGGGGGCCGGTCCTCGGGGGAGTTTCTCGTAGAAGCTGACAACGCGCTTCATGCGGAGAGCATCAGGAGCAGCACCGATGGCCTAGTAGCATTCCCGTCAGTACAATTTTGGCCCTCTTAATCTTGCGATATCCTTCCCCGAGTCTCCCCAAGCAAACTGCCAACACTAAAAACCAACTCAAGTCTTCCTGACCATATCAAGCCCAAGGATCGTAACAAGACGGGAAAACGGATAGCGCGGTATAAGGTAAACTAGTACATACATTCGGCGAAGCAACCTGCAGTATCCGTTAGCAATTTAATAACTCTATATCTACGAGACGCCACGAACCTTAGGAGGAATGAGGGTCGAGAGAGCCCTACGGGTGACGAAGCTCATTGTGGCGGGTTTGATCGCGATAAAGAGGAGATAAGTAAGGAAACCGGAGAGGTCACAGAGAAGAACCAATTGCGACGAGGGCTGGCGCAATTGCTGATCTGTGATGCGATGCGATGCTTGCTTAAGGTGAATTCGACGAGGAATGAGCTCAAAAGTGGGAAGCGGTTGTTCAATTGATCAAAGTAACGAAAAGACCTCGTTTAGTGAACTTGGTCCGTGCGTTATCCGTTTTAGCGCGGTAATTGCCGCCCTAGCCAATCAAATACCTCATAACTCGATTATCTCAACCTCCAAATCCTAAGTCGCCTTAATTCAATATTTCTTATACTTTAAGCTATTTCAACTTCCCTCAACTCGCCATCTACATCGACCCGCCATTACTGTACCCGGAGGGCTTTGACACTCAGACAAAAGATGGCTTCTCTCCGGTCCCAGGCGACGGCAGCGACGCTGTTACGGAGTGCGCGGTTGGTCCCGAGCAGACAAGCTCTGGCGATGGCGCAGAGACGATTCAAATCCGACGACCCGACGACATCCCTCACCAAATCCGACCAACCCACTCTTCCCGTAGAGAAACCCCGCAATGCGCCTGATTACGGTGTCCACATCGACAGGGCGACATCGTACGTCCATCTACGAACCCATACTTGATTATAAAAGCCGGCTGGATATCAATACTAACCGGTATTTCATAGCACATTCACTCCAGTACCGAAGCAAGTAATGGACGGCAGCGAAGATCACGATATCCTCCCAGCGGCCGTGCTTTCCGGCGCTCCGATCGAGCTACAGGCCAGAGCTGTCCGGTAGGAACCCTTTTATCACGGCCACATCTACAAGCAATTGTCTGACGAAATACATAGCATTTACCAACCTAGCAAGCCCGCCACGCAGTCCGGAACCTGGGGCGCTCATCACTGGAGGATGGATTGGGACATTCTGTCCAAAGGCCACCGATGGGAGAACCCCTTGATGGGATGGCAATCGTCCGGCGACTTCATGCAAGGCACCAAGCTAGAGTTTAAGAGCAAGGAAGATGCCATCGCTTTCGCCGAGAAGCAGGGCTACGAATACTTCGTACAAGAGCCGAACGAGCGGGCTTTCACACCTAAAGCCTATGCCAACAATTTCTTATATTCGCCCAAGAAGCTTAAGCACATCCGAACTAAATAGATCCACGGCAATGGAGAATATGAATGAACTTGGGGAAAACAACAATATGGTTTTGTAAATATGCTAGACAATGGTATCTTCAACACACCCGAGTGTAGTACGCCTTGCTAAGTGGTCCTGGTTCCCGTGATTGGCCGCCGCACATTGTTCCCATAAAACCCCTGATGTGAATCATGCCCTGAGTGATCATAAAACTCTTTCCGTATGTGCATGGCATGGACCTCTGCCAGCCTTGAACCCAAAACGCCTCTTAATTGTTGGGAGCCCATCTCTGAATATTTCCTAATTCGTAACGCCTGCCTGACCTTCGATAACACGTCACCACCATATGTCGCAGCTTCCTCCTTCCAGCTCCGGGCCGAATATGGACAATGCCCGACAAAAATCATTAAGACTGCCGGGGAAAGCCTGACCAGCGAGTCACTAGGTCGTGATCATAGGCTCATGGCCATTCTCTACCCCACCAGAATCATCACCATCTAGGCCCAGGTCAATCCTTCCTGGAAGTTCCTTCTTGCCCTCTTTACGGACAACCTCCTCACTCCAGGCTCGCATCTGTACCAAATGACGAATAGCAGCCTCCCTACGCTGTAGCTGACGGTATAAGATTGCCTTGTTGACCTTATCAGCAACTTCTCGTCGAAGACCTGGCTGGAGAAGCGCTGCTAGGGAGGGATCTAGATTGTCATGGTCGAACACAAGAAGAGACATTGTCTTCTCCAAGTCTTCTAGGAATTGCGGAGTGCGCGGAGCTTTAGGTCCCAGCTGTGTCTGTGCGAATTCCAAAGCAGGTCCAATGTCACCACCAGGGCGAGACTTTCGGATTAGTTCCACTAGCTGAAGGCGAAGAAGCGCAAAATGAAGGGGCTCGTCTTCATCTAAAATCTACTCGTATGGTTAGCCGACATTAACAATAGTAATACAGCATATAAATATATAAAAGAATTAAACGCTCATGGAGAAAGTGGTTGTTCCTCATCAACGACCCGGAGGTCATATGAGTGGTGCATGTAAACTCAGGTTTTAATCATAGCAAGTTAGATATCAACAAGGATAATGAATGATAGCACCTACAGAGGGGTCAAGATCGTTGAGAGCATGGATAGCGCTCTCAATTTCGCCCTTGTGTATGAAGGTCTGGATCTGCTGTCTAGCATGAATAGCGGTCGAGGGTTGTTGAGGAGATAGATTCGCCTCGGTAGAGAATTTGGCAGCAGCATTTGGGTAGCCAGCTACGGTCAAATAGTCGAGGATTAAAGCGTTGATATCACTTGAAAGGCAGGTTAGTCGGTGATTTCCTAAGTTGTGAAAAACATGTAGGTAGAAATTTTTTGTTCAGAAGAATTGATATAATAAAAAGATCTCCGCATAATGTTCTCAGAGAGATTCCCATTGTTTTATTTGTTGCATCATAACATATGCTCCATGAAGGAAGCGAAAGGGAAGAACCAATAGTGAACATACCTCTTAGGAGTCTTCACTTCCTCGACATGTCTCGTAAAGGCATGCTTCATCGATTTCGTCGTTGACGCGGATGAAGTCTGTTTGGGCACCATTTAGCAATCGCGTAACAGTGCGGCCTAACGAGACCACCAAGCATACCATCTTGCGCTCAAGCAGTTCTGAGATATATCGCGTGTGACGAAGATGGTTCTCAAGTAGGATATCACTTGACGACATGCCCTACTACCCCTCTTGCCAGTTAGAAGCACGTATTTGAGCGGTAGAGAGTTCAGAGCCGAGTGGAGTAAGGCAATGCCCAAGGAAATCTATTCTATTCTGGATCTCCGGCACGAGGCTGGGCTTTTTGAGTGGCGTTGTCGCACATGGGAAATCGAACGAGAAAAAAAAGAGGTTGTAGGAGGGAAGGTTAAGGCAGGCTTCGGTTCGCCGAGAGTGCAGAAATGCAAAGAACCGTTGCTTAGTGGAGCCTGGAACTAGACCTGTTGCGTTAGACTGTGGCTGCAGTTATTGGGTATGACTGCGTGCTTATGTGGCTTGTAAGACTTACGCCTCAGGTGTGGTATCTGTTATCAGTTATCAACACGCCCCAAGCTCCAATTGACCCAATCGACCTGCTAAATTCGACTCGTTGAAAACCCACACAGTTTCTTCTTGTTCATAATTGGTTTTCGAAGACCTGATCCTCCTTTTTTTCCCCTTGTTCTTTTGGTATATTTGGCTTAATTCTTTTTTTTTCAATAGGTTGCCCAAGTTTCCTCATCTTAGAACCTTTGGCTAGTTAGTGTGCCCAAAAATTAGTGCCATCTTACATGGTCTCATCTTATTAGCCACTTCAAAGCTTCTCTTCAAGTGTGTGCTGTCAGCCTACGATACTCCAAACTGGTTTAGGTGGGCACGCCACAACAACCACCTCCCAGTTTCTTCCCTCTTGAATATTGTAGCATACTTCTGAAACTCCCTAAAAGGCCTTCCACTTCATATCCATTTATATTATATCCTTTGCCATATGAGCCGCAGCCTAGACAGGTAGTCATGAATACCGGCATTGGATCGCCGGCCATCGTGGCTGATAACAATGCGGATACAATTGCCAAGAGAGCCCATTACAGCCCTCCGTGGGCTGACCTGAGTATCATTGGTATCGCAGGCAGTTCCGGTTCCGGTAAATCGACATTATCGCATGCCATTGTCAGCAAACTAAACTTGCCTTGGGTGGTTATCCTGTCAATGGTAAGCATGTCTAGGTGATTAGAGAAAGAGGGTAACTTCTTGTCTCACTCGTCATAGGATTCCTACTATAAACCATTAGACCCAGAAAGCTCGAGAAAAGCATTTCTCAACGAATATGATTTCGACTCTCCCGAGGTTAGACTCATTATACCGAGCCCTTGGCCCTCCACCGTCATATTGATACATAACCTGTAGGCAATTGATTTTGACGCCTTGGTACAAACACTTCGAGACTTGAAGGCAGGGTAAGGATGCCGTAGTCTCCATGATAAGCCATTCGTAGGAGTTCCCACTGATCTTCGACCTATGCAGCAAACGCGCCGAGATACCGGTATACTCCTTCGAGAAACACCAGCGCGTAGAAGAGACGACGTCCATATATTCCCCTCATGTCCTTGTTCTAGAAGGAATCTTCGCCCTGTATGATCAGAGGGTGATGGATTTAATGGACATGAGAGTATGTGCTTAAGAGCTGTAGGTCTGCTAGGACAACGCTAATATTATGTTAGATCTACTGCGAGGCTGATGCTGATACATGTCTTTCAAGACGAAGTAAGGCGTAATCTGGACGATGGAGGCATCATTGTTGACTTGTCCATTATAGTCCTACGAGACGTGAGAGATCGAGGTCGTACAGTGGAGGGTTGCATTAAGCAATGGTTCAACTTCGTAAAGCCAAACTATGAGAAGGTAGGTAAATTAGCACGACCTTGTCAAAGACTACAGCTAATCGTCCTCTTTCTAGTTTGTTTTGCCCCAGAGGAACCATGCTGGTATATGATATTTCCTGACCTGTACCATCACCTTATATTGATACTAGACTGATTCTCTTCTAGATATAATTGTGCCACGAGGCATAGAGAATCGAGTTGCGATGGGTAGGTTATGATCTGTCCCCTGTAAGATTTGTGCTCATTAGCGTAGCTATGGTCACCCAGTACATCGAGAGAAAGCTAGTTGAGAAGTCAACACGCCATCGCGCAGCTCTCAGAAGCTTGGAGGCTGGGTCCGATAGCGAACCCCTTTCCGATCGAGTCATAATTCTCAAACAGACCCCTCAGCTCAAAGCCATGAACACGATCATTCAGGATATTGACACTTCAAGCGAGGATTTCATATTTTACTTCGACAGGTTCTCATGCCTTCTCATCGAAGAGTATGTATTGTAGCATAATTTCTGCTGTTTCTTACTGACGGTTATAGGGCCTTGAATAATGTTCACTTCCAGGAATTGAGCGTCGAAACCCCCGCTGGCAGATCGTATCACGGACTAACCCCCAAAGGCGAAGTCAGCGCCGTCATCGTCCTCCGCGGTGGGGCCTCATTTGAAGCCGGGCTGAGAAGAGTGATACCAGATGGCCGCACAGGACGTCTCCTTATCCAGTCCAACGTTCGGACTGGAGAGCCCGAGCTCCACTATTTGAAACTTCCGAAAGATATCAGCAAGCATGATAGTGTTTTACTTCTGGACGCCCAGATGTCTAGTGGAGGGTCTGCGCTAATGGCTGTCCAAGTTCTCGTAGACCATGGTGTCCCGCAAGACCGCATTGTCGTCGCAACATACTCAGCAGGCTACGTAGGCGTTTATCGTCTGACGAAAGTTTTCCCAGAGATCACCGTCGTCATTGGCGACATGGTTAACGATTTCGAAGACAGGTGGGTTGAGAAGAGATACTTTCGATGCTAAGCCAGACAGACAGTAGGCATAAGCCCGAATATATAGATTGCCAGAGCATCTTCACGACTGTAGATGCTTTCATTAAGACGTTGACTATATATATATCTTAGGTCGATTATGTATAAGGCTAGTTCTGATCTTTGCGGTCGAATGGGATATAAATATGCTACCGAGGTAATACCTTAGATTCTAGAATAGCAATGTAGATTATGAGCTAATTTAGTATATACGAAATCTATCTGAGAGTTCGGTCATATCTCGAAGAAGTGCCAGGTCCCGCTTTTGAATTTGTCAGCCACTAACCCATGGTTGATGCCGAATCGCGCGATAGCATCATCGCTGGTATGCGACGCATGCATGTATAACTGCACTAACAATACTCGCCAAGACGATATCTGTCTTCACAACTGTGCCCAATCCATTGATATTCGAGTCATATTCCTTGGCTCTCTTCACTTCGCGCCTCTTAGGAAGGTCGGACACACCCCTTCTAGAATGGCTAAAAGAAACCCAGTCCTAGTATTCAGCCCAGGAGCGTGGCATACCCCTGACTTTTTCGAACCCACCACTTCCCTCCTCTGTGAAACAGGCTACACCTGCGACCTTGCCTCGCTCCCCAGCGTCGGCGCCGAGCTTCGGTCCCCTCCCCAAGTTCCGCAAAATTTCGACGCCGACGTCGCCGCCTTACGGGAGACTATCACTAAGAACCTAGACGCAAGCCGCGACGTCATCCTTCTAGTACACAGCTACAATGGCATAGTCGGTAGCGAAGCCGTCGAGGGCCTAGATCGCGCCTCCCGCTCTCGCGCGGGCAAGTCAACCGCCGTCACACACCTAATCTACATCGCGGCCCTAATCCTCGACATCGGGACCCGGCTCTGGCCCACGGGCCAGCCCAAGTTCCCGGACCAGGTCGTCGTAAAAGGGGACCTCGTGTACCGCGTCCCGGAGAAGCTCGACGAGGTATTTTACGGGAATTGCAACGAAGAGCAGCGCGAGTTCGTGGTCAGGAGTCTGAGAAGCCAGGCTAGGGGCGTGTTTACGGATAGCGAGGTCAGGCACACGGCGTGGAGGTTTGTTCCGAGTACGTATATACGCGCGAGGGATGACCCGTTGGTGGATTTTATGAAGGATCCGCCGCGGGGACATCGGTTTGCGGAGGTGCTGGAGGTGGAGGGTGATCATTTTCCTTTTGTGAGTGCTGCGGAGGAGACGGCGGAGGTTATTAAGGGGGTGGTTGAGAGGAGTGTCAAGGACGGGGAGTAAGTGTTTGTTGAACTAGGAGTTCATGGTTTTGGTCTTGGAGTTCTTGTTACTATATGATTACCTACCTACCTACCTACCTACCTAAAGAAATAGAAACGCGGCTTCGTTATGAACTACCAGATAATCGTCCTTTTAATAGAGCTATCAAGTTTTGGGCATATGTGACTCTATAGTCAACTATAGGATGGTTCGAGTCTAGAGTATTTGATGAATTATTAATGAAGACAGGTGTGAGGTAGTGACTACTACTATTATATAGCGAGAGTATATGTCCATCTAGGTAGGTAGGATATAGAAGAAAATATTATCATCCAAGGCCCTGTCTAGCCAAGTCTGTAGTCTTAGAACTGTACATATTGTAATTACTGGACATAACTAATTCAGACCTTGCCTTACAATTTTTGAAGACTTGAGTGTGGCGGAGGGATGTATTTCTGGCTATTCTGCCTTTCTAATTTACAAGGAAAGAATATAGGTACAGAACGGGGTCGATTTATACTTTCTTCAACCCGTCTCGAATAGCCGACGATATTTCCGTGCCCGGTGGTGGGCCATCTCCTTTCAGCTACGCAGTGGAGATGTCGGGTTTCCTGAAATGGCATCTCCGCTATGCATGGCCGACTTCAATTTGAATCGAACCACTCACTTAAAACATACTTGGAGACCGACTTCACTGCGGTCTTTGCATATTATAAAATTCTAGAGTGTTCTGGTGAATGGTGCATAAGTAAACAGCGAATATGGATAGGAATGACAACCATTTTTGCTGAAGTAAGCCTATGATGTCGTTACTCTTCCTCCGTTGCCGAGTCGCTTCGCTTGGCGGTCGTCGAGCCTTTGCATCAGTTGCCAATGGACGCTTCCGGGGTCTACCTACGGTAATAAAAGTCTCTAGTGTCGAGGCCCAAAAGGGGCTCCTTGATGCTAGAAACTTGGAAAAGGCGGTGGGTGCGGTGCACAGGGACGGCCTCGTGGTTGTCGAAGATGTAATTCCGCACAACGTCTTGGATCAGCTAAACAAGAAAATGGTCGAAGACGCGCGGATCCTACAAGCACGAGGCGAAGATGGACCGTTCAACTATAACACGGGGAATCTACAGCAGGATGCACCTCCAGTCGCCGAATATTTCAGTCCGACGATATTCACTAGTGAGCGTCCCTGGCACAGTTTCATATATCAGTTCAACAGTGCTTACGATTCGTAGATCCCATCGCCACACAGATCACAACTGCTGTGCTTGGCCCCCGTCCCAAGTGGTCATTCTGCTCAGCTAACTCGGCTATGCCTCCGTTACCGAGAGGGGAACCCTCACGTCAACCGGTACACTCGGATGCGGACTTCAAGCATCCGGATCATCCGTTCGCGCTCGTCGTCAACATCCCGCTTGTCACCATGACGCCAGAGAACGGGTCAACAGAGATTTGGCTCGGAACTCACAACGGCGCTAGCGTAGACGGCCAAGAAGGCGCGCATGGCGAGCGAGCCAGCGGTCGCATACGAGAGGACCTGCTAGCTCAACGCAAAGAAGTATGCCCGCCGTCCCAACCAGTCATCAAGAAAGGCAGCATCGTGATCCGCGATCTCCGGCTCTGGCACGCCGGGATGCCGAATCTAAGCAGTGAGGTGCGCGTCATGCTTGCCATGATCCACTTTGCCCCCTGGTATAGGAATCCGATGCGGCTCGAGTTCTCGGAGGACATCAAGCCCGTGCTAGAGAAGCTGGAGAGCGAGGGCCGGCTGGGGCTGGAGGTACCGGTGGATTGGGTAAGCAGGGAGGAAGCTCTGAAGGCATATCTGAACAGGGGTTTCGGGAATAGTTATGATTTTAACCAGGCACCTTAGATGTTACGAGGTTACTCAAAATATCAAACCGTATGATTTTCATAAACATGAAAATGTTTTTGCTAAGTTGAATTGTCTAAGACGGAAACGGGACATATGGTCTTATGTTTATGTAAAACGGGAAGAAGCATTCCAGGGAGCGACAGGAAATCCTGCTTTCGCTGGAACCGGCTCTGGGCGCCAATTCATTAGAATTGGCCGAAATACGCATAGAGAAATAATACCCTTTACAGCATACGCTAGAGAAATATGTACTGTATATATAACGCCTCATCATGGGATTAACGAATATATCGACGAAGATAATTGAAGTACCCAAGTACCACGGCTGGCAGCGTCGGTGCTAAGACAAGCAGCTAAGTGATATGCATTCTCGATCTGGGTTAGGGTGGGATCTGAGTTCCAAATAAGAATTGTACATATATGTAAGATCGAGCCAAGTACCAACACGTAATTTAACAGGGGATTGCTGAGCCACGGATCGTCACATTGGACGTTAGCTTTTCATTTTTTTCCCCTTCTAGGCCAAGAAAATGGCCCGCGACGGGGATGGAGTTGGGTAGTAAAGGATCTCCGAAAAGGAGGGGGAAATGAGGGAAAAAAATTAGGGGAAGCAAACATCGTCCTGAGAAAGACAAATCCGAATCTGACCCGATGAGAATCCCGATGCGACCATCTGACAAAGCCCCAAGGACAGGTCCCAACGTGAGCTGAGTGAGTGAGTGAGCTATCTCATCTCGCCAGTAAACCAATAATCCCATCCTGTCCCGAGTGGCGTCGTGTATCGTCAATAATGAACCCCGGACGTAGCATTTACTCGTTCATTCTTACCGCTATCCTTCAACTTGGTAATGTTATAGCGGCATGCACAGTAGATCTGGGGTACGCGACCTATGAGGGTTATTATAATGACACGTACGGCCTCAATATTTGGAAGAGGTAAGCAGCTAGCTCAGATTCGATGTTGCATCGAACCCTGCGCTGACTTTCAATAGTGTTCGATATGCAGCGCCTCCAGTGGGAAAGCTGCGATGGCAAGCACCTCAACCTCCCCTTCGGGACAACGGTGGAGTGATCCCAGCCGTCGATCAGCCACCTCTATGCCCGCAGTCGGGTGCCTTCGGGGTCCCTGAGGCCTACGGCTTTAATTCCGGCCCTGGAGACGAGGACTGTCTCTATCTCAATGTATACGCAGCTCCTAATGCAACCGACTTACCAGTCTTGGTCTGGATACGTATGTGCTCCGTTTCTCCCTTTGGTCTGGTTTGTTAGAATCTGACCAATATCGCTTAGACGGAGGCGGCTACTCTGTCTTTGGAGCGACATATGACCCGAGCATTTGGATGAATGCCAATAATAATGGTTTCATCGTTGTCGAGATCCAATATCGATTGGGCGCATTTGGTTATCTCGCCTCCGACGACGTCAAGGAGCATGGTCAACTCAACGCTGGCCTTCTAGACCAACGGTTCGCTCTAGAATGGGTTCAGGAACACATTTCCAAATTCGGCGGTGATCCAACTCGCGTCACTGTTGGTGGCGAGTCTTCGGGAGCCGGTTCGATTATTTACCATGCTATGGCTTATGGCGGCAAGGAATCGAATCTTTTCAATAATGTGGGTAGAATCATTTATTTAGTTTCTAAAGGGGTGATTATTAACTTTCTGTCTCCCCTTCAGATTATTGCTGCCAGCCCATATCTCCCACCAGTGCACAAGTACAACGACACGGTTCCAACCACACACTATAACAAGTTTGTCAAGTTGGTCGGCTGCGATCAGGGCTCATCTAAGCTGAGTAATTACTCAAGCACTTTTGATTGCCTAGTTGCAGCAGAGAGTGCTGTGTTGCAGAATGCTAGTGGCACCGTTTCCACAACTCAAGGCTATTTTGGTAGCTTCGCCTTCTTACCCGTCATCGACCATGACTATATCCGAGAACGCCCATCAGCTCAACTCCTAAGTGGAAATATCACAGGAAAACGGCTTCTCGTTGGTGTAGGTAGACCCATACCATGCCTTGATGTCGTACTGACGGGTTCTAGAACAATGCTAATGATGGCGTGCCCCTAACTAACCCGGAGGTCGATACAAGAACGAAGTTCGGCGACTTCGTTTCGAATACCTTCCCACTGCTCACTCCGGAGGACGTCGTGCTACTCAATGATGTATATCAAATTGCTTCTTTGCCGACTGGTAGTGGTATCCCGTACGATACGCTAGGCTTCACTGGACCCACTGCGTTATATCAATCCGGTATAGCTACAGGTATACAACAGGCCGCTTTCAACTTAGCTGCCGAGAATACCTTTGCCTGTCCAGCGCAGTGGTTTGCCGAGGGGTTCACCACGACCTCTCGACAAGCCTGGAAGTATCAATACTCGGTTACCCCATCGTATCATGGTGCCGATCTCAGTGCTTACTTTGGTTTCGACGTCGCATTTCCCAACGCGGATTTTAGGCATGCAATGCAGAAGATCTGGGGGAATTTCATCATCCATGATAATCCCATCATCCCTATCCCTGATGCAACTGCCAACTACGCAAATGCGACGGTTCCGATCGGCATGTACGGCGATATCGACTGGCCTGAGTTCACCCTTGAGAACCCAGTGCAGATGAGCCTGAACACAACGGGGGGAAACGTATCTACGGTCACTGTACCCCCTTACTTGAATTACTATGTGAGGGAAGGGGTTGGCATCGTGAATAGCTTCAACCTCTCGAATGCCTTCACGTGGGAAGGAGGTCGCGGCGAGCGCTGCGAATTTTGGCGTGCTGTCGCGGAGCGAGTACCGCAGTAGAAGTCGGCTATGTAAGATTATTTTGAGCTTGTATATACCTTGTCACATATCGTTGTTAATAGATTTAGTTAAATATGTGTTTATTCGCATCAAGTATCTTCTAATTCTATCAGGTAAGTTTCTTTGTAACGGCCATTTGAGGCAACCAACATACTGGAAAGGAGGCAAAGTACCTACGAAAGGGATGAACTGCCCACGTATTTGGGGTAACACAATTCTAGGCGCGCTTATTGGCCCGCGTATCGCCTTCGACATGGAGTTGTAAAGTTTTGGTTTACCAAACACAAGAAACTGCTCTCCGAAGTCGAAACTTTTCGTTTACGCAAACTAATAATAGATTAGCTGAACGATGATGAATGCTTCGCAAGTGCCTAGTACGCCAATTTTTGAGGTTGGTCAGTATGATGAATCACGTTAATTATATGTACCACGTGTTGGTGGTTGGGTCATGCCTCATAGTTGAGAAACATAGTCCAGCCAATGAGTAACATGACGACGGGCTGTCTTTGCCTTGCGCAAGCACATGCATCACAGCCTCAAATTTCAGGTACAGAAGAATGTAATATATTTAAATTTCTAGAAAATGATATAAACAACTGTGTTCGCCCTGCTTATGAAAGTTTGGAGAAGACGAAAATCCGACATTGCGAACACTCTCAACTTGAAGTCTTACGTGGTTCCGTGGCGGCATAGCTAAAGGCCGCTGATCAATACGATACAAAGCAACAAGATAAACAACACCAATGGCACCGCGACTAGCAAATACTTGGTGGCATAGAAATCGCCTACAGTGTTCCAACTACCCCGAATTGCCGACCAAGAAAGAACTCATCTATCGCGTCTTTCGAGCCGCGTATCCTCATGGCGCAGTAAGTTTTTCCATGCACGTCATTACGCATCGCACCGCGCCTCACCCTCACCCGCTTCTGTGCCAAGAGCATAGCTTGAGGCTCAATTTCCTTGTTCTTTATCTGATTTTCTTCCTCTTTTTCCACATTCGGAATTTGGTTATTAGTTGCTTACGTATAACGATGCGTATAGTTCGTTGACGACGACCTCAAGCTCGTCGAGCTAAGAGATAAGGATTCTATTTGGCAGAACTTGGAAAATGAGATGGACAAGGCTCTCGACGATCTCCCGGCCTTCGTCAACACCACACCAGCGGAGAAGTCGCGCTTACCGAACAGTACCGAGGCCCTGGTTATCCTTAGGAGATACTACGGCGCGCTCCTGCACGAGGCGAGACAGGCCCTATACATATCCCAGAACGGGCGCTACTTCGAGTTTAGGTCCATGGAGGAGCTCGTGGTTCGGTATAAGCGCGCGGGTGGAGAGTTGTGGACGCACAAAGAGCCGGATGAAGCGGGCGTGCCGACCGTTGGCGGGTGGGCGTTTGCTAGGGAGCACCTAGAGCTCGTGCCGGGGAGCGAGGTGAAGTATTTACAGCAGCGGTTGAAGTTGTTGGATGCACATAGATGAAGTTGTTGGTTGGGACTCCTGGATGCTGTAAGGGCGGGTTGGAACGGATATGGGGGCGTTTAGACGGTGATTTGGGGAAACCAGATTGGGCTACCAATGGGAGGTCATGATTAATGAACTTTACGATACTGTCTAAGTAATGAGTAATTCTTTGATACTGGAATAATTGAAAGGGATGCTTGATATACTAACTACCCTTTTTAGCGGAGTTGACCGCAATATGCCTTAAAGCTCATGCTCCCTTTATCTTAAAAAAAGATATAATTTTATATGATTTATGATGTATGAATATGTAAATAACTCTTGGATTCAGGTACAGACGACGCTTGGCTTTAGTCAAGGCCCTAGGTAGATTGATAAGGTAAGCCTCAAAAGAAGGGGGTCCCCAAATGCTTACCAGTGGTATGGTGATGAGAACATTATACCAATAATATTCGCTTCGTACTAGGGAATCCAGGGGAAAATGACATCTTAATATAGAGATAACTACCCAGGTAAGTTATTCCAAGAGTTATAATTACTTCAATCTCCTCAGATGAATGGTTTCCGTAATGTAGGGAGTTTGTTACTTTCAATGAGTTAAATATAAATTTGAGCTGCATGAACTTAAGTCACGTTCTTCAACAGGTAGGCTTCCCTGTCATCTGAGCCCTATGCACTCTTCATATTGCTCGACCACTCGGATCTCTTGTACGGAGAGTTAAGTAGATGAAAACAAACGAGGCGGTTCCCGCCACCATGGGCTGCTTTCTCCCTTGCATGGGCATATCGAAATGGTTTTATCCTTGCTCACTTCGGTCGATGCCATATTCTCGTGGTGGGCGGTTAATTCTCTATTATCAATTATTGGTTAAGAATAGGGTTAAGAAAGCGAGATTATATACGATATGGCAACTTCATGATGGTTGCATCCCGCGAAATATCGGGGATATTGTGCCCCTTCATTGGTTGGATAAGAGATAATTCGTTATTCGCTTAAGTCTTCGTTAGAGGGCTGACGTTATCCTTACCGACTTATCGATAAGTCTATAACGTGAATTCGCAAATTGTGGAAGGATTAGGCGGGTGACTAAGATGATCAATCGGGATCGGGGTTAGACTCCTGCATAATATTCCTGCATAAGCCGCCTCCAAAACGCTTCTTCCCACCTTTTCTACTTCTTCAGACATACAATATCGTAATCCAATATCCCACCTATCTTATGCCCGGTCGTCTAGCGAAAATGCAAGAGATTTCGTGTAGTTGCTGGGCAGCAGTCTACCTAGGCCGCTCTGCATCCAAGTACATACGTGTACTTGCGGTGTCCTTGCGATGTCCTCTCTAAGGACATCAAACACGCACCGACAAATGTTTGTCGTTCGGTACAAGGTAGCCACGTGTATGACGATCGCGCAGCGAAACTTAACAAACCGAATGCTACCCCGCTTCTGTGGAAGTCAGCTCTAGATTGGTGTTCACATCCCCCCGATAAATCAGGCTACTTGTTGGAGTAGTAATTGGAATGGAACATACATGAGCTGGGAGGTCAGCTCTGGCTCTGTATTGCATGGGACAACCTTCGGATCACTCAGGCTTGCATATGATTAATGACATGTGTGTTGTATCATAGGCCTAAAGTAAGCATCTCGTCTGACGGGCGCACTAAACCCGGGGATCGATCTATGTGTGACAGTGACATACGGGAACCGAACGACTTTTCCGAGATAATATTGAGAATATTTACAATGCGGAACCAAGTGGTCGAGCCTTATCTACCTCTTGTAGTCCTGTTCTGGTGGTTCTACCCATTTTACGTCTAGATCGACGCTGGTCTTAATTTGACATTGTTCTTGATGGCGACAGCGACCTACAGCCCCGAGTACCTGGCCGAGTCTAGGACAACGGTTCTAAATATATTTTACTCTATCCCTATCCCGCTCGAGATCTTCAGCACGGCTTTCAGGCTATGGGTTAAAGCTAGACCTTCGTCACAAGGCCATTTGGCTTTTGACGACTATCTCATGGTTTGGGCAACAGTATGTCTATCGACCATTTGCGGATCGAGTTAAGACACCTAATATCAATCTATTAGATGGTTGCCGTCGCAGAATGTATCGCTGGCCTGGTTTATGGTTTGTGGGCCCTGAACTGTATTGTATTGGCAATGATACTGATCCACGTAACTCAGGGGCTCCCAATGGCCTTGGACGTCACATACAAGCGGTACCACTGGAATATCGACAGAAATTCCTAATGGTAAGCTAAGAAAAGCCTCATGATATTTAGGAGTATGAACTCATAATCTGTAGGGCGATTACATCTTCAGCCATTTCTACGACGTTGCCATCGCTAGCACTAAGCTTTCGATATTAGCGCTATACTACCGGATATTCGCGACAGACAGGTTTCGTATTATCGTTATTATCACTGCGATTTTCGTGTTCATGTGGCTTGTAGCCATGGAAGTTGTCCTAGGTTTCGGGTGTCAACCTGTCCAAGGCTGGTGGGATGCATCAGTAGCGGCCACGGCTTCATGCGTGAATAAAGTCGCATTCACATATTCTACCAACGTCACGAACCTAATCACCGACTTATGGATATTTGCGATGCCGATACCAATCATTTTCAATTTACAAGCCAGCCTGAATAAGAGACTAGCCCTATGTTTCCTGTTTTCAATTGGATTGGGAACGTGCGCCCTCAGCGCTGCTCGTCTGTCTGTTGTCGTCTCAGTGGGGTCAGATGATATTACGTGTATGATCTCGCTCTCATTCCCCCACCCCTCCTTCTCTTCATTTAACTTATTCATCTTTGTTTAGGGAGAGAAGTTCCTTTGGGAATCCTATCGGCCTGGGAACCGTGCGGCGGTATATTGTGCGCGAACTTGCCTTTGATATACAGGGCCGTGGTCCGAGGCATCAAACAGATTCGTTCAACAGTTAGGACATCCAGGACTCGTAGCCGGCATATTAGTACGCGACCCAACTCGCCATATCTCGATTGGACCCGACTCCATGACGGCGCTTCCAGCAACAATTGCGCTACTTCAAAAGTCACCGTCACTAGAGGTCTAACGGACCAGACTGAAATGGATACGATCGGGCCAAATGGGATCAAGGTTCAACGTGACATTAAGCAAGAGTTTCACCGCGAAGATTCAGATAAATTATCAGATAAAATGTTCAGTTAGGGCTTCACAATTTGAAGTTACGGTTCATACCATTCAAAATGGTGCCTGACAGGTTTCTAACATTTTTCAGTACTATATGTTAAAGGTTATGCTGGAACAAGTGCCTCCAAACCTAGCTAAGAACCTTATCCTCTGTCTTTCAGCAAGATGCTTCATCCACCCTGATTGAGTATGGCACAGCATCCCTCAATTGAAGGTCGCAAGCCAGGACTGGATGGCCGCATTCACGTCGTTTGGTGCCTGAATCATAGCCCAATGGCTCGTGTTTACGTCTGCCCTCGTCAGCTTGTCGAAGTACTGGTCCATGCCGACGGATAGCGACGGGATGAGCACGGGGTCTTGGAGAGCTTGGATGAATAGAGATGGCATGGTGAACTTGTGACCTGCTTTAGCGGTCGGCAGCTCGTCTTCGAAGTTAATCTTGGCCGTGCGATACCAATTAACTGGGCCCCGAAGCCCCTGAAGTTGGTATTCCGACACGTATTGATCGAGCTCCGTGTCATTGAGGAGAGACGGCTGTTGTACATAGGGGAGAAGATCAAGGTCTACGCCGTTCGTCGAAAAAGCCTGCTTGCCGTCCGGGGTTGCCCCATAATACATCGCCAACAAGAACTGATGAATCTCGGTTTCGTTTCGAAACCTCCTGTCAAATGAGGGATCTCTGAATTGGAGCTGATATTTGAAGTTCAAACTCTTATTGGCGGCGATCTGGTCGGCTAGATCAACGTACTCAGTTACCGGCGGGATATAGGGATACGTAATCGAGAAGATCGCCTTGAAGAGGTCGGGATAGAGAGTGGCAAAGGGCCACACTAACCCACCGCCCCAATCGTGTCCGCCAAGGATTACTTGTTCGCCGGGCACAATCTGGTCTAGCAACACCGCTAGATCATCAGAAACGTTCTTGAAGGAGAAAGCATCGAATTCGGCTGGCGAAGAGGTTCGTCCGTAACCTAACATCTCAGGAACGATAACTTGGTACCCAAGCGAGGTGAATAGAGGCACTTGGTACTTCCAACCATATGGAAGATCTGGGAATCCGTGGAGAAGGAGGACGGTCCCTTTGGGCTCATTAGAAGGCCTGGCTCGGAAGTAGCGCCATGTGTTTTTCCCGATAAGCGCGGCGTGGCTCGAGTCGAACGGATACTGGACAGGCAGTCCTTGGGAAGCCAATGACGAGGCTACTGATAAGCCCGTGATTAGGATTCGGAACAGATTCATCTTGTGTGCGATAACTCGTAAACGTGAAAGATCTTGATGCTCCGTGCCCGAGAATATCATACATTTTGTGCTAGACGAGCAGTGATTTATATATTCCAATCTTCAACTGATTTATAATTGGCACATTACAAATTCATTTATCGCGGAATATAGGTATGCTTCTAGCTAGGAAATCTATGGAGTTTAGCGGAGGAGAGTTGCTAATCGGAATGAAAATCCAGTACTTCAACTGACTCCCGATTGAAGCCATCTTTGCGAAGAGCTTACGTGAGGCTTTCCTGAAGTCCTAGGCATAAATGCATTGTCAAGTGAACTAAGGTGCGTAGGAGCACCTCTCATGACTGATGACCGACTCCATTCTCCGGTAAAATGATACTCCAATAGGTAATTTCCCCTATTCTGCTGCGGCGAAATTGGCCGGAGCACGTGATCTCAGTTGATAATAACCATTCTCAGGCAAGGAATTATTGCACAATACATGGATAACCGAATTATTATGGAGAAGGGGGCCTTTACACCGAGTCCCTTCGGAGGTTGAAGCCTTATGATGAATCAACCACTTAAGGTTGCCAGAGGGAATTTACCTAACATCTATATCACCTTTTTCGAAGAAGTCACTACTCTTGGCGTCAGCATTGCTAATACCATCAGACGATATCTACAGTGATAGGGATGTACCATCGCGCCTCGTGGATGGGAATAGGAGTACTTCGAAAGATACTTTGACACATGCGATTACAAATACACTTTCAGTATGACCATAATAACATCATCACCATTTCCTAAAAGTTTTATGACTGTTAGGGAAAGAATTTGCGCAATGTCTCATTAGAATATGTGTGGATATCTGCTACTGGTTCTTACCCCTTTTCAAACTCCCCATTCATCTAAGTTCCTTAAGTTTCCCTCCAGGTAGAAGCATTCACTTCAAAGTCAACTGAGTCCGGCAACCGCATCAATGATAGTCACCTGTCAGTACTTTCTATATTCAAGAAGGCCATGTCTGCCTGGTTACCTATATATAAGTACCATGGAAGTATTATATACCTGGTATACTCCTTATTCGTGCCACATCCAGCAGAATAGGAAGCTCCTGAGCCGATGGCTAGACCTCCACAGAATATTTTCTGTGTTGATGGGCTCTAGATAGATGGAACTATTTGACTAATGAATCATCACTTATAAAAGGCTTCACACTGTGTGGCAGTCCTTGAGCCGATACGATAGTTTTAACGGGGCAATCCGCAGGTCACTACAATGTTGGTGATTGCAGTATAATATACATACATAACTGCAAAGAAAAGTATATATGATACGTCAACCCAAATAGGTTTAACAAGTTTGATGTACCAGTGTGAATAAAATAGACTTTTGTTTTCTAGTAGGCTCCTAGAAATGACAGCTGTAATAATGAGCCAAATACCAAGTGCTAAGCAAGCAGTTGTATTAAGATAGGGGCAATTATCTAACTGCTTGTTCTTTCTCTCAACTTTATGACCTTTGAGTTGCAAGCGAACTGACCACATTGATGAACAGAAGGTACATAATATGGAAGGTTAAGGGAGGAACAAAGTACCTAAGAGTTGGCAATGACTCCTGTTAGGAACCAGTACTTCATCTATCATAGAATACTTGGCCGTATTTAGATGTTAAGACTTTGAATAACCACAAGAATCATCTGGCTATGAGCGTTAAGATTCTTCAAGGCTGTTGGCTGTAGTTTCATATTGACATTACAACTGCCGAAATCTGTGTTATCCACGTTCAATGGGTCTGACCCTACCTATGTACACTTCCTATGACCATGAGTCCTATGGATCATACAACATAGTTCCGCCGTAACTTCCGTGTGTAGGTCCGAATTAAGTTTTGAAATAAGGTTTCGGACTACCGAAAATTAAAGTTTCGGCGACTACCTCCGGCGCTCTTGCCCCGTTTTTATCATTCTATAGAGACATTGGCCGGGAAGTTGGGACGACGTAGCTTCCGCCGTAGTTACTAAACACCATGAAATGTCTTGGTTGGAGAGCAAGTACCTCTTTTATGATCGGCAATAGCGGCGATGGTCTTTCTCTATGGGCCACACAATATACCAAGATATCAGGTAATATACATAGTGTTGCTTCCGGTTTTGTCGACGCTAAGGGGCTTATTGACTCACAAACTCAGAACGATATATCGCCCCTTCTAGTCATATAAGGGCTACGAGGTAGCTTTGTACAGAGAGAAAAACTATATAAACCTCTTGAGATTCCCATACTTTACTTCTTCCCAAATCATCCATTGTTGAACACAGACAGTCAACTGAAGATATCCATCAATGTTCTTCAACTTCTTCTTCATCATGTCTCCATGGCAGAAGGAAAATCCTTCTAGTTCTTCCAACATCCATTCACGTCATATACACCGCCAAGACTAATGTCCAGACATATAAGGTCAGATTTCTAATATCCTTCCTACCTTGTCCTTACACTATGTCCCATTCTACATTTCATTTCATTCCTCGCAACTATTTCCCTCTTCCTACATGCTTTGTGGGAATGGGGGAATGTGTGAAGGAATGCCACATTTTCTACTCTACAAATCATCCCATCATGTTGATGTCCCTCATGCTAGTCTGGTCCATATGATGGCCGAGCATGCTTGAGATTACCGGTTTCTCTGACACCTGGGCGAGTGGGACATTGCCACTTCTCATGTACCTTGGTCACAAGCGAAGACATTGCAGCTGCCCTCACAATCTCTCTTTTAACGTGCCGTCTATACGGCCATCTCACCGCCCTAGTCCCCGCTATACAGGATGAGACAGGATGACTGTCTTCATGTCTTCACGATAGCCCCTCCTCTCATTCACACAGTATCTCGAACAACACATCCCACGTTTCAGTTGGTGGAATTGAGATGCCCGGACTCTCCAGGACGGAGCACTTGACGGAGTCACCATGTCTCCACAGTAGGAGTCCGGACTGTCTCTACGGCCAGACAAGCGGGCCAATCTAGAGATGGAGAGTTTGCTAGTGGACACCTCACTTGGTGGTAAGTTCTTCCTTGTATACTGTCAAACCTGTAATATTTCAGGTGTCTTTGCTAATCTCTTTTTTATCTGGAAGGTTTTCATACCCGGTGATACCCCACACCATTACGGTCCGCGCCGCGCTGCAGCGCATAAGAAGCGCTTGCCGAGCTGCTCACAGAGCCACCGCAAGGTATTATCGCATCGATAATTGTCAAGTAGAGGCTGTCGGCCTCGTATCCTCCTATTGCCAGGCCTACATTGTCGACCAGAACCTCCTGGACGAGATGAGGTGGTGCCACGAGGTCGAGTCATAGTCGTGATGATTGACGACGATCCACCAGACATGACGGAATCTTGTCCCTAAGCCGGACCTAAGACGCGGGCTGCTATTTTCTTCTCAGCTACCTACATCGACAGTACCTCGATTTATGAGGATGGCGATTACGTAGGTTGTATATCGCGCCGCTGTCCATGGTCGATGGGTCAATTCGCGCCTCGTTGCATTCATTGCCCACGAAGGGCGAGCGTGGCAGCGAGATGGTTATAAACCACAGTACTTCTTGTACTGAACAGATCAACCATACGCTCTGATGTCCAAGGCCAGTTCCTTGTGTGGCCCGCTAGAAGGTATCCCAGTAGGTCTTTCTTGAGATTGATTACTTGGAATTCTAGAAACTAACATTCTATGTTTAGGCCGACTCGCTCAATATCCTCAGTCCGCTTTCCCCTCACTTCTCTTCCCCTTGCCTCTCGACAGTAAGGTTTGGGCGGTGTATGCTCTCCTCCAGAAGCTTGGTTACCAGGTAGAGCTATACGTAGACTCCGACTCTGATTCTGATGTTCATCAGAGTATGAATACACTCCGCTTCGTGCAAGCTGCCCTCAAGAAGGGCCATGCCATCGCCGCTACTGACTGGTCTGCTGGACACCATTACCACACCAACTATCCTGGCGCCGCTGGATCGTCGATCCTTTCCTTCTTACCATGGATTCCAGTTGTAGTTGAAGTCGACACTATCCTGGAATTGTTCCGTCGGGAGCAGATAGAGGCAAGTTCATCGGGTCATTCATAAGCCCTTTCCTCTTGTAGCAGCAGCACCACCATTACATACCAACCCAGCACGTCGCAGACCCCATGACAGAGAACATGTTGGCCTGCAATATTCCTGGAGTCAATACTTCGACGCCACGGACCTCTGCCCATGTATTATTAGATTGTTTCGCCTGTCCGTTGCCCCACCATAAGCGGTGGAATCTACGGCTTCCCACAAGACGAGAAGGGCCAAGTAATGGCCGACACAGCATATCCCCGGATCATGAAGGCGGGGAATTGATGGGAGTTGTATCACGAGCTGGACAGCAGACCAAGCCACATCACATGCTTCCTCTATTGCTTCGATCAGCCGAGAACGGCGAAGTGGTTACTTCGCGATGGTGCCGTCTTCGAACAATTGGAGACGCGAGAAGCAATTCGCTCTCCTCATTGTGTTAGAGATTTCATCACTCATGGCAGAGATGACATCAATCGTTTCCCCAACATCCCGGGATTCGTCAGCATCGCCGACTCTTACGATATTTCTGTGAAGGCCACCTGGCTCGACGAGGTCAGCTCCTTTTAAGGAAGACGACGACAGACTTTGAGGACAGTTATCTAAAAGGTCTAAGGAGGAGTTCCTGGCAGGCGTTACTGCCGGCCAGAAGGACTGACTTAGGGGACGGCCTTACATGGGAGTAGCTTGCATTAACTGCAGTATTCCAAGGCATACAGGATGGTTATAACATCGAGAGAAGAGAAGATTGCGGCACACGACCTTGTACATGCGGTCTTGGGCAAACGACAACGACGTGATATCGTCATGTCCTTGGCGATTGAGTGGGATTAATGGGAGTATGATATCCATTTGGTATGACCCATTGTACGTGATATGCAGAGTACCCCTTTCAGCGTCCATCTGGACCGGGTGATCTTTTGCATTGCAAATGAGAAGTTTCTAGGTCAATCTTCGTCCGCTTGGACTTCAGGAAAGTAATGGTCTCTCACACCATGGAGCTTGGGCGGCTTCTGGCGGATGATGGAAGTTAGGTGAGCCAGGATATGTACAATTCAAGGATAGCCATGAATCCAGATGTTATATCATACGCGGTGTTGAAATAGACGCAGGTTAGGAGTATCATTGATGTAGATTAGAAGGTTAGGTTACTAGGAGTAGGTACAGGTAGCTAGATAGTACATTATATACCTGTGGATACAGGGCGTAGACTCCCAGCCACCTAATATTCCAGCCCGCGGTACATTGTCTGGAGGTCCTGATAATGGTCATATACCACGAATGAATGAAAGAAAGATGATAAATTTGCAGCCACGCTTTTCTCCCCTCAAACGCGAAGCGGTGATACGTAGAATTTCGATCCTAGCAACAACGTTTTCTTGGCCCCTTTTAATTGAAGAGGGCCCTCTCAGAGTGCTTGGTCAACAATACTCCCGCCTGCCCAGCTATTTAGACACGTCTTCACGAAGATGTTGCCATTTCATGTTAGCGATACTAAAATTAGGTCACCAAGAATGCGTTCGCGAAAAAGGTCGTGTCATTGTGTCAATTTCAGCTATCCTTTAGGAGCTACCTGCCCCCTCATATGAAAACCTGATCCTGCGCGCATAAGAACTTGCGTCACAGTCAATAGCTCAGGCTTTGGTAGTTTATCTCCACTCCTTAGACATGATCCTGCACACCTTCCCCCCTCCCGGTCCTCGCCATGTAATTATGACCCTTGCCCTTACAAACTCTTAATTCCGGTTGGTTCATGACGCATGATGTAGCACTCTGCGTCATTATAACTCGGAAACACTGTTGCTGTTTGTACTCATCTCTAATTACCACCATGAACGTTGCCTCCACCATGTCTAATACCATCTTCGTTGAAGGGCGACGTAGGAATCTCCACCAGATGAATCGCTGTCTTCTCCATCGCTACCTTCGTCATCGTCAAGAGTCTCATCTTCTTCATCATCCTCGTCTTCGTCCGAGTCATAATCACTCTCATCGTAGTCCATAGCATCGTAATCATCGTCCGGATCCGAGCTCGAATCGGAGCTGGTGTCCGTATCATCGTAGTCATCACCCTCATCCGAGTCCATTGCAGCTTCGTCGTATAGGTGCTCGTAGTGACGCACATCGAAAGGGCCATAACCCACGCCAGCCATACACCATGCGTGGTGATCGTACTTCGCTATCTCTGTCACAATGTAGGTTCGGCTCGGCGGCTCCGGAAAGAGAAACCCGAGAATAGGATTGAAACGGTTCGTCTTGTTCAAGATTTCCACAACTTCTTTCTCCGGGAAGCGTAACACATCGTCGGTGTGGAAACGGACCAGTTTGACGGTCTCAAGATGGAGCTTCGCGGAGCGTTGAATTGCGATTAAGTGGCGAGTCAGGATATCGCACATAACCAGGCGTAGGTGTCGTAGGCTGCCAGCGTGCTTCTTGAAGAACGGACGGTACGTGGGCGGCTGAATCAACATAGCGTTGCTTAGCTCGAACGACTCCAGATGGGGCCAGTAACACTGGAAGATCGCGTTGATCATCGGTTCCGGCAGGGCAGTTCTCTCGAAGCACAGCGACAAGTGCTTCAGGTTCTTGGCTGCAGATAGGCATGAAACGAGACCCTGCGGCGAGTAGCCTAAAGTGTTACCAGTACCCGCGATACACAAGTCGATAGACGTCAATCTTTCGAATGCCTGCGAGTGGGCAGGTCTGAGGTTAAGAAGGAAGCTGTCGTTGGTCGGCTCATCTGCCCAATGGAGAGAAGTGATCTTGTTCCCAGCTTGACCCATAATTGGTAACAAGAAATTGAAGACACCAGTCTGTCCATGTCGAGACTCTAAGTCGGACTTGTATCGATAGAGGTCTGCGCGTAATGGATATCCTCGATAGTGGATTACCCGATCGTGTGGCATGGGGCATGTGCGGATTGCCTCGAGGTTCGGCATCTTCTTGATTGCCACGGAAAGTCGAGTCAGGAATGTCGACACGTTGGGATAAGTAACCGCTCCCATCTGCTGAGGAGGGTTGCGAGAGATTGGAATCCAGAACAGGTTTGGATCTTTCGCCGCAGCGTTCATGAGTCGCGTAACGTTGTCTAAGGAAACGTTTGGATGGACGAAGCTGCAAGTACTACTACTCGCTTCACTATCCACGGATGGGGCGTCGGATGGTGCTTTAGTTGGTTCAGGGCCGGTGTGTTCAGGAATCCAATAGTCATCATCGTTGTCCGGAGCATCCCATGCTTCCAAATTAAGTTCTTGCCAGACAATCTGGCGCACATGCTTAGCAAGGTGTGGGCTTGCGGCAATTGCTTCGAATGCCTCTCGGTCTTTAGCGAGGCGAGACAGCTTCACCCGTTGAAATAGGATAGAAGAGACGGGCTGCTCGAAGGAGGGGCAGATCAGACGAAAGTTCTTCAAGTCTTGTCGCGAGAACTGAGGGTCAGAGACGATCCTGGTGATCAACTCCCAAGGCAAGTAAGGCAGGTTCGGACGAAAACCAGATCCAGATGCCATTGTCAATGAATGAATGAGTGAATGATTGAGAGTTGGTAATGATGGAACGGTGAAATAAATTACGAGAAACTCGAAGTGAATTGGCAAAGGAACGAAGAAACGGATGAATGGTTGTAAGAAAGGTAGACTTGAAAAGTGTTGGAATAATTTCGGTTCTAAGTTTTGCGAGGGGTTGAAGTAACTTGCAGTGCGATTGACGAGTGACAGACGCGACGGACAACCCGTTGATGCCACGGTATTAGGGTTACGCACCGACCCTCCTGTAGGTATATAGGTACCTAGGCGGGCAGTACGTATCAAATCAGTATCCCGGGGTTACTGATTTTGTCCTGAGTTGAATTCCTCGTGGATAGATGACTAAGGAGATGTTCTAAGGTTAGGCATCTAGGTAGCCTCATCCTATTCTTGATTATTGGTGCCTGGATTCTATGACGTAGTGAATTATTGCAGATTTATCCCAACCCGTATAGGTACGCGTACAAACCGAAATTAACTAACCTGAAAGAATACAAACTACCTAGTACCAAAAATTTAGAATTAATCTTAGATGGTTGACGAGAAACTTCCATGTTGACAATTCTCGCCGTTTCTAAAGGTGAAGGTACACGGGGACTTCCAGGTTCAGCTTAGCAACCGCTTGAGCGTCCTCTATCTTATAGGATGTTTCTTTTGCTGACGTTTTACGACAATACTTCAGAGTTACGCCGCTTGGAGAATGTCGATATCTGACTAATTCTTTCTTATGGCGAGAAAATGGTATCCACATACTCCCTTATCCTACATGATAATGGAACAAATACTGGCTTCTTAGATCACCGTGATAAATTATATCATAAAGCTAACACTACTTGTTGTTCTAAAGTCAAGATCAAACGTTTGAAAAAAGGGCTTTTCCCCTTACCCCTAATTATTTCCCACTCTCGGTTGAATGAATCACGTGTGAATCCCGTGACTTTTAGTATACTCTATTTGGACTTCTTCATAGCTCCATACTGCTTTTAAACTGATCGAATATTGAACATCTGGTTTCATTTCATTGTATGAGATTATGTCAAAAGTTGGAGATAAATTATCCTGCGAGGTTAGCCATCAAAAAAATGTGGGATTACATAATACTATTGTCGATGATGAGAATGGCGAATATTAGGAATACTGTGATAGCTATGACTTGATATGACTTACTAAATTGTAGATCTTCTCACCTCCCACAGAGGCTGGCATATCGAGAGAACCCCCGACACAGGTATAAAGATAACTAAGCGCTTGCTAAAAAGGGGTAAATCGAAAACTCTCAGTATGCTGTTGGCAGTTTCATATTTGATTATCACTAATTCTAGTTGACCGTGCTCTAAACTCCGCGTCAGTCTCGTAACTCGGTCAGAATCAACCGTGATATCATCTCTGTAGCTTCGCATAAGCACTTCAACCTGAGCCCAACCTTCCCATCATAAAAATCCCACGCCCTATTTACACCATACCGGCCGTGGAAATCGGGTATCTGGCAACTGGCAAGTGAAACTCGAACTCCCTCCCTCCACTCGTTCTTAGTAGGTCATCAGAAACTCATGAGATCTACCAAGCGTCAGCAGACCATTCACTCACTCGCGGGTATCACAGGAGAATACATACCTCGTCCAAAAAGCCCCCGTTTCGCCCAATCCATTGCCATAAGCACCCTCGTCCGCACGCCCACGCTCTGCGCAAAATACACGCTACGCCATGCGTACACCGCCCACAAGCCTCCTGTCACGCCCCAGCCGCCACCGAGATCGAATACGGCGCTGTTACCCACGTATGCCAGGCTGCCTAAGTGGTGGTACTCGAACGCTTTATAGCACGCCTCGTCTAGGTCTCCATCTCTGATATCGTTTGCCCTGAGCCCCGGCGCGGCGTGTGCTAGCTTGTTGAATTTCTTCGCGAGATAGATGCCCTGCTGGTTGGCGCGTTGCGCTGTTGCTGGTAGTGATGTTAACTTGCTGTCGATCTGCTTGAGAAGTTCCCTTAATTCGCCAAAATCGAGAGTGCCGGATTGGTCTTTATCAAACTGCTCGAAGAGCTTGTCTAGGCGCTTTAAGTGCGAAGATGCTTGCGGGAATCGTCGCTTGACGTCCGAGGCTACGGCTCGCCAATCGCTGAAGTGGAGCTCGACGGTTTCGGGGTCTCGGCCCAACTTGAACGCATGGCCGCGTAGGAAGGTGATGATGCTATCCGAAATATTGTTCTGGACGGTCGAGCAGTCTCCTATCGCATAAACATCGCCAAGAGGGGTTCCATTAAGTCGTAGGTGGGTATCGGTTTCAAGGGCGTGGCGGTTGTTCTGCGCCGGTCCTAATTTCGCAGCAATTCGTCGACACAACTCTGCTTGGGAAACACCAGTCGACCACAGGCAGAAGCCCATCGGAAGTTCCTTGGTAAGCATAGTGCCATCGTCTGTTAATTGTGTGAATATGATCTTATCCTTCTGCACCTCCTTCACTCTAGAATTGACAAGGACTTCCACCTGGTCGCGAGCAAATCGGTCTTCGGCGTATTTAGAAAGGGCCTCATCGTATGTGTTTAATATATGTCCTCTGCTCTGAATCAAGTGTACCGAGATCTCATTCCGTAAAAGTCGAGGAAATCTCCTAGTCAGATCCTCGTTCAACAGATCGAAAAGCTCAGCAGCAAATTCAACACCGGTGGGGCCACCACCGCTGACGACAAACGATAGTAGTCTCTTACGTTCGTCATCCGGCGTCGTTGGAAGACAAGCGAGTTCTAGATTCCTCATAACCTGATTTCGAATCATACGAGCGTCGTTGATATCCTTGAGGAAGAAGCAATTCTCAAGACCCTTAACTCCGTGAGGGTTTGTCACAGATCCCACAGCAATGACAAGCTTGTCATACGGGATGTAGAACCTAACCTCTTGTCCACGAGAATCAATCTGGGATACTTCCACTAATTTGTGCGAAAATTCAACATCTTCGGCGGATGCTCGCAAATAGTGACCGCCAATTCTTGACAGGATCCTACGAATTGGTTCGACGAGACTTCGCATCTCTAAAGTCCCAACAGTTGCAGAGGGTAACATGGGCGTAAAAAGGAAGTAGTTCTTCGGGCTAATAACCGTAACGTGATAATCGTCAGGATTGAGCTGCTTTAGTAGTGCGACACTTCCCCAACCACCGCCCAGAATCACAAGCCGTGGCTTTGTTTTCCTCTTCTTAGCTTCTTCATTATCTTCGTCGTCAAGCAGCGCTTCTATGATGGGAAGATTCTTGGGTCCTCCGCGTCGAGGCGATAGGGCTGATTCAGATACATGGCAATCGCCAAAAACAACTGAAGTTTCCTTGTATGTCGTCGAATCATACAAAAAGAATGCCACGAGTAATGCTCCCAAGAAACCAACGCCAGTGCCAACTACAGCGGCTGTTCGATATGCGAAGTTAAGTATTACGGATCGTCTCTGAGGGAGGGGTTTCCCTGAAATTGCGCGAACAGCGCGCTGGGACGGGAATAGCCATTGGGTGGGTGTCGCAGGGTTACTTCGTTTCGAGGGGCTCGGTCGAGAGAAGATACCGAATTGACGAACGTTAATACGCTTTGGCTGTCTCAATAGAGCTGCGGAAATGAGATTATAGCTAGGAGAGCTTTGGCGGCCGGCACGAAGAGCGAAGGCGGTAGCAGCTCCTAGCTGAGTCGGCATCCTCGGTAGTCTTTCACCAATTCAAAGTCTAGAAGAAATGAACGACTATAATGAAAGACTGGTCATAACGCAACACGGCATATCGCAGGAATGGACAATAGTTTACGTGTCCGGGAAATAGGAAAAGTGAAGCTTAATTGAGGAAAGTTTGGATAGTATAGATATATTATGGATATTTTGAATGAATTTGTCTCATGGCTTCTTCGGCGCTTCCCTGGCTAGACTTGTGTTACGGGAATTCCAATTCGTATGTATGACGCACTACCCGCTGGGGTGGGACTCCGATCTCCGTTTACTACCAGTGGGAATGCCCCAGCCCTCTTCGATTTTCAAGCTTATCTGTGCCTGGACCCGCTTTATATTAGCGAAAACATCATTTTGCTTTAGTTTCCGTACTAATATTGCGACTTTTACCTAATCTAGGCCGATTATAATATCGATTCCATCTGATATGGACATTCAGAGCGGTAATAAACCTTTGAGGCTCAACTTCGCGTATATTTTTGTGTAATGCGAAGGCAGAAATATCAAATGTAGTTGGTTTCGACAGGTACGCGTTACTAAGCCCACACATAAAATTTAGGGACTCGTCGAATCTTCTACGCACTAGGGGCTCGTTCTGAGAAAATCATGCATTGGAACGTTGCAACGTTGGCTGCCGACTTACCCAGATTGTCGGATCTCCGATGTAGGACCGAAGCAGAAAACATCTCATAGCTGAAGAGCCTCAAAACTGCGAATAATTCATGTTATTTCCCGGTGACTCCGTTAATTTCTCATAATTGCAGACTATTATCTACTAGCTCTAGATGCTGAAGTCCTTGTATGCCCACTTCTCTGTGAGCTTAGTCTTCTTTTGCCTCCTAAATGTTATCCTCTTGCGGGCCTCCATTCTTCCTCTAATTAACAAGCTCCGGTAACGGTCCTTTAGTAAGTTACCTTCAGGTTTCAGGAGGCGCAAAGAGTCTTGTAGTTCATCAGGTAAGACTAGCTCTAGATCTTTTTCGGGCAGCTTCAGTCGGCCTAGTTGACGTCGGCGAAGGACTTCATCCTCGTCGGTACTGCTCTCGCTCTGTTCCAGGTTTGCAAGCGCTAGATTTTGTTCGTGTTCACGCTCGGAAACCTCTTTTGCGATCCGCTTGATTTCTTCCAACTGAGCCTTCCGAACCTTAGTTTTCGCCTCGTGTTTAAGTCGGCGTTCTTCCTCTTTTCGTCTCTGGATCCTATTTCTTTGCGCCTGGCTTTTGCGACCCGGTCGCTTCGCGCTAACCTTGAGCTCCTCGCCGCCGCTCTGGAACCCTTCCCATTCCGAGTCTTCGTCCCACTCCGATAGATCGGCCCGAGCCTCAGCAGCCTCCGCTTCGGCAGCTGATCTAGCTGCAGCTTCCATCTTGAGGCGCTCGGCCTCCTCCGCTTCTAGACGCTTGCGCTCAGCTTCAACGGCCTTATTAGATTCTTCGGTATAGCGGGCCTCATAGTCGGTGTAGACTGGATTGTAGCTGTATCCACCTGTAGGCGTCGGTACGGCCTTCGGGGTCTTTCCACTTGCCAATAGTGATATCGGTTTTTTCGTGACAGACTTAGGTGCCTTTTTCTTCTCATCCCTCTTGTCCTCTACAGGTGTAGATTTTTGCGCTTCAGGTTTGACTACCTCTCCCCATGGATCAAATGTCGCATCTGCGACCTCGACCGTGGACTCATGAACACCATCTGCCACTTTTCGTAATCGATTGAGCTCCTTATGCGTAACGTATTCTCTCCTCGGTCGCTTTTCCGCAATAATGCCATCGGTAGTCTTGTCTCCCGGGCGCTTTCGCGAAGGAGGAGGACCTGGTACGGCTGATCGCGCGGCAATTATTTCATCTGCTTTTAAAGGTTTCGAGGTGTATTGGGGGACCTTCTTCGACAACGATGCATCGCCTACTGTATCGACAGTGAAGAGTTCTTCGGAGGGTAGCTCAGCGACAACGCCTCTTTTTATACGGTCAGCTCCGAATAATCATACGGACGTGATTGTTTCATTATGCACATACCCTTTAATGATTTCTTCGTTCAACTCCTCAAGGCCCTTCTCAACCTGGGTGACATCGACGTTTTTCCTCCATGCTTTCTTTCCTTTTCTCGAGGGCTGCTTGTAAGTCGCAGGCGCTTCGGTCGATCCCTTCAATGGTTTGAGGACCGGCATATTTGAGGATGTTAAAACACTGAAAACTTGGTAAAGAATTATTCGATAGATGCGGAATCTTGAATTCGTTACTGGTGGGGCTATCAAAACCAGAATTTTTCCAATGCAGCATCAAAAGTTCTTGTTGGACTAGACTTTCTTATCTTATCGGATGTCTAAGCATCTGCTTACATAATTGCATAGCAAATTCAAGGTTATGACGAATTGGGTTAGATCTTAGCGTAGATGGATCGGGATGTCGGTCGTTTTCTCTTCTAAGAATGGCGCTATCGATTGCCAACGACAACCGTTGTTTAGCCCCATTAAACCCCCCCGGTCCTAGTCAAAATCGCCAATCTGTCAAGGCTGCAAGCCCAAAGCGCATTTTTCGTACTTACCAGGTACCTGTATTGGAAAAAGGGACGCCTCCTTTTGTAGGTGAGGCGGGAAAGAACAACTCCCATTAAATCAGTCGGTTTCTTCCCGGTACAACTCTTTTAAAGAAAAGCAAACAATCATATAGTGGTTCATCTTTCAAGAATACTTAATTTATTTACTTTTTGCTGGTTAATCAAGATCGTTACTGATTTTCCCAACAACCCGACTTTTCAGCTATCCAAGAACCGATTTCTACTATTCACATTATATCCCGTTCTTCTGCGCATCTCGACTGATTAGAATCGGTCGAACTTTTCTCCATTGCTCTCGACTACGACCATCGTCTTAACGTCAAATCGCAACGAGCAGGACTTCAACGCAAACATGGCACAGGCCGGAGGAGCAGGCGGGTACAACAACCCGTTGAAGAAATTCAAGTAGCCTCACCCACCTACTCTTGTGCCTTAAGCCTCTTACTAACTCCTGGTAGGCTGGTATTCCTTGGCGAACAAAGCGGTATGCATCCAACAAGTTTAGATATTCCGAATCAGCGATGGCATTCTGCAGAGCATACTTCTTAACAATAGCTAACATCATACCTCGGCTTAGTCGGCAAGACATCCTTGATAACGCGGTTCATGTACGACTCCTTCGACAACATGTACCAAGCTACAATCGGTATCGATTTCCTTTCAAAGGCAGGTTTGCGGTAAATAACGAAGACACGATGCGGGTTGGCTGACTGGTGGATGGTAGACAATGTACCTTGAAGACAGAACGGTGCGACTGCAATTATGGGATACAGCAGGCCAGGAACGTTTCAGGAGTTTGATTCCTTCCTACATACGAGATTCCAGCGTTGCGGTGGTTGTCTACGATATTTCGAGTACGAACAATCGCCTTGTATTATCAACTACCTACTCGAGCCAACAAGACTAACATGTATGGGCAGATGCTAAGTCCTTCCAAAATACGAAGAAATGGATCGATGACGTGCGCGCGGAACGAGGAAACGACGTAATAATCGTGCTGGTGGGCAACAAGACCGACTTGAACGACAAGCGAGAAGTCACTACGGCGCAAGGTGAGGAGGAAGCTAAGAAGAACAACCTCATGTTCGTCGAGACGAGTGCGAAGCTAGGCCACAACGTCAAGAACCTCTTCAGAAGGATAGCGCAAGCTCTTCCCGGTATGGAGGGGACGGATGCTGCAGCACAGGCTTCATCACAGAGTGGGTCGCATCCGCAATACTTCAACGTGGAGCGAAATGGTTGGACTAACAAGTTTGTAGTGATCGATGTCAAGACCAACACCCAAACGTCTCAACAAGAAGGATGCGCATGCTAGAGGACGTGATGCTCCTCCGTATCGAAGGAGAGTTTACGCCATTGCGGGGAAGAGAGCGAGGGTCACGCAGGATATTTCCGTGCATAGCGAATAAACAAGTCAAAAGTTGTTGTATAATACGAGTCAATCCACGAAGCAAAGTAACGAGAAGAGGACCAGTACAGCCATTACGGGTATGACGTTTAGTACATGTAATCACCTTTCCAAGTTCCAATTTGAGCTCAGTCAAAAGGGAGTCGTCCGTACAAATTCTATGCCTTATGTTCTTATGTGCCTACACGTAGATTCTACCGACTACTCTATGAGCGTACAATTCATCCCTAAAACCTTGCCGTGATGAAACCGACCAAATGAACCTTTTTATACTGATATCGAAATGTCTTGTTTCCAGATGGGACACAAGATATGAGGCATGGCATTAGCGTCTAACCCAATGTCTCTACCTGTCCATCCGCCCTCCCAAAGTAGGCCTTCACAGGCTTAACGCCCTCTACCTCCGTGCCCAGCTTCGCCACATCCGGACCATTAAACCCGGTGAAGATACCCACCTCTAATACACCGAAAATGCCTTTGATCTTCGCTAGTAGCGCATCCGGCGTCCACAGCCCGTTCGCGGGATCCAGCTTGTCCTTCTCGCTATTCAACAGCAGCGTCGGGAACGGCGCGTCGATGATGTGGTTGTGGTTATCGGTGATCGTGCGGATGAACGTCGGCCCCGACGTCCGGATCTTGGGGTCCTTGCTCCCGAGCCGCAGCAGCTCGCGGCGCACGAACTCGGTGCCGATGGGGGATACCTCGACGGGCACGTAGGTCCAGGAGGTGAGCAGGCGGTCGACCTTCTTGCGGCTGTCGGCGACGCAGATGAAGCGCTTCGACAGGCGCGAGACGAGCTTCTCCTGGAAGTGGCAGGCGCCGCCGCCCTTGATGCAGTTCAGCTCGGCGTCGACCTCGTCGGCGCCGTCGAAGTAGATGTCGATGGGCTGGTGCTCGGCGGCGGCCGTCGTCTCCGGGTTCTGGTAGCCGACCTCGGTCAGCAGGTCCGGCACCTGCAGCACCGCGAGCCCGGCGTTCTTGATCAGCGCCGTCGACCCGGACCCGGTAGGTACGAACTTCATCTTCGAGGTCACGCTGCCGCCAAGCTCGGCGATGGCTTCGACTACGTAGGCTACCGTGCTGCCGCTCCCGATCCCGACGTACGTGAACGTCGGGCTGAAGTGGTCGGCTACGGCTTGCCGGCAGGCGGCGCGCTTGGCGGACTCGATGAGGTTGGTTGTTGATGCCATTGAGGAGGAGGAGTTGTTCTTTGTTGCGAAAGAGGTGAGCGATATACGGGGATTCCTTTGATGGGGAGGAGCTTGGTTATTATAACTACTACAACTACGGCTACGAGCTTGCGGACGAGCGTAAGTGCGAATCAGCGAAGTCCCGGATACGGGATAGCTTCTAAATACCGCACGTGGATTGGCGAAAAGAAGTCGGGTAGGTGCGCTTGCGACGGCCCGCGACAGCGACGGATTCATGAAACGCGCGGGCTTGAGAATTGAGGGGGCCAATGAATTGGGTAGGTTCCCGGCTCCGGATTTACGACTTATATGAATTCCGGTATCGTTGTAGGTAGTAGCTGGTTCAATTGGCGGGTTGCGATGCTTTTATGAGCATTCTCGGAAAATGGTTTTGAGCTTAGAGCTTTCGTTGCCCCACGTTTTGTCACGATACCCCTCGGTGGTGGTTTCTTAGGCGGTGGTACCACAGACTGGTGCTGCTGCTAATGACGTGAGCTTGAGCTAGGGTCCGCCCGATCTCCGGATCTCATAGTGCTTGCTGACTCAGCATGAAGAGTTGAAGACTTCAAGCTGAGGCTCAGTTCTGAGGCTCAGCTAGAGAGTATGTGGCGTCTCTCATATCGACTCTTTGACACATGGTGTCGAATTTGTGTGAATACATAGTATAGGAGACAGTGGCGCTACTTTCTCAAAGGTGTTAAGAAGGTTAAGAGCTTCCTGATAGCGCTCTTCCATTTCCAGAACCGGAGTTTTGAGCAGTAATTATGTAGTTTTCCTTTGATCATATGTTTCTCTTTGGTAACATTAGCTCTAGCATCGCCTAGGTACTCATGGTTATATTGCTTAGACACCTTAGACCCAAGTAATTGTTAAATGATCCAACCAACAGGTTGTGATCCTTAATCAGCTCATTATCGACTGTTTTATAGTCTGGGGAAATCTCGGGGTTTGGTTTGATGGCTTGTAGTAGTTTACTCATAGCTAGTAAGGATTTGAGCTGGCCGGGTAGGCGATTAGGTAAGCCTCAATATTTAGAGATACTCGACTTGATCCATATCTTCCGTCAATGTTAGGACATAACAGAGAAATGTCTTAATGGGATGCACAAGAGTTAAATAATACATGTTCTCAAGTAAATATTTATATTGATGATTACATGTACCTCCAGGAAGTCGCGAATGTTATAGGGAAGATTGGAGTTGTATAACATAACTGTTGAGACTTTTGCAAATATTGGGTATAGGCTCGGGCGGCTATCGGCGTTGGTGCGCAACACGACGGTGGCCAATCGGTAAAGTCTTTTAGTATTTGACAGCTTACCCCATACCAGATACTAATATTAATTGCGAGACAAACTACTATACCCGCGGTATTTAAGATGATATCGGTGTATTATGTTAATAACATCTTCGAAAGTTGAACTTGACAGCGGCTCTCGGTCCGTTTCGTTATACGGCATAGGAAGTCGTCCTAATTGGAAGACAGAATATGGGGTTCACCCGATTACCGGTTCGAGATGATGCAAGGTATAGCCCGGGAATATGGTTGGCCAACGATGGCGTTTTCTGACAAAGTGTGCTTGATTATTGGTAGAAGTCACTCGAGGCTCAAGGCTAATCAAGGTTAAGCCGATTGCGTGATTGCAGTGAATGACGGACTAATTGCATTTGCGGGGCCATAAAAAGTTCCACATCCATTGATTCGGGGTCTGAACTATGTTAGTCTAGGTTGTCGCCATCGGTCGACCTTTCCCACTTACCAATACCAATGCCGGGGAAAGGAAAAAAAAAGATTTCTAGCGTAGTCACTTTCAATTTATATGTAGAGAGCAAAGACACATCATGTCGTTCCTTTTCGGAAAAGCAGACTCTTCTGCTGTTTCCAGATCAGAGTCCGACATGGCGACCCAGAACATCCAGATTCGAACGCCTGAAGAGGCAGGTAAGTGCATACAGCTCTAATTTTATTACACTATCGCTATTATCTCGCTCTCAATATTCAATATTCGATCCTGACTACACGTGCCCCGCCATCGACTTCCAATTCCAATCCCAACCCCTATCCCATTAACCTCAAGAAAGAATAAAAGACTCAAATGAATATCTGAATCTCATAGGCAAAAGAGTTCAAGATAAAAATATAGCTAATATGATGTAAAATTGTAGCGGCGCGAATTGCTTACCTTGCCAGCGACGTCATTGTCTCAGTTCAACCCTCGCAAGGTCAGGACTCGGCATTCTCATCCCACCTTAAGAGATATGCTGCAAGAAAAGATTCAAGCTTGGTCGCTAAGACCGAAGGTTCTGTGCCGGAGGTGCGTTCCCTCCTTAATGTAATTCATAAGATCCATCAATTGACCCGATGACGCCAGATACAAACAGTCCGACACAACGTCGACCCTCTGCTCTCTGTCTTCGCTCCCATCCGCTCCGGTCGCCTCACCTCCGTAACCACCACCTCAAACATTCTCCTTGCTTCCATTGCACACTTATATAAGCTAGCGAGCTATCCAGTAGTCATTCATGTTTCTTTATACCCAGCCAACTTCCCCGACTACTCTGCTATTACCGCAATTAGAAACTCGGGATGGACTTTCATCCAATCCGAGTCTCTCCAGGAAGCCCAGGACATGGCTATTACAGCACATGCTCTGGCAATTCGATCTGGGAAGGGTGTTATTCATTTTTTCGACCCGAGCTCCTGTACCCACGATAAGCCGATCGCGGCCGAGGATGCGGCGTCATTCCGCGATCTATTGAACTTAGACGATGTTCGCCGCTACCAAGCTAGCTCGGTTTCGGAAACAGGCATTTACGCCGACGACGGAAGAGTCGTCGTAGCTTCAGACCATCCCGAGACGCGACCAAGTGCCACGGAGAATAGTCTAGCGGACTCGACGATACTTAGTGCGGCTTCGAAAGCGGCCTCGTCTGAAGCTTCAGACAAATCTAGCCAACGAAGCAACTCAAGTGCCCCGCCAAGTGTGTCCTCAGCTACCACAATCGAAGCTACCCCACCTCTTGTCACATCTGAGGACGTTTACAAGTACGTAACCTCAATATGGGCACAGCTTAAGGCAACTACCGGTCGTAGTTACAACGCCTTCGAGTGGTCTGGTCCGGCAACCGCAGAGAAAGCCATCTTCGTATTCGGTTCCGACGCGGGCCTGTTCGCCGAAGCCCTTGATGCAGCTAAGCCAGAAGATATCTACGCAAAGGCTGGATTGATCACGGCTAGGCTGTACCGCCCATGGTTAGGCGCTAAACTCGTTGAAGCTATCCCGAGATCTGTGAAGCGCATCGCTGTCCTAGAGCAGATTTCGCGAAAGACGACAAAATGGGGGCCTTTGTTAATTGATGTTCTAACCTCGGTTAAGAGCGGCTTTGGTGGCGTCGAGACCGTTGTAGGTCACCAATTAGGGTATATAACTCCTGACACCATCCACCAAGCTCTTAGAGGTATCTTCCAGAACTTAGCTTCTGAAAAGCCTCTGCAAAACCTCGAAGTGGGGAAAACGGGCGTACCGCAAGACGCACAAACCTATGGCTTAGAGCAGCCGAAATTAGAGACCGCCTACACGAAAATCCTAGACCAGCTGTTTGGCAAACAAGTCTACATAGCAAACGCCCTTGGCTCCAAAACCGCGGGCGTTTCGTCTACAATAGCAGCTAGCCCCGAATTTGGATTTGGTTCACTCCTCGCCCGAAAGGAACACCGCCAGAGATTTGTCAAGCAGGTCAAGCAAGCCGCTAGCACTGGATCTTTCGTTACCGAGTCACCCGTTAATTGGCTGGCCAAATGGGCGGCGAGCGCCGAGGATGCTAAGGCGGCTGGCGAGATCGCGGATGATGTAATTGCCAGGCTTGAGACTGATGGATCTTCAATTGCGCGAGACCTTCTGTCAAGCAAGGGCCTGTTCCGAAAGGAGTCATTATGGCTTGTTGGATCCGATGCTTGGGCATATGATCTCGGTAACTCTGGTGTCCACCACGTCTTGGCTTCCGGTGAGAATGTGAACATGCTCATAATCGACTCGACGCCCTACTCCGAACGAGCTGCAGCGGATGCTGAGAGGCGGAAGAAGGACATCGGTCTATATGCTATGAACTTCGGCAATGCCTATGTTGCGTCTACCGCAGTTTACAGTTCATACACTCAGGTTCTCCAGGCCATGCTTGAAGCGGACCAATTCAATGGCCCTTCTGTTGTCCTTGCTTATCTACCGTACTTCGGTGAGCAGGATTCTCCTTTGACCGTTTTGCAAGAAACGAAGAAGGCTGTCGATCTCGGCTACTGGCCGCTCTACAGATGGAATCCGGAGAATGAGACCAAAGGCGAACCCAACTTCTCCTTGGACTCCGAACGTGTCAAGAATGAGCTCAAGGAATTTTTGGATAGGGACAACAAATTGACCCAGCTGATGCGACGCGAGCCAGTATTTGCCGCAAGCCTTTCCCAAGATTTTGGCACGGAGGTTCGCGCGCAACAAAAGCGAAAGGCTCGAGATGCTTACAACCAGCTTCTGGAGGGTCTCTTTGGCGCGCCCCTTACAATCCTGTTCGCCTCGGACAACGGAAACGCGCAGTCATTAGCGAAGCGACTTGGAACAAGAGGACGTGCTCGAGGTCTGAAGACGATCGTTATGGCGATGGAAGATTACCCCGTTGAAGATCTTCCAAAGGAGGAAAACATCGTTCTCATAACCTCTACTGCCGGCCAAGGAGAATTCCCTCAAAATGGCAAGCCTTTCTGGGATGCTATCAAGGATAACACTGATCTGGATCTCGCATCCGTCAACTATTCAGTATTCGGTCTCGGAGACAAGCATTATTGGCCGCGAAAAGAAGACAGGGTGTACTACAACAAGCCCGCGAAAGACCTCGACATATTACTAGCGAACTTTGGTGGTAAGCGTCTATCCGAGGTTGGATTGGGCGATGACCAGGATCCCGATGGATACCAAACTGGATATGCTCTCTGGGAACCTCAAATCTGGCAAGCGCTCGGTGTAGCAAATGTCGAGGGATTGCCCGAGGAACCCCCACCGGTTACGAACGAGGATATTAAGTTGGCTTCAAACTACCTGAGGGGTACGATCGTCGAAGGCCTAAATGATCCGACCACTGGGGCTATCTCGGCCGCGGACCAGCAGCTCACGAAGTTCCACGGCACATACATGCAAGATGACCGAGATATTCGTGACGAACGAAAAGCCCAAGGCCTAGAGCCTGCTTATTCGTTCATGATCCGTTGTAGGTTGCCTGGTGGCGTATCTACTCCGAAACAATGGGTTCAAATGGACGACATCAGCACAAGTCTTGGCAACGAGACCATGAAACTCACTACTAGGCAGACTTTCCAGTTCCATGGTGTGGTCAAAGGAAAACTCAAGCCCGCGATGCAAGCTATCAACAGAGCGCTGATGACTACCATTGCCGCATGTGGAGATGTTAACAGAAACGTAATGTGCAGTTCTCTTCCCACTCAGTCCCAGTACCATAAGCAAGTGTGGGCTTCCTCGCAGAAGATCAGTGACCACCTTCTACCGTCCACTACTGCGTACCACGAGATTTGGCTCACAGATGACAACAACGAGAAGACACAAGTTGCCGGTAATGCTGTGCAGGATTTCGAACCTCTTTACGGACCCACCTATCTACCCCGGAAGTTTAAGATCACGATCGCCATTCCTCCACACAATGATACGGATGTATACGCTCACGACGTCGGTCTAATCGCCATTAAGGGTGACGATGGTCAACTAGCAGGATTCAACGTTCTTGCTGGAGGTGGTATGGGTGCGACGCATAATAACAAGAAGACATATCCTCAGACCGGTCGCATGATGGGCTTCGTTAAGACTGAAGAGGTTCATATCGCCTGCGAGAAGATCATGCTTGTACAGCGAGACCATGGCGACCGTAAGAACCGGAAGCACGCTCGACTAAAGTACACTATTGACGACATGGGTGTTGACATTTTCCGCTCTAAGGTTGAGGCGCTATGGGGTAAATCGTTTGAACCGGAACGTCCATTCCAGTTCGAGAGTAACATCGACACCTTCGGTTGGCAAAAGGACGAGACTGGTATGAACCACTTTACATTTTTCATCGAGAACGGCCGAATCGAGAACACAGCCGACTTCCAGATGAAGACCGGTCTACGCGAGATCGCCAAGGTCCACAAAGGCGAGTTTAGGTTAACAGGAAATCAACATTTGATCCTCAGCAATGTGGCAGATGAGGATCTCCCACAAATGAAAGAATTGATGAAGAAGTACAAGCTCGACAATGTTCAGTTCTCGGGCATGCGCCTCAGCTCTTCGGCCTGTGTTGCTTTTCCTACGTGTGGTTTAGCTATGGCCGAGAGTGAGCGTTACTTGCCCGAGCTTATCTCCAAGCTGGAGGGATGCCTCGAGGAGAACGGGCTCGGCAAGGAATCAATTGTTATGCGCATGACAGGATGCCCGAACGGCTGCGCGCGTCCTTGGCTAGCGGAAGTTGCCTTTGTCGGCAAGGCTTATGGTGCCTACAACATGTATCTTGGCGGTGGATACCATGGCCAACGGCTAAACAAGCTTTACCGATCTAGCATCAAGGAGGACGAAATCTTGGCTATAATGAAGCCCTTGCTAAAACGATACTCCTTGGAAAGAGAAGAAGGAGAGCACTTTGGAGACTTCTGCATTCGAGTAGGCGTCATTGCTGCCACTAATGGGGGACAGGATTTCCACAACAATGTAAGTTGATCTTTTATCCGATTTGAATAGGATATTGTTTGCTAATGAAACCTAGACCGGCGAAGAGGAATTTGAGGACGAATGATCTCTTGAATTACTTAGAGCATTGAAGCATGGACCATTTAAGCATCGCATGAGGAATCGGTGTTTGAGGAGTTATACATACTTGTCGATTAATGTACAAATGATCTTGACCTTATTTAAAATAGCATATTCACTGTAGCAATCTGAATTGAGATGATACCTTGTCAATGTTAGAATATGATTTATGGGATATCTCTTACGTTTGTCAATGGATACCCAGAATGTCAATCACTACATCTCTTATTAAGTAGTCCTTTAATGATACCTATACTTGAGTCATTGAAATGTGTGCTAATTACCTCCTGAATTGGTATGTACCACGTCAAAATGATTGCGCGGGGAAACGGGGGGCCAATCAGGATTAGCGGTGTGTCCCAAGAAGGAAACTTTTAATTATAGGGCTGAACTTTAGCGTCCAAACCGCCTATTTGGGACCGGGGTTCCTGGTCCCTATATTGACGACATAGTCTATACGATATGGGGTCCTCTATCATATCTCATTATCACTTTGCCCCCCGCTTGGCCAGTTTTATGATTTGAAGGCGGTTGACTTTGACAATCAAGATTAAACGGTTTGATTTTAGTTTGGTGGCTTGTGCTTTGTATATTCGCTAGCAACGCGTGCTGATTGGGGAAACACGCGTGAACAACTTTGTTAGTGAGAAGGCTTGTTGGGAACAACACTAGTACTAAGAGAGATAATAAATTCAACCAATTGGCCTTCCTAGTCACCGTATTCTCATTCGATTTTCGTTCTCTTTTTCTTTTGTCTTAAAAAATCCATAATACGATACATGATTGGTGAACCCCAGCTGTCCACCCTGTTAGTTGGTGGGACCCTGAGTTCACGAGATCGAGAAATTCATCGTAGCCGTCCCACCTCACTGGCGCGTATAGTGCGCCTATACCATCAACCAGGCAGCTGGGAATGCTAGTGTGGCTCTAGTGTCTTCGTCGAGCTCTGTCCAGCTGGGTGGTACAGTATGGGCCCACCTTGTCCTGCAACTTCGGCTCATGTGCCTCAGCTATTGGCGGAAAACGGCACGTAGTATCAGGGACTATGCCGTTAATGGAATCCGTAGTAAATATTCTTATTCGTCGAGTTGGTCGTAGCAGTGGTCCTAATTTATCATTGGCCCTTAGGGACAGTCCTCGTCAAGGTTCTCTTTGTAAATTGTCAGAATACCCACATCACATGGTCAAATTGACGCTATTATACAGTATATAGACACCAATTGTCCAAATGCCAGCACAGTATCTTGGTCACGATGGTTCAGTTTCCGATAACCGAACCTTTGGGAAGCCTAGCGTGGTGTAGGATCAGTGCCCCAAGCTCACAGCTAGACGCCACCATACCTAAACATATAAATACATAGACTTTCCCACTAGAAATCCTTGGAAAATTATTCTTCGACGTGGAAGAACGATATCCTGAAGTTCACTTCTGAATACGGACAGTCTTGGTCAATTGGTACCTTAACTTCAGGCTCTATCATTGTCAATACGTCTTTATTTACTTCTTCCATCAACAACCCACTACGACAACATAAACGGATCATACCGTGAAACTTAAGTTTACATCGCTTTGTAAACTATCAACATGCCTACCACACTTAGTGTTACCCGACCGGCTACCCGTTCGACCAGCAGCGGGTTCTTTTCTTTACCGTTCGAGTTGAGACTCGACATTTACGAACGGTACTTGTACCCCTACCATCATGGAGACATCGATGACGCCACAGTAGTCTCGCCATGGTCCGGCTGGGAAGCAGTCAGACTCCTTGAAGTCTGCAAGCAAATCTATGAGGAAGCATCGCCGATCGTGTACCAGAAGATGGACATAAGCTGCAACCTTGAGGAATGGAAGAGATTCCTCACCAAGATCGGCCCACGAAACATCGCAAAGATCCAGCACCTGACGATCACCTACACCTGCAGCCCGGATTACAAATCCCCATGCCTTGGCTTGGGTGCAAAGGAGGAGGACCATTGGTCCTACATCCTTGGACTTTTCAAGCTCGCCCAGGCCGACTCGAGACTCAAGACGTTGATATTGAACATATTCCCCTGCCACGGCACTTGGCTGGGAACGAACGAACTCTGTCGCATCCCGACTACATTCACTAATTGCCACGTCTACAACGACCTGCAATTCCTCAAGAATCTGTCCTGCTTTAGCGATGCCCAAGAGATCATTCTCAAGAACCGATTCAACCCTCTCTGGGGTGCATTCCTACGCAAAAGACCGGGATTCATCGCTAAGCGTCACGACGGTGGAAACATCACGCTCATCAACCTCAACCGTTTCGATCGTGTTCTCGATTTGGACGGATACAAGCCATCAGAGCTATACGATGGTGTTTACGACGAGGTTATTAAGGAGGAACCCGAAGAGTCAGATACGGACTCCGACGCAGACGACGACGAGTGGGATATCTATGCAGAGGTCGACGCTGAGAACGCCGACCCATTGGAGGACCTATCGTGGTCTTTCTAATCTTACTAGACTGGAAGGGGAGGGAGGCTGACAAAATGAGGTACCGAACGGCTTTCTGTTAGATTTGACCTGTTTTGGGGGATACATGAGTCTTGCAGATGAGTCCTGTTGGTGTATTATCGGATCTTCATCCATTACACCGGACCTCATGGGGTACTGGAGCACCAGGTATAGTTGGTAGCATTGGGAGGGAAAGTATTGGGAGAGAAATTGGACCTATACATAATCACCAATAGAGAACCTGGCTGCTTTTACATGAAGATTAAAGATGGTTGTTAATTTCCCAGTTATACCTAAACTATGTGATACGACGACTACGTTGAATATTCAACCAATAAGTAGAGATGGCAATTCATGAACACCCTTAGCGTAGCTACAGCTCTTACCATTTACCAAGGATCCATACAATCATTACTTAAGGCCGGATTTACATGACATTGGGATCAGAAGCTCCTGTCCCTATTCCTAAACTCCTTGCGATTACACATAACTAGGTAGGTACCTACTAAACCTAAGTACCTAGGAAAGTGGCGCTACTAGATGGGCTTCTGTTCCACCTTGACGCCATTTGTTCTAGAAGAATTATGAGAATAGATGGCAACGAAGTTGAGCATGTTAAGCAAGTTATTTAGTCTGCTACCAGAAATTACTCAAATCATTGTTTCTTTTATCGTTTAAATTCATGCACAAATTTTTTTCACTGTGGAGATGTGTCTTCAAACGGAAAACAACCTGGAAATGGCATGTGGAAGGGCAAAGGAGGTCCTCCGAGGGACGGCCACGACAAAAGCCTAGACGGCATTACTGGACCCGACGCCTCGCGTGCGACTTGTTCACCCTCCATAGTCCTCCTGACTCCAACCACTCTCTATCAGATTTCCGCTCCCCGTATCGCCTACTTCTCTTCAGTAGCTGGGGAGCCAGAAGACGACGCCTTCTTCTGCGTAACGCCCTTGCCCCTACGTGGGACATGGGACAAATGCAAAACCCTTCACGAAGCAAATCAATTAGTGCCCTATTTTGATATCGAGGACACGCCTTCACTTCACGACTACATCGACTGCAAGATACAGTTGTATAACGAAACCGGCGAACACGACGAAGACGGAGAACTCCGCGAAATCAAACTCCGTTCCAATCCTCAGCTTGCCCGATCCATTTTCCTGAAACGCGCGCAGATAGGGAGCAGGTGTCCGACCTGAAAAAGACTGACGCAATCAAAACCAACATGATAATTGAACTACCAACCAGGAAAAAACTTGAGGAAAAGTTGAAGAAAGAACAGGAAGGGACTAGGACAAGGAAAGAGCAACATATCACACGTCGTTGAACACACAGAACATCATAAGTCCAACAAGGTAGTCAACAACACAATACAGGGCTTCAAATCCCAACTTGCCATCACGAAACACTCGGTGCGTGCGAAGTTTCGGCAGGACAAAGCACTGCGAGACCAGACAAAAGATACCGTAGCCCCTGGACGATGATGATGAGCGTGTTTACGTCCGAAGGACGTATATAGGTACTACATACGGGCAAGTATGGTATATACATCAACGCGCACTACTAGCGCATAGGACGTCTAGAGTACCTCTCTAGGTAGAGAGACAGAGCTAGAGTTTCGCTTGACATAAGAAATTATCCTCCACTCCTGCCTCCAGTGCATTACTCTAGCTAATTGGCGACGGCGTTAGCTAGCCGATATATTCAGGAAAAACCCTACTCCGGATCCACCTTCTTCTAACGTCTTTCAGAACCACCCTCCAACGCCCAGTAAACCCTAAAGCGGGGTGAAAAAACCTGAATAAAATCGGACCGTTGGTTAAGTTGCCCACAGCGGGATTCGAACCCACTCGCTTCACGTAGTCGTACGCTAATGCGCGGCCAGACGCTTTAACCACTGCGCCATGTGGGAAGCCCCTGGACGAGAGAGTTCAGAGCTCGCGTAACAATGTCGTTACTTCCCAGTTCCATAGTTCTACCTCGCGATACCACCATATACGAATGAGGACAGCGACCAGTATAGTGACGAGGACGATGAGGCATATATTGTCATGGAGGCTTCTCCTATGTGTATATCATTTCCTCAGGATTTATTGGAATGGATGTTAGGTGACTAGAAGCCTACGTTCTATATCTCAGGGTTATATGTGCTATTCATGGGTCTTCACCTACTCCTAGTAACTTAACCTTCTAATACAACCAGTATGACACTAATAACTTACGTCTATCTCAACAAAATCGGAATACTAGGCGGTCTAGAGATCCTTGCGTAACTACGGTACTCAATACACATACCCCACGCGACCATTTCAACTTGGGAGAAGCGATTGAACACCTCGCAGTCATTCGACCCGATATACAGCCATCTGAAACAGAAACACAGGTACTTGCGGGTAAAGGTACAGCTTGTTGCAATACCAGACGAACTCTCCAAGACAACGAGCACGCCGCAGCCTTACTTGAAGCTTACTCTTCCTCAGCTAAGCATGCTAGAAGCCATCCGGATTTATAGGGACATTGGAAAAGACGGATTCACACATTTGCTGTGTGTCACGAGGCGGAACTAAAAGGTTAAAGAATAACGACGTTGTTGCACGAAGAACTCTAACTACTCCCTCCCAGGGGATGCGGTATACATACATAGACTTTCCTTTGTCTATAACCAAAGGGCTAACTGCCAACAGCGCGGCCTCGTACAAGCCGACTCCCGATCCTCCTGCTACTAGCTAACCCTGGCGAGACCCTTAGTTATCAGCTCTCACAGAGGAGGCTTCTGACACTACGGCATCGTATGGACTTGATAGATAGATGTGATCTTGTATGTCTTGAGCTGCGCTAGCTATCCGAATGAGAAACACTTCTCCCTAGGTAGTCTTTGACCTTCATATTAACAGTGCTGTTTTCTCAGATGTTAGCTCGGCCTCGTAAGAATTACCAGGTATGGAGGAGATCACAACTGATTCAACTTATTTGACTAGGCGTTGAAGTTTTATCAAGCAATGCCCCTTTAGAAAGGAATCTTTCATTCCCGTATGCTTAGATACTAAAGGCCCACATACCTACGCCTGTCGTCCGTTCCCGAGAAATTGGTGATTATTACTATTATTTGGATAACATGTGACCCAAAGTTTCATCGTACGAGAATCTAGTTCTTCCAATTCCTAAGCAATGTCTGGACATATCCATTCAATTACTGAATTGCTTGCTAATGAATATATCACACCTTCTATGGGCTGTATGACATGCTGGAAGAATATTGTTCCGGCACCGTCTCCCCCCTATTCATTCCGATGACTAAGCCAAGTTTCAAGCCAAGATATGGTCCATTATTTAAGATACGTTCAACGCGTCCTCTAAGCGAATAAGGAAAATTCCGTACTTATACCTATTCAAAAGACATACATCTACTACTACTCTTGAGAGTATTGTCAAACGCAAACTGAGAGTTAAGGTAGGCACCTAGGTAATCACCATAAAGCTCATCACTTAATTAGACGACCACATCATCAACAACTGTGTGCGTAAATCGATATAATGAAGAACCGGATAAGATCCAGTAAATATATTCTTCGTGAGGAAATGACTAAAAACTGTATTCGTGGAAAACCCCAATTCAGAAAAGTTCTCCAAGTCTTCCCTCTAGTATGTACGATTACCTATACTTCCAGTATGTGGGTAATTATTATGTACTCCGTGTCATGTTCGCCCACCCGATGGCACCAAGAGACTTATCTACTCCGTCAACCATAACTGCCTCTGGAACAACTCCTCCTCCGCAGAAACCCTCGCCGACCATACGCAGCCCGGGCAAATTCCTCCTTGGCGGCCCCATTCTGCGAACTGGAAGATTTCCCTGGGCAAGAATGTGTCCCCAGCCACATCCATCATCTGCTCGGCCGTTGGCATAGTTTCCTGGGAATGCCATTCCAATTTAGCCCGGTCCCAAAAGACGAACCCCCATCGAGTCATGCAGGGCTCGCATGAGAACTGCAAGAAGTAGCCTGCCCTGAATATCTTGTCATATACCCGATTCTCGAGCAATGTATGTAGCCAAGCATCTCTGGGGCCCGAGTCCTCCTCATCGGACCAGTTCATGGGTATTGTCGCGTTCAGACCGACCTCGTCAAAGTCCTGGTCATAGGGCATCCAGAACTCGTCCATCCCCTTCATCCATATTTCTGTTCGGAGTGGAAGGGTGTTCATCTGAAGGCTACCCGAGAATTCAGCTATGCGATTCTGGACGGCACCAATCCATCCTGGCCTAATCTCGAGCTCCCGGAGGCCGACTAGCCCCTTCTGGATAACGAATTGCCCTAGCATAGCTTCGTCGGGGTGGATGGTCAAATAGCCGCCCTGACGTGTGACAACTAGAATAGGGTTAGCATAATCTGTTAAGTAGTATTTATGATGAAGTGTCGAACTTACGGTCGTCAACCCAGTCCTGCAGCATTCTCTGTACACATCGGACTTGTTGTAGTTCCCAAGGAGGGAACTGCTCCCAGAAGTTATGCCATATCGCATACTGCTGGTTGGTTACGTCGGGGACGTCGACAAAGGGGAGGACGGCTGAAGCTACTTCGAATATGTATAATGCTTTCATGAAGCGATGGAGCTCCCCGGGTGATAAATGGGTCACATAGTCCGGGGCCATTGGCTCACCGTTGTCCAATGGGATTGTCGATAACGGCCCCTTGTGCATAGCAATCCTCCCTAAGATATAGGCGAAGCACAAGACGGTATGGTCAAATGAAATCAGCTTATGGGCGATTTCAAGTGTGAACTTGAAGTTGGCATAGAAGCCATCTTCGTTGCGAGCCTCAAATACTTTGTCGTCCCTTAACCCGTCCCGTACGAATTTTCTAGTGAAGAACTGCCTCCCGAAAGTCTGTGGTTCACCACTTTCACTGCGGGCGACCGGGAAGCCATAGTGGTCTGCCCGATAACGGGCCGCCGCAAGACATCTCAGATCCGGACTGATATTCCCACAAATGATGCTTCTAGCGATCCGAGACTCGTTGGCCTCCACAAAAGCGTAGAGCGCCGGTCCTGTCAGAGCCGCGTTTAAGACGCACAGTGGATCGCAGTAGTTGAAGATCTGGAGTTTAAGTTCGGGAGGCAAGCGCTCAAAGGGACTCATGTGAGCTGAGTCGAATCTTCGACAAGCCCTGGAAATAATTATAGTTAGTAAAGCTCAAAAATACGAATAAGAATTGGGGCAAGTCTATCTTACGTGTATGCCGTCATTCGAGCGAATATCGATGTAATGAAACATGGGTCCAATTTCCTCTCCATCTCTTCAAGAAGAGATTTCTCCTCCAGGAGAAGTCCAGGTATGTTCTGGTACTTTTCCATTTCGTCTTATCTTGACTAGAGGGATATGGGGTCCAGGAAGAGTAAAAAGATTAAGTGAAAGGAAATAGGTGTGCCGAAGAGCGACAGTAACTTGTCGGTATGATGAAGTGTTATATAAGGAAGGGGATGTAGTACTGAAGAATTGTCGCGTTTGACTATGAGCCAAAGTATTCTTAATAAGTGCTTGCCAATAGCAAAGCTAAGATGTCGGTAGGTTAAGTGTAATGAACACAACTTATGTTATCTCTCTGAAGGCTGGGGCACAAGAGAAGTTGGGTTGGGATGAAGAGAAAAAAAAAAGAGGAATTGAGAGGCACCCTCTCCCTGTGTATATATAGTATTTCCCAAGGATCCCAATCACCCGAGTGCTCTACGCATGGATCAAGCGTATTGGTGGCTGCCAGGTGACAGCACAGTACACGGACCGGCATCGAGTTGGTCATCATGCTATACAGAACTCTCTTGAAGCTTAGACCATAATCATGCTAAATTCTGATTGGCTATACACAAGTGGCCCGTGGTTGTCAACCTTAAACTTTGACTATAATAACGACGAGAGTCGCTGTTGCCGGCCGACAAAATGATAACGGAACCGTAGTTACCAGGGGCCGGCTTCCTTAAATGAAAAAAACAGCTGGAATGGAAAACTGTCAACGGTTATTCAAACTGTGTGACAGGACCCTTTCAGGCGACAACGGTTTATGACTAATAAAAGCAGCATCATGTTTGTTTTACAAGAAGGTGCGACTCAGAAAGGGGCGATTACGTGGTCCGTGTTTACTGAGCAACACTGCCTAGTGTTTGGTTAATCATGCTCAGTCACATCAATGTTCAAATTCAATGTTATCTATGATGACGAATACTTTCTTTGAATAAGTAGGTCGTTTATTTAGAGTCTATTGAGAAAGTTGGAAAATCAATTAATTCGTCAGTACCAGATTCCTGAATGTTTTTTCGCTCCTTGAATAGCTACAAACTTGAGGTCTTTAAACATAACGAAAGTATCAACCGGCAAGTGTTTAGTAAAGGCGAGCTAAGGACTGCCGATATAGTTGCCATTGTATATATAGTTAATTTTATATCGAAATCTTTATAGATGCTACGGCCACAGGCGCGTTTAAATCTAAGTTAAGTTCCGCAGAACTATTCAGGGGTATAAAGTATAAATTGGTCTTTTAATTACCTAGTAAAAAACGATAAAAGTTAAGATAAGAAGAGAAGAACCATGAGAAGTAGGTACGTCTTGGGCTGAGCTAATGTAAACTACTAGGATATAGAGAAATGTATTGTGAACATTACACAGGTAAGGACAGCCAAGGACCCGGTGTCGAGATCCTGGAGTCCAAGATCTGGATCTTTTATAATTTTTATATATAGATATATATTAATGTAAGCTACGTTCGGGTATATGTAAGCAAAGAAATCTACCTCCCCAACATTATCTTACACTATTCTCGCACGAAATCATAGTATGGAACGTATAAGGTTCGAAACACGGCTGACGACTGTCGAGCTCGATTTCCCGGTATTCCCACTCCGTTCGGTTTCACCGGAACGTCTCTGCTCTTGTATCTCTGTGACAAACTTCGGCCATGTATTCGTTAGGACGAGGTACTTGATGTGCGCCTGCGCACGATCGAATACACCGAAATCGAACTCCTCTGATATCTCGCCAACATATTGGATCCTACCGGCAACTTCCCCAAGCTCAATCCAATCCCGATCAGAATCTGCTTCTCCATCGGCACCTGAAGAGGACCCGTCCATCGAGAATGGTGTAGCTGGATCCACACGTGCTTCTCCGCATACTATTCGCGCAGGCCTCTCGAAGATGGCTTCGAGTTGCTTCAGGTCTTTCGAAGGTATATTGATGGGGAATTCGGCATCACGGGGGCTGATGAAGCTCGTGTAGATAACCAACCCGCGAGTGAACGCGTCGCGGATCTGGTCTTCAGTTGCGCCACCGGGCCACGAAGACTTCCACGAAGCAACGTTAGTTAGAAAGGCAATATTCTCTCCTGAGAAATCCCTCAAAGCCGAGAATTCTTGCAGCGGGCCCGGGTTCTCGCTTAGAACGTGGTCTAGCGCACTCATAGTAAATAAGCGGTCGCCCATCTCCCGATCCAAGTAGTCTATGGTAAGACCTTTCTCGATGAAAGAGGCGGTTTTCCATTCGACCGTACTCGATTTTCTAAGTGTTGATTGGGACGCCGTCTCCCACTTAGCGTTCGAATCGGCAGCTCTTTTACGAAGTCGATATTGCCTCACGACTAACCAACATGGAACGAAAACGGCGAAGATTTCGAAGCACATGACGGAGAGATGGATCCTATGTTTGTTAGTGCGTGTATCAAATCAATTTATTGTCAGTTCGTTTTTAAGGTTGCCTACCATTCACTTGGAGCAAAGTAAGTGTTGACCTTCGTAAAGGCCGGTACGTACATAGCTATCAACCACATCGGTGTTGCGTGGAGACTACGAAAGTTTTAGCGATGAAAGAGCTTCTTCAAGTAATGGAGACAACTTACTTCGCAAGACAGCAACCGATAGTCTGAAAGCGCCAGCCTAACGTGTCACGAATACCCCAAGCTTTCCAGATCATAATTGGTGCAATCTGTAAATGTTAATATCAAAAGTTTCCTCCTGAGTTGTATGTTACAGGAACTTACAATCCACGTCCAGATTGCCTGCCACAGTGCCGAGGGCCACCACTCCCATCCACGACTCAATTCTATCATCTGCTCGGCAATCGTTCCAGAGGGAAGGTCTGTACCGGCAATACCAAAAGTGGGATGATATTTGCGACACATGAGCCACATACCAACAGTGAGAAGAACCTGTTCAAAGATTTAAGCATACATATATTCCAAAGTCTTCTGGATGGTAGTATGTACCTGGAGTATCATGCCTAAGCCGATATAGATCAGAATCCTAGTCGGATAATCCATGTTTCTCAGCCGACAAAGCCAAGAAGTCGCAGCTCCATTACAGCCCTGCTTCTTCCTTCGAAGCTTGGGAGACTGAGCATATTGCTTCTGTCGCTTGGCGACATAGAGGAAGCGAGTGTTAGAGGCATGGAACAGCGCAACGCCCAGTGGAAACCAAATGCCCATGAAGAAATATTGAACATCGTAGGCCACGATGACGGGGAGTGTTAGCCCGATGGGGTATGTTATCTGAGCAAGGATCCAGTATAGGTGGAGGAAGAGGATGGCTGTGAGAGACAACCCTAAAGCACGGATCTTGAGAATCGGATTTTTACGATTGACGATCAGAAATGTCACACCGAGCAGCAAGAGAAATGTCCATGTTGCGCAAAAGGCGATATAGAAAGTTCCGACCTTGTCGAAGTTGGGTGGACTTTGAGGGAGATCGTACAGGCTTGGTTGCATCTGGTCTGCCATGGTGTTGTATGTCGATATTTTCCGAGTAACCCCAGGCGACAGACGAACAAATCAAGAACCCTGGACATCATGAGGAGGTCCATGGTTCTTGAAGTTATCTGATTAAATGTTTGGTAACCTTAACCCTTGGTACTTACTAGGTACGCAAGAATGCTAAGGGAGAATAAGTTCGGCTTCATTTTTTTACTTGCCAAGTGTATCTTGATCTAGAGTTTATGCCCATGTGGGCGTGAGTGTTTGTCGATCAGTGGACTATTGTCAATATCACTGTCGATTGATGATGGCGAAAGGGAACTTACCGAGACAGGTGTTAGCTAGTCCCTGTGCAGGAAAAGGAGCCGCGTCGTTCCCGTCTTCCGCCTAGACCTTAAATGGACCCTTAAGAAGCAAAAAGGGGGGCAACCAAACTCCCCACCTAGATCTACGATTCCACGTTCCACCCCGTCGGTGCTCAGATCGGTACAGAGATTTCCGGGAAATTTCAGAGAGGACACTATTGAGTACCCGCGCGGCATTACTTCGTAGCTTAATAACAAGGGCTAATAGAATTTCCCCGGTATTAGAAGTTAAAAGCGACTAATACAAATACCCACATAGGTTGTGCTAAGTCCAGGGGCTTTCACTATGGCTATAACTGACCGTTTGACGACTCCTGGAAAAGTTTTATTGTACAACGGATTCTCGCAATGATGTAAGCTGAATCTCTCCATCGATGAAGCTAGTGCTGTCAGAACTTAAATTTTCCTTACTGAAGTTCTATTGGCTAGCAGTTTAGAAGCGAGAGACATGGGGTAAACGCCACCGCTCCATCGACATGAGCGTCAGCGTAGTACATACATAAGCGATGCGACTCGACGCCACAGATCCACGAATCACATGTATTAGAGCAAAGAAAACAATTTTAGACCGGGCAACCACGAAAAATCAATGAACCACTTTGAGACGGGAGAATACAGCCGATCCCATCTAAGACACTCACTTGCTTGCCATGTAACGTAGTCAGACTGATAGACAACATTATAAGGGTGACTTGGACCCTAGATACATAAAGGACACGCGGGGGAATGCGGATAGACGTGCGGACATGAGAGACAATATATCAAAGAATCATAGAATGTAAGAGGCCAATCAACACATATGATGTACTAAAACCAAACAAGTGCCTGCCGTAGTGGCAAAGTCAGATTCAAAAATGAACGTTTCATGTCTCATGACATATTTCCCTGTTACCCTTCAAATTACCACCAAGGAGCTTCCAGCCAAAGGACGAGGAGTGAGATCCCAGGTGGCTAGCATGTAGCCCCTATACAATGCCCTTCAGTGTAGCCCAATCATATCGCTCAAGCACTTAGATGACATTTCTAGAGACCACTAAACCGGTACATGAGACGTCATTTTCTTGCCAATTAGCGTCGCTGCAAGCCGTTTTGATGACAGCAACTACGCACCTGCACCCTATACCCGATTCTAAAGCGACATACTCGAGTCGAGGCCTCCCTATCAGAATCTAGATTTCGATGACTTTCATTGGTCCTAAACATACGATTTATACGCACTTGTCTTAGATGCGCATCAAAAACCATAAGGGAGGTTGTGATGGGGACAGAATCTTTGCCTAGAAAGACAGGACACCACCAATATGATAACCCACTGCTTGTGCGCCACCACAACACAGAAACCGGTGCGATCAAAATATCCAGAACTCAGATATTAGTGACATCTGGCTTCTTATCCCATAGGAGCTTCAATACAAGTACACCCATAGAATCAAATATACTCAATTGCGACAGACTGGCAACCCGGAGCACGCCAGCGATATCAGTTTTATTGTCAGGCACCACAACACGTCTTCATCGTCTCAACAGCCTCCAGAGATCCAAGGTATCATGACACAAATATGAATAAGAAATAAGGGTGCTTAATTCACAGTGATAATCATTGTGAGAGCTCTCGGGACCATCAGCCGGTTGCCGGAGTTTTCGTTTGTACAACGGCAGCAAGCCACGCGATACATATACCCCCCAACCCCGAATAACGAATAGGGCGTCCACCCTATTACGTACATATATCATTACACAGTATAGCAAACTCACAGAAAACACGAAAAGAACAGCAATGAATGAATAAAAAAAATCAGGGTATCATCCCCCATTTTGCCAGCTCTACCTAGGCCAAACGTGACATCCAACACCAATGACAACATCATCATTTCTTAACAAACAATATCAACTCCCGGTCTAATTAAGCAGCGTCAAAAGCCGCAACCGCAACCGTAGCCGCGGTTCCCAGACGAAGAAACGCGGCCGCAATTAACACTAGAGTTATAGTACATCAAAGTAGTCTTAACCCTTAAGCCTTCGGCTCGTAAAAGCCACTCCCTTCCCCTTCCCTCCCCTCCCCTCCCCTCCCCTTCCATCCCCATCCCTCCCCAACACTCCTCTCCACTCCACTCCGAAGTTCATTTCCTATCCCGTTGGTTTAACCTAATCCAGCCATTTCACCCTTTTCCCCTAATCATCAATTCCAATGCCAACTCAACTCCAAACGAAGGCGGTGAGTCATCGCATCACATCGCATCGCATCACATGAGCATTAAAAAAACAAAAAACATCTCGAATCCCAAATCCCTAATGCCTTAAACTTTCGTCAAACCCATATCGTTCGTGTCGAATGTGGTGGCGCAAAGAAGTAGCTTCCAGAAAAAGAAATGTCGTCGTTAATCGGAACACGTTGCCGGCTCGCCTATATTTTTCTAAGGGGCCCATGAAATCGTGAAGAAACGGTATAAATGGCAGCTCATGAACGGACGCTGCTCCCGATGCTGCTTATCGTGTCGCTGACCTTGCTGCTGACTCCACCCATCCAGTCGTGGAACCACTCGGGTACTTTGAGGCTCAGGCGTACTCTGCCCTCGACGACCATGTTGATCGCGTTCAGGATCGCAAACGTAGTACTGCCTAACGCTCTGAAGAGCGCCAGCGCCGCGACCGACCATAGGATGAATGTGAGGTAGAAATTACTACCAACGTCCTTGTACCCATAGGCTTCGGACACGGCCATGGCCAGGATAGCGTTAGCTACCATCCATATGACGACCATGTACGTTCGGACACTCTTGTAGTAATCCTCCTGCATCTGGGCCTCGCTTATGTCCGGCTTCGGGACCTCAACACGATCTCTCAAGTTTCTCAGCGCCTCATCGTATCCGCTGTCGATATCCAGCTGCTCGGACGGCATCTCGAGCTCAACCACGTTTCCCTTTCCAGTGGCACCTCCCAAGTCCGTCTTCATGACGTTGTCACCTTTGGTACCCCAGGTAACATCGTGAGTGTTGCAGAATGCGTACACCTGCAATGTGCAGATATAACTTGGTAATAGCGCGAAGTACTGCGCCGAACTGGTGAACATGTGCCAAGGATCCAGGTACAAGAAGCTCATGAGAAAATAAAGCCCCACCGTTGAGGCTGTCGATACGATCAGATTCGTGAACGTGTTGTTGCCGAGTTTAAGCTGATCACCCTTGATAGTGTGGATAACGATGAAGACTGTCGCAAATGTGTTGTATACCATGATTATACCATATATAATCATACTAGCAAAATACAGCTTCTTCGCACCCTGAGGCCGATTGCCGAGAGAAATGATGAACTGCATGCTGATGAGTAGCACGCATGTGTAGCGGAGTACGGTGAAGATATATAACGCGATATTATGTCCAAAGGGGTCGACAGATGGATCCGTAAGCCCACCGCCGATGAAGTAGAAAGCGAGGTAGAAGTTGGCGAGGGAAAAGTACGTAAAGAGGAGTTGAAGAAACTGGTACACAAATTCGATGTGTAATAGCACTTTGCGAGCCACTGTATGATCTGTCGTCCAGATCTGCCTGAAGTGAACGAGAGAGTACACAGCAGCAAAGAATGCGCCGTTAAGCCAACGACGTCGTTGAGAGATGAATTCAGGGACGGCATCTATCCCACATGTTAGTTGGCTCCAATGCCAATCATCGAAAGCACCAGAGAATAAAACTTACCAGGCACATCCGTCTCTCCGGTACAGCCCTTGACATACTTCAACACCCATCTCTCGTTTCTCTTAGCGACCAGTTCCCAACATAGGATACGATCCTCAGCCAGGTACATATTCGCGGTAAACACGTCGGCGTGTTGACCGTGTAAGGTCTCCCCCTTGAAGTACTGACTGAGCGGACCGTGGCCCGTTTCATCATTCTGCAAAGCGTGATAGCGGTAGGCACTCAGAGCGCCGGGTAACACCGTTATGTAACCGAATACAGACTCTAGAGGCTTGTCCAGGATATTCGACATTTTGTACTCGAAGTTTTGTGATGCCACGAGCGGGTTCAGGAGGTTACTTCCGAGCCTGCCCTTCATTGCCTTAATTTCGCCACAAGCTCCCGCGACGTTCGAGTCGGTATCGAAAGCCTTCCACAGATGGTACAGGGAGTTATTGCCGGGCTTTGTACCCACGTCTAGCAAGATACAGACGTTGGGGTTTAAGGCCTTGCCGAAAGCGTTGAAGAACCAACGATGTGAGTTGAGTTTTCGCTGATTCCTTTCCTTGAGGCAGAATATCATCTGGCAGGGTACGATACCCTTCTCAGCTCCCTTGAACTTGAGGTCTGAGTCGAGCGAGACTTGTGTTGTGTACTCATATACGTGAGCCTGCACAGCCTTCTGGTTAACGAAGTTCTTGGCGATGCCGTGCTGGTAAACGCCCATAGCGGCCAGCGCATCAAGTGTTCTCGGATGAACCTTCTCTCGACCGTCGGATACGATACAGACGACAATTTTCTGCCATCCGGTCTCACCCCATGTACGAGATCTGTTGCGGCCACAGAAGTGGCTCACGTTCTTCATGATCGCATGCATCGTACGTGTAAAATCGACTTCGTCTTCGTTGTACATAGTGACGCAGATGAACAACTCTGTCTCTCGCGCCGTCCGGCCGATATTCTGTCTCAGCATATATCCCTTGTCCACGAAGTCGTCCGGGTCACACGTCACGGCCGTGTACCGCATGTGAGTGAACTCAACTTCGTCGCGGCGCGGCAAGAAACTGTACAGAATTGTAGGGATTTTACATTCTAGAATCAGTTCACCGTTGATAAGCTGCACCTCCTTCTTGGAGGTGAGCGGGGCTCTGACACCGCGACGTTCTTGCTTGCCTTCTGGGGCAGCGCCGTAGTGCTCAACCTTCTCTTCCATAGGCGCTTGGGAGTCCTCCTCACTAAGGGTGACTTGTGATTGCGCACCGTACGAGTCGTAGTATGGTCTCGCACCACTGATGTCTGATTCTCCAGGCCCAAATACATCATCGCTACCCTCATCCAAAGGGATGCTTACAGTCGCATCGTCGGCCGTATATTGCGAAGCTCGTGCCGATGCAGTGAAGAGGGGAGCGGGAGGCAACGGTCTTCGTGGACTACCTCCATATCTAGAAGAAGGCGTCCCAGGTCTAGGACTGCCGTTAAGGTCCGCTGGCTCGTAATGCGCACTCGCAGGTGGTGGCCGCGAGTAATCGGATGTTCCGGACATTCTCGAAGATGGAGTCCAGGGTCGAGGGGAGCCAGTGTCTCGCGATCGGTACTGCTCATATGCAGAATCTATCGGCGCAATGTGTGGTGGGTCGAGAATAGAGGATGTTCGTGAGCGTGTGGATCTAATGGATGGTTGGTATGTTCGACGAGGTGACGGTCGGATACTATCAGGTTTAGTTGGTGAGTCACTGCTGTCTGAGCTGCTGGGTTTTCTTGGGGAACTATTGTCGTCCTGAGGTGATTTTTTCTCAAGAATAGACTTCATTCTTGGCGAAGGTCCCTCGGGTATGGTAGGTAGGTAGTGTTTGACCTCCGCTTCAACAACATGGGGAGGCTTGTTCTTCTTCTGTAACTTTACAGTACCGCTACGCTTTAGGATAGGCTTGCGCTTTGGCGACTTGTCGGCCGCTGGCGGAGATGACTACTCTCCATCAGGAAGGGACGGTCGCATTTGCGCTTCCTCTTGATCCTTGAGCGATTCCAAGTATTCTGGTGTTGATATCTTGACAGTCTTCTTCTCCTGCTTCTCTTCCTTCTTGAGGGAGAGGGGAGCGGGAACAAGATCTGGGTGTTTAAATGCCGGAGGTGGCGTCTTTGGGGCTACATACGGTCGAGGATCTGATAATGGTTCTTCCATAGATGTCAATAATCTCACTGCTGCTGGATTTCCTCCCAGGCCAGATGTAATGTGGTCAATGTGATCGTCATCGTCGCCATAGCCTGGAAGAGCGTATCCGGGTGGTCGTGTATGGGAACCGTCCATCCTGACTTATTATCGGCCAAGACGCCGATTGAACTGACTGTGAGACACTCGGCTGGTGTTGTTGATGGGATGGAATGCCAGCGCAAGCACCTAATATCGTTTGATTAGGTCAACTGATTGACGCAAGTCGCCAATCGCAAATTCGATCGTATGTAAATGGGTATGCGGTATAAACAGGGTATCACTAGAAAAGTATAAGTAAGAATCAATAAAGTAGAGATCTTTAATGTTCATGAATTGAGTTATCAACGGTGGCACAACGTTTGCAAAATAGAGTTGATACAGTTGATCCTCAGTGGGGAGCTAACTCACAGTCTCGAAGCAGGTGCTTTGTTGTATTTAGAAATGCAGGTACCTTGCACTCCACTGTTGCCCAGCAACCGTGCCCTAAGCCCCACATAAGAGCGGCAGTGTAATCTTGGCAGCGCATAATTATGCACTAAAATCCCGACCATCCACGCGTTCTTCATCCACCATTAATTCTTCTCTCCATTTCGTATTCGGTGAATTTATTGTTCGCACTGAGTATTCCCATAGTATTTCTTGCGTAACTCGCTTAACTCTCTCCGCCAAATGCAGGTAATCTCAGGCAGATATACACAATTTGACATACAACCTATCAAGTCTATGTCCGGAATGTCACATAATTCGGGTCAAAATATTTTTATATATCGTAGCGCCGTAGATCAAGACTCACATACCCCATATCTGCCTCCAGCTCTTTTCGTCCCGCCCGAGCGGCGCTACGGAGACTCCAAACCTAGCCGGTAATCCTGAATTGGCCTCAGGCAGACATATCCATTCTCTTATACAGTCGGGTATCTCTTCTCTAATATGGCTAATACAGATCAGAGCCTGGTTGTCACTGAGGCCTCCTACTTTGACTGTGCCTGATTTTGATGCATCGCTCTCAACAATAGTTTCTGAACCATTGTCATGCTTCGCATACGTCTTAGTCTCCCCGTGCTCGAGGAAGAGAAGACAGCGATTCCGAACGCCATCGTCCATACCACTGCAAGCTTCATCTAGAACGACGATGTCCGGATTCTTGATGATTGCTCGCAGAAATAGTGCAACCCGCTGGGCGGAGAAGGACAGTTCCCCGAACATATAGTGATCCGCCCACTGTAGGTCAGAGCTCTCTTGTACATCAGATCCAAGCTTCGACGCTTTTGCATAAGCTGGGTTCAACTCCGCCTCGAACCACCGCAGACAAGCCTCGACCTTCTCTTTTGCTTGCTCATCGAGTACAGCCTTCGAGCGGAACGTGTCGGCCCATGCATTCGCAACCACTTGTCTCACCGTAAGATTTCGGGGCATGTGTTGATGGATCTCAGGGCTCGAGTGCCCGATCCGAGCTTGAATGTCCCAGAAAGTTAAAGGCAGCTGTCCCGAACCAACTTCAGGCAATCTACTTCGCCCAAACAATTTTATGGGTAACGAATAGGTCTGAGGATGGTCCGAGCAGATGAGAGATACGATGGTCGTCTTGCCCGAGCCGTTAGGGCCAAAGATACCCCATCGTTCTCCTCGCCGCACAGTCCATACGAGTCCCTCCTGTTCTTCCCCACCAATATTTTGTTTCCAGTTTCCAAGCGCGACTTTACCGCGATATTGCACTTTGCACCCGTCCATCTCCACAACGGGCTCCCCAATATTTCTAGGTACGTCGAAGTCCTGAGCGAAAGGCGACTCACTAGTTTTCAAAGACTTTTCGCCCATCAGCGGTTCACCGTCAATTCCTTTAGCAGTTAACGTTCTGCCTAATTGCAACAAGCTATGCACCGATAGATTGTCCTCTTCCTTTGATGTCCCACTCCATACCTGCCGAACATATTGTCTTAATTTTGCCAAGACAACTTCTTTCTCACCAATTGCTGCTACTTGACAGTCTCCTCTCAAGTAGACCAGGTGTGTAATCCAATCTGGAATAGGATCCTGCGGCCTTGCGCTTAATATCAACCTTGGCTTTGCCCTACTTGCCAGACGATGTAAGAGCGGACTTAGTCCAGCTACTGTGGGCGGGTCAAGTCCCATGAATGGCTCGTCAAGTAACAGAACCTCTGGAGTAGAGAGAAGAGCTCTCGCAATCCTTGCTCTTCTTCCTTGGCCATTGCTCAAAAATGTGACGGGAAGGTCCAATAATTGAGCAAGCTTCAGTTCTCTCACTACCCTATCGAATAACACTCGATCGAATCCGTCCTCATGCGAACGTTTCAGTGGGTTGAGTTCGGTATTGCCCAACAAGAAATCTCTAAGGGAGAAATCTGTATTCTCACGTTTTGACTCGTATCGAGCAGACAAGTATGCCGAAGTAGTGACACTAGAAGATAATCCATCGTTGTCGAATCCTACATACTGAATAGCTTTATGTGGTACTCTTAACCTATGAGGCACCTCATCTGTGGATAGGTAAGGATAGCTTCGTGCTGCCGGAGGGAAGCAAAGATGCTCCCCCCTCAAAATCTGTAAAAATGTCGTCTTCCCACTCAAAGACGGTCCAACGATATACCAGTGAGTCGATGGATCGGTGGTACAAGGTAGTGTGAAGTTTAAGTTTGTGAAGAGAGCCGGGTTCGGATGAATAGAGCTTGCGCCGGGATGATGACGATAGAAAGTGCCAAAGGCGATATTTATCACCGGGGGCCGAAAATGGGTAAACCGCATGATTTCAATTGAATCATGGCAAAGTCTCTTCCAATATAGGGCGCTCAGAATTTACATTGTGGAGCGTTGTGTGAGTGAGTCAATCTAGGTATGTACGGACGTCTGATATTTGACGTATTACAACCGCCGAAGTTGAATATACCCGAAATATCGGGTTTAACGAGGCTCGCACTAAGTTTACCCCTACCCACCTTACGTAACTTACCCGTTGCGTGCAAGGACCACCTATGGGTTGCTTTCACCTCCATCCTTGGCAAGGCTCCAGCTACGAAGTACAAACACGAAGCTCCTGGCAGCCTACTCCAGCTTCCCTTCACAAAAGACCAGCCAAAGCTTCAACCCACGATTAATCGAACACCATCGACCAACATATCACTCCGGTTTCTCAACGAACCAAAAACCCAGAAAATTCAAAAACCATAAACCCATACTCAAGAAGCAACTAATACTCGCCCAACCGCCAAGATGGTAAGCTTCGATCTCCCACCTCTCCAACTACCACCCTCACTTTCCAACCCAACAAGACAAGCTAACCGCTCCCTCAACAGTCAATGCGCATAGTCCCCCCCGCCTCCCACAGCAGCACCTTCAAAGCCGTCAACACCTCCGCGCCCTCCGCCCCAGGCGTCCACGACACGCTCCGCCACGGCGTCGGCCCAACCTCCTCCCTCACCACCTCCTCTTCCTCCTCCCTTCCAGAAGCCCCCATCTCTCGCCACCCCCTCGAATCGCGTCTCAAAGCCTGGGAATCCACACAGGAAGCGCTGCGCATGGAGTCTCTGCGCCGCACCTTCGGCATCGCGGAGCCGATCCGGCGGGGCATGGAGCTGAAGATCGCGCGGGACGGCGAGTGGCGACCGCTCGCCCTGGGCGGCGGCGCCGGCGTGAAGAGCGTGCACGAGGATATCCTGCGCGGCCGCGAGGCCATGATGGACTGGGAGGACGTGTTCACGGGCGAGGAGCAGCGGGGCGCTGTTGGTGTGCATGAGGAGATGGAGAGGAAGTTGAAGATTTGAAGGGGAATGATGGCGTGGTGGATGATTCGTCCGTATTTGCGTCGTGAAAGTCGTGGTGGTGGATGGTGATCGCTTGGTCAGGTGACTCTCAGTCATCCAGCACTATTAACTTCGATGGCTATGAATTAAGAGTTCACTTCATATATGTACGAGACAGACGTGCAGCAAGAATAGACAAGTCATAGGCATTAGACCCTAATGGCAGTGGCAGTGGCAATTAGCACCCAATACATATTTCATCCAGTGAGGGAAAAAATGGCAGCAATCATATATATGGACAGTGGCTACAATATACCACATTATTCGTTTATATGGTCGGTATGACCGGTATAGCGTAAATACTATAAACACAAAATAGTACGCCAGATATCGGCTGCTTCCTCCGATGCGGTATGGAAAAAGAAAAAGAGCAAACGAGAAGCAGTCGCTTTCCCTCCCGACCTTATTCCCACTTCGAGCTATTGGTGTACGCTCCGGGACACATTTGGAAAGAATTCTTACCTGACATGACTATAGCAATAGCTTCGTCCCAATCGCCTGCTTCAATTTCTGCTGCTAAAGGAAAAAATCAAGACCTATCACGCCGCCCTATGCCCAGAATCCGCAATCATTTCCACACATAGATGCCAATTGCCTGTCTTGCCTATATTTCCCCCCCAGTTAATCGGGCGGTTCTAGAACAGGATGTGATGCCGCCGCATCGAAAAATAGTTCGTTTCTTAACTAGCAGTAGATGCTCAGGAGGGTCAGATCATAAGATGACGCAGCATCCGCTACGACCACGATGACTCCCAGAGTCTTTGACCTTCTTAGCTGCTTCTTCCTCGTCTATCAGATCCTGAGGTTTGACAGTCATGTGAACGACGTTTCTTTGAAGGCTGAAATGGTAATCTACAGAAGCGCTAGGTCAGTATACCATACTTATGGATTATAAATCGCATAAAGAATAGAATTATCTACTCACGATTAAGTTGGTTGCGGTCTTCAAGCAATTTGCCGAAGTGGATCAGCCGTATGGCACTGGGTTCCCGTGGTGGGTGATCCCACTCCTTTCTCCAGTCCCTCAGTATCAGTTCCTTTAGCGTATAGACCGTGATGCTGAATGGATCCATATGGCCATCCTCCGTTTTGCCGGTCACAGTCACGTTGCGTTTCGATAAGTACTTTTCGTCAATACGAAAAGGATGGCGCGCACCGGAGGTTAGGAGAAGCATAATATCAACCGCCAAATCGCTATTGCCAGCCGGACTAGTTGCAGGCTCGACGGGATCTATCGTAAGTTCGTGGTCGTCGCCACTAGCAGGAGCCTTGCCGCGGGCTTTTGACATGACTGACTCCCCAGCCGGAGGGTCCTTATCCGGCACAGGTATCGGGGTAGGCGCGGCTTCGGTGTCTTGATCTTCGTTATTCGAAACGTCTACATTGGTCTCTGGGTTGGCAGGTTTGGGTTCGGTCTTGGATAAGTCTTCCATCTCGAGGTCGCCGACCGGCTGAGTTGCTGACACCGTCTCTTCCCTAGCTCCTTGATCTCCGCTGGCAGAAGGGGACTTCGCGTCCGGCATGATTGATTGCAACGAAACGAAGGGTGGTCGGTCGCGACACGTCGAGTCGTACGGATTGCTGACGGGTGCGCGCAATTAACAAGACGGGTACACTGGTCGGAAAATAAATGGTCGATTTTTCGTCGGTTCGAGAGATGCACCCGGATTCAAGAATTGCCGAAATATCGAACACGATTGTTTTGAATACGGAAGTACAATTGGAAAAGATTTGACTATGATTTGTCGCCTTCGTCGGTTCCTTCCATGGAAAGCACGCAAGATGAAACGAGTGCGGTGGCTTAAACGTTGTGTGAATGGCTTTAAGGGGATTGCCGAATTAATTCAAGGCTCTGGTAGTCATGTAGCGAAATGGGAAATGTTGAGAAACAATGATGACGAGTGACCAAAGCTTCAAGTTAATGCAGGAAATGCAGTGCAGCAGTTAGTCGCCGCTAGTGATACAATCGTAAAAGATGGTGATGATGTTATTATTCGGATTTGGCGGATTGGATTGGCAGGATTGACAGGATTTTAGACCAGTGGCAGTTGGGAGAAAAAAAGGAACAATTGAACAATGTCCAGATCCAACTGCTAACGAACAATAAAATCGAGTCTCAAGTTTCCAGTTCCAGTTTCCAATCTTACGGATAACGACAACACATGGCAACTACTCGATTATTCGCCTTTCGAGAAGCCAGAAGTCCTGGAAAGCACGAATGAAATGGACGATCGACTGGGTGCTGGGCTGTCGCCAGCTGGGTCCTGGGGTTGCTGGGTTGTTCTTCCAGTTTAGGTGGTTTTAGATGCCCCTTATTTCAGGTTGCTATTGCCTTTCCTAGCGCAATAGTCCTACACTGGTCCTTCCACTGACCCCTTAGCGGCCTATGCGGGAAACCTAGCCCCTAACCTTAGTAAAAATAGAGATACCCGTACCTAAGTACTTCGTATAATTGATCATCCCAAAACTTGCATCAACAGCATTTCAAGTTACAAACCTTGATGACACTTCCTAGTTTGCTAAAGGCAACACAAAATCACTACACATTACACAGTCCCTAATCACCTCGAATTGATGTTCCCTCTGTAAGTCATGCAAACTGACAAGGTGAAGATAATGCCAGCATCAAAGCTAGTTAGTTACCTAAACCCCGGATTGTGGTATTGGTAATAATATGGAGATAACCATTTCTCGGGTCTTACTACCTTACAGGGAAAGAGGCGAAATCCAGACACCTCTATCGACCGTAAATTCGCCTACTCCTCAAAAGTCGAGTTCCATTCAAGATAGGGTTGTATCCGTCCGAATCAATCGCAAACATAGTTGAATTAAGACGTGGTTCACTGCAGTTCACTGTGGTTTGCTAAATTGAATAGCCGGTCAAGAAAACACACATCGTCAGGATCATCACTATCGGAGACTTGCAGAGAGTTGCATCGAAGTATTTGAGTTTTACGTACGATCATTATCTCGAAATGGCCCTTCGAGCTGAAGATAGATTGGATCTCTCTCTCCTCTCGGCACGGTATCCGTATCCTCCCCCGCCTTGGCGCCACCACTGAAGTCTTCTCTTCCCCACACTCCACTCTCTCATCCCGCTCTATCGCTGGCCGGCTGGGGAGCATATGCACGTGTGATGGTGAACTGGTGGTGAGCTATCAACTTCCAGTTCGGATATCTCAGGTGAATGAGGCCGTTTCCATTAAAGTCTCTCTTCGGGCCGCGAGCTTTCCTGTAGATAATATTTTCTACTTTTTCCCGGGGGCCGTAGCGTGTGAAAGAGTTGGATTCAGTACCCTTCCTCAACGACGTCACTAAAACCCAATAAAGACTCTATCCCCTGCTCTGATTCCGATGCAAGCGCAAAGATCATCCGTCACAGGAACTTTCAAATGTTTTTCTTTCACTACCTACTTAGGTAGGTGATTGTTCGAGTATCCTAGCACCCGTCCTGCCGCCACCTTATTACACCGCTTTATTTGTTGGAGAGGCACTCACTTCCCCTAACCCAGACTAATGCTCACCGAAATAGAATCTTCTACGGTTATTTCTGTGCTCTAAAATCTTTCTAATGCGTGAAGACATCTCACTAAGTTCCACTTAAGAATCAAACTTGACGGGACTAAGACTTCTCTAGACTCCTTGGCCCTGTCTATCACATGTTTCAATATACAATTCCTAAGCTGAATACCCTATATGATATGGAACCGGAAGCTTTGGCCTTACTGTATGTAGCTGTGTCTCGACTCAAGTAGGCGGATCAAGAAGTTAATATTTTTCTTCACGCGTAAATTCATGACATATAATCAGGCCATTTGTCTATAACCCTTCGGGCGGCAAGCCCAGCATCCCCGCAAGCCGCTAGTTTTCTACCGAGGCCGATTTCGCACCACTCCCGTTCGTCCACCCGAAAGTAGCTCCGCAGTTCCCGGCCTTACTCATCACCATAACATCGAAACTCCTATATGGATATATGATGAAGCTGAAATGGTCAAATTAAAAAAAAAAAACTTACTTCAGCTTATCTGTCGAACAGTTTCTTATTTAGCTACAATTCTAAGAATATTTACGGACCTTTGTAATGTTCAGGATATGGACCTTCGTTATGTATAATTCGTTAGCCTAGATAATATCGGTAGGCCAAAAGTTTATTCCAAAACAGCGAGGAGGATTAGTGTCAGGTTTGAATCGAACCTATTCGGGAAAAAACGGTGCAGTTAAGAATCCCGTTTCATTGCACTAGCACTCACTTTTATTAGCCATATCCCAAGACAACTTACAAGAGCCGCTACAGCAAATCTCTGTTCCTGACGCGATGTACACACAATATATATAAAGCTTCGAGTTACTCGTGAAGTAGAGTTATTCTAACCATATTGTAGAAGCTTCTAGCGCGGAGCTGGTCACCTCTCTCAAGTTACCTCCCACAGAATTATCGATTAATAGTAGTCTATGGAGGCATGTAAAATAAGACTAGGCTCTTTTGATGCTTAGGTACTATTCCTTGCGAAGAAGCACTGAGGAAATACTGTTCTTGTATACTACTAATACGTGGCATCACATTAAATTTCTAAATAGATGTCCAAGAGGCGTACATACTCAGTGCTACGACGGTCCTTTACTAATTTATTAGATACTCTCACGACATTTGATATTATGCCTAACAAATAAGTCAAGAGTTGTAGTTAACTATCTGTAAACGACCTATATCATGCCTCTAAACCTCTGGCTGAATGATTTGTTTTAGTAAACTACTCACAGCTTATAGCAAAAGCTGATTTGTATCCGAATTCATACGAATCAGCTGAGGAATGAAAAAGGCGTGTCTCTGATAAAACCAGACATCACTGATCTGTACCTCTGATTATAGTAAACATAATCCATGAGAGTTTTATATCTATGATAATCCGACGAATTCTACCTAATATGTCAGATGTCTTGCTAGATAATAGAAATCATGATGTTACCCCCTGAGAAAAGGGGGCTTTCACCCCCGATAGATGTACTTTAAAGAACTTGTTATAGCTGAACCTTGAAAAAGTATTACGCTTTAAATTCGAAGAGATTAAAATGAAATCATACATAAACGACGGGTTGCGGTTACCTTGGTGATACATGTGTGCTTCCTCAAATAGGTACCTGTTGCCTCAGTGTCTAGTGTTAGCAACTTAAGTAGCTACGGTGGAATCACAGCGCAACTGCCGTCTATGATACATTGTCATTTCCCTGGGAGTTCCTAATGGAGTACTGATCTCGTTCTTTCCTAAACGTTTCATAAGTAATTCCAGAGGGTGGAAGGTTTTCTCATCTCCGTCACGAAAAAGATTAAATTTTAATTTCTGACTTGACACGTCGCACTCATTTACTCGTCCCGACAGCATCCTCCTTTTCTCTTCTTCTTTTCTTCGTCACTCGTTCCATTCATTTTCTTGCGATTACTTGAAGACCACATCTTCAAATACTCATACTGATCAGTGACGAGAAAATAATTCACCATGGGTATCTTGACAAGAATCTTCGTGGTCTGCCTTATGGCATCGTGCCACGGAATTGCCGATTGTGCTGTCGTCCAGGTCGTCAACAAGCAAGAACTTGGATCAGGTTCAACGATTGAGGCCACTCTCCCAGAGAACACCACGTCTGGATTGTTTCGTACAGTTTCTACAGTCACCAAGATTCGTCAGGGTCCACCTCTACAGCTTCGAGTCATCCAGAATTCTAGCATCGTCACTACACTTTCTGCTGAGTCATCCTCACTTCGTCCAACCCGCACCGGCGAGGATACCAGTAGTCCAGCTAGATCTTCGACTGGTACCTCGCGTGTCCATAGCCCTATCATGACCACAATTCCTGAGGATGACCTAGCGCCCTTGTATCTTGAGTGGCCGGGAGATGTGGACCCTGAAGATCTGATTCCATTATATCAGGATCTCGCCAACAGTGACAACGGCGGATTGATTCCACGCGATAACTACGATGACGGCTATGGCTTTGGATATGGCTCTAGCACAACTGGCCCTGTCAATGGCGGCTACGGTAACCCTTCTGGTCCAACTAACTTACCTTCTGGTGGCTATGGTAGCCACCCTACGCCAACCGTTGAGCCAACCGTTGAGCCAACCGTTGAGCCAACTGGCTTGCCAACTGGAGGTTATGGGAATCCGCCGCCTCCTGAGATCGTCGACCCAACATTTGTCACGATACCAGACCCACCACCGACTGTAACTGTTTCTCTAGAAATTTGGTCTTCGTCCTTTGACCCAAGCACCTCTACAGATGGTGCAACCGTCGTTGTCGTCGAGCCTGCTCCAAGCACAGAGTCACCGGTGCCGAATGTTACGGTGACTGTCGATCCACCCGAAGCGACCTTGCCCCTTCCTTTGCCAACTGTTGGTCCGTCCCTTGCAACAACGGTTGTTCCAGCCGAGACTGTACACAGCACCCCAGGTTACGTTTACACAACAGTTACTCCATCGTACACGGGACCGCACGCCGTTACCAGCACCTTCGTGATAGTGCATACACCAACAGCACATTCAACCCCGGTTCCTGTCGGTACAAGTGCCGGTCATCGTGCACAGCCGAACCTTCGTCTCTCATGGGCTGTCACGACCCTAGCAGTTGCGACTGTTGCTGTGTCCTATGTCGTCAACGGACCGAAGCTAACGAAAGCGGGGCGTGAGAAACAGTCTAAGCATTGTGACCACTGAATCTCGATACGATTCGAAGTATACTTCGGGTGAAGCTTAAAGACTTAGGGGCTCTTCTTATTAATCTGAGATGGCGACACACATGAGTAGGGAGGTGGTAATGCTTGATATTTGATTTCGGAAGGAAACTAGCTATTGGTGTCTAAGGAAGGAATGAAGAAAAAAGAGGAAAAAAAGCTATGATTCGAGATTTCTTGGAAGCTGAGAACCGCATAATTGTAAGGCGCTATTCCCGTCTTCTGTCTTGTCTTTCGCAGATTATAATGATTCGCTTGTCACTTATCACTCGCTAGAAGGATGCAAGATGGCCTTTTAATAATTCTCCAGTAAGATTATGCGAGATCTTTTTTATGATGTGCATATGCAATGCACTGCAACGAGATTACATGTTGATCCATCTAGCCCATCCAAGTGGCCCTGATAAACATGTCTCGGATGTCATTATCTGTGGTTCGATGCCAAGTGCAGACTTTAAAATAGTACCAAAGTAAAGGTCTGGAAGTTCAAGTACCCATCATGTGTTGATCGATGTACAATGGATAATATCATTAATTCTGTCCTATTCTTTCCTTCCCTTTTCCTAGGTATTCTATGCAGTCCGACAAATGCCATAATTATCGGCTTACTTACGTTACGTACACTGAGCAATCTTTCCACTTCCAACAGCTCGCCTCTTCGTTCTCTTCTCTGGGCATATTTAAACTGTGTCGTGTTATACCGTACTTCTCGCCTCTTCTACCGCTACACATAGAAGTTTATAACCAAATGAGCACTCCTTGTTAAATATGTAATATAAGCGAAAGCCCCTCTACAAAAGCAGCAAATCGCCATTACTCCCAACCCCCTGAGCCGGCTGAAAGACCTGCTGCGGCGCGTACTGATTCACAACATACGAGGCCTCTGTGCCGGCGCCGCCGAACGAGCTGTCGCCCGCTTCGTGGATGCCCATGGCGGCCATCTGCTGGCTGCCGATGCCCGCGAAGTACGCGTCCGCGTCGTTAACCGCGTTGGCCATACTGTTCTCCTGGTCATTACCACCGAAGGCGTTCTGCGGGTTGTTCGCGGCGTTGGGCACGGAGACGGGTTGCCCGCCCATGCCGAACGCGCTGAGGCTTTTTTGAGCGTCGAAGGCCGGGAGGTTCGTCGATGTGGGGAGCGCGTGTTTCTGGAGCGCGGGGGAGTCGGGCAGGCGTCGGGGCCGCGCGCTGCGGAACACGGTTTGTACGGGTTTGAGGTAGATGGTGGCCAGCGTGCCGACGTTGAGACACATCTCCTCGAGGGTCTGGGGATCGAGCTTCTCCGATTCGGCCGTGATAGGGGGCTTTTCGCCCATGACCATTTGCTTTGCTACGTTCATGTCCGTGCTGAGGAGCCGCCAGTACATGTACGCGCGGTCCCGGAGGTCTGGGTTGTCGGTTTCTTCGGTGGCCCACTTGAGCACTTTGGGGACAAGGTCCTGACCCTTGGTTGGTCGCTGGATAAATAATTTGACTGTGGCCGTGAGGAGCGCGAGTTGTACTTCCACCGGCTCCTCCGCGAACGAATATAGGAAGTCTTCGAGTAGAACGTCGCTGTTCTCAATTCGCGCCGCGTACTGTCCGATGACCCACACCATTGCCGCCTTAGCCTCCGGTTCATCAAGTGAGTCGAGATGTTCGCACAAGGTGCCGATTATCGATTCGTACTGGTTGGGATATTTCCGGAATATGTTACGAATGACCACAGTTGCCTCCTGAACGATATACGGAACCTTGGTCGCCACTAGTTCGAGGAGCAGATTTATGCATGACCTTGCCGCTGGCTCAATCTTAATGGCTAGCTTGCCGATGGCGCGCACTGCTTTTCGAACAAAATGTACGTCGACTTCCGTCGCATACTCTCTAAGTTCGGTTAGTACTTCGTCGATGTTCTTCTCGTTGGCGAGCATAAATATCAGTTCTAGCTTCGTAACCTTGACGTAGATCGGGTCGTTATATTTGCAAAAGAACACACGAATATCGTTGCGAAGAACATCGGGTCTCCTTTGGAGTATAAGCAGCGCGTTCCTAAGAGCGAGATATTGTACCTCCGGTCCTTTCGCAAGTAACGTCACTAGTGGCGGCGATAGCTTTCGACATAATGCTGAAACTTGCTTCTCATCCGCGATATAGTTCATCAGGTAAAGGATAACTCGAATGCAGGTCAACACCACAGCCGAGTTCGAGTGGGATAACCGTGGCGCGATACGTTCGGCTAGTAGAGTTGCTTCCCCTGATTCTTGAGGTACATAGGACATTAGGGCTTCGAGGATATACGTTTGTCCCCACCTATTTCCACGTTAGAAAGAGTATATATGGTGGCTAGATGTGATATTACGAACTCAGAACAGTCCGGCAAGATTGCTACCATCTTGGAGGCATTGCTATAGTCGATAGTGAGTTTAATAGAATCACTACGTTCCCATATATCCATCAAACCGGCCAATGCGCTCGCTACGACGGTAGGGTTATCGTCTCTGAGGAGCTGATTAAGCCTATCGATGAGGTCGGATTGTTCGACCATGTACTTATCATGATCGTACAGTTTCGCGACGCAGAAAGCGGCTGTTTTTCGTACGTAGGGATCGGCGTCTCGGAGTAGATGCTTGACAAGGGGAACCGTAGCCTCGACGAATTCTTTGACGTGAACGTAGGACATCGTTCGAAGAGCGAGGGCTCTGACTAACGGGTTCGTATCCTCCATATCCTACCAAGTATTAATAAGTTGTGACATACGATGCCGTGACTGTCGCAGTACGTACGTGTTGTAGGAATGGGATTGCTTTAATCGCAATCTCAGGGCGCATCCTCGCATAGTTGACTAGGAACAAGAAACACCTGTACAATTCTTGTTATAAGCAACTTCCTTAAACCGCGTGACTTGGAATGGAGGTGAGCATACATCTTCTTGATTTCCAAGCTCTGGATGTGCATGCAACCTATTATATCGGGAAACAGGGACACCATCTCGTTGTTGCTCATGGTCATGTTGGCGACGATCTTCTTCAATGCGATCTTCTTCTGGGTGAAGTTCTTATCCTTCTTTCCGCCGCTGTTCAACTCGAGTCGCAGCTCAGCGACTTTCCCCTGCAAAGTCATCGGTCGTAAGCCATAGTCCGGTGGTATATATGCTAAAAACATGGCCATGATGCGCGGCGGGAAAGATGGGTGGGATCATAGTGTGTTTTGATGATCTCGAAGGGACATTGGGTTGGAAGGGTCGCTCGAAACGTGTGCCTTTGTGAGATAATCGTCAAGACGGAAGCGCTTCGGCGAACTGTGATGGAGTGTATATAATCAAATTGGAAATGAAAGTGTTAAACGGGTTGGGATACAAGGGGAGAGATACGGCCGCTACAAGAAGATCAAATGTGATATGTATAAAGAAAGGAGAATGCGCTTACTCGAGCGAACAGCTTCGAGTCCCCTCCACCTTGGGAGCTCGACATGGTGGTGGTTTACTGTTGGCTTCTGTCTTTGTCGGAATTGCCTCTTTGGTGTCTCTCGATATGTCGGCTGGTTGGCTGAATAGGAGAGCTCGAGTTCGATAAAGCGCCTAGCAATAGCAACAACAGGGCGTTGGCAAGGAAGCAAATAGCTGTGGTTACCCCTCACGTAAAGATAGAGCTAGGGATTGCTAAGGATTCTGGAACTGAATTGGATTTTGACTAAAAGCGTACTGTATCCTTTCGAGACAGCTATGAATGCAACCATCCAATCGCAGGGATTCGCGGCGGAAGGTGAACAGGCGGTATTGGACGAGCGGTCGAACGCGATGCGCGCCGGATACTGATCCCGGCTTTTCGTAGAATGAGCGTGTGGTGAATTCACCGTCGACCCAGATGGAAATGTAGAATTCGGACAGACTCGTATGGCGACATTATCGAAGTCGAGAAGACATCGGGTTCGGGAGGAAGTTGTCGGCCCCTCCGTACAATTCCATCAAGACAAGAAATAATGTTCCTAGTTCGAAACCCCTGAAGGCGGAAAGTTGGAGCTTTCCGTTGCGACTTGCAGGGATCTGGCTTTCGGGCAATACGGGGCCATGTGGATACATATGTAGCAACAGGTTAGGCGGATTTTCATTAAACGAGGCTTTGTCAGCTATCCCGATATGACGGTTGTTGTGGATCAGCAATTGTACATTCGTCAACTTCGTCGTAACATCACCATCAAAAAGATAGAAGCTTGTACAACGACATACTACATGTGATATCTTTAACCGACAACGGACATATTGCTGCATAGACTCGGGTTAGCCAGTCGAGATGTCGTCAGACAACCTCTCTGTCCCTGAATGGGTCGCCAACCTACGACATCCGCCTAAGCCTGCGTCGACAACTGGCAGCATACCCGATCCACCCGGCTACCCATCGATGTTGACTAAGGTATAAGAATATTGCAAATTCTGATACAAGGTGGATGCTGACGATAAATGTATAGAAACAAGCGAAAGAAACCAAAGTCCAACCGCGAAAGCAGCCGACCCCCGAGGAGATGGACACATTGAAGCTAAAGAAGGCTTGGGAAGTGGCGCTCGCGCCGGTCAAGAACTTGCCCATGACAGCCATCATGATGTATATGTCAGGAAACTCGTTACAGATTTTCAGCATAATGATGGTTTTCATGGCCTTTAAGAACCCCATCATGGGCATCATCGCTACGAACCAAGCGTTCGAAAGGTTCGAGAGCGAGAGCAACAAGGCGAAGATAATACAGGCAAAGCTGGCATACGTCGCCATGCAGATGGTGGCTTTGGCCGTTGGAATATGGAAAGTTAATGCGATGGGTTTATTACCGTAAGTTTATATTCGGTTGTTTTGACTGAAATTGGAAAATGCTAATTAGATACAGGACTACCAGATCTGACTGGTTGGCCTGGGAAGCCCAACGAGAACCGCTAGAGCTCGCAGTCTCTGCGTTATAGAATTAGAACCATTAATCAATATATCCCTTATTAACCCTTATCTTCTATTCCCTGGCCCTGGTTTAACATGCTTTTTTTTTATCCCTCGCTTTACTCCTTTTCACCAGTCTTTTCTATACCTGATCCGGATGTTGCTGCCGTGTCGCTGACGGGCGCCGGTTGTTTTGGCAAGTGATCGTCAGAGGCGTTAGGTGGCTCGGTTTGCGTCTTGGGGACGACCGAGTTCATGTTTTGATATGGTCCGTCTGACATAGGTTGTGTGGACCAACGTTCTAGCGCGTCCGCTTTATCTGGCTTCGCTTTCCACAAGTGCACCTTTTTTAGAAAATCGTCGATGGCGTGTTCGCGGTCTGTCCATGGGCGCTGTAGGGGTATATGACTGGTGTCTTCTGAAGTCGGGTCCGCTGACGCCGGCTGTTGGCTTGTCGCCGGAATATTATCCGCTTGTGGGGTTGTCCTCCTTCCGTCTTGATTCTCAGGTGATTGCTTTTTCTCATCCTACTAATGTTATGAGTAGTTCATCCATTGGTAGCGAGGTAATGTGTTACCTTGTGTTCCATTATGTAATATCTCGTAACTGATCGTTCGTTAGATTGAAACTGTGAAACTTATATGATTCCGGAGGGACTGTACTACTTCTTGCGCACTCTAGTTGGTTGGAACCAAATGTATGAGCATCGCTTGCCCATAATAGCAAGGGTCGTACAGCTGATATTTGCTGTTTGGACTCGTACGGAAACGGGCGAGCTCGAAGGCTTTAAATAGCATTCTCAGTCTCCAATCAGGGTATACTCTTTTATATTGACTACGAAGGCTGCAAAGTAAGGCAACCCCGCTCCAAAGGTACACATAGAAATATTCAGCTGTTGATCTTCGTGCTTTGCCTAGCTCCAGCACGTCTTGCGCTTTCTGGAGGACAATATCAACTCGTCTTCGTCAAGGTGTGGTATAAACCCCCACGAAAGTCTTAGTCCCTGTGTCCTATTACATTATACATCTCTCAATATCAAATAAGATGTTGCCATTTTAGTCCTACCCGAAGGACTCGAAGGGGAACCTGACTAAACTTCTTCAGTCGGACAACCTTGATCGGAACTGTAGTATTGAATCCGCGGTGAAGAAGGGTGCACATCATCTATCTCAGAACAAATTGGCGGTCGTGTCATGAGTCCAAGCGACACGTCAAAAGCCATATTAAGACACCTTCAATCTCGACCAAGTGACCTATCAGATAATCGATCCAGACTGTCGGTAGCGCTAAGAGTTATTAGCTGGCAGAGTTACAATGAAGTGAATTTTAACATTTTAACCAAGATACGATTCTGGGGAGCAGCCCAATTGCCGTTGTCACGCATGGCGTGCAGTGTTATTGTACACAGGTAACCGGGTTTTGAAGTAGTGGTCAAATGGCGGTCAGCCATTGACGAATGATAGCGAAGATGGAAGGACGGATACTTCGGCGCATAAATTCTCGACAGCTTCTCTTTGTTTTGCACACCGTATTTAACTTAGTAGGGGGTGGCATACCACCTCGATGAGGGAGGGGTTGTGTGATAGGACTACTGACTCAATATCACGTACGAACTTTTCATTACTTAGAGTACCTGCTTAGGTACAGTCAAATTTCGCTAATTTCTATGTCAATGCTTCATTTGGACGTCTACGTGTCCTCGGGCATAAGGTTCTCTTGGCTCGAGATGTACAGGTAGCATTGACAGCTAGAATTCTTCTTGATATTAGTAATCTTGACACTTTGTAGTTTGTAGATTGCCTATAGCTTGCACCGGCTTCATCTGGCATTAGCCCGTTACATTACATTCTTGTCAGGCCACAATACTGACGCGAACTTCTACTTCCGGAAGGAAACGAAGTTCTGCAACAGATTCTCACCGCTTATGATGGCTTGCAGCTGCAGTAGCTTAATAGAGTCTAAGCCATTAGGATCTCGCTCTCGGGTTGGGCAAATTTGAGACATACATTCCTCACGTCACTGGATACGTTATAGAATCAGGAATGCGGCTCTGCCTGGGTAGCAGGGCTAATCGATTGCCTCCATTGTCTTTACTCGAGAGCATGATGACATTATCATATCCCAGGGCGTCTTCAGCTCACTGCGATCTTCGATAGAACAGTCCAGCCCGTGAAGGGTGTCCGATGTACATATTACCGGTTGCTACTCGAACAAACCGGATGGCATCCCTCGGCGATAGAGCGGAATCCTACAGATTAGTGCTAATAACTTATCCGACCGCTATTTTGTAGCTATGACTCTTACCGACCTTGATATACTAGCACTGAAAGCGCAATGGATTCGAGGTGGCTTCTCCGGTCGTCGAGGCACGTCTGGTTATAGCCAGGAACATGCCCGAAACGACGATAGAACAACGAATTGTGGCTGTTATCTTGCTTCGATCGCTGCAATAGTGAATCACCGATCCTGCAGCTCGCCGTTTTGATATACGACACCCGAGGGTTTCAACGCTTGTAGACCCATCTCAGCTGACCATGCGCATGCTCATCGCTAGCGGCGGATCCTAGTATTTGACGTTTGGAAGAGTCTTGTTGCTAGGTTCTAGAGCGTGCGTGTACTGCTATGTTCGACCTTAGCTATATCGAGGATAGCCTTTTGTGGCTGGGGCGTCCGCCGTCTTCACCACAAGGTGCGATGTACTTCGCAGACTATTGCCTATTGAATCGAGAATCCTCAAAACTTGATAACATCCCGTGTCTGGGCAATCTAAATACATCGTATACGAAAGTGCCTCATAATCCATGAAATGAGTGGTCACCTCGGACAAGCTTACGGCGGTCCGACGTACATAACAACCGTGATCAAAGCGGCTGCGGCCGCATTGCGGCTAGATTTCATTTAGATATCATACGAAGTTATCGGATTATAGTTTGGGATTCTGGACCTATCTCCCGCTCTAATCAAGTGCGTCGGAGAAATATGCTCACACCGGCGACTGGTTTGAGTATGAGTATCCAAGCGCCACTGTTTCGGGGATTCCCAAAGCTGGGGGCGAAGATTGTTGTCTGTCAAGCTCCGTTTAAAATATCCGAAGGGACACCACCATCAGCGAGAAAGCCAATTGACTCAATGGACTTAATCGGGAATAATTCACCTCGACTTGGTGGCAATTCGAGATATTGAATGCACCTTTGTGGTGAAGTTGATGCGTGATCGTAATTCTTTCTTTCACATGTACGAAGTCGCATAGAGCAGTGTTTCAATTAAGGGTGCCATGATGTAATAGCACAACCTTAATAAATGGGGTTTGCTCCGCACAAGCTCCACGCCAGCGCCGTTGCGACAGTCCTTTATCAGCTTATCATTCTATCGATAAACGTTTTAAGGGTAAGACAACGCCGCGGGTCTGGGGCTATTTCGAGTCTAGGTAATAATTGGGGTTTCGACTTAGCAGTTAACTGCTGTCAACGGCTTCCTTTTTCGCTAGGTTAGTAGTAATTTGGGTCCGTTAACCTCTGAGTCCTCCTATCTCTCCTATTCCCTTTGAAAGAGCTCTCCTATGGTACGAGAATATGCTTCATTGTAGTGCGTCTACCGGTTCCGATGTCCGACGCGATTGATCAGGACGGTGTTAAGGCTAGCAATGGCCAACCTTCTCAACCGCCGAGCCAACCTCCTCACGATGCCAGCCACGAAACAATTGAAAATGGATCCCAGGAGGCGAAGTCATTAGAGCCCGCCTTTCCTTTGCTACAGAATAATGCTAGTAGCGAAACACTGCTGCAAACTGTGCAGGCGCAGAAACGGACTACGGTCGAGGACGACAATGAAGAGGAACCAGCTGTCGCCAAACCTTTCGTCCGGACAAACAGTCCCGGCTTATCTTCCAGAGTAGCTACCCCGCCCGAGGAAGAGAGAGCGCCCATCCGGTCTGCCTACAAGATGCACAAGTTCACGTTGTACGAGACGGCAAGTCGGTATTACATTGTAGGGGGAGACGTCACGGAAAAGCGCTATCGCATCTTAAAAATTGATCGTAATACTCACGATTCTGATTTGAGTATAACCGACGATAAGACTATATATACCCAGAAGGAGATGAATTCACTGCTTAACACTATAGATGATGGAAATAAAGGTACTGGCGGTATCAAGCAAAGATGTACGACATGGGGCATCCTAGGCTTCATCAAATTCACGGGGCCTTATTATATGCTGTTGATTACCAAGAAGAGCACGGTTGCGATGATTGGAGGTCACTACGTGTACCAGATCGACGGCACTGAACTCATCCCTTTAACTCCAGCAAAATACAAGACTGATGCTCGTCATCCCGAGGAGCAGCGCTTCTTGAACATCCTCACAAATCTCGATCTTACGAGGTCATTCTACTATAGTTACTCCTACGACATTACTAGGACATTGCAGCATAACATTACCAGGGAGAGAACCGCTTTGCTGCATGGGATGCCAGGTACAACATACGACGATTATAACTCTATGTTCATCTGGAATAGTCATCTTCTACGACCCGCCGAAGAGGCTATTCACGACCCCTTTGATTGGTGTCGCCCAATTATACATGGCTACATCGACCAAGCTGCAATATCTATATATGGTAGAACAGCGCATATAACCATAATTGCGCGACGATCACGATACTTCGCAGGTGCAAGATTCTTGAAGCGCGGCGCCAATGATTTGGGTTACGTCGCCAACGATGTTGAAACGGAGCAAATAGTTGCTGAGGCCTTAACGACTTCGTTTCACTCGCCCGGTCCTAAGCTGTTTGCGAATCCTCAGTATACTTCCTACGTCCAACATCGAGGAAGTATTCCTCTTCATTGGACGCAGGATAATATGGGTGTCACCCCAAAGCCACCAATCGAGTTAAACCTCATCGATCCGTTCTACACATCAGCAGCACTTCATTTTGATAACTTGTTTGAACGATATGGATCTCCTGTGTATGCGCTCAACCTCATCAAAGCGAGAGAGCGGACACCAAGGGAATCGAAGTTGCTAGGTGAATATACAAATGCCATTAACTACTTAAACCAGTTCTTACCTGAGGGTCATAAAATCATTCATAAAGCTTGGGATATGAGTCGTGCTGCGAAGAGCAAGGATCAGGATGTCATCGGTACGCTTGAAAACATCGCCGAGACCGTTGTCACTACAACCGGCATTTTCCATAATGGTGATGGAGAGATCACCCCAACCAGAGTGCAGAACGGTGTCGCAAGGACAAATTGTATCGATTGCTTGGACCGTACGAACGCAGCCCAGTTTGTTATTGGGAAGCGAGCGCTTGGACACCAACTTCATGCTCTAGGCATCCTTGAAAATACAATCATCGACTACGATACGGATGCTGTGAACCTCTTCACTCATATGTACCATGATCACGGTGACACGATCGCGGTTCAATATGGTGGGTCTCAGCTGGTGAATACTATGGAAACGTATCGCAAGATCAATCAGTGGACAAGCCATTCTCGAGATATGATCGAGAGCTTTAAACGGTATTATAACAATTCGTTCATGGACAGTCAACGACAAGAAGCCTACAACCTCTTCCTCGGCAATTATATCTTTGCTCAGGGACAGCCTATGCTGTGGGACCTTGCCACGGATTATTACCTCCATCACGCGGATCCACGGATGTGGTCGCAAAAAGAGAAGCATGACTATATTCATTGGTATACGCCGGCTCATCTTGAGAAGCGGACGATACCCGATTTCGTACCACCGAAAGGAGAGATGGGCAAGAAGCCAGTTTCATTTTTCGATGACTACTGGCTCGAATATTATCGACCATCAACACTGTCTTCATTTCCGAAGATGTTCCCGTACAAGATGAACTCAACTATCAAGTACATTCCCTTTAAATCAACGCAGGAAGGAAAATATGACTTGAGTCCATTCCGCATTCGCACCGAAGGCGACGGAGAGACGCACGAGAAGAAGAAATCCGCGGCAAAGAAGGAAGTGACTATTGTTGACCCGTCCGAATCTCACAGATCGACGGCAGACGATGACTCCGAATCCGTTATGACGGAGAAGGCTAGTGTCAGAGGTATATCGATTCAACGCTGGCTCCAGCCCATGCAACCAGAAAAGGGGCCCACAATCCCTCACAGCATCATGAAAGATTCAGCGGAGAATCGCGATAGGCCAAAGCAGACACAGCAGGAGAAAACCAAGGCCGCGCAATGGACCTTCGCGAACATCGTCCAGGAATCGCTCAACCCAACCGTCAGTGCGCTGGAAACGGAGGATTACACACGGTACATCAGCCACCCGCAGAGTCTGCCTTTGGTCATCTCGAACGACGCGCCGCCTGATGTTGACTCCTCCGAATACCAGGAGTACCTCAACGGGAGCTGGCACACGGAAGGCCTGGCCCCGAGCGGCGCCGAGGAAGACATCGACGTATACAACGATTTGCTGAGGGTCGGAGACAACCCGCTGACGGTGACGGACGAGGACTTGCCTAAGAAGAGATACAAGGCTTATAGGAAGTGGCTCAGGGGTAAATCGCTCTTCAAGCAGCAGCCGCTCGATTAGGGATCGTCGGCTCAGAATACGCCGATGAGCGATACCTTTGATTTGGGGTCCTTCGACTTGGGATCTCCTTGATAGCTTGGGGGGCCCCTTATGCTGGATTTTCATCTCTGAAAAGTTTGCTTAGTTGCGGCTCCTTCTCTATCAGCACACCTACGCGATCTTGAAGGTCAACGTTAGATGCTTTCGTTATCGCCGATAGCATGTCGGCGGTCTTGGTCAATCCGGCTTTCAGGTCGTTCGCAACCGGGTTAGTGTCTGGGAAGGAATCCTCATCCTCGATGTTAAGCCAGCAGAGCATGAGGATCTTGATGATCTCGTTGCAGTAGTGCGGGATCCGCGGCCAGCAATTACGTAAGATGGCCTGGAGGAGTTGAGTGGCTGAGGCGAGGGTTGGCGGGTGCTTGGTCCCGAAGGGATCGGTCATGATTTCGGAGACCATGGGGATGAAGTCCTGTTTTAAGTATGGTTAATCGGCATTTTAATGAGAAACGGGAGTTCCAGTGTATCTTTAGGGTTTGCTTTTCAAGTATAGGTAATGGGAAAGAGGTGGGATGGGGGGACGGTACCTTGAGGTGTTTCACAGCTAGTATACCCATCCCGTTTATAATACACACGAGTACTTCGCAGAACAAGCCGACGAGCCGCACGTGCTCTTTCGCGTGGTGGTATCCCACCATAACACCCTCCCGGACCATCTTATCCAGAAGTTTGCGCTGCGCTTCCGTGATTTGCTGCTTCGGCTCCTGTTTCCCGTTTGCGTTTACCCCCGGCCCCTGTCCTGAACCCGGGCTGGGATTGACATACTTGAGCCCGGCCATCTCGATCAGCGCGGGATATGCCGCGCCGAGGATCTCCAGGGACTCGTCCTCGGGTGTGAGGGTGGGGAGGAACAGGACCGCGGGGAACACGGCGTCTTCGAAGACTGAGGCGAGGCCGGTGGCTTGCATTAGGTTTGGAGGGCAACGCGACCAGAAGGAGCGGAATGTGTGGAGGGCGCGGACCTTGAGGCCGGCGTGCGAGGACTCGTCTAGGAGGGTTAGGAGAGCGGGGGTGAATGATGGCCAGTAGGTTTGTAGGAGGGAGGGCTGGATGGGTGGTTAGTCATGGTGTATATCATACGATATGTAATAATTGTATATGGGAATTATCTTCAGATAGCTAAATAGGGACATAGGTAACTTACATCCGAATGCTGCACCGCCCAAGAGAAGACGGTGATGGCATACCGGTGAGCGTACTTCCACGGCTTCGTCTCGGGGGTCTCCCGGTCCAAGGTGTCGTAGCGCGACGGCTCGACGTACTCAGCCTTCCGCCCGGATGCCGTTACCGCCGCGGACCGGGACTTGGAGAATATCGGTCGTATAAAAGTGGTGAGGATATCCTCAACAATTAAGGTCTTTGTCTGAGACTCGTCCAGGATCTGTAGTTGAGTCTCTAGAAGCCCGGAGGCTAGCGCGGATGATTCCGCGGAGGTCCAGGGGTCCGCGACATCTGTGAATGCGGTCAAGCGGAGTAGTACTGAGGATCTGAGCTGAAAAGGCGGTTTGATGGGTGCATTGGTGAGTTGTTCTATAGCTTGTAGACCTAGCTCGCCCTTGCGCCGGAGTTGCGCGTAGTCTGTTGTGTCTATGTAGTGTTGGTGAGTGGTCACGTTATTCCGTATCAAACGAGAAGATCCATACCTTCGTCTAGTGAGGCGCCAGAACAAATAGGAAGGATGATAGAGCTGATGTGGTCGGCAACGCCATGGAGCGCATCATTCAAATCATCTCCATCGCTATCAACATCGATTTTGGCGTTCTTGCCGATCTTTGTGATGGTGGCGTATGCGACCCAAAGCACTGGGATATGATTCTGCATATGTTCGCTTAGTTCGCGACTACAGGTAGAAATGGCATTGTCAACCACGAGCACTATTCGCATACCACTTCATTTATATCGTTTGACAGAAATCCATTCAATTCTTGAATTGTCGTCCCATCAGGAATAACTAATATGAAAATTAGCTAAGTAATTTAGCTATGATATGAGTTGTGGGTGGTGAACCTCACGCTTTAAGATGTCTTCAGGAATTTCCCATGACGGCGTCTTGGCTTGCTCTAGCCGTTTGCAGGCTTCGAGAAGTTGGTCAAACATGTCTCTCCTTTCAATTGCAATTGTAAATCATAGAAGGCATGGGGATAGAGTTGATTGATGGATGTCTTGGACCCTATTAGTTAGTCCTAGGTTAGGCCTTGAAGGTTTAAATGCTTAGACGCCAGGCCGTCACCAGGTGATAGAAAGCCAAGGCGCTAGATTACATAAGGCGGACTTTGCTCAACCTAGGAATGCTGACTCAGCTGCTTTGATTTGGTCTCTGAAATGTTGAGCATTCAACTTTTCCCTAATAACAAGAGTTTTTATTCAAATCAGAACTCAGGATTCTCTACCATGTCGGAATGTCAATATTTGAAGATCTACACTCTAATCTATCCCAATCCTTAAACAGACCCCATATTTCGTGATCCTCTTTTCTCAATTATGTGCAAGCTTGCGGCGCATCACGGTATGGATATGTCTCGGCGTTCACGCAAGGGATTCAACTTGCAAGAGACCGATCCCTTTCAAATCTTTGGCTATTTCTTATCAAACGCCGTAACTTCCGGCTTTTATTGTTAAATGTTGATTACTAGCTATACTTGAAGCTGGACTTTGAGGTTCCTTCAATTCAGAATTTTATCAATGATATTAAGGTCGCGCAGCTTTAAGTCGCCTTGAATATAAAAATGGCTCGAACCATCTCGTGGCTCCTCGGCCTGGGTGCCTTGATATTCGGCCTCCTTGCTGTATTCGTCGAACCATTCCGTGAACTCTTACTTCAGAATGCCGATTATTATGAGATCAAGCTTCCTTTCTCAGACAGGGTTGACAGGGTTGACCCACCCGTCGTTTTTGACTTTGCCCGAGAACTCGCATATATGGGTAGTCGTTCAGATGGCGTGGAACACTTTCAGGATATCTTCTACGCAGAAGATACATCGGGAGAGAATCGGTTTGCACCGCCTATTCCCATCAAGCATAGGAAGGGAACTGTCATTGATGCTACTCAACCTGGAGCTTGGTGTCCTCAAGGGACCGGCGACGTACTACCGTTTACTAGCCGAGTTGTGAATATCAGTGAAAACTGCCTGAGTTTGAGGATTGCTCGACCTCAATTTACGGCGCGGGATGCCAAGTTACCGGTAATGGTATGGTTACACGGAGGTACGATGTCCCTTTTCTATATAGTATAATCTCAATCCAAAAGCCTGTGACTAGGAACTTGGACCTGGGATATCACTAACTAATATTACCGAACGTAGGTGGTCATGCTCTAGGATCTGCTTCAGATATCTTGTACCAACCCGATGGACTAGTGAAACAAGCTGCTACAGATGGCCAGCCACTGATTTTCGTTGGAATCAATTACCGCCTGGGCTGTATGTTGCTAAACCCCCTCCCCCCTTGTCACGGTCGAAGAATATTACAACTGACTTTCGTAGTCTTCGGCTTCGCGACGAGCAAGGCACTTATTGATGCGAAGCATACGAACGCTGGCCTACGTGACCAACGTGCTGCTCTTGAGTGTATGTGATAGATGTAGTGGGCCTTTATTAGTTGGTCTTACTGACAGGTCTTGACTTAAAGGGGTACGTGACAACATCGAGAACTTCGGTGGCGACCCGCAGCATGGTACGTACCCCTTTTTAATGAAATTTCTCGTAACCCTAGTTTACTGACTCCTAAACCTTCCAAAGTGACTGCGATTGGGCAGAGTGTCGGAGCTAGCGATATTAGCTTGCAGTTGACTGCGTTCGAAGGAAAGCAGGATGTCCCATTTCAGCAGGCCATGTAAGTGATTTCCCCTTTCCAAAAAAAAAAAAAAAAAAAAAAAAAAAGCCTACTCACATTGACTTGTACGGTCGTTAGCATGATGTCCGGCGCCGCAGGGCTCAATTTTAATACCAAGTCAGACCTAGTAGCGAATAACAGCGCCGCAGTAGCCCAGGGGGTAGGGTGTGTCAAGAACGATGATAGCCAATCTGCGGAGACACTTCAGTGTCTACGAGAAGCCCCTTTTGAGCTTCTAAACAACCTCTCTGTCACAGCGTCCCGTGCTGCACGCCCACCATTCGGAGAGGCTTTTTTCTATCCTACGTACGATGGAGACTTCATCACCGATCGACCCACTGAGCTGATGCGCGCCGGAAAGTTCTCCAAGGGCGTACCGATCGTCGCCTCCTGGGTAGCCAACGAAGGGGCATGGTACATCCCCCCAACCACTTCGACGGATGAAGAGGTACTGGCCAGTTTTGGACTCTGGCTAACCGGTCACTCCGAGTCCACGAAAGCCAAGTTACTAGAACTGTACCCGCTCGCAGATTTCGAAGGCATGGTACGGCCGGATTACGACGGGCCCATATCAGCCCAGTACTACCGCGCCGCGCAGCTCAGCAAGGATATCTGGTTCACATGCCCCGTCCTCGATTTCGCGTGGCAGTACGTCAGGAACGGCGGCGTCGAGCCGGAGAAGATGCGCTTGTATAACTTCAACGCGACGCGGTACACCCCGGTCTTCGAGAACATGGGGGTTCCCTTTTGGCGCGTTGCGCACTTGAGCGATATCCCTTACGTGCTGAATCACCAAGGCCTGGAAGGAGGGGCGGATAATTCGGCCCCGCAACTAGAATTGTCGAAGATGATGAGCCGGACCATTGCGAAGTTCGTAACCTCCGGGATCCCTAGCGTGGGCGATAGTAGTGCCGAGGCGTGGCCGCCGGCTTTTGATGGGGTTACGAGGGATGAGTTGAAGGAGGAATTCCCAACCAAGATTTTGCTGAAATTGTTTGGTGGACCGTATGGGAACACGCCCGTTTCAGTTAGCAGAGATGGGAACGAGGCTACTACGACGGAAGCAGAGAGGGCTCTGAGGTGGGAGAGGATGCTTGAGAGGTGTGAATTCATAAACAGTGAGAAAGTAAGAGAAGAGTCTGGAGTATAGAATGGTTAGGTAGCGATGAGGTTTGGGTAGGGGTTAAAAGGATAATGGTGTCTTAGGCAAGCAGTGGTTCCTAAGAATTTAGCGTAATGGCCTAGGTGCCTGTTTTCGCGAACAAGAGTCATTGTCATGTTCCAAGGATTGACAATATTGATTTCAATACTTTAGGTTGACTTGGCGTGTTTACACTTATTTAATGATAGTTTACTACCCCTATAAGCTCAATCTGGCGGTAGGTCACAAAAGGATTTTCTAATCTTGCTTCGTCGTGGAAAATAACCGACCGGATCATTTTCATGGACATATTAAGCATGTTAGCTTATCGTCGTTGAAGTTATGTATATACCTAGGTAGACATGGATGGCGGTAGCAGCACCAATTGTTCAACATCTCGCAAGCGCAACACCCGGTCCGTACATTGGTCATCATCTCCCTTTTCGCATATTATTCTCCCAGCACTCAATAGTAGCATGTACCACCTTCCCAAAATCTAGTAGTGGAACAAACCCTATGAAGAAAACCTTCACGTTGTGCTCGATCGTGATAAGCTTGGCATAGTTAACTCTGCTTTCTTTGGGCAGTGGTTCGTCGTTTTTATAGCCGTCCACCTTGATTGGGGGAAACCCTAGCTCGGGCTCGCCTTTTAGTTTCCTAGTAGGTTCTCTCTCTATTGAGTTGCCTGATACACTGTATACTATTCCGTGGGTCTTTGGGTTCACGCCCGGCTTAGTACAGCCTCGTCTTTCATAAGTGAGGATCGGACTAGAATAGGTTAACTAGGGACCTATGTAGAGTAGTAGATTCACTATTAGGGAATTTCTTACATGCAGGTGGAGTAGCCTTCCTCTTCAGTGGCGACGATTATGAATCGCCGGAAACCAATGTAGAACTTGCTACTGCTTCTACCTTCAACAGCCAGCGTTTTGGTTTCTACTTGTTCCGACCATAGGATTTTAAAGACCTGTATCTATTAGTACGACTAACATAATGGACAAGATTTACTTACCCGCCCAGGTTGGAAATCGGTATGCTTATGAACTTGATACCCTACAACGCCAGCAGGTTAGTCATAGTCATCTTATGTTACTATTCGGTAAGAGTTAGACGAGCTTACGAGCGTCCAGAATCGACCTTGGGTCTATAACAACTTACCCAGAAGGATATGCGTAAGACTTTACAGATGCGGTTTCCATGGGATCTGGTCAGCTATTAGACCTGACTTATTACACATTGGGGTAGAAAGGGGTTCTTTCATACCATCTATGGCGGCATGCTTAGATTTAATCGTAGGATATTCGACTTCCGATTCAGTACACTCTTGAAGTTCATGTGCGGCGATAGGCGACCCATAATCAGAGGGTGCTGATGGTTCAGATTCCGAATCAGAATCTTCTGGAAGATATTCAAGTCGATGGTCAAATGGCACCACTTTACCCCCGGTTGCGGTTGCTGTTATTAGTGATTCCTCGCTCTCTATTAATTCAACCAACGAATTGTTCGACGGCGTTATTGGGAAAGCTTTTTCTCTTATACCGGCCTAATATGTGATGTTGTAGTTAATATCCAATATCCATCAAAGAGTATTCAACAACAATACAGACAGGCCTGATAGGTAAGAATATACTCACCTTTGTTGATCGTTCATTAGCATAGGGTACCGCAGTTCGTTGAACCTCAGATTCTGGTTTATCTTCTGCACTTCTTGAACCGATAGTCAGAGCTGACGTAATATCTAGTTTAGAGTGCCTATCCTGTGGGTCCTGTTCATGGTCAAATTGCGATACCATGAGACCTAAAAATCCACTTATATGCGATCGAAGGGCACCGTTATCCTGATTCACCTCAACACCTAGTAACTCTCTTGGAGAAAGCTCCGTTTGTGATTTTCTCTTTTTTATCTTGACCTCGTGAGGTGGCTCGTGCCCAGTGTCTAAAGAGCTTTTCTCGAGAACAGTCTCTATAGAAATATTATCGGGGGTAGAATCTAACGTCGAGCAAGCTGTTGCCGGGTTTCTGTGAGTGACCCTCTACTATTTTGGATCATTTTTCACTCACCACTTGTTGACCCCCTTCCATCTGTGCTTGGATTGCTCGAGAAGATACTGCGATTAGCAGATTTCTTGGAGGATGACTGATTTGTGGTTTCTGAAATTGATGCAGAATCTGCCATGGACTCCTCATTGTAACATTCCCAAGCCGAATCAAAAAAGAAAAAAAAAATAGATTCTAAAACTTTATTATTTAAATTGCCTCCTTTCACGGCTGCGCCAAGGAGTAATCCTCCTGAAAGGATGTTTCACGAGTATTAGATTTTCTAACTGCACCGCATGATATGTATTCAACAAATCTTTCTACTAACTCTATATCTTTAATATGTTGACTTAGACTAAAAATTAAACTTATCGCTGTATACGGCCAAGCGGCCCGGTCAAACGATTTGCAACATCAAGCCAAGGCGGACCGAACTTGATGAGATGCTTTGCACTTATATACTGAAAGAGAAAATCCTGCTTAGTTTAGATACCAAGCTCCCAGCAATCTAGATATAGATCTTACCTCGTATTGTAAAACATCATCTCTAGAGATCTGTCTGTCTTCGGTAGGCGCTTGGAGTTCAATTAAGTCCTCTAAGATGTGACCAAGAAGTAATTTTAGCTGTAATCCATTTTTATACTCATTCTTCTCAAGGTCCACAGGTATATAATGTACTATCTAGCTACCTATACCTACATCTAGTAAATTAACCTTCTAATCTACATCAAAGATACTCATAACCGGCGTCTACTTCTACACAACGAATGAAGTAAAATCTTTATAGCCTATGTATTTCCTAACGTCGAAGATGTTGATTAGTGGTTACATCAAGATTTTTAGGGGAGTAGCGCATACCATGGGCACTCGTCAACCTCGCAGTGCGTCGGAATAGAAAAATCTGAGATTCCCGTGAAGCCAGACATGATATATGTTTGGTTAGGTTTCTGTGGTGGTTGACTGCCCAAGGATACTCCATGCCGAAATATAGTTCTAAAGGAGACATTTTATTGGACAGACAAATAACAAATACTTTATTTTGAGTGGAAATATTGGTTTCGTAGCCTCATCAGTCGGGCCAATTTCGGAGTGCTTACATGCAGTCTAACCTAGAAGCAGGCTGAGACGCCAAAAGTCCTACTTCCTTGATGTCACACGGCGATAGGTGGGTGCCACGCCGCCAACATACTTAGAATACGAGATTGTTAGGTTGGAATGAACTATCTATTAGATATCAGAAAAGGTCACCAGGTTACTACACATATGCATGTTCAACCAACAAGATGTTATAGGTGCTTAGAGCGCCGAAGATCGGATCTTAGGACAGTACAGATTGAACCTAAATAGCCAGGAAGATCCCCTTCGAAGAAGAAGGAGAAATCAAGGACCTAAGACCCCTTAGAGAATTAATATATTGAATTGAACCACTGTTCCAAGCTATTCACCTTGTCACACTTGATACCCCACCTATATCGCCCGGAAAGCCTGGCGTGTTATACTTGGAAGAAGAACAGTATACTCCTCTATATGTGAGCGAATATAAGCAGTAATGAGAATTTACAAAATGATATTAACCAATCAAAGCAGTATCAAACGTTGCGATGTCAAACTCGGTAGACCACAAGACTGAAAACAAAACCGAGCCGCATGATGAGGCATACTCAACCAACAACGAACCAAAAATGGGCGAAAATGCGTTAGACGATATTGACCACGAGGCTGCCTATGTGGAGCAATACGATGATAAGGAAGAAGAGCATTGGGCTGATTCATATGGAGATGACGTTGAAGAACCACTAAGCCGTGGCGGGATACACATCGGTACGGTTAAAACTGGCGGTGTTACACCGAAGCCACCCCCAAAGAATAACCCTTAAGGGGAGAATGGCTTGTGTGACAAGGGGCAAATGCTTGGAACAAGAGTTCAATTCAATATAATAATTCTCTAAGGGGTCTTAGGCCCTTGATCTCTCCACCTACTTCGAAGAGGATCATTCTGACTATTTGAGTTCAATCTGCTTGTGCCTAGATTCGATCTTCGGCGCTCTAAGCGCCCGTAAATATTCTGTTGGTTGATCGTGCATATGTATAATAACCTGATGACCATTCCTGATATCCAATAGATAAATTGTCACAGCCTAACAGTCTCGTATTCTAAGTGTGTTGGAGGCGTGGCACCTATCGCCATGTGACAGCTTGTCATCAGTCTTGAGATTACGCCTGCCATAAGAAACATTAACCATATAATCCCCAATACTTCTATATACTGAACCAGAGCATAGTATTTTATTTGTTTTATGTATCTTACGTCATCCTTAAGAACTGGCAAATATAAGTTTGACTATAATATTTTAAGAAAGACATTTACAACGGGACAGACACACACATTTTTTACACATACACACGATAGTCAGACACGAAATTATATACGATCATTACATTCTTTTATATTATGACTTGATCAGAACCTTTATGTGACTTAGAGAAGCGTAGGTAAGGATCTATTAGGTCTGTTCCAGCTATCTCTATAAACAAAGCTACATACGCCCTGGTTCAATAAGTTATAATATAATTTCGTTGTCGACATAAACCAATAATTGAATAATTGTAACCATCTAGGGAATTATTCCATCTTTCATATGAAGTCAACAAACATTCTTCTTAGGAATAAAAATCAAGTATCTCGTAACTAATTACACACTGTGCGTTATACATGATGGCTCTAAAGGCCTTAGTTTATGCACCCATATTTAGGTCACAAGAACTTATAGGCGCATCCTCAACCGAAGTTGCATGTTCCCTATAGTATTGAACCATATCAAATTCTTTCGTCCCTATGAGAGGAGTACTCTCATCTTCCTGGAGAAACTTCTTCAAACCTTCATATTCTGGAGAGTTGATCTTGATATTGTATGTTTTACTTGCTTTGTTATCTTCGAAGAAAACAGTGTCCAGTTGGACAACGTCCCAGTTGTCGTGGACATGCTTACGCATGTATTCCAAGCGTTCGGCATCAGTTGAGAGCTTCTCGTATGTTCTACCATCGTCAGAGTCGATCACGATGATATAAACCTTGAGTTCGCTATTCGGGCTCTTTTCCCTATCATCAATGCTGTAATGTGGCTGCTCGCGTGGTTCCATGGTTCAATGCTTGACAGCCGGATTGCGAAGACTACCTATCTACGTAGTCTTGGTCTCGAAATAGGCCGGTGGATAAATTTAGGTGTCGTGATACGAAGAGTTATGTCGATAAGAAACGTCCACGTTTTTTTATATTGAAATTAAAAAAAAGGTTACTCGGTGCCTCAGGAGCTTTAATACATATAATGTACTGTATGCGGCCAGCTTTTTTCATTTATTCTAGTCTATATCATTTCATTACCATACATCACTATAAGAATCAATCAGCTAAGTCACTCACTAAGACTAGACGTTCGTGATGGTTAGAATAAGATTTTGCGGAGAATAAGTGCAGCAGAAGCACCAGGTAGGTACCTAGGTAATCCAAAGACCCCCTTTTATGTCTTCCCACAAAGTAGCACGTGACTAGGACTACTCCATAAGTCGTACCAACATACTAAATGCCCATATAACGGACTAAAGTCTTGTAGTCCAATAAAACTTCTTTATAACCGAGAAAGGAATGATCAACATCAGTTTGGAAAGACACCCGGAATATTGGATGAACCAATCAGACGGTACCAATCCCAGTGTTGTATTATGTTAATGCCTACTAATTACCCAGACACCTAGGTGGAAGTCGGCCGGTAGGTCTTTGAAATGAATTTCTCAAGGGACAAATGCTTTATCATATGTTCAATCTTTCGGTCATGTAACGACTGAAATCCCTAGGACAAGGTTAAGCATTTTGAAGTTAACCTAACATATGAGGAAACATTGATGTTATTACGAAAGGGGTTCTGAAATGCTCTGGACATATGATGTAGTATATGTATAGAAGCAGTTTGTCTGCTCTGCTTCAGGACCGGTCACCAACAGCTTTCTTGAAAGCCGAACGCTAATCCAACTAAGCCGCTAGCTACCAAACCCCCAACAAAGTTTATCGCTAACAGTATCGTTTTAGCCCCTTTTCAAGTATTTTTGGGATATCTTCCATGGAAACATGGGACGATGATGGTGGCTAAAATGATGAAAGTCAGGTAATGGCATTTCACCACTCTAAAGCTTTAGAAGCTCCAAGGACTTCTTATGCTAGACAAAAAGGATGGAAAACTATGTATCCGATGTAGTACAAATGCTTCTCCGAGTACCTTCTAACCTAGGCAAGAAACGTAAACATCAAGCACCATGGCTCATTATGGTGTGATCTAAGCCCTCGGGAGAAAGCAGACGGCGTTGGAAAGAATATGCTCGTGGTATAAAATCCGGCTCTCCCCGACACTTTTGGGCTTGAATTCAACAAGTCAGGCTCGGCAACTCCAAGGACACAAGTAGCCATTACCAACCCAAGTTCCAATTATAATATCCACCAAAAGACCTCCTTATATACCAAGATATAGTCATAATGCGATTGGGAACGCTCCTCCTCGTCACCTTAGCCTCCAGCACCGCCGTGGCTAACTACGACGTAAAGATGTACCAGGTCCGCTGGTGCCTCCTCAAAATGGGCAAGATATGCAACAACATCGGCGCTGGCAGATGCTGCGGCGACGGCAATCAATACAGGTCGGCCAAGTTTGCTGAGGTCGGAGGCGGCAAGTCGACCGACCAGCTGAAGCTGTACCAAGACAGCAAATGCGGCGGCGCCGCTATCATGCAGCAAGCCGGCACTGGCTGCGTCAGCGACGACAAAAAAGAGGTCCAGGGTGCCGCGGTCTTCGTCATTGTCAAGTCGAACGACGAGGAGATCACGCGCCCTGCCGAGGTGGTTGAACCCGATGAGGCGTTCTTGGAGGAGGGACCGTTCAAGTACACTGTGAAGAGAGACTCGCCCGAGGGGAGAGCGTATGATAAATTGGATAGGGTCGAGGACCAGATTGAGTACTTGAGGAATTTTGGGAAGCGTGAGGAGATTCCTGAGGGTGTGGACTCAGAGGCATCGTGATGGGTGTATGGATTTTACAGAGTTGAACCGGGTTAACTTGAAACTGGGTAATTTGGTATGATGTTGAAGGTAAGTCTGCTTAAGTGCTCCTCTCCTTATATTTTTGCCAGTTGTAAAAAAAAAAAAAAGTGTGGTGCCAGATATCTGGCCGGCAGCTGAAAGCATGTATTCATGAATCAAACGGCATTATGCGAGAATTTATTTGAATAGAAAGACAGCAGAAGTAAAGAAAAAATGACTTTAACGTGACTGCACACTGTATCTTCTTCGTTGGCATCCGTTGCTATGTAGATAGTCACATCCCTAGGTACATGATAGTATAACGATCAAGGACGGTCATTTTACAGAGCGTTTATTATCAAGAGGGAAGGAGCCTCTATAGCGTAGCCGCCTTCGTTTACAAAGATCACGGACCATCTGGGGACCTTGTGACATCGACTTTTTTCTTAGTGAGTCACGATAATTATAAAATCGTCGGTACCAATTCGACTCTGGGAATGTACTTACCGATCCTGATTTCTTCTCATACTCTCGCGTCGGTAAACAATCCTGACGCACTTTTATTTTACCACCGAATCCAACCCACCTTCTTTCAATTATCGCCAAACCAACCGTCGCAATTCCCAACAATTGCGTCTCTTTTTACCGCAGATTTATTTTTCTGCGCCGGTTACAAGTCGTACCTTTTCTCAAAAATGGAGAATCCCAATCGTGGCTACATGGACGGCGGCACGCCTCAACTCACGGATTTTCCAGCCGAACTCTTGCAGGATGTCTGCAACTATCTACCGCTCAACGATATCAAGAATTGGTCCTTTGTTAACCGCCATTTCTACGTGCAACTACTTCCAATCCTACATCGCAAAGATTCTACGCAAGAACACCAAGCCGCTCAGTGGGCTTGCCGATATGGCTTCACTAACGTCCTCGATCGGGCTCTGGTCGCCGGTACCGATGTAAACCACATATTTCCTCCTCTCGGTGTTGATACGATAGGTGTTGATCCTACGTATCCACTTCGTTACCTAGAAGTCCCAGAACAGTTCCCTATGCTCCTACACATTGCGACATACTACGATCAAATCGAGGTCATGAAGTTCCTCATCTCACGCGGCGCGAATATAAAAGCTGCGAGCATTTCCCTGCACGTCGAGGCCAGTTTTTGGGAACCAATGGCTCACGCCCACAGCCCCAAAGCTGTGAAGCTTCTTAGGCCAGATGTGGCTGACGATCCCACCCTCTTTGTTGCTCTTTGGCAAATGGTGAAAGACTGGGCACCCATCTCCGTCATAGGAACTACGCTGGGCCATATTCGCGATTTGAAGTCACTAGTCGTGACTAGAGACGGTAAAGAGATGACAGAGAAAATGATCAAACTAGCCACTGGCCAATTTCGACCAGAAGTATTGGACCTATTTCGCCGACGACAAATCACCTGTGAAGATATAATCTTCAGTCCCAACTATGTGATTTACGAGACCCTTCAAGCAGACGTTCAACCTACGAACGAAACCCTGATCCACAAAACCATTGATAGTATCTTCCGATTGTCGAGCCGAAAGCCAGAAGAATATATCGAAGAACACCCGGACAACAGTTTTTACGAAAGTTGGCGTGAAGTTTTAGGCAACGCATTGCTCTTGCGTTCGATGCATCAATGGGTACCAGCAAGCGTCCTCAAACGGTTTCTAGACCTAGGCGTAGACCCCAGCGACAGGTATGGATGGCCATCATACCTAGACTTCTACATACGTCTAGAGGAGCGACATCCTAGTCGGAGGGTAGAAGTCCCCCTCATCATGCATTCACTGTGGCAACATACCGGCACAGCTTTATGCTACGCTCTGGCTATAACGCTCATGAAGTGGACGGCCAATCACCAAACAGGTATCCGGGAAAAAGCCCGTTTGATGCTTGATTACGGGGCGGCATTTGAAACCAAAGGACACCCGGTATCCTTTATTCTATCGACGGTTACTTGGCCCTATTCCACGCAGCAAATCATAACCCACATCTCGAGACTCTGCGGGGTTCGCGTCTTTGGCCTAAGAAACAAGTACGGCGAGACCCATCTCTCTAGCCTGCTGTCATGGCTGACAAGTACCCCACGAAATGGTGCGATGTATGCAACGCAAATGCCGATAGAGCAATGGGCCTGGTCGATTGCCCGTATAGCTCAACAGCTACTCGCGATTGACCGTTACAGAAACCATCTCTTAGCAAGACCTACTGACGGTCCCTGTAAGGGACTTCTACCTATCGAGGTCATAGTCAGACACAAGCTATCGGCCGGGTGCCGCCAAGACTCCGATATGTTCTTTCGTTGCCAGTCAGGACTTGATGCCATCATGGATGTGTTACTATACCACGGCTCCAGGATCGACACAAGGGATTATGAGGGAAGAAGCCTTATCCATTGGGCGGCGAAGCTCAGCGACATGAGGCGCCTCTGTTATCTCCTTTACAAGGGCGCAAATGTCACTGACCTCGACATGCATAATTTTACCCCGTTGCACTTCGCATGCCAAGTCGACGTTGAAGATGTAGACCAAGATGGGGTGATGGCTCAGAGTCGAAGACGGCTCAATATCGTCCGAAAGCTCTTGTGGCATGGCGCCACTCTCGACGCACAAACTGACGACGGACGAACACCCCTTTTCATCGCATGCCAGTCGCTGGATTGCAAACTGGTCTCAGAGCTCCTACGTCACGGGGCAAAGATGCTTAAGGACAAGTACGGTCGAACTCCCTATGACGCAGTTTGGCAAGCCGAACAGAAGTACATGGACTATCAACGCGGAGCGATAGGAGCCTTGTCCTGCACTCTGTTCCAGCACGGAGACGTAGACTACTGCTACAACCCCCGAAAAGAAGTCATCGACATACTCGATGGTCCCGGCCTTAGAACACATCACGGATTGATAGGCAGAGACATCGAGCCGCCCTCTCAACTCGACTGGGTGGGTTTCGCCTATGCAGACAGAGATCCGCAGAATCCAGCAACCCCGCTCGAGTGGTGTAACGAGATTTCGTTCGACATAGTAGGTGACTGCGAGAGGGCCGTTTTCCTTACTAACTTCGACGAATTTCAAAGTGATGATGAAGGTGTAGATGATGACGACCTATAGAACGCGGATAGCTGAGAGACGGAGACGGAGATCTTGGCAGAGGCTTGGTGAAGGACTGGGTGATGGCGTCATCGATAGGGGGTTGTGGAGGACGTTTTTATTCTGCTACACGTTGGACCGAGAAGGATCACGACGGAGATGAAGGACGTTGGCCACATTTTGCAGATACTGAAGATCGCTGTACCAGGGGCCCAAATTGGCTGTTCAGTGGCTACTACATGTTTGCTTTCTCATACCACCAATGAAAAATTTGATGTAAAACCAACCTTTGACATATGCTAGTAGATTGAGGCTGTGATGTGCTGACGCTAACCACCCTAGTCGATCTAAATCCTCCAGAAAAGGGGTTACAAGAAATAGGGGCTGGTATTACATAAGCAAACCCACCACACACACGATTATGTAATACGATGCACCGCAGCTTATCATTAAATTTATGAAGCACGTCCTCCCGTAACACGAAGATTCATTAGACAATTGATGGGGCATTCAAGGCGACAGTATAATTCGTAGGGTACCGCACGTCGAATAGCATGCCGTGAAACAAAGCTGGAAACTTAACACATGTACAGAAGATAAAATTTGGTGACCGAAAAATCAGGACTTCGGTGCTATGTAGCTCGAATAACCAACCCCCTATCCCCTTTCCCAACGCCGTTTATGCCGAAAAGAATTGCCACTACCAACACATTAGGCTACCAGCACACGTAGAACGAGATGGATACCTTATGTTTGGGGGAAATCAATTGGTAGGTATTAATCCTCTCAATTTTATTCCACCCCGGTCAAGGCAGTAAAGCGTGGCCTGGGCTCGCGGGCGCGTTGATATATGCATAAAAACAGGAACCTATCTCACAAAGGGATTTTTTGGGGGTATCTAGTAGCTCATCTAAAACTAGACCATACCCAAACGTCATACTCATTATTGGTTAGTCTTTTTAGTGCTCGTAACCGGCTCCACGTTGCCAAGGGCTATGTATAATGTTAGTATATAAAATAACTGTTTGAGTGGGGTCCCTTACCTTGGACTAGTAGGTGGCTTGAAACCTGCCGGGCTGGCGTTGTTTTGTGAACGTCCAACCGAGGATACTGAGCCGCTATACGGACTCGCAGTTCTGTTGATCGGGTCGACAGGCGAGCGGGGTGGAGCATAGTGCGATGGGGCGTGGTGGGAATTGTTGTTTGATTCAACCGCAGACCCTTGGCTTCGGTGCGAGGAGCCACGGTTGTGGGAGGATGAGTCATCCTCCAGGTCAAGCACAGATGAATATCCCGGCTTCTCGCCACGGGCAGTTATAGCCAAAGCGTCAAGTTCGGTGGTAGTGGCAAGCTGGCTCTGGGACTTCATGAAAGAGGTACGATCATCGGCCATGAACTTGTAACGTCCGTCAGGGTTGCCATTGAAGATAACCAGACCAGTAGTGATAATCAGCATGAGCAAGAGCACCAGTGTACAAGCCGCATTCAGAATCCATAACACGACACCAACAACACCGGTGACAAGAGCTGGCTGATCGAAAACACTGGTGAAGATAAGTAGGAAAATGGCGTTGATAAAATTGACTGCGCAAATGGTGATGTTGAAAGAGTTCGTCTTCTTGTCCATCCAAGGTCGTAAAACGGCGGCGGCAATAAGAGCGGCAGCCTCGATTAGGATAAATCCTATGGCTTGGGCGATACCGGAGTTCTGACCAAATGCGATGAAAAATGCCTTCACGATGGTGTATCCAAGGACCGGAACAATGAAGTAATAAGCGGAGGCACGGAATTGGATATAGAGGAAACCCCATTTGTTAAGGGTTTGAGGGTCGGAGAATAAGATATAGGCCGGGTTCCTGTGAAGTGTGACTGAACGACGCGCAACGCGGATTACCTTATATGCCGCCCAGCCGAGAACAGCGTTGAGGGCAAGTAGGAAAAATACAGCCATGACCATCAGTGCGGCGGAGTCATTCTGAGTGAATTCCCATAAACAGAGAATTGTCACTGGAGGATGTCCGATAAGGGCCATTCGGAAGAGAATGCCTTTGAGAACAGTGCCTATAATACAAAAGTCAGCATCAGGTCACTATTAATAGAGGGATATAAAATAATATCAACTCGGGATAACTTACGCCAACCATTGCGGAATTCTAAGAAGGTATCACCCTTCATCCACTTTTGTCTCGCTGCCAGTTCGCAACCGCCTTTGAAGGCAACCACGCAAAGAGTGGTCAGGGCCATGATGATGTAAAAAAAGACGATTGCCGTCAAGAAGAGGTTCGTGCTCTCAATTCCCGCCTTGAAGGCGACGCGCTGAATGCCGTACACGATGAAACTTCCATAGCTGGTCTGAACGTTCCCCCGCTTCATAATCTTCGTGCCATGTTCGACCAAGCTACGAGGAAGCATTGATGCTCCACGTTCAAAAAGATCGATAGCACGTTTTTGGACTTGAACGGATACTGTCGCTAGCGAGTCTACCTGCGTGATTAGCGTAGATGGAACACCCCCTGTCGATCGCTGATACCAAGTGAAGATGCGTTGCACTAGAACATTAGAGGTTAGCCAGTATTCTCATGACGCCGTTGGGATCACCCCATAGCAGTGGAATCGAGCCCATTCACACCAGGGACCCTAGATTGACATACTCCACCCGACACTAATAATACCCATGCTCCACTGGAAATCTTGAGTCCATGACTGCACGACGGGGGGCAGAGGAATTCCGACAAGGCCAACCATAGCCTGAGCTTGAAAGTAGCTCATCAGCGACAATGCGTTCGCAGCCACATGGGAAGCGGCATTTGTGTGGCCCAACCCAGATAAAAACGCGGACGAAGCGAGAGCCAAACCAGCTACTACAGCAGAGGCCCATTTTACACCTATTAGATTGACCGTCTGTCCGTTCGAGATCAAGGCTTCGACACAAGCAACGCTTTGTCCTGCTCGGTCGCCATCGGTAGCATTGATGAAAACCTTTACCTTGGCATCAAGATCGGGGAAGTCGTAAGCGATAGAAGGAATATTGCCAGTGGCATCTTGGCTGACTGGAAGTACGAAAGGGTCTCCCAGTTTTCCAGATACCATGGGGCAGAATCCGGCTAGACCGACATCACAAGGATCAATAGTCCTGTGAAGGAAGGAATATCCATAGGCGCTAATGTCGATATCGAAGACAACCTTTGCCTCGATGGTTGAAAGAGCAGAGATATTGACTTTGGCGATACCTTCACTGGGGTTGTAGACAACGTTAAATAAACTGGCGGTAAATCCCGAGTTTTCCTGGCAGATGTTAAGGGAGGTAGATTGCAGTATTCGTTCGGCCGTCGCGGGAAGGATAAGCGAAGCAAAGGAGATAGCCGCCAAGAGCGGCGTCCCTATCGAGAACTTCATTGCCTAGAGAATTCTTCAAGTCCGACCAGCGTTCATTTAGCTTCCCCTGTTCACCTTAACTAATTTTGCGACCAGATCCAAATTGATGCGATCATGAAAACGATGTGCTCTTTTCGTTATCTTCTCCTGCTAGCCACAACGCGCGCGACTCTAATTGTTGTCTCAGGTTGATTCGGCGGGTATCCCTCGAAACTGCCAAGGAAATGGTGGATTCAACGTTCGCTTCGTGACAGATATGGGCGGTGGTGAAGCGAGCGAAATGCACCACCTGGAATTCAGGGCGGTGGAGGCAGAAATAGGGAGGTAAGAAGAAGCAAATACAGAAAAAACGAATGAATTAACGAACGGAGAGAGAAGAAAGTTTGCGAGATGCGGAATGCAAGGTGGAAGAATTACTTGTTGGTAGGCCGGGGGGGTTGCAGTGTTGTAATACTAGTAATACTGCACAGATTTAACGATCCCTCTTTTCGTGCCACAATGACAATGTGCCGGTCCAATTCTTGGTTCTCTGTCTTCCCTAAGCTTCCCTGGCGTCCCTATGTCATCCTCTGGTTCCCAGTGCGTCGACGAATCTGGCACCCCTGGGGCAGTGCATGTATGTAGGTGCGGACTGTTATGACATGGGGTACACAGCCTCGGTGACTTGCCGGGTACAAACAAACCTGTCCACCGTCAATACGAGACTCGCATTTATTGGTAAGAATATGGTGGTCTTGGCATACAAAATCTTGCACAAGATGATGGTAAGACGTTGAAAAACTTCGAATAACGATGAGTTACTATGTTTGACAAGATTGAGTTTTAGAAAGTTGAAGTTGATTGAATAATAACATTGTTATTTAAGTATTCAATCAATTATTCAGTAAAGAGAACATTCCTACGTGTTTGTCCTCTTCACTCGCCCTTTCCCAAATCTAAATGTAGAACAGATGTACCTTCAAACCTTCCTTTCCCGGATTTTAAATGTGGGGAGGTACAGAATACTTAACTAATTTCTTCTGTTAATCCTTCTGCCTGCCTGATTCGTGAAAATCAATTTCCGTGCCGCACTCTCCAAGAAATCCCAAGCATGCCAATTGCCGACAGCCGTCTTATGCGTAGAATTGCAGTTTCAAAAGCCTAATAACCTCAGACAAATTAAAACGAGAGAAATGGTCGTGAGGGAAGTATCCGTTCAATGTTCCAACCCATCTGATGCAGGAACAAAAGGTTAAATTCAAGAATGACGGAGATAATGGAGATATCCATAATGCTTTTTGCTAGCGCGAACCGGAACCCCGGTCCCCGCCTCCATTCCTTACAACTGACTAAGGCAGCAAGGGTTGCACTTTTAATCGGAGCCCTGGCGCTTGCCGATAGGGCGAAAAGCTTCAAACTTCTTGACCAAAAGCTTCAATACGTAATTCCAAAGGTTATCTTAACCTCTGTCACCAACCACGGTGTCATTTATCACAGTGCTTGATAATGGGCGATTTGGTTGGTATTAATTGATGTCATTCTACTGTCCCCTCGTCGTACAACATTCGATATCATGAGTGTGTGTGCGACGGAAATCCATCTATGGTAAACCAGTCAAGACAACAGACCCGCATTCATCTCCAAATGGCGTCCGGCACATCGCGGCTCGTGTCACTGTCAAGGTATCCCCATCCTAAGAGCGGGTAAACTAGACAATCAATCCCTGTCCAAAGCCATGACACAGCCCAGAATTGTTTCATCATGCTCGATTATTGATAGAACCAACATGAAGCGGGATAAGGCTCAATAGACGATTCGGGCTAAAGAGCCAAAGCGTACATCCATCACTCAACCTTGAAATCGGGATAGCTTCTACCCACACTCCAGAACTCACTGTTCCTCTTCTCCTTCCCTAGCAACTGACCCTCGCGCCTGACAAACCAGCGCCAAGAGGTAGCAGCGGAGTACAACTCTTTCGAGAAGCAATGAAATACAGAGACGGTAAGCTCGTCCCGGCCTATACCTTTTCCGCCACTAGTATCCGCGTACCGAACTCTCCACTTCGTAGGACAGGACCGGCACTTGAAAATGAAGCCCTCTTCACTCTCAGCGGAGGTCATCTGCCGCTTCTCCAGCACCGTCGGTTCCCGGAAGCCACCAGCTTTAGGGATTTTCACCCTCCGAGCCGCGGGAAAGGCGGACACGATGGAGTGGATTAGGAGGGGGCCGTTGGGAGTCGAGTTCCGGGTATACCGGTTGAAAACTGGTTGATCCGTCGAAGTCGTCTGATGAGGGCAGATCCGGAACGGAAGATCGAAGATATCGGCGGCTTTCAACAACCGCTTAGAAGAAGGACTGAAGCAGTAATCGTGCTGGAGAACCAGGTTGCGGCTGATACGACGTGCGGAAGATGTGACCGTGTAGTTGAGGTTAGGATGCGGGACGCGGAACGAGCCAGAGAGATAGTCGACCGGTGAGTTCGAATCCTCGGGGGTGGAAGTCATGGCGTGTTTGATATGGGCGAAGACAAGGCTATAACCGAACCCGTCTTCGTTCTGGGGCAAGTATTCGATAATCGCGTCTTGGCCCCAGCAGTACTTCGTCAACTTAATCTGGCGATGCTCACTAGGCTTTTTCAACGGCGGATGCAGCGTATTGCAAGCCTTGCAGGATACGAAACCTAGCTTCTCTACATCGCGTTGTAACAGTTCCCTGAAGTTCGACCGTGGCATTGACATGGTCGTAGTGTCAGTACACCAACGTTTCGTGATCATGGTGTCCTTCCACGAGGATATGCCTAGGATGCGTAGGGCGAGTTTACAGGTGAGTGTGAGGCAGATGATAGACTCCGGAGGGAGATGTGATGAGATTTCTCGTAGGATCTCACGGGGAAATGCGAAGAGCCAAATATCCTGGTTCGGGTCCGAAGTTGCGTCGGCATCGGGTTGCTGGAGATAAGATGGCATGAACTTTTCTATCTTTGATTTTAATGTTTTCGATGCTTTTGACGTCTTTGGTACTTTCGGTTGTTCTTGAAATTTGATACTAGTATGTTTCGATAAATTGGAGTTTGCTTGCGATTTCTGAACTCTAGTTGTGGTTGATCGCAGAACTCGCCCAGTCTGACGGCTTGTTTCTCTTTCCATGATGTTCTATACGTTTGCCATGTAAGTATCTAAAAAGAAGGCACACCGGTTTCGAAAACGGTGAAGGGGACGTTGTCGTTTCTTATACGTCCCGAATAGGTAATCTAGAGCTAACGACCGTTCCTAGTCCCATCTTGAGTTAGGCAGCAAGCCTATCTAGTGTTAGCGTCCAATTGATGCCTAGGAATTATTTTCGTTAAGATTTACTCAGGTATGAAAAACCCCGTGTATTCATTAATGATGAACTAAATTACTCATTTTTCCACTCCGCATTTCAAAAGTCGTGGCGCCAGAAATCATATCCTTCACTTAACCCAGAAAGTCATGCGCGCTCGCTCGTTAACCCTCCCTCCTCCCACTAGTCTCTCGACCGGATATCGCACACGGCTACATGCTTAGTGATGTCGTCGTCGATCTCCATCTCTTTCTCTCCGACGACGGCGGCGCCTTTCCGAGTTTTCTACCACAATCACTTGGTTTGCGCGTTCTCGCTCCGCCCGTCTCTCGGGTGGGACAAAACCAGGCGGAAGGAGCACCACAGGCTCTTGACCTGCGGGCCTTCGCAAAACAGGAGGCGGGCACACGGACGTCGGTCTACTCGGTAAACTCTCTCCACTGTAATGGCTCTCGACTACGCTTGGGGTCGCCGTGTTCGGGTTTACTCCGTTGAAGGAGAATGGATTCATCCCTGCAGCTGCAGTAGTCGTGGTACTAGCCTTTCTGGAGCTAGTTTTTGGTTCATTCGTACTGCGTAGTGTCAGTCTCTTTGAGCTGAAAGAGGGAAATATTTAACGGACTTCATTCTCTCCATCCATTCTTCGATACGGTCATTGGCCTGTCTTTGAGATAGGCCGGCTGAAGAACTCCGGCCCTGAGCAGAGGACGAATCTTCACTGTGTTCCCATACTAATGGGGCACTTGGAATAGATCCCGGGAGTCGGTTATACACTCGGTGAGTGACCTGATGTCGTGGGGGGCGATCAGTAATATGCATTCTTCTATGATCTTGATTTTGATGGCTTCCCTCTCGTTGGGGGTCCTTTGCAGAGTGATTGTTCATGGCAACGATAACACAGGAGGTTGGATAAAAGCTAAGAGTCAGTTGCCTATATATGGCGAAAGGATAATGTGGACAAGGCGAGCAATTTATATAGAAAAGTATAGAAACTTCCTCCAATACCCCATTAAGTAACATTTCTCTCGTCGAATAAGGAGGATCATGTGAGTCATGAGGCTGAAGCCCAACCAAGGAACCAACCAATAGTTGTCCCCTGAATCGTAGCCTGCCTCCTTACAATCACGGACCAAACATAGTGAATAGGGATTGCATAAGTAGATCGTGGTTTGGTGAATGAGATATCTCGTCATTGTTTCACTCAGTTCCTATCAAACTTGGCACAGGCAGCCCTGGCCGAATTCGAGTGTCTGGTTGAATAGCACCAGAGAGGGGTGTACCTAAGCATAAAGGGGAGAACCACGCCACAACACCACTGCAAAGGACGAATAAGAATTTATCTGTTGAAAGCTTCTAGAGTTATCTTCGAACTCTTAATCCTGGATACATGCTGATTTTATCATCGTCTTCAGAAGATTCACAATAGAAAATCCAACATTACACTCTAAATATGTGACAAGCCGCGTTAAAACGATTGTGCGACATTACTTTCGCATGTCATGCAGTGTCCGATACGTGGTAAGCTTAGATACCTCCCTGCCACCTTCGACCATCCGCATCGAGAGCTTTTGACGTCCCTTCACACTATGTTTCCAGGTCACCTTGTGCCGCTACGCCCCCAATATGGTTCGCTGTCAGTTATGGGGGCGTATGCATCATATCAAGGTGGATGGCATCGGTCATTCGCGAGACCGAGCCCTCATTCGTATCTTTGAGAAGCGCTACTTAGCGTTTCTCTCTTGCCACCAGCGAAAAGCCAGGGAATGCCAGAGGTCTAGTATGAGGGAAGCTCGGTCCTTTAGAGACCATGACAGGTCCCAGGAGACCTCCATTGGTGGCTCGCCTTGAAGCAAAGTAGGTAGACAATGGGTTTCCTATATGTACTAGGTATACCTTAGTCACTGGGTGGGAGAGTTTAGAGCTCCTCGCGCAACAACTTCGTTGTTTCCCTTGTCCTTGATTCCACCGCGTGTGTCACAGGGCTCTCCTTCCTCGCCCTGAGGAAGGAAGGACCTATTAGCTGTGATGAGGAAGGGAGGATGGACAGTTAGCTGAGAGGGGTAAAACAGAGCTTTTTAGCATCAAGATAGTTAAAGAAAGACAACTCATTTTGCCTCGCAAAGATTCGTTGTTACGATCGCTTGTTCTTGTTGTTGTTGTTGTCTATTATTACGTTCGTCCTCGACTAGGACGTGACAGCGTGACAATGAAGTTTACGGTTTTGCCGTTAGATATGACGGTAGAGTCCACAAACAGGAGTTTCTACAGGGGATTGGGAGGACGTTCGAAGCGTTGGGACATCCTGACTGGCAACACTATGGTGAATAGAGAAATATCCATGCGGGCAAAATAAGAGACTGGATGGGGGACAATTCTTTGAAAAAGACTGATTCATAATTTGCATCAGCAAATCGTATTATAGACTAATCCCGTGGATTTATGATCTAGAATACAATCCTCGTACGTGTCAAAGTACCCCTAGAATCTATTAGTGCTCTTTCCCTGGCTTATCATAGACCTTGTTGTCGCCTCATAACTTTTCCTCTAGAGCCTCAATGGAGTTGCCAGTGTGGCTTAGAGCGGATGCTAGAAAGCTCAGTAGTATGACTTCTAAGTTTTGTATTAGATAAATCGAAACCTTGGCTGTTATCAACCTCATTGACGATGGAAAGTGATAATGAATTCATAGTGTGGGCCGTGGCGACAGCAGTTCAAGATAGGAGTAATTCCTTCTTCAGAAATAACAAATACCAGCCATACTTCTTAGCCGCATTTAAGGGCGAACGATTATATGGGTACCAAAAGAGCTTGTATCCTTTAACGGTACTAACTTTATTCCTAAATTATCTCTCATACTCACACTCCAAGTCAATCACGTTGAATGTTACCTATCTATCTAGTTAATACCTGATGCTAGTGGTAGGATGAAGTTTAGCCATGTTTGTACTGCTTCTCGCTATCATGACACTGAACTAATATTTATAGTAGATTAGACCACGTCTGATTTCGTCACCCGTACCCACATGTTCTCCTCGATGAATTGGCTATAACTCAAAGAGTCCCAGGGTTTCATCGGATTGACTAATTGGAAATCGAATTCTCGAAACAGCTACGAGGAGCGAAGTGCCAAGTTAGCATACTGTCTTTTCACGGTTATTTCCCTATCTCCAGTCTACTTCACTCACCTCAAAGAAAATCTTGTTAAGCTCCATAAATGCCACCGGCTTCCCTGCGCACATCCACCGACCGTATCCGAATACGAGTTCAGTGTTACGTTCCATCTCAGCGCGGGTAGCTTCATCAACTTCCATAAATCGTTCCGGGCGGAAAACATCTGCATCGGCGCCGAAAAGCTGTGTTGAACGCATCACCGCCGAGGTGTTCATTCCGATGGCGGTTCCGCCTGGGATAAATTTACCGTGTATCACATCGCCTTCCGGGGGTACCGACTTGGGATAAAGACCTGGAGCTGGCGGGCGCATGCGGATGCCCTCGTAGAGTACGGCCTGGCCCAAAGAAGGGTCAGCAGGACGCTCTCGCCTAAGAAGAATCCAGCCTGTACTAAAAGCCGAGCTTTCTGAGACGAAGGGCAAAACATACCTGCAAGTAGGGAATCCTTTTAGCTTCTTCGTAGGTAATCGGACTGGATACTTTACCATCCCGAACGGTTTGCAGGACTACATTCTTGAATTTATAATATACCCGCGGACAAGCCATCAAGTAAAGGAAAGCCGTGCGAATGACGGATGCAGTGTTCTCGAACCCAGCAATAATCATAAAGAGAGCTTCCGTTTCGCATTCTTGTCGGTCGAGTCCGTGACTTATGAACGACCCCTATTTTCAGGGGTAAGGCGTTAGTACTCCACAAATAAAGCCCCTTTTCCCCTTGGTTCAGAAGACTCACAAGCATATCTTTCTTTTTCTCAGCATCGGCGGCAAAACGCTTTGACACTACCTCCTTCGCTATTCTGCTCATTATTAATAAGGCTCTTCCAAATGCAAGTTCAGATGATCGACTTCAGGCTTACCCCATGAGTTTTCCCATCCCGGTCGAATCCGTCGGTTTCGGCCCAAAAAATTTGAGGAAGAACTGTGAAAATAGCACATTTCTGAAATAAGGGACGTCGAGGGCTATCGCTATGCTAGCCCAGCTCTCCTTCACACCAGCAAGAAATCCGTGCACATCGGAGTCCGTCTTCAAGCACCCAAACTCCTCCCCGAACGCCGATCGTGTGATTACATCCACTGTGTAGAACGATATAAGTTCTGCGAAGTCCACAGGGTGGTATTCGCCAGAATCGTCGCTTGATATATATTTACGCCGAATCAGATCAAGAAGCGAGTTGATCTGGTCGTTAATTCCGGGCTCAAGAGCAGGTGTCTCACGGCCTCCATATGCCCCTGCTATCTTCGCCTTGAACTTGTCGTGAGGCCCGGCCTCGAGAAGGGTGAAGACGTTGTCATGGTATGGATCGAATCTCGCAGCCACGTACCACTGAAATATCAAGAATTAGCTAAGCTTTACACGTAAGATAGGAAGGCAGGGTTTTTATTGTATCTACTGTCTTGGCGTAGCATCCGCCGTCTCTTACAGGGACAACAGTTTACTATGGAGATATACTCACAGGATCTCTTCCGTACGATTTCCGCGTAGCATTTATCCTCCTAATAACTTCCGGGTCTTCTGTGGAAATCTCGTTTGGTCCAACTCTAAACAAAGGCCCGTACTTCCTGTACATGTCCCGATAAACCCAGAACTGCTTCCCGCTCTTCGCAACCCTTGCCAGCCACAGATATGAAAAAGAGGCGAGGAACGGGCCAGGGACATCTCGAAGGCGGTACCAAGTCGCAAACGCCGAGATTACGTAGTAAACCACTGCAATAGCGCCGGCTACGGCCCAAACCCCTCCGGACGACCACTCCCAATTGAAGAAACCCATACTAGGCTCAGCAGGCTAAAGGGTCGCTTCCAGAGCTGGTTGAATACATCCAGAGTAAAAGGAATGGAAATGCAGACAAAGGTAGGTATGAACCGGACAATTTAAAAATCCAAGTACGTGGTGGGACAACAGCCCTAGACTCCCAGTCTATATATTTCTCTATATACATATGACCACCACGCAGATCATCCACTTGAACTCACCACCCCTCCCAGACGCTATATTTCCTCAAGTTTCTCTGAGCGAAGCAAAAAAAGCGTCCAAAATTGGCAAGCCTTCACACGCCAACGTATGCATCTTACATGCCAACCCACCATCCCTCCGTCCAATCACGCGCAACCAATACACACGCAAGCCCGCGAGGATCATCTCAAGTTGGTTGCTGTCATGCAGTAAACGACATGTGCTTGAAAACGCGCTGCAACTAAGCATACCTCCCTACTAGTAGCTACCTACCTAGCCAGCCAGCCTAATCCAATTCGGAGAAGGGCGGGAGCTCGCATAGGGTATGGGTCCAGAGCCTTGCTGTCATCATGATCCTCTGCCCGCGTTCTAGAACGGACGACGGCCCCCACTTAAGCCGGAAGATCGCAGTTCGATTCGGGCAACGGCTCCTTAAACCTAGAAACGAACGGGACGGCCACATAAAAGAACGTTTAGAGGGGGGGGGCTGTTCGGTCGAAACCAGCCAATTAAGTTAGCGGCCGTTTGGGACTAGCACGCGCTTTGCTGTGGAGTTCGTGGGCGGGCTCCGTGCTATGTATGTGGATGCGTAATTACCTGCTATATCACACGTCGAACGCTAGCATAGCGCCCGTTAGGGAGCCCAGATACCTGGTTAGGTGACATCGTCCCCTAGATAGCACGTTATGCTGCATGTCTCACCCCTACTCTTGAACAGCGGCGATTACCACATTGATTCCCACAGGGAACTGGCATGTGGATTTTAACCCTTTAAAGCCCACTCTTGAGTTAGTGCTAAGGGTCTTTTTTTTTTGCAGAATGAATTTGTGTCCTCGCCTATGGCGGCTTTTACTTTCCCTCGATTAGGTCTAGCCGTCTATTCCCTGAAGTTCAGCCTACCATGTGGGGGTCAAGTCCAAAGATTATGTCAGAAGTGGTTATGATGTTAGTAAAATGATTCACATGACTTATTTCTTTTATTGATACATCACCGCGGAGCTACCTCCTCAAATCTAAGGGTATCATTTATCGTTACCAGATCATTTTTTCTCCGGAATTCCCAATTCAGCTCTCTTACTCTGGACCTCCTCGACGGCGCCCGCGGGGTCAGTCGCGTCCGGATGACGCAACTGCCATTTAATGCAAACGTTCAGTGCTTCAGCCATCCATTTACCAGGCTTGACGCCTAGTGCTTTGGCAAGCTGGTTGCCATCGATTATTCGCTTCAACGACGGAGCTTCCATGACATCGAGCTCCTGAAGATGGTCTAGGAAGAGTTGCCACTTGTGCAGGAAGTCGTCTTTGCTAACTGTTGACTTATCAGCACGTGTAAAAGATATGAAGAAACCATAGTGAGACTTACCTGACTTTGCAGAACCTGGAGCCAGAGCCTCCATGGCCTCAACTAGGAGGGAATACAGGACCTGCAGTCTCCAATGACCGGCTCTTGCATCCCAATTCCGAATGGCCATGCCGAATCTATCTCTTTCCGTAATGAAGGGCGCGATTTCCGAAACTGCTGTCACTAGGGACATTATCTCGGGCCTGTTATTGTGTGCGGCAGTTGCTAAGTCGCTTATCTTGTTAGATGCCTTGATACCCTCTCTAGCAGCCAATGTTACGAAAGGGGGCGGCGGTTTCCCCTTCCCATCATAAGGGGGGTCTCCCACGTTCTCCCAAGGACAGATGGCTGCTAGAACCCAAGAGTAATAGTCAGCCTCGTCTGATCGCACAAGTACATCATAGATAGAACCCGGTGTCTTATTCTGGCGAAGTGAGTCAAAAAGCTCGTAGGCTAGTTTCCAATTAGAGATGTCAGGGGCGGGGATGTTTGAGTGAGTCGGGTCAGTGAACACTGTATGGTAAAGTCCAAGTTTCTTCAGGTATTCCAAGGACTTCCGAGGGTGGTTGCCTGTATTATCTCATTAGCAACTCATTAATGAACTTTCTCCGTCACAAGTTACCTTTGAGCATTTTCTCTATCTCAACACCGACTCTCTCACGACTGATCTTCATTCGGAGAGCGTCTAGCACGCGACGATCACCCATGACCTCTTCCGCAGCAGGATCAATAGAAAACTCCAGGCGACTAGCAAATCTGACCAACCGAAGCACACGTAGAGGATCGTCCATGAAGGTCTGCAAGGGCTCCAAAGGTGTCCTGATTAATTTTGCCTTCATATCTTTCAATCCAGTGGTGAAATCTTCGACTTTGGAAGTGTTGAGGTTGTAGAAAAGAGCATTAACGGTGGCATCTCTCCGGAGCGCGTCTTCTTCGGCAGTGCCAAATTCCATCTGAGGATTACGACTGTCCTCAGTGTAAGTCTCCTTGCGGAGATTGACAAAGTCAACATCATATCCAAAGAGCTTGATAGTCGTGGTCTCAAGATGTTTGGACTTTTCCGGGTTACGGGCAATCTTGTGAAGATTACCAACATCAGACTCCGCGATGGCGTGCTTCTTGACGGTATCAGGCTGTTGACATAACTCGCATAGTTTTAATGCAAACGCCTCGCCAGTCATAACGTTGATAGCCGTATCGATATCGTGTGACTCGATCCCTAGGAGCTTGTCCCGGACCCATCCACCGGCCCAGCGCAATATAACTGGCTCTTCCACGCTGCCTGATCCATCTATAAATTTCGCAGCATCTAGGAGCAAGTCTTTGAGCTGAGCCTCCTTGGAGGTGAGCTCGATAGTGGTGGTGGCTGGTTGTGCTTCCATCTTTCCAGTCTTTCTAATCCGAGAAGGCGGTTGAATATCGAAGCTGTCACCCAACGCTTCTGACTTTCTCTTTACCATGAGGGATTGAGAGAAAGGGCGAAACGTGATCTTAGATATTGTGCAGAGCCTCGGGATAGAGCGAAGAGGGAGGCGGGGCAGGGGCCTCATCGAGTTGGGGATGAGTCAACCGGCGACTGTGATTCAGGGCGTACCCAATGTAGAATCAGGCATTAGGTCATTTACTAGGTCATTTCTTAGGCCATGTATGATTCCTAGCGTATACGGATGGAAGCATATAATGATTAGGTAATTCGTTGTTTGTATGATCACAATCCATCAATCCTCACTTGTTACATTTCAACCTAATAAAAATTAAAGCAGAGGTGTCAGCTGTTTCGCAGTTGAAAGTAAGCGCTCACAAGTGGCAGCTACCTGAGGGTGGGTCCCTCGTAGATAATCCGATTGGCTCATTAGTTTCTATGCATTGACCACCGTAAACCCCCCACCTTCAACGACGTTTACTGTATCAAAGTACGATATTCTCATCAGTTTCTCTACAAGACCGAAAACTCGATATAGAGCCAATTAGAACCCGGAGGCCTCTGCTAATAGAGTGAGCTATATGGATATGTCAATAATAGGTTGATATATTACTCCTAGTCTGCTATCGAAACAGAATACCGAAATCAACCAAACGAATCCGGAAGACTTTCGGCAACGCACCGAATGAAACGGCCAAGATCCGTCTGTGCGTATAATCATCATACCCGCTTAGATCCTCAGATCCACAGATCCTTGGGTTCTTGTTTGGTCATTGATTTCACGGTGATAATTCGCTGGCGTACTGGTTGATAAGTTCGTTATAGGATTTAGGTATGTTGATAGTAGTCGGCATCACCAAGTGTTGGCTGGTCTCGCCACAGAATATAGATAGCACCGAAATAATAGAAGAAATCCCTATTCTTAAATCATAAAATAGTTACCTACTCCCAATGATCTCATTAGGAAACTTACCTCCCCCAAATAGGTAATCATAGCGAATCCCACTGTCTATCCCAAACAAACACGATCTGACCGGGACACGAAACGATCTCCCTGTACGGGCCAATCCGCAACGGGAATCCGGGGCTCTGCAAATCGAAAGCTTAACTAAATTCTCGATTGCGATTGGCCCACCATCCAGGTGTCAAATCCTCAGCTACCCTATCCGGGTGCGATGCTTCCCGCGCAAACTGCAGAGCTCACAGCCACAATACTACCATTCGATTATACCATGATGGGTATCATATATGGGGTTTGGACTTCATTCTGGCCGGATTAGGAATGGTCAAGGTAGTGTTTCTCAGACCGAACAGTGAGAGATGGCACTGGAAGCCGTCTTGGCAGAAACAAACTTGATTCGAGTCAGTAGAACTCGGTCCTTGGGGTCAGGGGACAGGAGAAGGAGGAGAAGGTATGAGCGGAGGCAAAAGATTGATGAATCTTCATCCACGAAAATTTCTATAAAGGCACTGATCTCGCCTAAGAAAAGGTAGTCTTCTCTCGTCATCACATCATCAGCTCTCTTCAAGCCTCTCAAATACTTTCTTCCTCTTTCACTTCTTCCCTGCCGGTCAGGTATTTTCAAGCATATAATCCTAGACCACTCTTACCTACATACCTACTTACCTACATATAACAATAATGTCTTACTTCAAAGCCATCATCGCCTTCGGCCTCCTGGCCACCGCCCAGCTAGCCGCTAGCCACGGCGTGATCACCAACGCCACTGGCAACGCCGGCGGGTCCGGAAGTAAGCAGTTCCACACCTACACCTTAACCACCTTCAATATCCCCCACTCGTATACATTCCTACCACCATACCCCAAACTAACACACCCCCCAGTGGCCCTAGGCGTCGACCCCTCCACCCCCCGCGACGGAACCCGCCGCAACCCCTTCCAACAAGACAGCACGCGCTTCCGGGGCGCCTCAGCCGACACCTTCGGCGAGACCATCGGCGCCGGGGCCAACGACCTGGAAACCGGGACGCAAGCCATCATGGCGATGACCGGGGACCAGCTGCCGCAGGTAACCGCGGGCGGCCAGGTGAAGATGACGCTGCACCAGGTGAACTCGGACGGCGCGGGCCCGTACACGTGCATGATCAACGCGGACGCGACCGGCGCGGACTGGACCGCCATCGACGTGACGCAGAGCCCGCCGGGCAAGAACTCGCGCAACCAGGCCGGGAGCGAGACCGATTTCCCGCTCACGGCTGCGATCCCCGCCGATCAGACCTGCACTGGTACTGTCGCCGGCCAGGACAACGCGTGTCTGGTGCGCTGCCAGAACGGCGCAAGAGCCGGGCCGTTCGGCGGCGTGGTCCCCGTTCAGAGTGAGTCTCTTTCTCTCTCTTTTCCTACTTCGCTTCTTGTGATGTTTTCTATCCGGTGCCTTTTCGGTGTGTCCGTGTGAGAGAGTAAAGAACGTGATGACTAACGATGGGGTGTTTAGTGGCTAGCGGCAACAACTCAACCTCCCCCGCGACGACGCGCCGAAACTTGGCTCGGGCTATCAGGAGGAATGCAGCTCGCTTCGCGCAGAAGGAGTGATCGGCATCTCCATCCAGCATCTCGGCCCCACCGTACGCCCTTCGCTTGCTCCCGGGATCGGAGCGGAGTTGTCGATGTCCGGATACTTATCTTTGTATCAATAATTGTGTGGGTGGATATACGGAGGGGACAGCACTTATTTCGTTTTAGTATTACGATTAGATAAATTTTATCGAGATATCATTGAGATCTATTATCAGAAGCACCCCCATTCAAGTTGTCAACCATGGTCGTGATCTCCGACGCCGCAACTACACCGCTTGTAACCGTTCCGGAGTCATGGAACCTCGTGAAGCACATGTCGTGGTGATATACTCATATAAGCCAAAGCCCAAAGGTCGAATAAGAGATTGAGTATTTCCAACCTTCAAGGTTGAATACCTTACCTACCTGGCCATACCCTTCGACAAGATGTCTTGCACAGAGGGCCGAGATGCTGATTTAGAGTTACAAGAACAACCGCAGATTCTTGTAACCCATAACGAAGTATCTTTGGAAAGAGGACCATCCCAGGAACTAAAGCCCGTCGACGGGGGTCGAGATGCTTGGACAGTCCTCATAGGCGGCCTGATCTTCGAAGCATTCTTCTGGGGTTTGTCTTAGGCTCATCTCCCCGCAGACTGCTTACCAAATAGCCATCTAACAGCGACTAGGGTACCCGGTCTGCTTCGGAGTCTTCCAAAACTACTACACCAACCAGCCCGAATTCCGGGATTCGAGCTCCGACATCGCGCTCATCGGCACGCTCGCGCAGGGCCTGGCAAGTCTCGGAGCCCCCTTCTCCGCCATGCTCACCAAGCGGTTTCCCAAGTATCAGCAGCATCTGATCTGGATCGGGTGGCCGGTGACTATCGGCGGGCTCGTCGCAGCCTCGTTCTCGACATCGGTCGGCGGGCTGATTGGCACGCAAGGAGTCATGTATGGCGTCGGCTTCGTGATCCTGAGTTATCCCATCATCAACATGATCAATGAATGGTGGGTGGCGCGTAAGGGCATGGCCTTTGGGCTCATTTCTGCCTCGTCTGGCGTAACCGGCGCTTTCCTGCCCTTCCTCATCGAGTACCTGCTCAACAAGTACGGGTGGAGGACCACGCTGCGCATAAGCGCCGTAGCGCTGGCCATGCTTACGGGCCCGCTAGTGCCGCTATTTAAACCAAGACTCCCCCCATCCGAGAGCGCCGTGCTGGCGAAGACTAACTGGGCTTTCCTAAAACGCCCGCTCTTCTGGATCTATGCGCTTGCCATCCTTATCCAGGGATTGGGGTTCTATTTCCCCTCCGTATTCCTGCCGTCTTACGCGGCTTCGGTCGGCATTCCAGCAGTGAGCGGCGCCTCGCTATTGGCTCTCATGTCTGTCGCACAGGTTCTCGGGCAGTTTGCCTTCGGATACCTATCTGACAAGACGCTACCGGTCAGTCTATTGACGATTGTATGTTGCGTCGCGGCATCGTTGGCCTCGTTGACGTTCTGGGGGCTAGGCAAATCAGTAGCCTTGCTAGCCGTTTTCAGCCTCCTGTACGGGTTCTTCGGCTACGGCTTCAGCACGATGCGGGTGGCGATGGGGCGCGCAGTCAGCGACGACCCGTCCATCGTGGTGTCGACATATTCGATATTTGTCTTCTTGCAGGGTATCGGAAACATTCTCGTCGGCCCTCTTAGCTCAGCGTTGATGACTCCGTCGACGGAGCGAGGTCATTTTGCGGCGGGAAAATACGGCGGCGTGGTTATATTAACGAGTTCGTCGTACTTCTTGGCTGCGTTGGTTATTGGAGGATGGCATGGTTATCAGCGCTTATTCAGTACGATAACTCGGTAGTATAACGTGGTCTATCTGGCGTGTCTGGCTATTCGCATGTGCCGCGTGTATGTCGATGCAACGCGGAGCTGCAAGAGTTGGAGCTGCATCGGAGCTATATTGAAGCTACACAAGTGCTCGTCGCACTCGATGGTTGCTGACTGCGCCTCCCTCCGCGAGAGACTAGTCCAGACGAGTCTAGGCTTAAATGGGACCACGCGCGTAGGATGTTAAAACCGTCGATCAACCTGCAATACCTAAACAACCATCACGTTTCTTCCCGGCGACCAACCACAACTGCCACAATAGGCATCTTAAGGACCGTCTATCTCCATGCTAGCTACGGAAGATCTTTCGGTAATGCAAGGTAATTAAAGGGAAGTAATCGGCGATCCAATCGTGTCCAGCTCGTCGTTTCTAATAGATTACCTAGATAATATATCATATATCTCAATAGATATCAATATTTTCGTGCATGTATATTGTAGTATGAATGTAGGTGGATTATCATAGCCCCTAATTACTCGGGAACTTATGGAACTATTGAACTGGTCGATTCTGATTGGTGCCCACACTTCCATTAAGAACGGTCAGGGGACCTTCCCACTCTTTCCCACTGCCATTACCCTCGATGACGTCATGGGATAACTTACAGCTACTATGCAAACGTATAGCATATGGCTAAGGGAATCTTACGGCAATTCATCCAATATCTTAGACGGAGACATTTCGAATTGCGTTTTCAATTCGCTTCCAAGTCACACCACCTGCAGGTCAGATGCTTCGGGTTTGCACAGCCACCATGATTGAACTTAGAGCTTGGCAAGGAGCTATTGGGGAGAGCTGTCTGCTTTGTGTTATCGCAGTTACGTCGCAGATCGAGACTCGTCTAGGCCATCTTACATCATGACAAGATAGGATACCCTTACCTAGGTATGTCCTAGATATCATAGAGGCGAGGAGAGGCGAGGAGGGGCGAGGGATTGGCATATCAGAGCCAAAAGGTTCGGACGACTTGGGTGGTTATGACGAATTTAGAACACACAAGCCGAAAGACAATCCAGCCCTCTTGTGACTCGCGAACAGAGCTAAAGCTATCATATGCAAGTTAAAAAAACGACGGGTTGCCATTGGATCAGCTTGGATGTCTAGGCAACACGCTAGTTACCCCAACCGTCATCTTGGCTTTGGAGCTTGGTATTTCTTATATCGATTATGCTGAGTCGTGATACTGCTCCAAACAAGGACGTATACGGGAGACGGCTGCAATGTAACCAATAAGAATCCGGGGTCTCACGACAGACCATGCAGCAATATCCGGGAGGCAACCCATTTACCACTTCCGGGCGATGCTCCTTTGTTACTCTAGTAGATCATACACTCTCTAGTAGAGTCTTAGGCAGTTAGACCGGGTAGAGTAGAAGAGCTCGTGGGGAGATGGACACATGGAGAGATGGACAGATGGAGTAGGAGAAGGAGACGGAGACGGAGAGAGAAGTCGATTACTCCGCCACATCAATCGATGTCTCGCAATTCGAGGAAAGATCGGGTGGAATTACGTACATGGAGCCAAGGAAGGCGAGGTACTCCCAAACTCTATCTGTCCCCCTGTTTGCATGTGGTTTGCTCCTTCTCATCGTATAAAGGGTCTCAAAACCCAGATATCTGGGTCAAAGAAAAGTATTAGTCTTATACAGATCTCGATCCTTTCAACTTCATACCTTATTAAAATTAGAAAACATACTATTTATTACACACTTCTTACCTAAGGTATTTCTATTCTATTCTTTGAAGACGAGCTACAATATCGTCCATTCTACCAACATATCCTATAGTCTTGAAGCTAATACGTAGCTACTCCTAGACTTTTATTACACCTGTACCATACCTATTCAACCCAAACACAACTACGATGGCAACAGGCTTTCAAACACAAGCACCCCAATTCACGAATGGCTTCGCCGGTGAACAGCCGCCAGCCAGGGAACGAACTTCGTCGCGAGACTACTCAAACACAGACGAATGGGGTGAGTCTTCCCCCTATATGAGCATTTTACAATATACCGAAGCAAATCTCCACGAATTTTTGATATTTTTTCCAGTATACTGACATGAGATGTCATAGACGCATCCAAGACACCTCCCTCACGCTTCCAGAAGCGCAAGGGCAGCATCTACGCCACGCCCTCGTCCAGAGACGGCCACGTCGAACGCAACCGCGATGCCGTCGAGGAATTCCACAAGGCGCACTCGAAGCGTGTACGTATTCCAGCACCCTTTCAGACTCCACTCCGGTCTGCCCGGTCTATCCTCTCCTCCCCTTCCCCTTTTTACTCCTGTCTCAAAAGTCGGAGTTGTTTTTAACCCCCTCTCCAACCGACATATTATATTTCCCGAGACATGTCTTACACCCTAAACCCTTGAGCCCTTGCGGAGAGGTGCGGAGGTGGATAAACAGCGACGTCAGACTTAACATTAATACTGACCATCACTTTCCAGTGGTCCATGTCGAGCGCCGGGTCTAGTCGCCGCGGCAGCGTCGGCAACGCCCTCAAAGACAACCACGGGAGTGCCAACGAGCAGCGCAAAGGCAGCCAATAGGGACGGACCGTGTGGCTGCCGCTGATGGAATAGGGTCGGGGTCGCGAGGGTCATAACCGACACCACCGCAGAGACAGAGACACCTCCCCCCACGAATACACCTACGAATTCGAACTCGTACACACGCACATACGTAACCGTCGAGTCTACAACGAAGACGAAGACGAGGTCTCGCTGGGAAGGAAGAAGAAAGTGTTGATGGGTCCGGGGCTCCTGTGCTTGAAGGGGCTGGTTGATTCGTTCGCCTGTATTACATACATAGGGTATCGCGGAATTTGATTCTGATGTTGATGGGGGTGCTGATGACGACGGTGGGGAGAGGTTGTATAGGTAACCCGGCACGAACTTGCCTTGTTTTATTCTCGTCGAAAATTCAATTCTTACGTTTCGCTTCGCTATGAACAAAAAAGAAATAAATATACAGAATTCGATTCGAATTTGCTCCCTGTTCTATGAAATGACTGCTATGGTTATTCATTCTGGTACATAAGTGGAAGTAAGGTTCGTGATAATGAGGGGATGTGATGTGATGCGGTACCTGGCTGGGTCCTCGCGGAAGATTGCTATTACACCCAAGATGTTCCAGGTCACTTCTCAACAACCCCCTAGATCGTATCTCGACGAAACTCATCTCAGTTTAGTCGATATGAATTTCCTATCGCATTAGTACGTATGAAGAATTCCAGATAGAGCTTACGAGTCATGTCTAGATTCGGTGGCAAGTGAGACTAAGATAGGTAAGCACCCGTCTCACGCCAACAGCGTCCGAATCCATCCGGTTTTCAATGTGGGGGTACGTGCCGAACACCCATCCGGCAGACATATGCCGTAACAAAATCAGGCGACGCGCATCCATGGATAGTATCACTCAACAAAATAATTAAGATAGATACCTACTTGGATAGGTAGGTAGGTAGGCAGTAGGTAAGATTGGCTTTTGGTTCGGATAAGTTGTTTATGTAGGTACGGAAGGTAGTAGTAAGGTAGGTTATGGAAGGGTAGTTAGGTATCTGCTCTGCTTTGCTCTGCTGCTATGCCACCGGCAAGGTAAAAAAAACCGTCAACAACCGGCAAAAGAAAAGAGGAAAGAAGTTTAAGATAAGGAAAAAAACCACACGTTGACAAACGGAATATGCTGCCCGTTAAATGATGATGATTGGATTTGTCATCCGTTTCCCTTTCCCTAAGCTCCCTTCAACCTTATGCCAAATGAAAATATGAAGAACCAGTACAAAACCACCTGGGGGGATTAGAAACTAATATCGTCTCATTCGTCGTCCATGTCATCGATGTCGATGGCATCTGGATTTGTCGGAACGGGAGGCAGCTCCTTTTGGATCGTCCCTGCGAGTCCTGCGCTCGCTGCCACGAATCCTGCCGGTGCCCGGGCCTGCCGTTCGAGTTGCTCCATCGCGTCGGCGACCTCGGGGTCTCCTGTTCCATTGGTACCTTCACCCGCTCCTCGTTGGTTAGCGCGTGCGATGGCTTGCGATGCAATAAAGTTAACATCCGTGTTATACTGTGCCTGCACGCTGCGCTTGATCCGTAGCATCTCCTTGTATGTATCCTCGTTACCGTGCTGCACCTCAAATTGCTCCCACTTGGTCCAGAACGCGGGGTTGGTGCGCGGGTCGCAGAATTGAGATGCGTGGCCGTAGATGGCGCGAGCACGGTCGATTTCACCCAGCCGTTTCTCCATGTCGGCGAACTTCAGACACATATCCCGAGCCTCTTCGTCGGGAAGGGCTGCAATGGCCCTTTCGTAAATCGGTCTTGTGGACTGGACTCCAAAGTTCGAGGCTGACTTGGTGATATAGAAGTTGAACATATCGGCGCGGTCTTCATCTGATACGGCACGAGTCGCTCTTTCGTAAATGCGCATAGCATGCCTTGCCAGGCCTCTTTCTTCTTCAAGGTTGCCATACATAAGATATAACGTCTTAGCGAACTTAGGAGGGCAATCTTCAACTGCTTGCTCGAAGAGGTCGCGAAGCCGTTCGATTCCGATTTTTCTATCCACCGCCTTTGTCAAGTATAGATTCCATAATTCGAAGGCGACAGGGTAACTGAAGAGGTCAAGTCCTCTCTCGTAGATCTTGAAGGATTCTTCGTAGTACTTGTTTTCTTCCAGTAGGTTGGCGTAGTTGACAACAGTTTGTGGTGTAGCAATACGAAGCTCGAAAATTCGTTCGTATACCTTCTTTGTCTCTTCGAGAGTGCCGACGCCTTCTACAAGGTCGACATAGAAACTCCATAGCTTCCAACTCTTATGAACCCTCTGTTGTGGCGAAAGGGTTTCATCGAAATAGTCGACTGTTGATCTCTTCGGAGCTTGCACGGCCTTTGTCATGATCTTGACTGCCTCATCCAAGTTCTCATTGCGAAGTTCCATCTCAGCCCATTCGATCCACATATCGGCCAGCTCCGCAACTGATTTGAAAGGAACTTTGACGGCCTTCTCCATAATGACTCGCGCACTTCGCAAGTCACCCCCCTTCTCATAGAATTTGGCGTAATTAGCCCACAGCTGGTGAAAGGGTCCCACTGCTTTCTTGGGATTGATCGCGGCAATAGCATCGGTATATGTCTGCACAACCTCGACTTTATTATCTCCCCAAAGTGCCACTCGTTTTTCCCATTCCGAGACGCTGTTGGGATTCTGCCGTAGCAATACATCATTGAGTAGGAATGGCCGTCGGTCCATGAGTTGCTCGAATCGCATCATGCGTATATCTAGATCAAAATCGGCATCTTCGTCAACTTTGCCGGATTCCGTACGTTCGGATGCTAGTTCCATCAGCGCGCCGATGATGGACTCCTCAAATTCAGCATAACTGTCGAAGATGAGAGTAAAGTCTCGAACAGTCATAACAGTCGTAATGCCTTCTTCGAAGATGTCCCTTGCGCGTTCGAAGCTCCCCCTTTTCGCCCAATATGTCGCTAGACCACACCAGAGCTTCCCCCTTTGATCGGCAAATCTGTCGATACCACTCCTAATGATTCGCTCGACGTCGATGCCAGTCTCGTGGCCAGTCTCAACTTCGTTGGCATGCTCTACGAGCAAATCGACCATCTCACTCCATAACTCGTAATGGCCTTTACTTTGCTTGCTGTTGAATCGCGGGTTGTTCAAGATATCGATGTACTTCTTTACAGCCTCGGTGTAAAGGCCAACCTGAATAAGAAGCTCGATAAAGTCTTCGGCATCTTCAGGATGAACCTGCATATACCTCCGCCAAATCTTGACTGCCGTGATGCCAGAGGCAGAGTTGGCAAATGGCCTGTATAGCGCCCATATTCTGTTATGTTGGGTTATAGGAAGGGCTCGTAGTGCTCGGTCGAAGGTGCGCCGAGTGAGAGTAACGAGAGGCTGCTTCAGTAAGAATTTCAGGTATAACTCCCATATTCTTGGCATCTTGTTGAGCAGGATTAGTGCTCGCTCGAATAGGGCGTTGACCTTCTTGTACTCGGAAGCGAAGACGGCAGCGTTCAGCTTCGAGACATGCTTGGTTCGGAATTGCAAGTACTGCCCAATGTTAGTATTGAAATTGCGAGCATACGAAGGTATCGCCAAGGGAAACTGAATCAGGATTTGCCTACCATCTTCCAAAGCTTGTACGACCTCGGTAGTTGCTGACAAGCCCGCTCGAGAACGAAGGCCTGCTCCTGGGGGGTGCCATGCTGGAGCTTGAACTGAATGTAAGCTAGCCATGGTTTTGTACTGCCTGGGTCTCGTAGGATATCCTGTTCGTAGACTGCGTCTTCATCTGTCTAAAGCGATGTTAGTTACAATTATAATCATAGTGGATGAGTATTAATAAAATGGGTAGAACAAGAACACTTACAACAAGGTGAAGGTCTGGTTGTCGGGCACTTCGGATGCCATTGGTCAGGCCATTTGGCGACATTTTCAACAGAAATATCCCAGCGATTGTGGTTGTGCGCGATCGCTCGCAGATAATGTCTGCAGGTCGACGGTGTAATCGAGATAGTCAGGGCATCGTCGAGAAGGTTATAGGGTTGGCGACTGATTTCGACCTCAGGCGTCGAAGTGCGTCGAAGTGGGAGGCGACCGACGTGAACGCGCGACTGGTTCCAACTAGGTAAATTATTTTAAAGATCAGGTAGGATTGGTTAGGATTTTTTTCTGAATTCCAGGACCATGGCAAACCTTCAACCTATTAGAATTAGTCTTTCATTAGGCCATTATTAGAGTTTAGATGCAAGCTGAATGCACGTACTAGGATGATGTGTCCACTTATTTACCAAACCATCAACGAAGAAGCCCACTTGTACATATGCGACTTCAGCTAGGAAGGTACCTCCGTCATGTATCAAAGCTGCTAGCAGTGCAACTGCACCTCAGCACTCTAATTGATAAGTTCATCACGAGTACCTAGCAACTACCTTCAACCTCCTCCCAATCAGCTTCCATTCTCCATCCCTCTTCGCTCTAGAACTCTCGAATTGTATATACAACCACCATCGTGCTGGGAGCCTATCGAACATAACCAAACATTACAGATACAAAGGGTCGAAGGCAACGGATAGTACATAATGTCGGGAGCTGGAGTATGTCAACAATCTCCGCCATATTGGATCGAACATGAAGTTGTAGTATGATGCTAATGCATCCCTTAGGACCGCGAGGCTGTCTTCCCGACGAGACAGTCGTTGGGTATCATGAAGTCGAAGCTCAAGGGAGCTGAGACGGGTCACAGTTTACTGAAGAGGAAGAGCGAGGCCCTTACCAAGTAAGCTCTCTAATATCCCCGACCTCATTGTCCTCTCATGTCTAACCTCTACAATTAGACGTTTCCGAGAAATCACCCGCCGGATCGACGAAGCGAAGCGCAAGATGGGTCGGGTCATGCAAATCGCCGCCTTCTCTCTAGCTGAAGTTTCGTACGCCGTAGGAGGCGACATCGGCTACCAAGTGCAAGAATCCGCCCGATCGGCGCGCTTCCGGCTGCGCACCAAACAAGACAATGTCTCCGGTGTGCTTCTCCCCGCTTTCGAGAGCTACCTGACGGAGGGCAACAACGACTTCGGCCTCACTGGTCTGGGAAAGGGTGGACAGCAGGTTCAGCGGTGCAGAGAGACTTATGCTCGCGCGGTGGAGACGCTGGTTGAGCTAGCTAGTCTGCAGACCGCATTCGTGATTTTGGACGAGGTGATTAAGGTTGTGAACCGAAGAGGTAAGCTTTCTTGAAGTGTTTTGACGAATAACTAGAGGGCTGAGCTGACTATATTACTAGTAAACGCAATGTAATTTAACCCGATCTAGCACCCTCATACGCAAACACTAAACTAACTTGACTATAGCGAACACGTGATTATCCCCAGGACAGAAAACACTATTAAATGTAAGCCCTTTTCTTCAGTGTTCCGGACCAAGTACGGAAGTAGCTAACTCTAGCGTAAGACATCAACTCAGAGCTTGACGAGCTAGACCGAGAGGAGTTCTACAGGTTGAAGAAGGTGGCCGGCAAGAAGCAACGTGATACTGCTGCGGCAGACGCAGAGATGAAGGCGAAGAAGGAGGCGCAAGAAAAGGAAGGGCAAAAGGACGTTCAGCCAGATGACTCGGCGCCGGCTGATTTGCTAGCTACTAATGAGGACGACGATGTCATTTTCTAGAATGAAGTTGTGGGGAACTAAGTACGGCTTATTCAGACGAGTGAATGGGAGGTGGTTAGCCGGGGCTTGAACTGCATTATCCGCTGGGTTCATCGGCTTGTCGTTATTGTGTATCTGTACCCCTATTGTGATACCAAGAAGTTGAAATGGCTTTGGATTCCTCTACTTTCTAGTCTAGGCACAGGAGCAAATTAAAGAAACATGAATATATATCATAAGCAAATCTCGTAATTTGTCTTTTACTTCGTTTTGCTACCAATGGGTACCTTACCTGCCTACTACGATGTCTATATTAGGCCAAGTGCAAAAAGGGTATAAGTAGACGCGTATCGTACATGCCATCCCCCGTCTCTACTCCCCACCACCAAAGCTGGCCACAACCAAACAGCACAAAAGCCTACGCTTACTGCCTCTGGTACGTGACCTTGATAAACTTGTCGCCAAGCGACATACCCGCCGTATTCTCCTTGGCGGTGATAGCGCCGGCCTCGGCCTCGTACTCGATAAACGCGATGCCCTTGCGGCCGGGGACGAGGCGGACCTCGCGGAACCCTTCGAAGCGCCCGAAGATGCCCGTGAGCGCCTCGATGTCGTGGTAGTCGTCCGGCACGTTCTGCACGAACAGGATCTTGTTCGGCGGCAGGTACTCGTCGGGCACGACGGCGTTGGGGCCCGCCGACGGCGCCGTCGGCTTGAGCCCGCGCGCTGCCTTCGCCGGTCGCTGGCCTTCGCCTGCTGCGGGCACCGCGCCGGGGCGCTTGAGACGTTTTTGCTCTTCGGCTGCTTCTAAGGCTTTCTTTTTATCTGGTTTTAGGGGGGGCGCGTATGTTAGCATCTGGCTCTCTTGTATTTCTCTTCCTTTCCACGTCTTCAATTGTAACATCAAAATACAGAAAATCGCGACATACCTTTCTCGGCCAACCGCCTCCTCTGGTGCAGCTCGAACTCGTCTTTGTTGCCGGTGCTCAGGACGGTCGCGTCGCTCCTGGTTCGCGCGAGCGCGACTTGCATGGGCTTGTCGAAGAGCTCGAAGCCCTGGACCTCCTCGACGGCCTGGGCGGCGGATTCGGGGCGCTCGAAGACGACGAAGGCCTGGCCCTTGGCCTTGAGGTTGCGCTTCGCAACGATGTCGATGATGTTGCCGTACTCGGAGAACACGGTCGATAGGGCCTCCTTGAGGGGCTCCGGCTTGACGCGCTCCTCGAGGTTCTTCACGTAGACGCTACGTAAACGGAAAGGAATCGGGTTAGCTACTTGAACGAGACGAGGATGGTACACATAGCCAGGGATTTGTATGTGTCGGAGTGCAATGACACATACGTGGCGATGGGTGGGCCTGAAGCCATCTTGCTAGATATTCTCTCGTGATAATATTTAGGGTACTTTTATCGCTTCAAAGTGAACGATGGTGTTCAGGTACTTAAGTTTGAAGTTTGAAGTTTGAAGTTGCGATTGTTTGAACCTGGAATGGAACAACACGCTAGAGCACAGGAAAGGTAGATGCTGTTTTAGTCCTTATCGATAATGAGGAGGTACCTCGATAAGTACATAAATCAATAGATGCATAAAAGGGTACCCCTTGATAAGCAGACATACATTCAGTCGACTACAGGTGGGTGTATTCCTTGTAGGATTTCACCTAGTCTTATTTCCAGGGCGTATGTCGTGTCGTCACCATTTTATTATAGAATAAGGTATATAGGTATTTTCCACTTCAGGGTCTGCCCCTTTTCAACTCGCTCTATTATACAACACATAACACTGGGGGCAGCCCATCTCCTCTAACTTTGCACTGGACCTGCTGTCTATAGCTTATAGCTCTCATCCACAATGAATACGAACACACCGTATTTTCTTCCTGGTTCTTAAGTTGCTGCAACTTCCTCCTCCTGGCTATTACCCTTCTCTTCTACCTGCTGCTCGACCGGCTCTTCGGCTTGTGGTTGTTGCTCCTCCTGTGCGGCTTCCGGCTCCTCTAATGCTAATTCGGTGCGTAAATCAGGCAGGAAACGGTCAATTCGCTTCCACGTTTCTACCCATAAGTTCTCCTGGGATGGGTTCTTGCTTGGCGGAACGAGGTATCCACTACTGGACATAAATAGTAGTACGTTTTTCAGATTTTCAGGGACAGCCTCCTCCTAGATGCCGGGTTAGCGATGAGCTATTAGTCAATCGAGATTTCTTTAAGACTCACAAGACTGTCGCCCTGCCCACTATTCATCAGCCTGTCCATGATGTCGATGATTTTGAGCCACAGATCCAACATGCCATCCCACTTAGAGAGAAGTACAAGGTATTGCAGGAATGTCTTGCAGAGAAGCGAGGCTGCTTGTACTCTCGTTTCACTCATGCCATCCCGATCTGAGGAGTAGACTTCTGGCTTCAGAAGTCTCAAGATTAGCGGGAACAAGACCTCCCCGAAAATAGCGGTCCATTCTTTGTGGTCACTGCATGTTAACTCGGGAGATAGGAGTGACCTCTGAAGAGACGAGAATGCCAAGGATCGCACTTCGCGGCACGGGTTGGTGCACTGTGAGGTTAGAGCTTGGAAAATAGGTAGCCAGTATGCTGACCAAGCTGTAAAATGGTCAGTATGGTGGCGCAGGGTCGTACGAAAACGGACTTACCCTCGCTATTTTCAAGGTGTGACTGTTTCATCAAATGAGGGATACGGGATGTCATGCTAGAAATAAGATTGATAGCTTTAACACCCCGTGAGACGACAGCGTTATCGCTGGCCTCCTTCTTAGGGGGCCGAGCATTTCTCTGCCTTCTCTCACCCTTCTGCTCGACAGCTGCGCCGACTTTAGCGGCAGTAGCGTACTCATTGAGCAAGGCAATAGCAGCTTCGTAGTTATCCGCAATTATTGCGGACGGCGAGCCCGATACGCCTCCCTCCAGTATCTCAAAGACGGTTGGAGACGCCTTGGGGCTGCCCGCAAGGATGCGTAAGATAACCCAGAAGTCAGGCGAAGTCATAATTTCGCTCCGTAGAGGGCCTGGTTGTTCGATACAAAGTTTCAACCCTTGCAAAACCAACTGTGATGTCTTTGAAAGCGTTTCCAGCGGGAAGCTCGATATGGCATGCAAAAGCACAGGTGCCCGTACAAAATCATGATCCTGTCTTGTTAGTATAGGCATACCCCTAAGCGATGCTGTGGTGTTGCTTACATAACTAGCCTTTAGCACGCTAAATTGGTAGAAAGCGGCTCGTGAAACAAGAATGGGGTGGTGTTGGGGAGAATCGCGCAAAATCATCTGAAGAGCTTCTGCGACTGGTTTGCCGAGCAGTCCAATCGTTTCATCGTCCCTCAATGCGAGAATAGAGCAAAACTCAAGGATATATACCACTGCAGGGTCATAGGTTGGTTCCCTGGGCGATGGTTTGGAAGTAGATGGAGAGGAAGGCAAGCTCTCCTGCTTAACTGTGATGACAGGAACAGCTGAGCTTTCATCGTCAGGTAATTCATTCAATAAAGCTTCAACGAGTGGAGCCAATGATTTAGGTGGCAGAGCCCTGCGCAACGTTTAGTAATGTGTAGATAATTAGTTCAGAAACGACTTACGAAATGTTGGAAAATATGCTTTCTAGATCGCAAGCTTTGATGCAGTCAGCTGTGCTTAAGGAACTCTCCACCTCCTCGGATGATGGTTCCGGTGGGTCATCGGCCGCATAGCTAGAGATATACGAAGATAGTGCTGAAAATAAGCCCGTGTCGGTAGTTTTCGCTGCTCGGTCGATGACTTGAGATGGCGTGCGGAGAGGAATTTTGGGGAAGTTCAACGTCTCATCGCCATTAAAGAATGAGGGGATAAGGGAGTTGACGAATAATTTCAGCCAGATACGTATGATCTAGACAAGTTAGCCGAAGAGAAGGCAAAGTGTATTGGAATGAACCTACATGTTCCCAGCCATGGCGGATGACTTGTTCACTACCCTTCACAACACGGAAAAGGACGAGAGTAGCGAGTTGCGCTTTGAAGTCTCTGCCGAGCTTAACGGCGAGTCCGCTAACCATAACGCTGTCACTATCATCCGATACCTTGACTTCCGTGTTGAGAGCAGTGTCCGACAGGTCATCTGTATCTAATGTAGTCATGTAGCTGAGGTTCTGGATAATACGATCGAGTGCATCCGCGATGCCATATCTCGAAGCAATCTGAGCACACTGGTCGAATCCAGTGACGACTCGGGAAAAGACCGCATCGTCTGTTGCCGACATGAACACATAAGACAATGTCGAGACGATGGGCTTCCAGGTAGCAGCAAACATATCGGCGTCGTAGATATTGGTATCGCAGAGCGCCAACGGCCCTGCCGACTCAGTCTTGAGCAGAAGCTCTCGCCATGCGTAATCGAACGCGTGTCTATTATCATGCTCATCGGGGAGAATAATCTCATTGGTCTTGATTGCCTCGAAAGTAGCTTCGAGGAATTCAGGAGGGAAATCTTCTAAAGCATTGACACCTCGTAGGTTGCGAGCGAAGTCCACTAGTTCCATGCGCTGTTTGCCTTTGAGCTTTGGGCTGTGTTGATCGACATTCAGCATGATAATCGCGTACGTAAGGATGAAAACAGCATCTTCACTCTTGACGATATCTGAGCCCGAAGATGCGAAATACTTCTTCGCGAAGGCAGTCACTATGCGCTCGATAAGCGGCGACTCGCCTGGAAGCCGGAAGCTCTCGAGAAGAAGCCGGACTGCTTCGTCGACCCGCTTGCCAGAAAAGTCAAATAGATCCAAAAATGCCTCCAAGTACTCGTCATTGCCCCTTTTCGCGAGGAACTCACCAAGAACGGCCTTGGAAATGCGTGATGTACTTCTGAGAAACTTGGCGGCTGACGCAGCGTCATCACCGATAATTCCCTGTTCCTTAAGATACCCTAGCCCTTCTTTCGGTTTCTCATTAAATTTAGTCGCGCCCTTGACAATTATCTTCTTCCTTCGCCTTGCATCTCGCAATGTGGCTTGATCGGGCAATCCATCCGAAACCGGTTCGTTATCTAGACGCTCTGCTATGGATTGGACGAAACCAAGGAGAGCATCTAAACACAGAGGAGGAACGCTAGTCGTGCTCCAAGTCGCGGAGTCGGGTAGAGCGCTTCTTGAAAGCAAACCGATCATATCTTCACACAAGTTGCCTCGATTCGCATCTGAATCGTAATTCACAAATAGCTCGACTAAGAAAGCCGGCATTCGGGTCAGAGCGCCGACACTTTCGACCATTGCTTGACGAGCATCCGGTTTGCGTGCACCACCTTCCATGCCCAGCTTCTGCCGGTCCTTAACCGGAACTGGTGTGGACCTCCCACTACCCGCTTGGGATGGGGGAGGCTTTACACCGCTCGGCCTCTGCGGGATACCATCGTAAAGCGAAGGGTCAATGTTAGCCTCACGTGGTATTTCTACTGGTGGGTGCAAACATGCGATGAGGTAGGATAAGAAAAGCTCCTGTTGGAGCTTCAAGACACCTCTGCAGGTTTCGAGCAACGTTCCAGCTACGATAAGTGATTCTTGGAGAATGGCCATGTTGTCAGATCGAACGAGCTGGAAAAGATGTCGGCATAAACGGTCTTCGGCAACCAGGGCTAGAGCCGGGTGTCTTGCTATAGAAGGACCAGCAACCTCCAATGCAACGTGAATGATGCGTAACGCCATGACCCTCATCGTATCACCTTGCTGCTTATCGTGGGGATCTAAGAGATCTACGAGAACCCTAAATAGTTCTTTCATAGACGGCAATGAATATGGCTTGATTTCCGTATCGTCGTCGGATTCCTCGGATTCTCTTCTGGATCCGTCCTCCGCTTCCTGGCCGGTGTTCTCCGATCCTGATGATTCTCGTGGCTCATTAGCTGGAGGTGCATCAGAAGATGCGATAACATCGTTTCCATTGGTGGATGGAATCATTTTAACGCCTTCCATATCTCCGTTGGTTTGGTTATCTAAAGCCTCCAAGTCGTCACCGGCTTCGACTTCCAGATGTTTGAGATGCTCAAATATGATCTGGCACATACGGACCATAGCCGCTTCAGCCGTCCTACGGAGGAGTTCGGATAAACGTGACTGGCAGCACATAGTTAAACCTGTCTCCATCATTTCGCAGACGCTTTCGTCGCTTAGCAACGCGCCACCCGGACCAGAGAGCATATCCTCCATGAGGTGTAGGATCATAAGCAGTACCACCTCATCCTGAGCAGAATCGCTGGCCTCGAAACGACAGTGTGTTATCGCTGTCGACAGAGATTGCATGGCAAGGGGGAATCGTGGCGAGCCAGGGCTGATGAATCCATAAGAGAGGAATTTCCGGATCGCTTTCAGCGCAAGTATAGTTATAGGAGCGGACGTCGAGGAAGCTTGAATCACTTGAAGGAATGGATTTAGGAGTGCCGGGGCATCGAACTCGTGTATATCTGAGGGTCGGATCAACATTGCTTCTATTAGTCACACAAGAGATCCCTAGTATTTACCTTTGCAGCTTGATAGTTCATGACGCAGGCGACCAAACCCAGCCATCAAAGGATTGTCCTGGAAGCTCTTCCCCTTCTTTCCGCGTAGTCCCCACCTATTTGCGACTCCAAAGTCCTGAGTGCTGTCTGCTCCGAAGCTAGCTGTAGAGCTCTTACTACCCGGCCGTAGGAAAGGACTAGGCGGACCTAGCTGGACGGGATTCGGATTACCTCCAAGTATGGAAGATACCGACGAGCCCGCCCACCGAGCATGCTTTCGCATAGCAGAAGTAACCGATATGCATTCTGAGATGACTAGAGACACGGGGTCAACAGCCACTGTTACTGGCCGGCTTCGGTATTGGGTATTGGGCGACTGAGCATTGACATTTGCTGCGGCGCTTCCTATCGCGCTTTGATGAGGCTGGGGACCCGAGCTATTCGACTCGGGCGCAAGTTCTTGTTCCATTGTATTATTTTCGTGTTCATCCCGACTCATCGTCGCCTACGAAGGCGCCACTAGATTTATGGAAGGGGGTTTAGGACTCGATATCGTTGTCGCGCACTCGAAGATCTCGAAGATACAATACGGCAAGGTTATGCCCTAGAAATTAGCATGCGAAATGCGGAATTGGACTTTGAGGGGTTCGTGTAGGCGTCGCTACGTTTTGAATGATCCAAGACCCTTTCTTACTGTCCAATGACGTTTAATATGTAGGTATGGACAAGCTGTCGTGAATAGTAGTATCGTAGATCTTATCCTATCGCCGTGGCGTCGGGTCCTTAGAAGTCTTGCACGTGCCAGAAAACTGTCGCCAGCTGGCCGAACTATAATCGGCAAGTGTTAATCCGATTATAACAGCGTGGCGGCAACCCCTACCTTACTAAGTATTACCTAAGCCCGTGGCTTCCAGATCACAATAAAGGGGAACCGAATTTAATAATAATTCAATAATCCATTCATGGATGTTTCTTCATCACTTATACCATAAACGTGAAATCAAACCGAAGATATTAGTTACATCTAGATAGCTAGCTCGTCAAGAAACGAAATCGCCAGGACATAGGTGGAACAAAATATCTACTAGTAATGTAGCCTCGAGGCCGGTCTATACAATTAACAACGCAACTCCATTGCCACGCCCAGTTCAAAATAAAAACTTCCATGCTTCGTAATCATGCGTCGACACTACCAGAAACGCCGTGCCATGATCCTCACCATGGTCCTCGTATTGTACACGACCATATTTGATCAAATGTGTGCACGCCTACCCTTCCCCTTGGTCCAACCCGATTTTTTTTATATCTTCCTGTGCTCATGGACAACAAGTCCGGCATTGCGGCAAAGAACATAAGTGCAATCGAAGGCTATACCCGTAATTATATCCTAGAGATCGCTCTCTACTCTAGGCCGCTACCCTAAATTGGTTGTTCTTAGGCTGCTCTTCAACCTTATTATCAGCTGGCTTTTTGGAATCTTGACTTGAATCTTCCACCTTGGACTCGACTTTTTGCTCTTTCTGTTCTTTTTGAGCCTCCTTAGCCAAGTTCTGTATACCGGACTTGTCTTGTTCCCATTGAGCATTGGCGTCACTGAACTGCTCCTTTACCTTCTTCTCCCGGTCTTGTTTGGCCTTTTCTTCAGCCTCCTTAGCTTGACGCTCAGCCTCCATCTCCTGTTTCGAGTTAGCACGTCTCCATAAAAAAATTGAATTATTAACGTACCTCCATATGTTTAATATCATCCACACTGGGTTCGTACAAATGCCAGATCGTGTAATGAGGAAGTCCGACAACAGAAAATTGCATGCGTTTAGCCATCTATGCATATCGTTAATATCAAATCGAGTCGTAGGGTAATGGGGGACGTTACCTTGCCAAAGCCTTCGGTTTCAGCGTGTTTTTCAAAACTGAAGGCCGGGAAATGGACACCCGATCTGAATACTCTCGCCTTAGCGAGAATACTAACACCTCCGACGCCATCAATTTCCATTTCCATATCTGGATCACCGTATGGGTCACGGAGGTAGGCAAGGTGAGGCCGCCATGTAGCGTACTCGGCGTATCCCTCTACAATCACAGCATCTTCGTCTAGGGTATCTGCAAGCGCAAGCGCTGTTTCAGACTCCTGCCACGAGTTCAAGTCATATGGTTGCTCGCCCCCAAGCCAGTCAGGAAGTGGTCGCCAAACATCTGTAATAGTATCAGTAACATGATAAACGGCTGCAACGATTCTTAGAAAAGCTCACTTGGAACAATGACATCCTTGTTGTGACGCATCAAGTCCTCTAGAATAGTAAATGGTGCTGTCTCGACATCGACGTCTCTCCAATAAACCCATGAATGATACGGCCGAAGGGTTGCGCTTAACAGCCAATTACGCGCTTGGGCCATCAGCTTTCGGCGACTTGCCTGTGCCGCAAATCCGTGCCGACTCTCCACATCTTGGTTGACCTTCTGACCAAAGTCTTTTTCGATGATTGATATTTCTCCGTAAGGTTGTTTCGGGTCTTCTGCAGCTTGTAATTCCTCGAGCTTCTCGACAAGTACTTCCAATGTTCTGTCTTTCGAGTCGGAAACGAGGAAAGCAAGGTCGACAAGGTGGTGAGGGTATGTAAAGTTGCGAAGATGTGAGAACATCATGTTGAGATGTGGTTCGGCGTCTCGTAGAGGCACGCACATGAGAATGCGTTCCTCTCTTTCCCAGCCGCGAGCAGTTCCCTGAACATTCGACAGGTCGTAATATCGGACAGTATCCATCAAAACATCGCTACTTGTACTTATGAGACCTAGTGAAAAGATTGACGTAAATACTCCGCTTCCCGATGAGATGAACAGCCAAATCAAAAAGACGACGAAAGCGATTATACCCAGCCGCGTTAGGAGGTTTTTCCGTCGACGAGCTGCAGGTGTCGCGGCGCGCGGTTGGAATCTGATTGACTATAAGTCAGTAAATGGTTCTCAAAACGGCTGGCCATATGGAGCCGGTCGTCAAGCTTCGTTAACGCGCCAGGGACGAAGGGAGGCAACGAACCTGTGAGGGGAGATATCGAAGGTATTGTTCCGCGGGTAGCCATTGGAGATTCCGGTGGAATGATGCCGGGACATCATCTTAGAACCGGTCGAAGATGCATATGAGGGTAACATTCGGAAAATGGGGGCGACACGCTGATGAGAGCGCGCGCAGGAAGATTTCGAGATCGCTACGGACGTACGACCTATCTTTAAAGGAAGACCGCCGTTTGGGCTGATGTCTATAGACGCGAGATGCCTTCACGGATTCATGGGCGAGAATAGGACAACGAATCCTATAAGCCGACAGTAAACAGGTCGAAATTGTGGGGTTCGAAAATTGGAAGGTAGTTTTTCAATTTCGCGCCGCCGTCGCCGCCGTCGTGGAATACATTACAATCAATACGAGGTATAGAGACGGAATAATCAAAAAGGTGTCGACTTCAGAAACGTGCCAATTACGCTAGCATCTATCACTCAAATTAGAACACCGATAGGCATGTAACGAGGATGAGCCATCCTCTGCCAAGCCACGCTAGCATTTATTGAAGCCGTTTCAAGTTGGAATGGTACCGAATTTCGAGCCTGATTGGTCAATCTTTTATTTTATGGAGACTTCATGTGCACAGACCATGGTACAGACTTCGACCGGCTTTTCAGCTCTTTTTTATTTCATTTGATTCATGCTCTTCTGGCTTTTTCAATGTTCATATTTGAGACCGACGATAAAATAGTAAGTATACCTAACGAACATGTAATGTTGGTCGATCTGAAAGATGATAGGCGTCCAGATGATCAGCCATGATATCCTCACTATTCTTAGAATCAATTATCATTTTATCATAATAGCTTATTGAGTTGTCTCTCAATTCTCCACGAAGCCCATAACCCATTTACCACATGACTAAATGCAAACAAATATCCGACGTCATGTCAGTCTTTTGAGAAACTCGCTTAGAATTGCCTATAAATCATCAAATAAAAGCCATTGGCCTCTCATGCTTAGACGCAACTAAGCGTCGAATCCCCGTGCCAGATTCTATAAACGTCTCTACTCCCTTTACGACCGAATGGGACAATTTATAGAATAGTCCCATCAGTGGGAGCTGTCGAAGTTCGAGCAGAGTTCCTTTCTTCGGCCCTTTCCTTCGTATGCTGCTCAGTGTGCTCCACCACGGCCAGCCGCTTCCGACTCAACATGCAAAAGCTAACAAGTATTGCAAACGCTCCAATGATTGTACATACACGCATATCTTCGTCGAATGCGTCGGAATATGCTTGTTTGACAGCGATCTGTTGAGCACGAGTCAGACTGCCACCAGCACCTGCAGGTGAAGGAAGCCAGCCAGTTTTCAAAGTTCCGACCTGGTCTTTGATTCTAATCCCTACAATAGCAGAGGAGGCCGCAATACCTATACTACCACCCAAAACTCGAACTTCAGCCATCACACCTTGCGCAGAAGCTATTATATATTCAGGAGGTTAGCTCAGTAGCCTATCGATAGCTGAAGACTAACCGTGATCTTCGCTTGACGATTCCACCGTTGCTACCATAGTTGACGTGGCAACAATTATTCCAAACCCAAGGCCGACAAAGACCAAGAATCCCAGAGCTTTCGGTTCAAGCGTAAATGAGCTAGAAAGGGTTGATAGAAGTCCGCAGCCAAGGACTACGAAGCAAGAGGCCACAATCTGCAACTCAAATGTTCTGTTTGCCTTTCCATTGATGGCCCCTGAAATGACAGAACCAACGGCGCTTGCTCCTAACATCGGAAGCAGCATGACACCAGCCATGAGTGAATCCTTGCCGTTCACTATCTGCAGCCTGAGGGGGAATGCGAAGATGGTAAGCATATAGGGAAATCCGGTAAGTAATGTGTTGATGACTGCTACAGCATACACACGGTTTCGCAATAGACGCATAGGGAGCGCCGCTGCTATTCTATGGTTCCAGCGTTTTTCGACGAAGATGGACCACGCGAACAAAGCTAGCCATAAGATCACCCCAATGACAAGTGGAACAACGAAGACAGCCTGTGACCACCGATCTGTCATGGTGCCGATGTTTTGGAATGGGAATACAACCAGTACGGCTGCTCCAATGAGAAGGATTGAGCCGAGGTAGTCGAGTTCCTTCCAAGTTCTTCTCTCGGTATTTGGCAAATACTGAGGCTTCGGCCACATCAGGAAGAAGAGAAGCATCGCCACTCCGCCGATAGGTCCACTATACACCCATCAGTATGTCCAAACCGTCTTACTTCTGACGAGAAACGCACTTGATCCAGAATATCCATCGCCATGAAGTATACTCTGTTAATATCCCACCAAGTATCGGACCTAGTACACCCGCCATAGCTATCACAATCCCTATTATACCTCCCATGAATTTCTCTACTTTCCGCGGTGAGATCTCGGGAAGTATTATCATCGTAATAGAGTACAGTCCTATCAATAATCAGTCGTATTATACTAACAACCTAGATAGTCACCAACCAGAGCCACCGAGTCCTTGGGCAGTTCGGAAAGCTACCAACTGGGTTAAGCTTTTAGCAAACCCACATGCAAGTGAGAATACAATAAAGATGAGATATGATATGAGGAACGCATTACGTCGGCCGATGATGTCGGATATTCGAGCGAACAGTACAGCACATCCAAGATATGCTAGGGAATAGGCTAAGGCTATCCAATTCACCGTCGCCAATGCCTTGAATTCAATCCCTATGGCGAAGAGACTGGTGGCGACGATCGAAGTATCGAGAAACGATAGTAGCAAACCCACATGAATTCTAGTCTTGCGTTAACTAATGACGACGAAGGATGTCGAAAAGGTTCAAGCTTACCCGACACTGAGAATCGAGTAGCGAAGCCAAGGCAATTCTGGACGGAGTTCAAGTTGTAAACTTGAATCGCTCGAACCGACAGCGATAGTTTCGGCATCCTCGCTCCTGTTGGCATGTTCTAGACGCGGCTCCATGACCAATATCTTGAGGAAAGCCAGAATACGTTTCAGTAATTAAGAGGAATTTTAGTTTTATGAAGAATCTCGAAACAAGGATGACTCGACCCGAAATCCATGGTGTCACGATCCTTCACTACCCTCAGATACACGTGTGGTACCCATATATGTCATCTAGACCCTGCTGCCAGCTTGTCGCTAGATGGCCGCACTGGGCATACTTATCTCGAGCAAATACAAACCTAGAATCCAATCAGACGAAAGTGAACAAAGAACTTTTGTTACTCATTGTGATTCTTATCGTTACCTCGGCTGTTGCCCAAAGGCTACTTACACGCTTTTTGAGACTACGACCCGATAGGATTTTTCTAAGATTGTAGCTCGCTTTTGCTTGCTCGAGTGTGTGACTCTAACCCCACCCACAGCCCCTTTCGAGTTGTCCTGGGGTGACTAGCTCCCATCTGATCGGTAACATTGTATCCCTTAGATAGCATTCACGGCCGTATGGGCCCTGGTGCCAATTGTTTTGGGATCTTTCGCTTGCTCAGACCGATACAGATTCCCTTCGAATTATTGCTATGGCCAACGAGCTTTCAGCCGCCTCATCAATCTGCAGTCCCTTGCCGAGGCGGCTCGCGGAGATTATAAGGGGACCACTTATATCCGCGAAAGCATGCATATTATCCACCGCCCAGAAGCGACAAACATTCGCTATAGGCAGCTGAAAACAAGATACAGGCTTAGCCCCGTTCCCCAGATGCCAATGATCCACACTCGTCATGATGTAGTAAGCTCAGCGGCCGCAGCTGGGGTCCAAGCTCACACAGCATGTCAGTCACGCATCGCCACTGGGTACAACAGCAGCGATGTTCTCCATCCAACCTCAAGGTTATAACTATATCTAGCAGGTAATTACTACTCGTTTCACTCGGGCTCGGTATTCAATCCTGTCCGATATAAGTATCCGGGTTTTGTTTGCGATTAGATTATGCCCCTAAGCCTCGTATTAAAAAGAAATTTCTTCGAAGTCAGCTCTAAAAGTCATCTCTGAAATGACGGGCATTACCGTCACCGCCATAGTTCGCGCTGTCGGTTAAGGTTAATTATATTAATATAAACCGGTAGTGCGGCTCGTTTATTGCAGCCACACATCGAAACGTTCGCTTTTGCTTTTCTCGTAGTTCGCCAGCGGTAACGACCAACGGCCGAAGCAGTTAGACGTTGAAAAGCACTAAATATATATGTGCCGTAAAAACGTTTCGACCATTCCTAATCTAGTAGTAGGTATGTAGCGCATGTTGTGTCACGAGGCGGAACCAAAGGGCTAAGGAATAACGTCGTTGTTGTGCGAAGAGCTTTAACTACTCCCTTCCAGGGGATGCGATATTCATATATAGACTTTCCTTTGTCTGCAGCTAAGGGCTAACTGCCAATAGGGCGGCCTCGTACAAGCCGATTCCCGATCCTCCTGGGCTATTAGCTAACCCTGGCAAAACCTCTATCAACTCTCACAGAGGAGGCTTCTAACGTGTTGATATGGATAGGTACTTAACTGCCTAAGGTAGGTTAGAATTAACACTTGGATTTAAAATCCAGGCTCATTGTAAGCGATTTGTGTTGCTAGGTGATTAAGCAACTTTGCTTAACGACTTAGACAATAATACCTTAGTTCCATACGTATGTAAATTGCTTCGGGCTTTTGAGATTATGAGTACATAGCAAGGTTAGGAATAGCTTCACACTTATCTTAAGTGTAATTATTACGCAGTTGGCCATTAATATTGCGCCACTTAATTTAAGTATCCAATCATTCAATCAGTTATCTGGCACCTGCCTGGTGGCGACCAGCAGCCTGCTTCGATAGGTAGACATTCATGCATCAGAGCCCAAAGTGTGTAGATAGTAAAACTTACCTACATGGTACCTGTCTGACAGCCCCGTAAGAGTAGTTGATATTGATAACACCGTCAAGTGATACCTAGTACCAGTGGCCCAGTCAGGTAATCAGCCTGCACGCAAATTCCCAAGTACTTTCGGTCATATCAACCCGACGCCTGTTACCTCCCATATATGATAAGCATTTGTGTTTTGTTTTACGATAATGTTGCATAGCTGTTTAAAAGGCGTCAACTATCATAAGTCTAACTTTCTTCCGGCTATATTGATCTTCATATAAATATACTTGGTATAATCATGAGTACTGAAAGATTATGCAACTTCTGTGGCGAAATCAATTTCGAAGCCTTAAGAAATCCCTTGACCTCGGACTTGCCTGCTCTTCAAGAAGGCCGGGCAGATACTGCCCGACATCCCTTCAAAGACAAAGGGGACGATGCCCACAAGCTAACTAGACTTGGCACATTTGGTGATATTCTTCTGAGGGGCAAGACATGTCGATTATGTCACTTCATAGGGGATACTTTAACCAGGCACAAAACGGGCCAACTACTTGAAACAGATGTATGTGACGCAGAGGCGTCTTTCTTTGGCGTATACTGCGACCCGAAAGGAAAATACTACTGGATCCGTCGGCTGTCCATCATGGTCGAGATTGGAACCGATGCATATAACATCGGTGGCCCGAAGAAAAGCCTGTTTTATGCTTTCCAGGCTTGCAACATCGGCGCGGCGACTATCCAAGTTGACGATAAATTCTTAGATCCTCGACTTGGTACTGACATGATGATATTTGGAGGTCGTTGGCGCCCGCTTCAGCTTGATCTCCGATGGGTCCGCCGATGGATTAACATCTGTGAGACGGATCACGGCGACACATGCAAGCGGGCTGACGTGGGCTTGGGGAGTAGGCTGGAGAGAATCCGTTTTATTGATGTCAAGAAAAGATGCGTAGTCACCCTGACAAGCATTCAGCTTTCGGATTATCACTATATTGCTCTCAGCTACGTGTGGGGAGGGCCACAGGAACTGAAACTTACCAGCTCCAACAACGACAGAATGGCGCAACAAGGGTCTCTGGCTATGAATCTACCACGGACTATAGAGGACTCGATACTGGTAACAGAGTCTCTAGGGATTCGATATATTTGGGTGGATTCTTTATGTATCATTCAAGACGACGATGGGGACAAGGCAATCCAGATTAGGGCCATGAGTCAGATATATGGTTTCGCCCACCTAACAATTATAGGTGCATCATCGTCCAGCGTCCACGGAGGTCTACCTGGTATACGACCCGGAAGCCGTTCTCTGGAACAGCAAGAGGTAATAGTTCTGCCTGAGAGGAAGACTGGCTCTACTGGCAATGTGCTACCGGGTTTATCCCTTATGACAACATTAGACCCTATCGCCCATCCTAATGAGCACTTCTTGGAACGTACACCCTGGAATAGCCGGGGTTGGACCATGCAAGAGCGCGTGCTGTCTCGCCGCGTACTTGTCTTCATGCAGGAGCAGGTCTACTGGATATGTCGGGAAGCCATGTTCTGTGAAGAATCCTACTTCGAGAACAACAATCTCCGCTTCCACAGATTCCACGCCAACGCCACCGAGGGTACTTTAACAAAGTCTTTTAGGAATTTCTATGAGCCCGAGGATGACCAAATACGCTTCTGGAAGACGTACCAGATTCTCGTCGCCAGTTACACTCGTCGGGCCTTCACTTGTCAAGGCGATGTATCTGATGGATTTCTTGCCATACTTCAGGGGATGTCGGCTCTTTCAGGCAAAGAGTTTACTTGGGGTCTACCTCGATCCCACTTTGAGCAGGGCCTGCTCTGGAACTCCTTTACCGGTCTACAACGTAGAGAAGAGTATTCGACTCTTCCGATGACGTCTTTGCATGTCAAGGTTCCTTTCCCTAGCTGGTCGTGGATGGGCTGGATAGGCGAGGCGTTTGTCTGTATCGGGGACGACCGCTACGATATAGACCTAGGGTAAGTTGAACAAACCCCTTGAAAAATCGTAGCAAGATCTATTAGCCCACATTAGCTCTTAGGGAAGTTCCCGAGATACTCTGTTTTGAGCATTACCATTCCCCCCTCCGCCTCGAACGTGTGAGAAAGGCGACAGTAGGATATGACTTGATAGCGTCGCATGATTGCGCAAGTTGGAAGGCTCATCACAACCAACCTGTTACGCTATCCGATATTGCCGCCCAAAACCCACGGCTTCTCTCAAAAGAGCTTGGCGATGTTCCCGAAACGCAGTTAATCTTCTTCTGGACGAGCTCTGCTATCTTGACTTTGGCCCAGCCGGCGGACGACGCAAATCGGTCCTTTACAATCGTGGACTCACATGGGAGCATAGTCGGCTCTACAGGAACTGTAGGGCCTAAGTCGAGTGGAAGTCAAGGCCGGCATGAATTCATCGTCATAGGTAGCCGGCGAAACCAGTTCTCGGATCCAATGCTACTACTACTCCAGATAGAGTGGCGAGAAAATATTGCCTATCGCGTCAATAGTGCGGAGATTAACGAAAGCGCATGGGAGGCAGAAAATCACACGTGGAAACTTATTCCACTTAGATGACTGTGCCTTTCTCCTTGATTGAGACTCGTATTGAAGGTAAAGTGATTGGTCTGGATGAGATATGAATTCTCGAACGATGTCAGGGATTCTGGAGGTCCTTAGATTAGCGAGCAGCTATACCTCCTAGGTACCTAAGCATATAGCTGCCACTCAGTCCATAGATTTAGCTGACATGACTTAGAATCTATCACAATTTGCAACACGCGAGGAGGGGCGACGAGGACCCATCAACCCTTTCGGCTCAGCAAGCTCAGACCACAGTAGCTCAGCCACCTGCACAGCCACATGTGACTTTTTGCGAAGTAAGCGAAAAGGACACTTGTGGCTGTGCTAATGTGCCTTGAATTTAAAGGGGGTGGAAGAGTAGTACCTAAGTAAGGGGGCATATTTAAGGACATTCGATTCGAAGGAAAGTATACCTATATACAAGTTCTCTTGTCGCTATATATGAGTGGGGTGTTCAGATAGGTGCACGAGGCTTTTAGACTAGACTTCAGTAACGCCAATGTTTAATCCCCTTACGTGTTCATGTATGTAGCACTGAAACCCAGGATGTGCTTCTAAATACAATGAGTGACTAGCTGCGAAAACCTATTCGCAAAACTGCCCTTATCAAGAACCTCCGGAATCTGCAATATACATAGCGAGTGTGAAGCCTCCAGCCGCCCCAACAGAGACTGGAAAGGGGTAGAACAACAATAGTCTTGTTGTGTGCTCCGCCCCTGTCTATTTCTGTCCGCGCTTCTTTAAACCCCCTGAAATCGGAACTAGCCTGGCTAACTCCGAACGCAAAACAATCCATAGTCAAATTTCAAAATCGTCCCTGCCATCAAGCTCCTGTCTCTCAACACACCAGACCGTTTACTGCTGAGCGATAACGCAGCCGGCTTGTCGTGCGCACGTGACCTTCCATAAGTTAAAGCAGGCTTTCTGCTCAGCCGTGCCCATGGCACCGCATTGCGGTAACGCTTTCTCGTACATACATGTCTCGTATTTCAACGTCTGCCAGAACGGTAGGCAGGTTACGACGATGTCGGCAAGCTCGAAACCTGGCGGGCCGGAGGGAGAAGGCTGTGCAGGAAGCGAAGACGAAGGCAGTGGACTTGGTGAGGATAAAGCTGTAGCATTCACGGGGGATGCGGTGCTAGAGCCTGTGATGGTGGAGATAAGTGCGATTGAGAGGATTGAGGCCTTCATTGTAGCGGTTGTGGTTTGTTGAGTTGATTTTCGGAGTGAATAGGTACCTTAGAAAGATGTATAGAAGCAGCAGTGAGTTGATCTGTGGAATAAATGAGAATGGATCTGATTCTTGTGTATCCCAGAGTGATGGGAGAATCTTGGAGGCATCTCGGTATATATAGGTAGGCATCTCAGGTAAATCTAAAGGTGAACATATTCATCCCAAGCCAGGAGTTTGACTTGGAGAGTAGGTGCGCTGATGAGTCGATGGTGTTAGTACGATACGTGCCTAAGTAATAACTCGTGATAGGGCAGCCATAACAGTGGTGTACGGGGTTTGTATTATACCTAGCCAACAAGCGTACGTACGGCCGAACGTTGGCGATACCGTCGTCTAAGACTCTAATTGAAAGATCAATGTAAGAAAGAAGGTATTTTGTGGTATTAGAAAAGTGAGCCACTAGCGATGTTTGAAATTATTGTGTCCTCTAACACCTCCCGCCATGTCTCCTACTTCTTGCTACCTACCTGTCTAGGTAGTTACCTAGGTAAGTAGCCACGATCACCTAGCCACGGACTTCGCATGAAATACAAACTCGAGGCAGAATCCTTGGTAAACTTAGGGTATGATCTTGGAAGTTGAGGCATACTATTCGATTGCTTTTAATCGGCCGAGGGTTTCTACGACTTACCTATCTAGAGTCATCGCTACGAATGCAACCACCAACTTCAAAATATTCTTGGGGTTAAGAAAATCGAAAATAGGACCTTTAACCTTAAAGGCGTTTAAAAGCCAGGTCCGAAGCTCGACTGCAATCATACTATCAACTCCGTAGTCCGCGAAGGACCTCTGCTCGCCTATCTGATCCGCGCGTATCAAAATGGCATTCAAGAAGCGCCTCTCGATGATTTGAGATATTACGACATGTAGCGAGGGAGCGTCAGATACCCCTGAGAAGAGATCGACGGCTTTCGGTGGCACAGATTCTAATTAGGGAGCTGAAGCCATGGCTTTGACGAGACTAGCATTTCCCCTTGTTTCGCGACGCCTGGCGTCAGGCGCTTCCATTTAAGCTTGCAAGGTGATGGCCCGTTGGCTATCTAAAACTATATATGAACTTCATGTATACGTGTCGTGAATTCGCAGATCTGCGTGGTTTCCAGTCCTCTGACTAAGCGAAGTAGCGGGTATCAAAGGACCCTCGAAGACGTCTTCACCAGTCGTGCTGAGCAAAGTCCGTGATCTGTAAGAATTCCTCCTCAATCATAGGCTGCAGTTCGCGTCATAACAAAATAGTAACCGATATCGACATAGTTGCGCAGAGAAGTCGAGAAAGTTACCTATTTGTGGCGCAGTAGTTGGTCTCGGTCGCTATCCCTACTGCCCTGGCCACGGAGGATGTTATTAAGATGTCGAGTGCGTCGTCTTTACCACTGAGCGAATTATGTAGGTTTTATATCCTAACATACTTTGGACTGATGCTTCTATGCTAGTTCTAGGCAGGCATAATCTCATATAATTGTTCGGGAAGCCCCATGGTCGCCTGGATGATACCTCCCATTGCGCTCCCAGTATCATCGCAGGTTTGAACAGCTCTTTCCACGTTGGAAGTATTGGAGAAATCTCCGCGAACTACGCCAACCTGTGTACTAGAACGTCGAGATAATCTACAATTCCCCCTTGAAGTTGGCTTGTCGTCACCGGATGGACCCACGAAGGTTAAATGTCTAATACTCAGGCCCGGCATCTAGGCTGTAAGACTACTTCCCAACCCCCCTTAGGCAACCGAATAAGAGGCAGGCTTTGTTATAATCTAAGAGCGCTGATTAGCTTGTTGGTGCAAGCTAACTAAGAGTCAGTGCTAGTGCCGAAACTGATACGTGAATGGACTACACCCGCCCGAGTCGGATCGTGGCAGGCCCAATCTGAATGATTGAGAAGCCCCTTGACGGCTTGGGCATATTAGTTATCAACTGGAGTAGTTTAATCAACCGATTTATTCTACACCAGAGAACTAAACAATTTCTATATTCCCCTAGCTAGTTCTTTTCTCTTTTTCCTCCCCTTACACCACAAACACTTTTCGGCTAATCCTTGGAGGAGAACAGGCTGGATAAGAGGATAAATAAATGATGAATATAAACAAAGACGGTCAATTATTTACCCGCCCTGATCTCATTAGCAATTTTCTCTGCGAGTGCATACACCAAGGCTTGGGGATGACCTGAAGGCAACATAGCAAAGGAGCTTGTATCCACGATTCGCAGACCGGACACTCCAATTACCCTACAACTAGTATCAACCACAGCATTTGGGTCGTCGATCCTCCCCATTCTACAGGTCACCGAGGCGTGAAAGAGTGCCGACAATGTCTTCCGGATGGTGTCAAGGATTTGCTCATCTGTCTCCACAGCCGGACCCGGGGAATGCTCCACTGGATCGGCCAGCACTGCCTTGATGGCCTTTGTGGAAAAGAGCTGGCGAGCCCTCTTAAAACCGGCAACGGCGACCTCTTGGTCGACAGGATCGGTCAACCAGTTAGGATCGACGACCGGAAGGTCCGCCGTATCAGCAGACTTAATAGTTACCGTACCACGCGACCTCAGAGCCATGGGTGCGACCAGAAGGGTAACATAATTGTACCCATCTTTAGGTCCCCCTATGAACATTGGGCTGGTATAATCTCCATAGTATGCGTCCATCGACATGTACTCAATATCAGGAAACGAGTCAGGTAGTTCGGATAGAGCGGCAGTTGCTTCCTTGGAGAGTAAATCCCTTGGGATCTTCTCCCAAGCTACGTAGTCCGTCCCTGAGTGCGAAAGTGGGCCTCGGGCTTTTGTGAAATATTCGACGAGGTTTGGAATGGCCATAGCAGGATCAGAAGTCTCTCCGAGTATTGTGCTGAGCTGGACCCGATATGATGGCCCGTACATCACATGGTCTTCCAGGTTCTGCCCCACACCAGGCCGGTCGGCGATGATGGGAATGTCAAATTTTTTCAGTGTCTCTGCGGGTCCCACTCCGGAAACCATCAGGAGCTGTGGAGATTGGAAAGCACCGGCCGAAAGGATGATCTCTTTCCTAGCCTTTAGGCGAAGACCGGAGTCAACAATCACTGCTGTGGCTCGCTTCTGTCCATCGAACAAGATCTTCTTAGCCAAGGTCTTCTGGAAGACCTTCACATTGTGTCGGGCCTGGCAGAGATCCAGAAAAGCCGTCTGCGCAGAGCTCCGTAAAGCAGTGGTGGGGTCAACCGTATTCGTGCAATACTGAGCCCCCAAAAGATTACCACAGTTAAAGTCATCAGTAGTGGGAATGCCAATTTCGTTGAAGGCAGCTTCGAGATGAGTTGAAAAGGGCCGGATGTTGTTATAGAAAGAGACTTGGAGCGGGCCACCCTCTGGGCTAAAGGCTTTTGGATTATACTGTGGCATTTTATGGGGAGTCCAGCTTGCATGATCGGCAGGGGTGAAATGACAGCTTTTTTTAAAGTAAGGCAGCAAATTATCGAAGGTGTATGACTGGTCATCGACCATGTCCGCCCATCGCTGAAGAGATCCAACATCTGGACGAACGTACATCATGAAGTTCCTTCCTGAGCTGTACAAAAGTTTAGTTGAAAATCCATGTTGTTTTCACATGAAACACTCTACCTGCCGCCCAAACATTTCCCACGTGGATAATGCAACTCCCTACCAGAAGCACCATTTTGTGGCGTCGTCGTAATGCCCCAGTCTACTGCTGGATTCGTGTCTTGGGGCGAAGTCCCAATGAATGCACAAGCGCCGAGTGGAGTTGACGATAACATAGGATTTCCAATCTGGTAATATGTTCCCGCCTCGACGACTGCAACCGACACTGTTGGGTCTTCGGACAGCCGCGCGGCCAGGGTAAGACCAGCCGTTCCGCCTCCGACAATGACGAAGTCGTATGAAGCTTCCATTTTATTAGTTAGGTATGTTGGGTATAAGGGAGTGAAAATATTTAAGATAGTAGCTGAGATGCAAGTGAAGATATATTGCGATTAGAAGGTTGAGGAAGTTATCCCTTACATACACAATAAGCTACATAACATCTAGCAGTTTACTTAGTTGGTGGATTGGCTACCTGTACGTGTTTCCAATAACTTTGCAGACGTCTGTTGGAGGTATGCGGAATATAAGTGGGAATGGGTTCCAAAACCAACTGCTATTTGCCTTGTTCCATCATAATTATTCAACCCCTTACATGGAAAACTAGAGGCTCCCCTTGATAGCACAATAACCCTGAGTTCAGCCGAAATCAATTCTCCTTGTTCAATTAATCTAACTACGATTGATATGCAGTTAAAATAATAATCTAATTGACTATAGTTTAACTTATAGTTAATCTTTAATCGAATAAGGAGTCTAATGACATCGTTATTGAACTGCAGTTGGTTTTGAATTTATTTAACAGCATTTTAGTTTGATTGTAGATTTAATTTGTTAGAAGCCTCCTCCGCGAGAGCTAGTAGTCAGAGGTATCGGGAGTCGGCTTGTACGAGGCCGCCCTGTTAGCAGTTAGCCGTTAGCTGTAGACAAAGGAAGGTTCATGTATGTATACCGCACCCCCTGGAAGGGATTAGTTAGAGTCCTTCGCGCAACAACGTCGTTCTTCCCTAGCCTCTTGGTTCCGCCTCGTGACATAATTGTAGTTCAAAGTAGGTAGGTAGACAATATGTTCAACTATAGTTTAGTGAGTCAGCTCAGCTCATATTATTGTAGGTGTATATCGACACTGATATCATTAATTAAAGCCAACCAAGAAGGTAAAGATCTAGAAATATCTATAAACTGAGGTATATTGATTTGAATAGGGGTATGGAGTTTCTTACTAAGAGAGAGTCGCTTACCCTTTTTTTGAACATATTTTATGCAACAATACGTAAGAATTTCATAATTGATAATATACCTATATGTCTTGTTCATAAATATGAATATGTATTGTGGGTCCTACTTCGAAGGTTCCACAAGATCGATTGGTGCCTGCCATTCCCATCTGTTGTCAGCTGATAGGCTCGGTGACAAACATATTGCGGCTCAGCCCCACCACCCGTGCCACGCCCGCTTCCTTCCGAAATGTGACAGACTCGTCGTTTGCATTTATCAAACTATCACCGAAATAAGATCACTTATGATATTGAACAAGAACATCTCATCTTTTATTCGCTGAGAATAAGAAGAACGAAATTTAAGATCAACAATCTTCTTAGGTTTCTAAATTTATTAGTAATCGCATTTGGTTGGGTGGTCTTCCCGCTTCACATTCGCAGATCCTCTCGGACCCCGGCCAAGATGACTGAGATCGTGATGAGTCAAACGCCCCCTATTCTGCACGGGCCGACGGAGAAGGAGAAGAAGTATGACAGGCAACTCAGACTTTGGGCTGCTAGCGGCCAAACAGCTCTCGAGTCTGCAAACCTCCTGCTGGTGAACTCTGGTGCCGGTGCTGTGGGAGTAGAAACACTGAAAAACCTCGTGTTGCCAGGTAGGGTTATCATCGGCTTATCTAACCGAACTCATGCTTATACATTAAAATAGGAATAGGGAAATTTACAATAGCAGATGATGCTATAGTGAATGAAGCCGACCTAGGTGTCAACTTCTTCCTCGACGAAAGTTGCCTGGGAAAGCTTAGGTCGGAATGTTGTACTAAGCTGCTCCAAGAACTTAACCCAGAGGTTCAAGGGGAATGGTTTCCAAAGAAACAGGTCCGTAAGGTGTCCTTGGAGTGATTAAGTGAATGGAGCGTTGACATTCTCTAGGGCACTCTGGATCTAAGTAGCGTTCTGGAAGCTTCACCTACTTTCACCCTGATCATGTACACACATCCTATCAAGAAGGAAATTCTTTCAATTATTGATTCCTATGCCACTCAGCATAGGACTCCAGTAGTGGGGATTCATTCCGCTGGGTTCTATTCACACTTTCGCATCAACCTCCCGGGGACGTTTCCCATAGTTGACACCCACCCCGAAGTGGAGAAGACGACAGATCTTCGCCTCCTGAACCCTTGGCCCGAGCTTGTCGAGTTTGCGCGAGAAATGACGAAGGACATTGATGCTTTAAACGACCATGAACATGGACATTTGCCCTATGTCGTCATATTACTCCATTACCTCGAGGAATGGAGACGGTCGCACAACGGCCAAAATCCCATTAGCTACAATGACAAGACGGCATTTAGCAAGTTTGTATCAAGCAAGGCAAGGACCGCAAACCAGGAGGGTGGGGAGGAGAACTTCCAAGAAGCTGCAGTTGCCATCAACAAGAACATTAAGGCTCCCGAATTAGAACCCGGAGTACAGGAACTCTTCGACCATAAAGTCTCTGATGAGGTATGCAATGATAGGTGATATCTACGAGGAACATTCTAGACTAATGTTGATAGATTGAGCTGCAGTCTACCTTCTGGATCATTGCTAGGGCCGTTAAGGCCTTCTACCTCAAGCATAATTGCCTCCCTTTTCCTGGAGCCTTGCCGGATATGAAGGCCCAGTCAAGTGTCTACGTCAAATTGCAGAGTATATACAAGGAAAAAGCTCGGAAAGACGCGCATGAAGTGCTAGAGACTGCCAGGATCATATCTGGTGGCAAGGACGTTGATCCCGCCGAGGTAGACCTCTTCTGTAAGAACGCTCGATTCGTGAAGCTCATCAATGCAACACCAACAAGGCCAGATCTCGATGAGGTTTATGGTTAGTCACACATCTATGACATGATTTGCTCTCGAAAGTGTACTGACTACTTCCTGATAGAAATTGAGGTGGCTAACGATGAGGCGGCCGAGGCTATGAAGATCGAGACCGAAGGCGCATTCACGCTACCCATGTCTAATCTCTTCATCTATCTCGCCCTCTTGGCAACTAGCCACAAGATTACATACAGCGCCGACGAGATTATGAAATTTATCACTAACATCGTACCAAAAGCAGCCGGGAACGAGCGAGCCCTCCAAGCTGCTCAAGAAGTAGCTCGAGCTGGCGGCGGTGAACTTCACAACATCTCCGCACTCACTGGCGGCATGGTAGCTCAAGAAATTATCAAAATTATCACGAAACAGTACATCCCAATTGAAAATACCTGCATATTCGACGGCATCAGTAGCCGGTGCCAGGTACTTCGGCTATAGTAAGTGGAACCCGGGAAGGGTAACAGCCAACACTAGAGGATATTCCCACAGGCATATCATCCGCAGATCCGGGTTATTCATGGAGAGGTTGGAGAACTAGTGGGGAATTTTGAAAAGCCTGGAAGCTTGGCGCACCTGACGATACCACACATTCACACCATTCACACCATCCCTCCATCTAGCTAGAGACGGCGGGGACACACGTCGGACCGCAGACCCTCTGCACCAATCTCGAACTTGGTATTCGAAGGCTGTGTCTAGAAACCTCCTGAGCCGACGATGGAGCATCTCTAGTTTTGCTGACTACTACTCGAGCAATCCACCCAGTCGGGTGAAATGAGAATGAGTTACTCTAAATCTGGAGTGCATGCGTACGTGCGGTGCAACCGTTCGCAAGTAGCTGAAGTGATAAGGTGGCTGCCACATGCTTGATATTGTGCATGGAATCTTGGGCTATGTAAGCCCACTTTCCAATACGACTACCCAGCCAAAAATTACACTGGGTCAGATCTGAGTGGATGTAACTTTCAGGTACGGAAAAACACTGAAACGCCCATTCTCTCTCTACCGGACTCTCGCCTATAATAGACTTGTTCCCCTTCATTGAGTACGACTCTACCTCCGTTAGTAGAGAGCATTGTGGTTGGCGCTTGGTAATATGCAATATGCGCTGTTCGAGACGACGGTCTCATTATGGGCGGGTAAGTGCTTTACTAGAAGCAGATCGACGCCAGTATCATATTTCAAGTGGTTCGACTCGAATAAGTAAATCGAGGCTTTGGTAAGCGAGTGGTCAACTGGATTGAAGGTATGGAGGGGGTAAAGGGTCACCAAATTTCTATATCACTTTCGATGATTGGCTCAAAAGTTAATGAGAAGACTCGTGATAGGCTCATTAGCTATCTTTTTTTGATTGGTGATGGCCGTTCTCGGTCAAACAAACAGTCCATCATGGGTTGGGGGTTGGAGGCTATCGCATCACATATTAAAAGAGTCAGGTCAGGTGCTGATCGTCTCTTTATGGAAACGCTAGTCTCAGCTTTTACGATCTGATATGTAGGGTCACTCAACTCTAACGAGGCCGAGAATCTTCGGGAATGGGCTTCGAGGCCTTTCAATGTTCCTCGATAGACGAAAAATGTCCCTGGTGGGCAAATTGAAGCATAACGACTTCCCCAGACGTTGATAATGCCACCCCATGGCCTCTAGATGGACGGCGAAATTTAATTTATAGGCCAATGAGACCGACCCCTTTTCCTACGCTGATTGGCTTCTGGTTATTTATGTTCTTTCAGGGAAACGCTCGGCTGGCCGTCTTATTAAAGATCGTGGGCACACCAGCGTGGCCTTACGCGAAGGATACATGGCTTGATTAGGCCTAACACGCGTTATCTATCCTGCACGCCAAACTCGTCAGCTCGATTTGGACAACGAGGCACGTGGATCTGTCTAAATGCTGTTCCCCTCAGTTAATATCTGCATGTGTTAATCATGTCCTACATGCAGTGGCTCTTGGCCACTCACAGGGCACGATTCTGACCCCAACAATGAGAGCTCATCATGAGTAATAATGCTTCGGAGAGGTCATACCAAATACTGAGGAACGTTGGTAGAAATGGTATGCCCGAGCCGTATCTAGCCAGATCGCAATAACCCTCAACTAGCCTTAACCTGTTATTGCCCACATTTGCCAACTATAGATATGCCACGCTTCTCCTTCGGCGCCACCTCCCCCATAAACTCGATAGAACTTCATGCTAGACAATATGCACATAACCGTAAAGGTCAATGTCCAAATACGGCAAGGCAATATCGCCGACGAGCTCTTTCATCCTGTGTTCTTCTCACCTCCGCTTAAACGTGGACTGTTCCTCTCAAAGTTACGAGCAGTCCCAAGAAGATTCCAACTACGGCAATGTGGGAACGGAAATAAACAAGCTTAATATGTCACAGCCTCTAAGAAAACAGCATCTTGCCATGACATTCTGCGCCAAGATGCTCCAACGTGGAGATGTCTATCGCTTTCACTCGGTTTTGCCTCACTACTTGCATCACTAGATGCTTAGTAGTATCTTAACATGTCGACCAGGCGCTTAAGCGAGTGGCGTTTCAATATAACCATCGATGTCAGCTGTTGCCGTCGAGTTCACTGCACTCCACACTTCTGCTGTACGACGATAAAAGGAGTTGCAGCTATCCAACCGACAAGAATGTGGGGTAAGAGAAAAAATCGACGAGATCTTGGCGGGCAGGACGCCATGCCAGGAACTGGTTCTGATTAGGGTAAAGAGAATCTTGGAGGGGAGCATTGTCAATGGCGATCCGGAGAGAATCGTGCAGGGTCCCGGGACTTGAGCAAAGCTTGCACAAATCTCTAAGTCTATTGGCGCGACCCTGAGAGGCACATCTCGAAGATACGCAGTCAAGTTGTCGTCGATCGCACAGCATAGCTCCTCATTGCTGTATCTAAATCGGGCTGGCCCGGATTGGAGTAAAGATCTCGATATCTCGATAATTGGTGGTTCGTGGATGGGACGATATGTCTACTCTACCTAGCTAGCTTATATCATGATCCTAGGTTTCGACCAAGGTTATAGCACAACTAGCAGAAGACTGACAAGTCGAGTTCCGGGAGGCCGTGGAAAGCCGGCCAACCTCACGATGTGCATTTCTTGGAAGCGGGATCATGATGTACATACTCCAAGATGCTGCCAAGACGTTTAGAATCGTAACTGCGTACCGCTCTGCCGAAGACTAACTATCTTACGTTAGCAGGGTGTGTTCGAACCAATCCCAGGCTTGCTTCAAGTTCTCCGCCCCGGCATCGCGGAATACTTTTCTCTCTCTTCATCTTTTCCGCCCCTAATATCGTCTTACCCCAGGATTTCGTTAAATAAAAGGTGACGGATCCGAAACTTATCAATGTCTTGTTAAGATGGGGCATGATGTAATTGTTCGAGGTAGCCGAAGAGGTAATTTTCTTCTCCCGGTTGGCGAGTCGCTTACTTTATCACTTTAAGACCTGGGCATACATGGTCGAGAGCGCTTCGCAGCTAAAAATTGTTATGTGTAGCGCAGTTCTATACGCACTATTCTTATTCTTGGTACGAATTATGGGGTTCATTATGAAGTGCACGCATATACGTGCCTGGCGTTGAGACACTAAGTCGGCGCTTGCTACGTTCTGTATATTAAGTCGAGGTCATGAGTGGACTGGCAGGTTCTTGTTCATCATAGACCCGGCCCGCGTGTGTAGGTTCCAAGACTCACACCCATTGTTCACTAACATATAATCGAGTCAGTAACCTGCACCCCCTGTTCGTTGCACGGCTCGCTTGCCGGTAAAGCCCTTTTCCACAGAGCTAAAAAGGCCGACGACCCCTGCTACTCATCTTCCCTGCCCTGGCAGCCTGAAGAGCCAGCTATGTACGAGGTATCGATAACTAGCAGGTGCTAGAGCAGATCTGGTAGACTGGCTTATAATCTTTCGATGCAACCCTATCACGGGTACATACAAAATTCTGGCCGCCGATCCCTTCGGAATCTTGAAAGAAAGGCAGTGATCGCGGGGCCGCACCCCTCGATAGGGCCCGTGGCTAAGTGGCAGGGGGTCAGGGGTCGTGTTCATGGGAGTCCTGCTGCAACCAGTGAAAATCGAATCTGGCTTTCCCCAAATCTGTCCTAGTCGCCGTCAAAGGTGTCAGGGCTCGGAGATTTCATATGCCAGGAACTCCACGCGAATCAGAATGGTCGACAAAAGACATAACAAAACATCAGATTCTGGGCAGCGCATTATGGAGAAGAAGAAAAAGAAATCTTGCCCAAAATCTTATTTGGACTTTTCATGCATGAGACTGATTATCCCAGTCACGTCCTTCAGACGGGAGATCATTCCACGCCTTTCGAAGCCGTCTGATACCTGCACGTCACCATGCTGCTCACATGGGAAGCGTTCGGATTATACCTTAGCGTGCCGAACGGCATCAGTAGCCTGGTCCTTGTATGTATGAAGAGGCAGTCATTCAAAGGCTGAAACACTGGCATTTGGATTATAATTCGTTTCCTATTGGTTCGAGTACTTGTAACCCAACTCGTTGCCGCTGACAAAGGGCATGATGCTTTTTTGATGAGTGTTGCATGCGAGTTACTTGGCTTAACTCAGATAAATCATGCTACATACTAGACCTGACATGGCAAGATATCATACGTCTACCCCCCGCTTAATCCAGATCTAGTATATACACACCGGACTATACCAACCATCTATCGAAGACCGTTGCCTCTTGTGGCAAACCTGCTAATCGTTTCTCAACAAGACGGCATTGATCTCCAGATGCGCGTTTCCCTACCTGGCCACACTTGACTTTTTCTGGTTCGAAAAGCACGTTCCTTGCCTACCCTAACCTCAGTCTACAGGTCCGCAGGTCTAGCCTGCTCGACTTGTCACATCTTATAGGATGTATGGAGGGGTGGAGGTATGCCCGATACGCTATAGTCTCTCGGTTCCTGATCAGACTAACACCTAGAGTTACTTTACTCCACATAATTTATTTGCCAACCCTTCATCCCCAGAATCTCCACGTCTCCCCGCCAAAATGGGTTGCAAGGCAATATCGTATATATATCTTCTTAGAGTCCGTGTTGTCGGTCCTGGGTCTAAGACGGTCTCCCCACATCCCCCGGATTGCTTATATCTATTCTGAAACTTGCGTATATCACTTTACTCAACCTTACTCTCACATCATATCACATCACCTTCACACCTCATCACCAACTGCTTGGCTAGACTTCGAGCAGAGCACTCGGGACTACCTGAGCCAACATGGCGCCGAGTATACCAATTCCCACTCAAGGTGGCATGTTTCATACTTGTAAGTCGTCTTCACCTTCCTGTGTTCAAGTGAGACTTTTCTGACTTGGTAAAAGTCCAAGGAGTTACTCCTAGGAAGCAGTCTACAGACTCTACTGAGAGCGCCAAGACGAACGGTAATGGCACAGCCAAGCGTATCACCACACCTCATGCATGCGCAGAATGCAAACGCAGGAAAATGTAGGTCTTGTACAACACCCTAGAACGACTGCCGAACTTTGCTCACTGTGACTTTAGTCGATGTGATGGCCAGCAGCCATGCGGTCAATGTCTCTCTAGCAGAGCTCCTAAGCGATGCTTCTATGACAAGCACCGCCAAAGAGTGATCCCGTCGAGAAAAACCCTCGAGGCTCTATCACAATCCCTAGAGGAGTGCAGATCGATCCTGAAGAGGCTGTTCCCTAATCATGAGGTTCAATCTCTTCTCCCATTACCTCGTCAGGAGCTGCTCAGTCTCCTCGACCGACCACAAATCGACGCAACGACGGCCCTACCATCGCCGCCACTACATACTTCTCCCATGCCTGGCGATATCGGTTCTCCTACTCTGTCTGGATCCGACCAAGGTCTTTCCAGCTTAGAGCAAATACCGTCTCGGGACATCGAATGGGATGAAGAGCGCCGAGGACGCGATCCTATCCCAGTCGAGGCGGACGACGTGAACGCCCTCTCTCTTTCAGTGGACCGCCAAGCATCGTATCTAGGAGCTTCATCGATTAAGGCCGCGCTCATGGTAATGCTAAAGGTCCAACCTGGTCTCCGGAACTCTCTTACTCCTCCCCTTAACAGCGTAGAAATGGCCCACAACCTCCCGATTATGAGGCAAAAAGTCACAAATCCCAAGGAGCCCCAACGGGTACCTTGGTCATGGAAGGGTCAGACACTCATTGACGCGTATTTCAAGCGGATTCACGTATTCGTTCCTATGCTAGATGAGGCTTCTTTCCGCGCCGACTACCTGGAAGGCCAACGCTACGACGCTCCCTGGCTTGCGCTTCTCAACATGGTCTTCGCTATGGGATGCATTGCTGCGCTAAAATCGGACGACTACAACCACCTCAACTACTACAGCCGGGCTATGGAATATCTCCCAATGGACTCCTTCGGCAGCAGCCACATCGAAACCGTCCAGGCCTTGGCTCTTATCGGAGGATACTACCTCCACTACATCAACCGTCCGAACATGGCCAATGCCGTCGTCGGCGCCGCGATCAGGATGGCCAGCGCCCTTGGCCTGCACCGCGAGAGCCTGGCCCAAGGGCCCGCCGGAACCAGCAAAGAGATCGCCGCGGCGGAAACCCGGCGACGCACCTGGTGGAGCCTTTTCTGCCTCGACACCTGGGCGACGACGACCATGGGCCGCCCGTCCTTCGGGCGCTGGGGCCCCGCGATCAACATCCGGCCCCCTGAGACCGGGGTCAGCACGGGGCGCGACTCGGCGCAGCACGCGGGCATCCTGCCACTAGTAGAAAACATCAAGTTCTGCAAGATCGCGACCGCGATCCAGGACATGCTCGCCATCTCGCCGCTGCTGCGCGCCGAGGACCGGTGCAATCTGGACGGGCAGCTGGTGAACTGGTTCAGCAACCTGCCGTGGCTGCTGCGCACCAGCGACCCGTGCGCGGAACCGCTGTACATCGCGCGCTGCATCATGAAGTGGCGGTACCAGAACCTGCGCATGCTGCTGCACCGGCCCGTGCTCCTGAACCTGGCGTCGAGCGGCGCGAGCCACGCCGCCGAGCACGACATCGCCGCCATCGAGGCGTGCCGCGACCTCGCGAAGCAGACCATCGAGGATATCTCGCGCGAGTGGTCGCGCAACCAGATGTCCGGCTGGAACGCGGTTTGGTTCTTGTATCAGGCTGCTATGATCCCGCTCGTCTCCATCTTCTGGCAGTGGGACAGCCCCCGCGTCCAGGACTGGCAGAAGCAGATCGAGACTATACTTGAGCTGCTCGAGGCTATGGAGGATTGGAGCTTGGCGGCTAGGAGATCGAGGGAGGTCGTTTGGAGGATGTATGAGGCTTCTCGCCAGCTCGAGCCTGCGATGCTGAGGCAGCAGAGCCCGATGGCGCGCTTGCAGGTTGTCACCGATCATACGGGCGTGAGCATGGGGCCTATTAGCGCGGATGGCACTGATCTGCATATGAGTCCGATCGGCCTCGAGCCCGAGGGCTTCGGGGGCATGATGGGTATGCTGGACCAGCATGGCCTGTGGGACCTCGACGGCATGCTCTGGGGCGCGCCGGACGAGATGGAGTGGGCGCAGCAGCACTTCGGCGCCGGCGCCGGCAACATGCACGATGCGACGCCGGCGGGCGGGTGCGGGCTGATGGGGCAGCTTGGCGCTTACGGCATCGACAGCTCGGCGTTTTCATTCGTTCATTGATTTTTACTGGGGTACGTTACTTGTACGATGGAAGAGACACATGGCTACGCAGCTGCAAAACTTACTCTTTGCTGATACTATTACTGTTACGATGATTGGGTGGATGTTCTCTGATGGCAGGTCTCTTGAACAAGAAAAAATTTTCCGCTCTTCGAATTTTTGGTTTTTTTTCTGTCTTTAGTTTGTCATCCTTTTTTTTAGGGGTCCATGATCGTCGTTCACAATCTGCATATACGTTTCAGCGATGATACCTCTTGACGTGGGATGCGTCCATGGTTGGGTTACAGCAAATTCAAAAGGGTTAAAAGGGGGGGAGAATATTGGACACCGGGCCGGCGGACAACTGTTGCTTTTTGGCCTGTTCAGTATTTGCAGTGTTCGATAAAATTCAAAGCTAGGTACATATCAACCACGTTGGGATGGTTTGATGGAGTCTGGGGAATGACTACTACCTTACATTACACTACATCACTTACTATTATTACTGCTGCTGCTATTACCACTACTACGTAATGGAGAAATGAGTTGCCGAAAAGTTTTAACGAGATGATATGTCATAATCGTGATGAAGGAGAAATGTATGATACTCACATTCCTACGCCTTACCATCTTGTCTAAGTAGACGCATAATAATGCTGTTATTGGGCGACTGCCAATTTATCGCACACTACGTAATACTTAAAGCGACCGAAATAGCTCCAAACGTCTAGCTTAACATCTTCTGGAGAAATGGAAGGCCTCGATATGGTTGGTATGGCATACGTAGTTGGCTTGGCACTTGGAGGGTAAGACGTCTAAGGAACTGAGATCCGAAGGATGGGTATTCCGTTAGTGGTTTGCCGGTAAGTAAAGCAGGAAATCCGGGGTGGTCGGATGTGCTTAACATGTCTGAAGCTTGAAACTTATTCAACTATCATTTACTTGGTGTGTAGTTCGTATCCGTCTATGGGGATCGATGGAGATGGTGGGCTACGCATTGCAAAAGGGATGGTGAAACAAGAAACAACTCAACGAGCCTTGGTCTCGGAAATTGGTGTTGTAAGTTTGGTAGTCCCGTCGCTTAATGTTGTCAGGTTTCCAACTGGATCCTCATTTCGCCAAATTTCTAAGGGTGTATGGATACTAGGGAAACTAGATGGGTTTTCTGAGCGATGTTATGTCATCGGGTTTTGAGTTGGGAAGAATAACGCTAGAAGTAGGCAACGAAGGAGGCAAACTGATACTTAGTAACGTCAGTATGAAGGAAATTTCTTGTTAAGATCGAAAGAACGTGGATTAGACATCGTCATGATCCCTTGGCTTTCTCAAGTTACACTTATGACAGTCTCGAAAACGTCTTTACCATCCAGAATTCCTTTCGTTTTCGGGTTTTTCTTCTTTCTCTGTAATACTATTGGTCAGATTATAATAAGACATTCTTGTAAGACGGACACACAATGTCTTGCATATACAAGGGGGTTCTGATGATTCTTAATAATCATAAAAAAGGGTATGATTGGATGGTCGGCTTGTCGACCGTTGGATGACGAGACTGGGGAAATTTGAGATATTCTGATTGGTCAATTCCTGGGCAAGGGTTGTAAATCCCGGCACAATATGGTATTTCGGCCCGCGACGGATAGCTTGGTGATGTCGTCGCAGTACCTCTTAAGCCTTCTAGTGAGGGATGGTACCTGGCACCCAGCCTCTGCCGTCCGGTAACAATTCCCGAATTGCTGTGTTACAATGTCACCCAAGTACCGCTAACGCCCTGCAGCGACCCCTGCTTGACCCCAGCTGTGGCGTTTCTGGGGTTTGCCCGCTGAATGGACGACGGAAAGTCCCGTGCGGGGGCGAGGAGAAAAGTTCTTTAATTATTCCGCGATTGGAGAGGTCTTATACTGACGAGTAACAACGAACACGCTGAAGAAGCGAACTACTATGAGCACTTCGCTAGATATATTCCTTAGAGTTCTCGTGATCAGGAGGCCGCTCGCTTGTGAAGTGAGGAAACTTGGCATCGTTGCCGACGTAGGTCTGGTATGTAAATAGGTCTACACCAGCAACCCCCAAGAGCACACGCCTGTGTATTGTTGGAGAATATCACGATATTTAGTGGAGGGTCGACACCAGAGTGAAGATCAGCAGGAGATGAGATGGAGAGATGCGGGGTAAGAGAGGGTCTAGGAGATCGTCGACGATGCTAATCTATGATCACCATGGTCCTATCATTCTCTCCGATCCATATCCTTCCTTCTCCATCTTTTCAATCGTCTACAAGATCTTCACTGGTGAGGGGACATAGCACTTCGAGGCAGTTGCTTCTACTCTACTCACATTCCTCTAGGTAGCTTGCCACGTTCGCAGTTATGTCATAAGGTTGGATATCTACCGAGTGTCGTGTCGCGCGAGACTGTAGCAGCATTCGACTAGATGCTAAGATTCTCGAGAAGCGAGCAGGTTTCAGAGCCGTAAATGCCCGTACGACGAGGCTCTCGATAATGAGGAGCTGCTATGAACTTTCATTGGTGCTTCACTGGGCCGAGAAACTGCACTAGGTAGAGATATCTACTGTATCTTGTCGGGTCGGCTTCGTGCAATTTTCGGGCCTGATCTAACCGCCTGTGGTCGATTCGCCGCCGCCACGAGATTGATTACATACTTCCAATTTGTCACTCGTGACGCGTTCTCTTCCTACGACGCTTCTAGCCTCGGTAGGTTATGGAATGTATTCGAATGCTTAAGATGTACTAATTATATGGCACAATTCTACTCATGGGAGACCTTGTGATGGCGTAGGCAAGACTCATACGATCATCAACAACACGCAGAAATTAACCTCGTCGAGAGTTTGTTACCGGTGTAGGTACAAGCTGTGTCATGCGATGCCAAGACCGGTCGATGCTCGTAACAATGGCTAGGAGGAGGGTTTATTACATAGTGTTAAGCCATCCTCTCTTAACGATAGTAACCAAGGTTTGAGGTCTATGAAGAAAGATCAACACTTAGCGATATTGGAGTCTGGAGATTAGAAATCCCTTCTGATCCACCTGCTCTTTTTCAAGAAGTATTTAGTCTGAAAAGGGCTAAGTGAAATGGACCAACTGACCAGAAGGTAGCTTAGTCTGACTACATATAATGGACTGTAGTAGTAAGCCGCGTTGGCATCGCAGGGCCTGCAGTGACCAATGTCTTACACACGCAGCCGATATGCCGTCTATTATGTACCTAAGTAGCTTAGGCCACATGGCAGCATGACTCGCTTAAGTACCCCATGTCAATAGTTCTCCAGCGGTTCTGTGTTCCTGCTACCTATAACGGAGTTAACCAACCAGACGCGCAGCGCCATTATACTTATAATGGTCACGTCTGGCTGCTGGTGGTTTAGGTAAGTCGCGCTACCTCACCGAGGCTCGAGGAGCCGGCCAAGAGGTCCGATAACAATGGAGATGGAACGATTTTAGGACTTTGGTGTTGAGACGCCAAGAAACTGGGCCGTAGTCGAGCGACTCGAGCCGTGTTTTACTACGACGTTGAGTCGCAGTGTCAAAGTTTTCAAGAGAAATCCTGCCTCAACTAACATCAAGCTTTCGTGACATCTGGAGTTCTGTGGTTCTGATCGTACGCTACGATGGCCGTAGAACGAACAAGCCTTTTGACTTCTCGTTACCTTCGCCATGGTGGCATTCCAAGCCGACCCCCTTCGCACGTTCTCAACAGCCGTTTTACCGCTGCGCGACCGCGCGTCGATGGTTAGATGTGAAGAAAAAGATTCGTAAATGTCTAATTTTCATGGGATGGGTTTGCTGCGATGCATGTAAGAAAGCTCTATCGTGATCTGGATCTGCATGGCATCAACGTCCGGAAGCTTATACATTGGGGCCAAGGATCATTCTCTTCCCGAGGCATGATCTTCAAGATCTGCTTAGATCTCCAGGAAATCCTCCTTCTCACCGGGTACGACACATGTTTCGCACCTCTTCTCCAATTCACGATGATGATGATAACGTTTCCAGCCTATGAAATGGCATGACGACGGTAGGAGTGGCGATCGTGGTCTCAGGAGATTTTCGCACTTCCATGGTATACGAACATTGACGTATACGACGTCGGTAAAGGAGAATTTACCCCAAGAGAGCCCAAGATTGACAGCATCGGGTCGTTTTACTATGATTCAAAGTTAGCTTCATTTCCGGTGGGATTCTCGAGCGATGTGTTGCCTCCAAGCTCCATAGCAACCACCTCTACCAGACTGCAAGGCATAGTCATCACCCCTGCACTTTCGATTCGTGTGGTGCTTGAAAACTTGCGATCCCTCCCCGACTGGCGTCTTGGCACTCCTTATATGTATTTTTATGGGTGCCGAGCTATCTCAACGTGATGCCTACCTCCCCGGCCTCATCGGCATTCGTGCCTCCACTGCCGCCGGCTGGTATGTTAGCGTACCACATCGCCTACTGCATGCCCGGCGTACCTGCATCGCCGATCCCGGACTACTTGGCCTTAAGCGATATCGCCTATAGGGGGAGATGCGCAGGGGACACACGCTTTCGGCCCTCCCGCATCAGTTATGCACGAGACTCCTCACAATCTCATAGGCAGTAGGTAGGGCAAAAACATGCATTAGGTGGTACTGGTCCGCTAGCACGGGTTCCCTCCACTTCCCAAGGGCACGGCGGCTATACCCGCTTTGGGAAACATACCCCGGCCGGGATATCGGGATCAGGAATGGGCTCCTTGGCCGCGCTGGCTGCTCCGGCTGAGTTGATTAGGACCGCCGGCGAGCTCATCCCACGTTGCCGCCGGGTCTAAGAAAAGAAACGCACCCCGCCGGCTGGCGAGACCCGGTGTTCTGGTCCTAGGCTATTAATGGCTTCAGGGGGCACTTCCATGCATGGTGCCTGCCGCACGTGTTTCAGATTATCGTTGGAGGTCTGGGAGGACAGGTTAGCTTCTGAGCTAATCTAGAGACACGTGGTTAATATGAGAGCAGTGATGGAGATGCATTGAGGCAGGCATTGTTCTTGGGATGAACTACTCTCCCATGTGTTGGAGTATCGCGTGTCTTTGCAGATCCTCAGGCGGATATGGAGTGATAGTGAAAAGGGGGAAGGATAAGTTTTAGTGCTACTTAGCTGTCGGATACCCATCATTGTGCCATGTTTAGGTTATGTCGTAAGTTAACCTACCGGTCTGGTGGATGTTACTAAACAAGTTGTGAATTCACAAAGGATAGCGTCGATTTCTGATTGCCAAATTACATTATCACCATAATGGAATTAAATATTCCCAATTATGCCTGATACAGCTGTTTAAAAGGAGATGGACTCATATCTAGGTACCTCATTAGTCAGAATTAGAATCATTGACAAACCTAGCTCAAAAACTTGGCAAGCTGTTGGTCTCCTTGAATGCGTACCTGAGTACCTAGGCAAAAAGGGTCTGATTTATCCATATCTGTCGTCCTTTGCTTCTAGTGTAGGTAGATCCACGATGCAAAAATAAGAAAGAAAGAAACAAAAAAACTCTTCAAGGCCCAATCCAGGATCTGTTGACCGGCACCTGGCTATTGCGCCCCCGCTATTAGGTATTTCTTTGCCACCCTTTTTCAAGGTCCTAAATTATGTGCAATGTCTAGGAATCGAACCCTAGACCACCCATTGCAGGGGGTCGTTAGATCAGGAACGATGAGGTGTCTGTGACACAGACCATTCAACCACTTTGTATGTTAAGGTTGTGGAATTGATGCCGCCGGGATGGAAGTCAGGAACTGTACCGTGCTATTTAAGCTTCACTTCGAAAATATGCTGCCTGACGAACGGACCACATGGCGGACGGTCACCACAGTGTCATTCAATATTCACATCCTAAATACGCAGCCATTAGCTACCTTACCGTGCAGTTTCTACTAAAGAACAACAATATTTATTTCCGCTAGATTATTCTCTAAATGAAACCGAACTTTCCTACTTATATCTGCATCTCCACCATACCAAAACACTTCTACCCGGATAAAAGTTGTATGAAACTTATTCGGCATTATCCCAGCGAGGCTATCTGTACGATATACAGCGAAGATCATCATGCATGGATTACAAAAGGCCAGACTGAGAAAGATAGCTTTTAATGCATTCTGTGTCCAAGGCTACTGGCCAGTACAAGAAGTGTTATACGAAGTAGAGGAAGATGGAACACCTTGTCTTGTCGTCGTATTCAAGTCTTTAGTTGGTCTACACCTCGATGAAGAATTAGGATACATGCAAAGGTCTATCAGGAAAGACACGTGGTTTGGATTAAGGAATTTTCACATCGACATGATGGCTCGTGATCGCCCAGAGACGCGGACCTGCCTTGTCGAACGTGCAGGGGAAGACGCTGATGGTCCCGCCAGACATCGAGGGATATGTTAAAGCAAGAGCGATGAATCCAGACAAGGGGGGATAGGGTCTAGTTTAGTGCGATACGGGAATATGAATTACTTTGTCTTTGCGTAGAAATTTAGACGAGTCATATCTAAACAGTGTAGGATGTACATATCTATCTCACGAGGTAGAATTAAAGGGTAAGGACGTTGTTAAGAGAGAGGGTCTAGACGTGGGAATATGATATATAGGAATATATATAAAGGGCCCCGGGACCTTCGTCTATTCTTCTCTAGCCATAGTCACCAGTAGGTCTCCCACGACTTCTCATGGCCTAAACCCATTTTCTACCAGACCCCTAGTCACTAGCGCACCACCAGACCAAACCTCTGGCAACCCTATCCAATCATACAACGACTCCAAGTGATAAGTGATTATGCATTCAATATAGTCGCGCGTATCAAATATTGGATATATGCGTCAGTCTCAATCTCTGCAGTCGGCCAGTGCCTATACCAATACGCGTCTCTCGTGCAGACTGCATTCCAGGTCTGACCTAACAGTTGGTCTAACTTTGGCCTATTTTGCGGGTCGACAGCCAGACATCTTACAATTACCAACTGCAAGCTATCAAAAAAAGGAGAGTTAGCAACAAAAATAAAGAGAGATAAAATGGATTACTTAGATTGGGTAGATCAATCCAGTCCGTTCTCCACTGTTGCTCAAGACACTAGTAACTGGCCGAAGAAAGACCCCCATTGAGGAAGATGGTAAGAGAAACACGTACTCGTCATCTAAATATTCATGTTCTTCCTGTATTCTTTCACGGCAATCATCAAGATCCATACCGTCTAAACCACCCGTGATGATACGCGTCATTGCCTAGACAAATTAGCAAAACTCTTGGAGGTAGGCGGAGACACGCCTTTGCCATTGATCTCATTGAGGTGACTTGCCTGTCCCACATCAAGGAGGTTTATGCAGGTAGCAACACTGCTCTGTCCAATAGTTCTGCTTTGAGAGAGTCAATTTATTTCCGAAGAATTGAGCACGCCTTCAGGTTGCTAGGGTGTTAGAAACACTGACTATCGGTCGAGTTCTAGTTCGTCATCGAACTTCTCTTTAACTTCGACATTCACGACTTCCTCTGACGTCTTCATAGCGGATATGTCAAAATCTATCAACTTCAATATTGGCACAAGGAGGTGCTCTTGGTAGTTTCCCAATATAGCACCAAACATGACTAAATAGCAATATTAGTAAAAACTGTAGGCGTCAAGGTATAGTTGACGTAGCGAGGGAAATAAGAAAGGGGGAAGCTCACAGTTGCGATTATGCATATCCCAATGCACGAGCGCAGATGGCTGTGCACTGGCTACTGTTTCTTCCTTTCTGCCTTGTGCTGGGGGATAGGCCATCGCAACACAGGCTCGAACCACTAGTTTCAATTTCCATTAGCTAAATGTTTCAATTATAACGTTCCATAGAGACGAAACCACGCGCTTCTCTTGTCGAGGCTTCGCTTAATTAGAGGTGAAGGTAATAGGTCTTTGGTATATCAGCATGGGAGTCTTCTAACTCCACTCAAATAAACAATATTAGGTACATAGTACCAAAATTGAGAGCTTCAAAATTCTTACTGCAGAGAAAAAGACGCCATAGAAACCGGTTCGGTAAGATGGCGCCCCCGATACGTTGAATAAAAAGTTCGAGTGTTCCGTTTTCCACGTATTCCAGAATGATGAACGGTATATGAAGCCCACCCTGTCCCTGACGATCTGGCTCCAGTGGATTATCACTAATTGTAAGGACGTCGACAATATGCTCGGCATGTTGTAAAGCCTAAACACCAAAGGCCGGCCTATTAGGTCTTGGGTTATATATGAGGGTGGATTTTCACACGTACATGCAGCGATTGGATTTCATTCCGGATCCCAGCGACAACGTCGTCTTCATCATCATTCGGGCACTTAACCACGAACCTTCGACTCAGCCCTTCCGTAAATACTTCCCTAAAGCAGACACAATATCCGCTTGCGCCGCCGGAGAGGGTTTTGATATATTGGAATCGTCTCTGGTCCGAGAAGAAATCGCGAATGAGTAACACATGCTCCTCCTCGCCCATTTGTGATATTGTTCTGCTAATGAGCCACCTATGCTCTATCAGTTGAATCTAGAGATGGTGGGCCAAGAAAGATAGCCATTTTGAAAGTACGTATTACAGCTTTGTTCGAGATTTTTGGACCCATCCATTGTTTGAGGAGTCGTAGCTTAGGATTACGCAAACGATAAGGCTTAACAAACCGTCATTGACGCAAACAAAGCGGCGTGAAAGCTAGAGACTCAATGCCTTTATATACTACTAGGTAGTATGTGTACAGTCCGTATCAAGTATTCTAGCTCATAAGAAGAATATCCGATTACTATCGTCAAAGTAAAATATTTCACACGTTTGTTCATAGGTTGAGGGCGTGTAAATTGAAACATGTATGCACCGTGTGGGGATGTCCTTTAGTGGCTTAGCTCCCTAAGCTATAGCAAAAATCCACTAACGTCTAGTGGTTAAATCACTATTTGATTTAGGTCTTAGCATGAGATTAACACGGTACATGTTTGATGAATGTTTACTTAGGTAATCACGCATTGGGTAAGGGGCGCGGTTGATGTGAGAAACTTCCAACAATTGAATCTCTACACTTATTTTGAGCCTCATTCAAAGAGACTTGAGACTTCCAAACTCAAAGAAGCTTAACCATTTTCTTTTTTATAATTGATGAGTGGCTAGTAGAATGGTTTTGAGGATTCAAAATTGAACATTGAATAGAACACTAACCAGCAAAAACACTACTATCGCTGCCAAAATTTTCAAAACAGTTAATGGAATGATAAATCACAATCAATTGGTCTCAATAATCGAGCATAACATACATCTGTTCATTATCACGTTATTAATGTAAATCGTGTGATTTACGACGATGAAGTCCAATCTTGGTGCGAGGGTGTTAAGGATTGGAATAGGGGTAAACTCCATTAGTCATCACGCACCTTTCGAAGTACTAAACATGGATAGAATTTAAGTTCATTTATAGATTTAGAGTTACATGTCCATGATTTCTTTTCTGTCTTATGCACTGATCACTTAATAATTTGGGACGAGGTTGCCATCACAGTGGCAGGCGTGTCGCAGCCCTGACGTAGGAACTCATAGGATTTCACTTGGTCAGAGTTGAAGGTGTGCGACGCGTCTATACTGTGACGTGCAAGAAAAATTTTCCCTCTTTTTTTCCTCTTGTAAATGGAAACATTAGAGATATATCACATTATATAAATACTTAAATCTCTTATTGCCTTCCAAGCATCTTCTCAAGTCACCTCTTCTCAATTATTCCTTGGCTTAGCATTGCTTCGTTCTATCTACAATAACAACGACTCCGCCTGCCACAATGCCTTTTACGTGGAGCAATTTTAAATCCATCCCGCAGAAGTTCAGGGTGGAAGGGCATGTCGGTGACGCGTTCAGAATGCACTCGACAAAGATGTTGCAAGAAGTGAGATATGACGAGGACAAGGACGACGGTACACCTTGCATTCTTATTATCTTCTCCTCCTCACAAGCACTTCACTGTGTCGGACAACTAGAGCTCCTACGACGAATAATCGAGAAAGATCATGGTAACGGCCTAGATAAGTTCCGTATCGACAGTAAGTGGCATTTCTTCTTAACGTCAACCATCGTTAATTCTAAGATGCAATAGTCATGGCAGCGTGCGACAAAGGTTCGCGGAAGTGTCTTGTGAGGCGCGCGTCCAAATATCGCCAACCTCATCAGAAGCCATGAAAAAGATTCCAAAAAATCAAGAAGCGGAAACTTCAGCGAAAGGGGAAAGGGGAAATGGGTGACATGAGCCCTCTTTATAAGCGAAATCAGTACAGGGAATGAATCATACGAGAAACGATCATATAAACGAATTGATATGGGTCAAAAAGCGATGGAGTTCACTTGACTTTGGGTTTTCAGGGATATGAAGTAGGTACCGGATATCGGCGGACTTAAGACGGAAATTTTCACGGAAGCTACTCAAGCACGAGGAGAAGAGTAGGAAGGAGCGGACACCCATTTATTTACAAAAGCCATCCGAGTTTTTAGCGTTGGATTTAATGTCGTTTCTAGCTTCTTCATCTCATACCTTTACTTTCCTAGATAAAAACCACAGAGATGTATTTCGGCCTGAAAAGCAACCACAATCTTATCACAAGCCCCAATCCCTTCACCATGGAACACGTCTTACGTTGTAATGCTCTCAAATGTCGCAAGGAGCTTGGTGATAGGGCGCTGGTGACTACCTGCAGTCATATATTCTGTTTGGATTGCGCTGCTCGTCTAGGCTTAACATCACAGGGGCATGAGCCACACAACTCGTGTCCGGCTTGCGGTTCTCGCCTGACAAGCCCTGATGATGCTGTTATTTCGAACCTTAACCCGAGTGAGGACTATAAGACGAGCGTCCTCAGTGGCCTTAGTCCTAATATCATTATCGAGTGCGCGAGCAGAGCTCTCAGTTTTTGGGCTTATCAGGCCACACAGGAAGTGTTAGTGATGTCCCTTCCCCCATTCCTAAACCACAAAGCCCAATAAGCAATAGAATAGTAGTTAATACGAGCGTTGCAGCGTTTACCAGGAGCATCTCAGCAAGGCTCTTACCGAGAAATACTCGAATCTCAGTGTTCACCTCGACAAGGTTATCAATGAGGCCAACCTAGAAATCACTAGCCTACAAAATAAACTCACGGGTGAGTCTGTCCCAGTTTCACACCTACATACCTAGCCATGCTATTATTAACTTACTCTAGGCATGAGAATGGAGCAGGACAGCCTTCGCCGAAAAAACGAAGAATTAACCCAGGCATACAAAGAGAAAAGCCGAAAGCTGCTTCAGATTCAAGAATTGTACGACAAACTTAAGAGAAAGGCTATGCTTGGTCAGATACAGGATGCAGCAGAGGATGCAATCGATTCGACGCTACACGGATCACCCGCAGGGCGTGCCCAGTTTGAGAGTGGAGGTCAAAACCCTACAGGTTATGAAGAAATCGGAACACCTTACGGTCGACAGCATCATCCGGCATTTCATGAACAACGAATGATGCCTGTAGGATACCAGCATCAGACTACGACGCAAGATCACGGTAGCTCATGGCCTAGAACTATGGGAGCTCAATGTAAGCCACTAAACCTCTTTACTTGTGGCGGATCCTGAATAGGGGCTGACGTCGTGTAGTAAATGTACCTGTCACTCCCTCGACTCATCGACAACGCATTGGTGAGAATACCGGTATGAGTCTCTCAAATATTCCTGGCCTTGTCGCCGGTACACCCCAAACGCAACATAACCGCATAAACATGCGACCACCACAAGTACCCCAAGGCGAGGGGCTGTCAAGCAGCATTCAAGGAAATCCGAGATTTCCGCCAGTGGGATTAAGCTCTGGATTGAAAGTTAGCCATGGCGGAGGAAATCCGGATAGGCTTGCCAGTTCTTCAGCAAGACCGCGAGGTTAGTCTCATAGATTAAAGATACATATAACATATACCAAGGAACAAAGTGGCTAACTGGTAGTTAGTCGCACGAAGGCCATCACCGGTTTCTTCAACTTTCAACCGAAGACCAGTAGGCGGACAACAAGAAAACATGCTTGGCGGAGTTCGGGGCGGGTTTACCAATCTTTAAACTTCTACTGCTATTGTATGGCGAAATATTGCCTTTGGTACAAAGAGAAAAAAAATATATGGTCGATAAAACAAAGTGCTTTGGATTCAGGTGCTGTTGTTCGCTAGTTAAAATGAACAATGCATTATTAAAGGAGTGGATGTTAATATTTACCTACTATGTTCATTAACGCGTTCTTTGTTGATAACATGTATCACAACGAATTGGTGCTTTCATGTTCGCCTCCGATTGAAACAATCCACCATCCCGAACAATGTTATTGTTCTGGAATAGTACACGACTGCTTTCGTTGCCCTATATATACCCAGGTACCAATCGCCTATTATTTTTGAAACCCTTCTCTTGGCCCAAGCCTTCATCAAGAAGCAAACTACCTATTTCAAACACCTCCTACCCAACGAAAGAAATCGATATTATTCCAGACTTAGTTCCACGAACATGACGTCGCGACAGCTCCAATATCGACAATATGGCGGCTCAGCAGAGCACTTAACACTTCAGAATGGGTCTACGCTGGCGTACGACTTTAATCATAGTGTGACAGAAGCCAGACCAAGCAGCCCAACGTCGAATAAAGGGGCGAGTCGAACGTTGCGACGTGTTCCTAAGGACGCGAAGTTATCGAGCTCTTTCGGAAATTGGCTAGGACGACACAAGGCCAAGAAGGGGGACAATTCAGAGCGGATTCACATCAGCGAGCCAAAACCATTACAGCAGGCTCCACCACGTCCAAGGCGTCCTTCTGATGCGCCTGAGTTAGCGCATGGACCCTACGAGCTACCTGGATCGATTGTATCGAGGCCGCCGACAAAGAATCCAGAGATCAAGAGAGAGAATCTCGGAAATGTTCACGAAGCATTAAGATCTCACCCTATTGCACCACGACCCGATACGAAAGATAAAGGTATTCCTGTACGGCGAGTTCCCCTCAACTATGCTGTCAAGAACAGCGACTCGAGCGCTACGGCCCGCACCGAAGTCCGAACCAAACGGACATCCAAAGTACCCCAGTCGACGGCTGACGTCAAAGCTGAGCGGCGTAAGGGGCGAATTTTCTTAGACGGGAAAAACCTATACGAATTTCCCGACCCAGAGTCATATGAAAGCGGCGAGGAAGAGAATAACGACGATGGCCATCTTTGGGAAGACGCTGGTTTCGACGACCCTGGTATGCCAGCTATCAACGAGAGGTCTGTACCAAAGATTACTGTTACACACCCAACCGACAATGAGCAGAGCTCAATACAGAGCGAAGAAACTCCCCAGAAATTACTTGGCGTTGATGACTGTTATAAGGTGCTATATCAGGGCCAAACCAAGGAGTTGCGTGGACTCCGTAAGACTCTAAAGTACTTAGTACCCCTAGCATGGCTTGTTGCGGAGGCAGAAGGCGTTGATCCGCACGATGGTGTTGCTTTGGAGGGTGCACTTAGAACTATTATCGCGGATCGAGAGAAACTGTTTGACCTATTCCCCCTAGCCCAGGTATTGGCTGAGGACCAGAAGGTGGACATCGACGATTTTAAGGCACTTCCCCGAGCTCTCAAGAACATTATGTCGGACCGCGATAGCGCAACGCGGATTGCCGACTACCACAGGATGGTTAGCCGAAGACTCGAGGGGAAGATTGCACAGCTGGAGAGAGAGAGAACGAGAGATGAATCTGACGATGATGAAGAATACCAGTGGTTGTAAGGAAATCACTATGGAGGAAGAGTACATCTAAGGTCATTAATGCACCCTGCTACCTAATCCTATAAAGCGGCGGGCAACGACTGATCGCGAATTAAGGGGAGTATAATCCGGATAACTCCCCCCTCGCGAGTACTCAATAACATAAGTATTCCCTTTTACCACCCACCCTACTACCTCTAGTACTACTTCTACTACTACACTTACTACCACGTCTACTACCACTTCTACTACTACCACTTCTACTTCTAGTAGTAATAGACAAACCGGGTTATGCATAAGGACATTCATATTACAACTATAGTAAGTCCAGCAACCCTATCTACTTAACCTATCTCCCTATGCATCTGGGAAGTCGAACCCCGATTACTGGGAACCTTTATATAACGACAACGAAGCAGCACCTCTTACTAGTACCAGAGGCGCTGCGCCGAATCGATCGATCGATACTACCTACTTATTCGACAACCCTCATAACACCTTGATTAGCCAAGGCAACTTACATACCATCTATTACCAAGCGTCAAAAGAACGCTTATATGATACCTAGATCACTTCCTAGGTAGATACTTTTATAAGTAACTATACCTCCTTACACCTACCCTATCATCCCACCATACCTACTACATAGATCAGAGGATGTTCTGATAGAACAATTATACACACTAACTACATATGTCTCCCCCTATCTCGTTCAACACCAAGATGGGGGGAAACTCACTTCATCTCAGTACACGATTCTTCAGAATTGGGATAGAACACCCAAGATAGCGTACCTTAGGTACATAATAATACGATAAACCAGTCTACTCATCCTGGCCAGGTGAGTGGACAGGTAAAACGCTGCGAACACGACTTTGATTTTGCTTTTCTTAGTGCTAAAAATGGGATTTCCTACGTCTGATTCATGATGCTCAAATTAGATTGTCACATAATGGGTATAATGAGTAATACATAATAAACTACGCTTTGCCGGCATATCTAGTACCTATTCTTCTGCTGATCGTGATTGTATTCTTTAATTATGCCAATATGCTCCATACCGTAGCTGGTGATGACATTAAGTTAGGTATATGACTGTATTCGCAACTCCTATCTATCAACTCCAAGCGTAATACTCATTAGGCCAAACCCTCGTCCTCTTCTTCTCGTCCCCCCTCCACCTCAAACACGGTATATTCTTGGTCTCCCTCCTCTCCTCCTCAACCCCTATCCCAAATTCCTCCGCCAAGTACCTCGTCGCGCCCCTTATCTCCGGACCGGGGTTCCAAATCACGGCCTTCGTCGTCTTCCACCGCGCCGCCTCCTCAACGGCGGAGAGTAGAAGCGCCCCCACGGCCTGAATGGTAGCGAGTTCGCCGGCTTGGGTTTGGGTCTGAGGCAGCTTGACGCGCTGGATGGTTAGTTTCCGGGCGTGCAGGTCGTGGAACCAGTACACCCAAGCACCCGCGCTCTCGCAGATGCTGCCTTTGGCTTTGGGGGTCTGGCCCGCGAGCTTGGTGTTCATGAAGTCGGCGCGGGTTTGCAGCCAGCTGATCATGTCTGGGGTGGGGAGGACCGTGAGGAGGGTGGTGTCTGGTGAGAGATCGGCGTTGCGGAACTCGGTTTCTAGATCTTGTATATCGCGCTCGGCTAGCGCGGGGATCTCGTCCGCGTCTAAGAGTCGAGTCGTGGGTAGCTTGGCACTCTTCTCGCCAGGAGCAAGTGAAGGAGGAACGGTCAGGGTAGACTGCAGCGCATCCAGCATGTCCCAGCCTTTGCTAACGTAGAACTAAATGTCTCGGTCAACACCTCAAATAAATTATAGATCAGATAGTTATTAATAAATTTCCACGTCCTTACATCACCAACATCCGAATACAGCATACTCGCCACCGCTCCCCCTTCCCCATCCATCCACTCCGCAACTTTCCCCAACAGCACGGACGCGAGTCCGCGCCCTCGGTACTCGTCGTCCGTCACCACGCTACATAGACAGTACCCCTGTTCCCGGCGCGTCCCTCGCTCGTCCCGGATAAGCAGGTCCCGGTGAAGCGTCTTGCACAGCGCCACTACCTTCGCCCCCTCCTCATTATCATCATCGTTGCCGGCGCTAGCCTCGGCGAGAGTCAAGTTCCAGAACCGCCACCGGGTCCCGACGGCCAGGGGGTGCGTGCCAAGTAGCGCCTCGCGCTCGAGAAACTGTGGCGCGGAGAGCGATTTGCCGAAGGCGGAGCCGGAGAGCTTGGAGCATTGGAGACGGGTGTCAGGCGTCACGGCCTCGGAGAATAGGACGGAGAGGAGGCCGTGGCGGGCGGGGACGTCGATGGGGATGGTGGGGGGTTGATCCGTTGTCATTTTGGTCGTTTAAATTGGGGATTTGAGCACTTCTAATTTCGGATCTCGAAGATTACCCCGAAGTACGGTGATCGGATTCAGAAAGTAGGAGGCGTGCATGGTGATAATTCATATACGGGGATTACAATGGGATCGATTGATAGCTCCGCAACGGATGTAGTGCGCCCTCTAGCTACGTCCTCCGTTATCGTTCCGTTTAGAGGCTCCACTGTCGGGCGTATGCGATCCATTAGCGAGTCCTCACCTATTATCCCACGGTTAACCTCCGAACGTATGGTGGGCCAGGTCCGTTTTTATTTCGATCCATTTCCTATAAAGAATTAACAGTGAAATGACTGCTACATTGGTCTTTACGATATATCATCTCCTCAGTCATATATCGCTGTAGAATTCTCAAAATGTCACAAGCAAAGCAACCCCACATTGGAAGCTATAAGCCGCAGCTGAGATGTCGTATTCGTATTGTCACCGCGTCCTTCTCGTGCGACGGCCAGCACTAGGTATTAGCCCCGAAGCTATGAATAAAGCCGATTTCCAGCCTCCTCCGCCTTAAATTGGCGGGGGTTTCGCATCCTCTATTTAGTCTGTTTTCTTCAACGCAACGGGGGTAAAAGGGGTCAAAAAGAAAAAAAAGGCTACGATGGACGCTGCAACAAAGCAATTACTCATTAGCGCCCTCGCGACGGCCCTCACGCTTGGCATAGCATGGGTCTGGAAGCTGAACACGGCGCTCAAGCAGACGCCGCCGGAGGTCCTCGCAGCATCTCCGCACCGCTGGTCTGAAAAGCAGATCAAGGAAACATACCAGCGCATCCAGAAGAACCCCATAGATTGGGCGAAACACCTCCCGCCAAAGCTGGACCGGCGGTACATCGTCACAGGCGGGAGCGGTGGTGTAGGCGGGACAATAGTCCTACACTTACTCGCCAGGGGGCAACCGCCCGAAAGCATTAGGATCATCGACTTCCGCAAACCGGAGCGTGCCGACATGGCTTCTGGTCCAGCTTCTCTAGTCGACTTCGCACAAGCGGACATCTCATCTGAGGAAGCCACGCTCGCGGTCTTCTCGAAACCATGGCCCTCCAGCGTCAAGAACTTGCCGCTCACCGTATTCCACACAGCCGCCATCATCGTGCCATACGAGCGCTCGCTGAAGACGTACGAGCGCGTGAAGCGCGTGAACATCGACGGAGTGCGCCACGTCCTCGCCGCATCGCAGGGAGCAGATGCTTCCGTCTTCGTATCCACGTCCTCGGCCTCCGTAGCCTACAAGCCGGTGCAGTACTGGGGGAACCCATTCCGCCCTTACCCTCACAACTTCTTACAAATCATCGACGACTCGGATTTCGACCTTCCCTTGCGCCCGCACAACGAGTTCTTCAGCAACTACGCGCACGCGAAGGGGGTCGCCGAGCGGCTGATCTCCGCGGCTAACAGGGACGGCTTCCGGACGGGCATCGTGAGGCCGGCGAACGGGATCTACGGCAGCAGCTACGGCGACCAGGTCGTCGGGATGTGTCTACGCGCCGGCACGGTGCCGACGTGGATGCGCAACATCGCGCAGAACTTCGTCGCCGCGGGCCACGTCTCGCTCGCGCACATGCTTTTCGAAACCGCGCTTTTACAAGGCACCACCACTAACGGTAAAGGACGTATGCCCGGGTGCGCGGGCCGCGCGTTCACGGTAACAGACGCCGGCGCGCCGCCCTTATTCGACGACTTTTACAACCTGCTGAAGATAACGGCGGAGACGCCCAGGATCGAGATCGTGTACCTGCAGCCGGCGGTCATGCTGGTGCTCGCGCACGCGGTCGAGTGGATCGCGCTGGCGAGCCGGATGCCGGTGCTGCGGCGGGTGGTGCCGCGGCCGAGGGGCGACTTGGCGATGCTGCAGCCGGCGACGTTTAGCGCGAGCACGCATTTCCTGGCCGCGGATGCGGCGGCGCGGAGGAGTGTTGCGGAGGGCGGGATCGGGTACGTGCCGGTGCATGATACGATGGAGGGGATGTGTCAGCAGGTCTTGGATTGGAATGTTGAGCATAGGGGTTCTGGGGATTTAGGCTCGCGGAGCTCGGCGGAGAGCTTTGCTAAAAGGGTTAGGAATGTGGGGACTATGCCTGCTGCTGTTGGAGCTTGATTTTGGACTCTTGTTAGCCCTTTGTGAGGTATACGTCGGCACATACCCCAGATATACCTAATGTTAGAGATATAAAGGCATACATAGGTACCTAGGTAGGCATGTAGCCATCTGTGTTACGGAAATTTCAGGCCAGTCGCGCCAGTTCCTTCGCCTATCAAGTTCAAATGAGCATGGTAAGAGTAACCCTCCACGACTCTTTGCTGCCTAATCAAAGGCACGGACAATTCTATTGTTACCGAAGTTTACCTTGGTTTAGCCTCGAGACAATGAACATGTTGGCCTACAGCAAGAGAACAATAGGATAGTTCAGCCTACGGTTCGTTTAAAAATCATCGATGAGCCAAGGCGAATCCATGAAAGCATCCCTCCCGAGGTAGGTTTCCGCACACACCAGTACGTGTACTTATCAGACTATAACGAAGACTGATCTATCTTATTTTCTCTCTTAACAAAGGACTTGAGATATAATCATGTCGGCCAATCCCGCAACCCCGGAAGATCCACGCCCAGACCGTACCACATTCGGTGTAGAGCTGGAGTTTCTAGTCCCATACCTGTACGACAGCGAAGTAGACCCCCTGGGTGAAGTTGAGGGATTAGCTCCTCTTTTAAGGCAGACTGATCATACAGGTAGACCGGAAAATGAAGTTCGGGCGGTCATACAGAAACTCTTCCAGGACCACGGACTCGAGACCGAGATCAAAGTGTATCCATATAAAAGCGATGACGCTATGAGAGCACTTGATAGATATTCAATCTGGGTTGTCAAAGACGACCCAACGGTAAGGGAAAACAATGACTCGACTGCCTGGTTCCAAAAATATCGGTGGGTAGATGTTGAAATCACGAGCCCCGTGGAGCCCAGCATTCCAATTACTTACGAAATCATTAATTACGCCCGGCAGTTATTAACGCACACATATAGGTGCCGTGTCAACTCGTCTTGCGGACTTCACGTACATGTCGGCAAGGGCGCCGAGAGATTTGATCTTGTGAACATGAGACGCATCTCCGCGCTGATCTGGAGTTCAGAGCATCTATTTGTAAACCTTAATCATCCTGCACGACAAGCAAATTTCATGACGCCGACATGTCGTATGAATACTGTGATCGCGACTGGAAGGCGCCACGGTGAACACGACGACTGGCAACCAGGAGATCCTCTTGACCAGTGCATGGATTATCTGGCTGCGGAAGTTAGACACGGAGAAGAACCGATATCATTCAAGGAAGCAAATCTAGGATATGATATTCGAGAAGGGTTTGCAAAAACGCGAGAGAAAGGTCACTACGAGCCATTCCAATGGAAATTCCCCGAAGGCCAATCTGATGAGGCGGTGGTGCCGGTTGACGACAACGAGAGGAACATTGATGATGAGATCGAGGATAGAACCGAGAAGATGGCTGCTAAGTCAGACTTTCAGCTTTCGACCGAGACTGCTGATGAGCCTTGTCGCGAACGAACTATGCCGAGGATGGTAAACTATCGGTACACTCCTGACGAACTCATAGAGCTGGGCGACATGTTCGGTGGCAGCGGCAGCAGTTTCAATCGTGATACCGAAGACCCGGGTGTGTTCGAGGGAGTAAGACAACTATTCAATTCTCGTAGTAGCTGCGATATCGCATGGCTTATGTTTCCTGGTGGTCGCGGATACGTGAACTTCCAACTATACGAATGTTCCCAATTCCGATGGTCGCAATACGGCAGTGGTCACGGACCTAAGAGGACGATAGAATTTAGAGGAGCAGAAGGTACACTCGATAGTTGGGCGGTTACTTGGGCAAAGATCTGCGTTGGTATTATCAGGTTCGCCCTCTACGCTCCCGCCGACGAATTTATGCGCGTCTTGATGAAATGCGACGCCTCCGACTGGGAATTTGAGAATTATGACTGTATTGACTTTCTCGACGATATCGGTCTCCCCGTCGAGGCGGCGCTAGCCGAGAAGCATCTTAAGGAGAAGGAGTGGGATTATAATATTGCGTATGCCGATGAACCAGCGGAACCCGTAGAACCTGCAGAACCTACAGAACCCGCAGAACCCGCAGAAGAGTAAAAATGAAACCCAGGGATGTCCTTTGTTTTAGGTGAGTAGGCGTGGTATTTTCTCCTTCTGGAGGACACTTACTATTTGTTTATATAGGTAGTTACTCAAGCATGTTTCTTGTAAAGAGTAATAATATTTGAATTGTTCCAAGATTTTCCGAAGACCCTTATTCAGGGGTAACCTCGTTACTAAATGCTTGTGTAAGTCTTCACTAAGTAAGCGCTTGAGGATTGTGTGCGCAGGTCGCAGATAGCACAAGACTGACTTCGGCCCGGTAAGCAATACGAAGAGATTGATAATTCTGAGTAGGTGATACTGAGGTTTATGTAGTCGTCGATTTTTAAAACAACGTTAGAATAGGTGTTGACCGTGTATACAGTAACTCGCACTTTATAATAATATCCCCTGAATTACATAATCAGCGGCAATAAATGCGCGAATTACCTAATAGGTAGGTAAGACATGAGTTCCGCATTGGTACGCATAGTGCAAAACATTGATCACATACTGTGTCTACACACGGCCCACACCTATTCCACGATGTCCGGAACGTCAACATTGAGATCTGAGATACGGAATGGGGTCTGAGTACCAGCGATTGGAGAAATGATCAGGTTGAGCAGTTAGTGTTACTAATAACACGAGGATCTTGACTTACATAGTTGTTCAGCTCTGCCAATGGTTTCCATCAAGCTATCTTTATCGACTATAATGTAAGTAGAGTGAGTATGTGAGCCGAGAAGCGGCCAAGACGGCCAAGATAACACAGCCAACTTGAATCTTGGGGTTGTGAGAATACCGCATCATGTTTGGCGGATGATTTCAGCAACGGGGCCATCAGACAAAAATCGATCTTTCAGCCGATCAACATAGCCACGGACGGACCCACTCGACTATTTTATACTAGTAAACAAAAAATGTAAGACTGAGGGTCGTTAAACTGCATGCTGAATTGTGATAAGACTCCTTGGAATACGAAAAAATGATTTTTCTGGTGCAAAGTTATGATGTTGAAATATGAACAGTGGCGTCGATTGAATTCTCAGCTTGACGTTAATGAGCCCATCTGACTGGCTCTTTAAAGTGCCTAACCACGGTCTAATTAAAGACGACCTGTAAGGCAGCAGCTGCTGCAGTTACAGGGCATAGGGCTAACTTGTCAGATTTAAAATGCCATAGTAGACCTTTACGTATCCTGAAAACGGTCCCGGAACGGTATCTATTTTTGGAACCATAACACTATTGGAATGGCCTTGCAATGGTTGCTTTGCAAGGAACCGTTCCAAAACTAGGTTAAACGTTCCAAAAGTTATATTGATTTTATTTATTTAATTTATGTATTTATCCGTTTTTTGAATTTCATGTATTTAATTATTTAATTTTATATATTTATTTATGTATTTTATATATTTAATTACATTTTTATATATATTTTATTAAATTAATTATTAATTTTTTTCGGGAATTTACAAGGATTATTTTTTTAAGGTTTTACAGTTCTACTATTACACTACACTAGCATTACGGGCGAAAAACTTTAAGTTTATTATCTTAGATAAGCTTTCTTAAACCTTAGATTCTGATTAGTCGCACCCCTTTAGGACCCACAGAGTGGCACGCTAAACTAGCGCTGGAACGCTTATAATTAACCAAAAGCTTGGAATAAACGGGGAATGCATTGGAATCAATACGGAACACCTTAAAATGCCCAAAATCCAGCTGGCACACCTGGCAACAGCTGTAATCTACTAGGAACGCTTGAAAATTTCTGGTCAATCAGCTGGAATCAGCTGGTACCGTTCCAACACCGTTGCGGAACTGTTTTTGACCTACGCATTTCTCTACTAAGGTGACCAATCGCCCCGTACTAACCCCATTACGGCCCTATCATTGGGGGTTGCTTGCCTAAAACCCCCGCTAAAGTTTGGCGTGTCAGTTAAGCTCAGCGGCACAGCTGAAGGCAGCCAGTCAGAATAGGGCAAAATTTAGCTTGCAGATCTCAGGACCCATGTAATACAAGGTACTATCCATATGTAGGTAGGTAGCTGAAGGAAGTGGCTGTCCTCCCCGGGTTAGCCTGTGCAATGCGACAGCATTCAAGGTTGCAGTTGCAATGGATATGTGTACTATGAAGTTTCCTATAAAAGCAGTCAGCCCATCGACTTCTCATCTTCCCCTTCTTTCAGCCCTATCGTACGAACACATACCTTGAATCCTTCCCTAGCAAGCTGAACTCCAACGTCATACTACCTACCACCTAATCCACGAACTGTTATCCTTACAATACTATCAAAATGGTCTCCCAAAACCTCATCGCCTTCCTGGGCCTCGCCTCCACCGCCCTAGCAACCTACAGCCCGCAGGCGCTAAAGAACCTACGCGACCTACGCGCAGAGCACGTCGTCGTCGAGGTGCGCGAAGCACAATCATCCAGCAGCGACAGCGCCCTCGCCAGCTCGTGCTCGTCCTCAGCAGAAGCCATCATCACGGACGCGCCGCAGCCGCCGGCGAGCCTAGAATCGTTCTTCGCATCGTTCGCGGCGACGGCCGACCTAACGAACCCGAGCGTGCTGTGCCAGATCACGGCGGCGGTGCCGTCGTCGCTGACGGCCGCGTACAGCTCGTACGACCAGCAGGCGAGCAGCTGGTTCAGCGCGCACAGCAGCGACATCGACGCCCTCGTCTCCAAGTGCGTCGGCGAGGACGGCGCCGCCTCCATCTCCCAGGCCCTGTCCGCGCTCGACGTGTACGCCGCTGGTAGCTGCACCGGCTCCGTGTCCAAGGGCCTGGCTGCGCGGCCGACTGGTGTGGTTGCCGGTGCTGCTGTTGCTGCGGCGGGTGTTTTGGGCGCGGCTGCGGTGTTGTAGTTGGATAGGGGTGGATAGGGGGTGGAAATTGAAAAGGAAAGAAATAAGAAAACGTCGAGTTCGTTGTGGGGAGCGGGAAGTTTGATTGGCATTAAGTTAGGGAGTTGCATAGATGGCGGCGTCGGTCCAGGTTGATACGAAACCTAAACCATACCAATTTGGCGCGTATATCATTCTTAGTAGAATAATACCCAATTGATTCATTTTTCGAGAGTCGCTGTCATGTTCAAGACGAATGTCATGGTGAAGTTCGCATATGGTATCTCGATACCTAGATACCTAGACAGGTAGGAAATCAATCGTACTCACTCTTGGAAGCTTTATTTCATATTGAGACACTCAAGACAAACGTATGTTCAGACTAGCTATGTTCTTATGACAAGAAATGGGATACATAGCCTATATTCGAGGAGTCATCGTTTTATGTGTTCCATAGAAGATACCTAGTATTAGGGAATATCAAATCGACTTGGTGCAGGTGAAATCGTTAGAGGCGATCGTTCGGTTGAAACAGGGGTAGTTTTAGTGCATTTAGCTTTTCTTATCGAAACCAATCATAGGCCCGGAAGGCACCACAGGGACCGCTACCGGGCCAACTTAGTGAGACCGTGCTTCCGTCGTAATAGTATCTTCACGGTCCCGGCTGCCCAGTTCCCTCGATGCCTCAGTCTTCCTGTGTGTTCGTACGACAGCAAAAAAAAAAAAAACATGGCAACATTCAACTCACTGCCTAATGAGATCCTAACAATAATTGCCGATTTCTTTCCATGCCGGTCAGTTCTTAGCCAGAGCCAATATTTAGGAACGCTAGCTCTCACAAATCGACGCTTATATCAACTTGTGAATCCAATTTTATATGCCCACAACAGGGATAAAGACCACTCAAGCGCGGTCATATGGGCAGCCAGGCACGGGCGAATCGAGACGCTTGAGAAGGCACTCTTCTTTGGCCTAAACTTCAATTGTCGGGATGATGAACGCTTATCATGTCTCTGCATTGCGGTTATTCACAAGCAAGAAGCCACTGTGACTTGGCTTCTGAACCACGGGGTCGGTCCGGATGTTGAGCCAGTCATCGAACGTTTCCGTGCTGTTGACCGGAGATTCTCTCCCTTGTTTCTCGCGCTGAAAACAGCCCAGTCTTCGGTGGCTTGTCTATTACTTGAGAGAGGCGCATTCTTTTGGTTCGCCCAACTTACTGACTTCGATGATCCATATGAAGAACCAAATGGTCAGCCTATATTGAGTCCGGCCACACACTATGCCTCCTTCTTCGGCCTAATCCCTGTTGTAAGGTTCTTAGTACAGCACAAGGGTGTAGACATAAACACCCGCAACAGTGAAGACGAGATATGTCTGCATCACGCAATTAGGGGGAGACAGAACCGAGCAGTAATTGACGAATTAATTCTGCTTGGTGCTGATATTAACCATAACGGTACATCAAGTCTCCTATGCTTGGCTATCGAGATCTGCAGCTACAAACACGCGCACTGGTTGATCGACGCCGGAGCACGCATCGATGTTCCCCCAAGAGGAAGACCAGCACCAATCCATATGTGTACCTGGAGGCCGTTATATCTTTTGGAGGACCAGCAATCCGACAAATACACTTTGCTAGAGAGGCTCATTAATCTCGGCGCCGATGTGAATGGGTTCGATCTGGAAAACCAATCCAGAACACCACTAGGAGAAGCATGTCTCCATGGCACTGTTACAGCAGTGTCCATGCTGCTCCAAGCCGGCGCCGAGGTGGACCTAGACATCGGGGAGGGGAAACGACCACTAGATTCGTTACTGGCATTATGCCATGCAGAGGAGAAACAATCGAAAGAGACGCATCAAAAGATCCTTCTCCTGATAAAAAATAAAGCTCGGCTCGACTCGCGTACTTGGCAGAATATGTCGCCCCTTGAACATGAACTCGTATGGTCCATGAAGCATGACAATAGCAAACGACTCGCTTTTATGCTCGGCTCAGCGACAAGCCAGAATCTATCAACCGAACATCTCGACAGCTTGTTAGAAACTGCCATTGAGGAGAGGTCTTTCACATGCTGCAGAGTGCTTCAAGAGTATGGGGCAAGAATGCAGAGTCCTACCAATTCAATAATTTCCTGGGTTGAAGAGGCACTCCAAGACCGATTAGCTAAAAGGGGCATTTTTAGAACGCAAAACTCAGACTTTCGGTGTTTTATAGCTATGGCAATAAATCTCAGCTCAGGGTTCGATGACGAAACCAAAATGTTTATAAAAGCTTTGAACTATGAGGACAGGGAAGCGGCTGACGTTTTCCTGAGTCGTGGCATGGTCGGACGGCGTCCGGGTTGCTATGACCCGAACGAATGGCTCCAAGCAGCCGCTGCATGGGGTCATTTAGGGGTCCTGCGTAGGCTGCTTCAAGGCTCACCAAACGTCAATGGTTTCGATGATTGGAATATGCTACCTCTGTCGCGGGCCATTGAGATCGGAAATCGGGAAGCAGCAATTTTACTAATGGAACACGGGGCGGACGCATTCAAAAGTAAAACAGTCCAGGTTGGTCAGGAGACGAGAGGAACTCTAAAACCTATACAACTTGCACTCCGGTATGGGGAAATTGAAATTCTCAAGGCTATCTTGGATAAGCAGCAAGGGTCGCTTACAGAAGAGGAGGCTTGGGTTCCTGCTGTACTAGCATCTGCTCCAGAGATTGCCGAGATTGTCAGCATGGAGCTTTGCTAACCTAAGCGCTCGTTTTAGGATGTTGGGAACTTCTGTCGATACATTCATTGCCTGGGTGACTCTAGTATTTTCTATTCTACTGGTTTAATCCTGGTTTGGCTTATGATTCTTGAGACCTAACATATCTCTATAAATATATGTCGTTAATCAGCCATATCGTATGTGAACATATATTTCAGCAATTTTTAGCAAGTGTTGTTTTAACATTAGCACTTTGTCTAGATTATACAAATTCACTTCATTTACTTACCTAGGTATTCAACAAGCAGAGAGTGCACCTAAAAACAAATGACCTACCAAGGCGATCATACCTAGGTAGTTACACGATATTTTTTGTTTTATTCAATATTCATGACCAAGAGGAACTCTGGCTGAGTAGTAGGACATATTCACGAAAAGTCTCTCTCCTAATGTCCGTACTAAGTAGATGATCGGACATTATGTCAACCTGATTCAGCTTGAATAATTCATTTATATTTGATCAGCCCCCTAATTCTTGGACTAATAGTTTGGAAGGTTATGTTCCATAACTTCCTTCATTTCTATAGGTACATTCATTTATATCATGAATGCACGGCGGTTTTCAATGAGTCACATCTGCTACTTGGGGAACGTGCACCGATTTCAAGTGTATAGGTCCGTGACGACCTCTCAAGGACAGTAAGGGAGGGTAACGAGATTAGGGTTGTGACTCATGAATGGTAGAAAGTTTTTCGAAACGGTGCACTATGGCCATCTGTTGCCAGACTGCTGAAATGTAGGGTCCGTGATCAGCCGTCACCTTTCTTCTAAGGAAAATAATTCATAACACAGTGGTACCATCCTTCCCCTTCTCCGTTCTACACAAATTCTCGGACAACCTTGAGACGACACCCGTCCGACACACCAACCAACAAACGCAACTTTTCTTTCTTGCTCAGCAGTTCGCCGCCCCACGGCTTCGTCGCCATGGCAGTGCTTACGGATTTACCAATTGAAGTTCTACAAGAGATTGCAAGTAATCTTTGGAGCCATAAAGACCTTGCATCCCTCACCCTCACCAATCGAAAGCTATGCTGCGCTACCAACTACGTTCTTTACAAAACTTTCGGAAGTTATGCCATCGACTATGCCTCTGAGCACCTTAGGCTTGACATGTTGGATCTCACCGCGCATTTCGGCCACGGCATACATGATAATCGAGACTGGGCAATTCGTCAAGCTTGCCTCTACGGACATGTAGAAGTGGTTGCTTGGTTATTAAACCATGGTGCGCTGGTGGACGCGTCCGTTATCCATTGCGAGCATTGCGACCGTTATGATCATGTAGCGGACCGCGAACTTTCATCGCTGCATTCCGTGATCGAAAGCCGGAATGAGGACGTCGCCATCCTTCTACTTTCATGTGGTGCCGTCCCCCAATTCAGTCAATACGGACCCGACGGGCTTCGGCGAGCGAATCGTCGCTTAGGTTGCTGTGAATCGGCTATTCATCTTGCTGCCGAGTTTGGCATGCCGCGGGTAGTGGAGTTTCTCGTGCAGAGAAATATATTTTCCGTCGACGAGAGAGATCATGCGGGACGAACACCTCTGCATGTGGCCATCCTTGCGGGTGCTTCCAACACATGCGCAAAGTTGATTGAGCTTGGAGCGGATCTCGAGGTTGAGGATGACCAGGACCATTGTCCGTTAACGTCTGCACTGGTGAACCACCGCTACGTTCAGGCACTTCAATTGATCGATGCCGGCGCGAAGGCCGAACCCGATAACGTACGCCCCGGAACACGACATCCCACCACCGCTTGCGCCGTGCATCCCTATTACTCCGGTGACCGCCCCTACCTATTCGAGATTGAGGATGAATATGAGAATCCACCATACACCGATCTGCAGTGCACGATCCTTTCTAAGCTCGTGGAGGCCGGTGCAGATATCAACAGAATCTGCAGTGATGGAAGTACTCCGCTTTGTACTGCAGTTGTGAAAGGAACACCCCATCAAGTGTCCCATATCCTAGACCTGGGTGCGGATGTGAACGCTCGAGACGGACAAGGATCCACGCCAATGAACCTTTTATGGGTGGAGGGATGGGATCATCACCACGAAGTTTGGTGCTGGGACAAGGCACGTATGCTGCTGAAAGCTGGTGCAGAGTTGGACAGCCGTCAAGCTTGGGATCGAATTAGGCATCTACAGGTGAACTTCTTTGCATGTCATAGTTGGGGATCCTGCAAACATCTCAGGAGCAACCATCCTGAGAGATGCGACATTTTTTCGAAAACGCACTTTGAGGAGTTGTTGAGAGAATTTTGGGACGGGCCGGCACGTCAGACGGCTTGGCAATTCATGGAAGACGCGGATTTATGGAATAAACCGGCTTTTTAGGTACCTGGGATAGGTATTGAATGAAAGAAATTCACATATAAGAAATGGTGGTGTTATCTTGGTTTGAGTAGTATATATGGTGAACAGTGGTCGTAGTATGGAATTTGGTAGAGTTGTCGAATGTAGTCGTGGGTGGATCAGGGAAATCCGGGGGTGGCTAATGTGTGGCTTGCATATGCATCAGCCACACACTAATCTGACGCGTCAGGAGGTGACGCCACATTTCAGGAACAAGAGGCGATCAACACTTTCGGATACTATCTATTTTCCAGCCCCGATACGTTTAATTTACCGCCTTAAAATCAGTACAGCAATATCACAGAGATTGACCGGACTACCTCGACTACGAATGGCCTCTTTACCGGCCCGGGAATAAACACGCAATAATGGGTATGCGCATTGATTGTTCGGATAGAAAAGAGTCGGCTTCGCTAACTTGCTTACCCTGCCAGGTACTGCGCCGCCGAGACCATCGCATGACTCGCTATCCTCCGTCTCCACCACGAGTCTGGTATTCGAACGGCTGGGCGAACGAGAGAAGCTCGACGGCGGACTTGCCGACTTAGAAGATGACGACCCGCTGCATCATGACTCCGAAAACGAAGATGAATCTTTCTTGCCGCTGCCCCCGAAGAGGGCCGTTGGTGTCGATAAGGGTTTCAAGAGGTTCATGCTGGTCCTAGTTGGCATATTTCTATCCGCTTGGGTAGTTGGACTATTTACATACTTGTCTACGAAATCATACCAGCATTCATCGCAGAAGGACCATGATCCGGCGGCCACGGCATCCCGCGGATCCGGGAAGAAGGTCACATTGGATCAAGTGATGGAGGGGTACTGGCGACCCCAGAGCCATAGTATAAGTTGGATCGCAGGTGCAAACGGAGAAGATGGCCTGCTTTTAGAGAAGGGTGCCGCTGGCAAGGACTATCTGGTGGTTGAAGACGTGCGGAGTCAGAATGAAGAACATACAGCCAACGGCGGAAAGATCGCATCCGCCCAGACTCTTATGAAAGACCGAATTTTCGATGCTAGCGGCCGCAAATTGTACCCGGATCGAGTCTGGCCTAGTCCTGACCTGAAGAAGGTGCTTATTGCTACCGAGACTAGAGACGTTTGGAGATATTCGTTTACTGGAGTATACTGGATCTTCGACGTGGATACCCAAAAGGCCGAGCCGTTGAACCCTAAAGATCCCGGATTGCGGGTACAACTTGCGCAGTGGAGTCCGAAAAGCGATGCTGTCACATTTACGAGCGCTAATAACTTGTACGTACGAAAGCTGGGAGGCGATAATGTCGTGCAAATCACCAAAGATGGTGGACCGGAGTATTTCTATGGTATTCCGGATTGGGTGTATGAAGAGGAGGTTTTCGGTGATAATAGCGCAACCTGGTGGTCTGAGAATGGAGACTTTGTGGCTTTCCTAAGGACGAACGAGACCTTGGTACCCGAGTACCCGGTTCAATTCTTCATCGATAGGCCGAGCGGCAAGACACCTCCCGCCGGAAAGGAGAGCTACCCAGAAGTTCAACAGCTTAAATATCCTAAGGCAGGCGCGCCGAACCCCTTCGTGGACCTTCTGTTCTACGACATGGCTCGGGGGGATGTATTCTCCGTTGAGATCGAGGGAGGCTTTGCGGCTGATGATCTTTTGATCACTGATATCACTTGGGCTGGTAGCAAGGTCCTTGTCAAGGAGACGAACCGCGTCAGCGATATCATGCGCGTTATCTTGGTGGATGTTACTGCTCGGACAGGCAAGACGGTTAGAACGGTCGATGTGGGGAAAATCGACGGCGGCTGGTTCGAAATCTCGCATGATACCACTTACATCCCTGCCGACCCTGCCAACGGCCGACCCGAGGACGGTTATATCGATACCGTTATTCACGACAACGGGGATCACATGGCCTACTTCAGTCCTCTGGACACCGACAACCCCGTTATGCTGACCTCTGGGAAATGGGAGGTTGTTGCAGCTCCTTCTGCTGTTGATCTGAAGAACAACGTCGCATATTTTGTTGCCACGAAGGAATCTTCCATCCAACGACATGTTTACAGTGTCAAGTTCGACGGATCACATCTGAAAGAATTAACCGATATTAGCAAAGAGGCCTACTACGACGTTTCGTTTTCTACTAAAGCCGGATACGCCCTACTAACCAATAAGGGACCGAACGTACCGACGCAAAAGGTCATTAGCACGCCTAGCAACCCGGAGGTGTACGAACATGTCATCGAAGAGAATAAGGATCTAGCGGATAAGGCGAAGAAACATGAACTGCCCCTTTTAGACTACGGCACGATCACCGTGGACGACGTCGAGCTCAACTACATCGAGCGCCGGCCGCCGCACTTCGACCCGAAGAAGAGATATCCCGTGCTCTTCCACCAGTACTCCGGACCAGGCTCACAGTCGGTGGACAAGCAGTTCAGCGTCAACTTCCAGACGTACGTAGCCTCCAACCTAGGGTACATCGTGGTCACGGTCGACGGGCGCGGGACCGGATTCATCGGACGCAAGGCGCGCGTCGTCGTGCGCAAGAACCTCGGACAGTACGAAGCGCACGACCAAATCGCCGCAGCCAAGATCTGGGCCGCGAAGCCGTACGTCGACGACGCAAAGATAGCTATCTGGGGCTGGTCGTACGGCGGGTTCCAGACGCTGAAGACGCTGGAGCAGGACGCGGGCCAGACTTTCAAGTACGGGATGGCGGTCGCGCCCGTCACGGACTGGCGCTTCTACGATAGCATCTACACAGAGCGGTACATGCTCACGCCGCAGCTTAACGCCAACGGGTACGATCGCACGGCTGTCAGTAATGCGAGCGCGCTGAGCCAGAACGTGCGGTTCTTGATCATGCACGGCGTGGCGGATGATAATGTGCATATGCAGAATACGCTCACGCTGCTGGATAAGCTGGACGTGGCGGGCGTGGAGAATTACGATTTGCATATGTTCCCGGATTCGAATCATGGGATTTATTTTCATAATGCGAATCGTATTGTTTATGATAGTGGGTCGCCTTTTACTTTTACCTTTTCTCCTTTACCTTTTCCTTCTCCCCTACACGATTTTCGAGGGCCATCTATGGGTATATGGATGTATATTTACGTGGATATGCTTACTAACACGACTACTCAGAATTGACCAACTGGCTTGTCAACGCTTTCAACGGCGAGTGGCTGAAGGTCACGGGCGCGAAGCCCATAGCGAACAAGGCGAAGAGAGATATGGAGATGGTGCGAAGAGCGGGGGCTGAGGCTGACGACTTCGCGTTGACGCATGTGGCCCGGGATGGTTCATCATAGAATGTAGAAAGACTGCATGGTACAAGGCGTATAGGTGTTCGATCTTTGTAATTTATAGCACTATCTTCGTATCTTGCTATTTGGCTTGTTTTATTTCAGTATATAACTATCTAGAGTCAATGTATGAACTTATCCAGACCGCGGATATCTAGAAGGTTGTGTACGTTGGTGCATCTCGCTCCAATTATAAAGACTCAGAGTAACCTAATGGTTTAGATACCTGTTGAGTCCTGATCATAATGCCTGGGACGGCCCTGCCGGGCCATGGTACAGTATTGGTGCAGGATTCAAGAAGCGCGGAGTCTTCGCAGGGCCAGAGTCTTCCTAGAAGCTGCTCGTTCGTCGACTCATTCGTACAGCCATTATGATATTCGTGGCTGTTAAGGGGTTGCCATATCCAATTGCCTTCAGAAAGAGGACATCGCTTCATCACCAAAGAGTTTGATTCCCTCTCGAACCTTCCTCTTCCACGCCATTTTAGATGGAATAATGCCTGATCGACCACAAGCCAAACGTCCTAGAAGTTGCAAAACCCTAGGTAGGTAAGAATATCCCGGTTTCGGATGACATGTTTCGGTCGAAGTCATAGGTACTATGAATTCTAGCTTGATTCTCGACAATGTTCTGTGGATTATCTCTTAGGACCCTAATGTCTATAAAGCTTCATATGACTAAAATAATGAAGTCCTTCCCAAGCACCGAAAAGGGCACCCGCGTCCATCCTATCATAACGACCGACATCTGGCCGAAATCTTCTATTGCAGAGTCGGGAGCATCTCGCAACTAATTGTTGATTTAGAGCAGATCCGAACCCTACATCATGCTGCATTCATCCACGACGAACGTATGGGCTTCTTTTGCCTCTGTAACTTTCTCGGATCATCCTAAAAGGAAGCCCTAATGTTGCTTATAGATTGGCTTTAGGGATGTTAAGTAGAAGGCGTAACCCAGCTAGGAGATACCACGGGGAAGGGATGCGTGAGTGGAAGTAAATCCTACCTAGGTAGTCCCATATGTGACGTGGTGTGATGGTACAATATATTGCATATGGTGAGGCTAAGCTCGAAGCGTTTCATATTGGTTGCCGAACTATCTAAGCTTAAAGAAGAAAGGATCTGCAAAAGGTGCTTAGCACAGCTCTTGCTCCTTGAAATCAGGGTTGGTAAATGTAGGTGTCAATATAAACCCGATCCTGCTTAAGGAGATACGTAAGTCCTCCGTCAGGAAACCGGGTACTACGCTCTTGATCCGTTCTTCAGCCCAAATAGCTCGAGGTCCTCAGCTGTTCTCGAGGATGAGAACTTAGAATACGGAGGACACCATGCACCTAGGAACGCATATGGCCTAAATGGGCCTCCTGATCTCTTAGTCGATTTGTAAAAGCCTCAAAATATCATACGGCTAGGTTCATGGGGTATCTGTGACCGACTGCGGAGGTGGTATGTGAAATTAATTATCATTAAAGATAAATGCGAAAAAAAAAATCCGTGGTTTGAGTTTTGATGTATTAGGCAGGTATATATAGGATATCATGAGTTCTAGTATGCTTGCTTTTTAAGGAGAATAACAATAAGAGGCAAAGTACTAAATATCGTATTCCGTAGAGTGGTATTATACTATGAGCCCCCTAAAGTTGGTAACCAAATTAGCGACAGCTACCTGATGGAACAGGCATATTCAACCTGTAAGCGTTCCAGGCTATCATTTTAAGGCACTGCCCAGGTGTTCAGTGATCTTCAGAGGGGTAGTGTGTAGGTACCTGTCTAGCCAATCAGAATTAAGTTCTTGTGGGTGTTGGGAATAGTACACGTACCGATTTTAGTGGAATTGCAGTCTTGTGTCAGTGTAAGGGATATCCATGGTATTTAAATAATATATCCATAGCAAACCTAGAATGTGACATGCCGTAGGTAATTATTCATGAATAGTATGATATTTGCTCGTGTTTCCATAAATTTGACAGTGGGAACCTAGAAGTTTCCGCTTGGGAAATTGAACATGAACACCCAGCAAACGTATTAAAGCTGCGTTATACGGGTAGGGATCTATGCAATATGCCACGTTTGTTTAAGAAGCTATCCCATATCCATATGTACTATTTGCCACAGATCTTGTTAGACACTTGATAATGAGCAAGACTACTCATGAGTCAATGAATGTCTGTGAAATGACATTTACATCAACTAGAAAGTTGTGGGGCGGCCTGGATAGTAGGATCAATCTTCTCGACGATAGCAGCGGTGCCGTAGGCAGAGCATTGAGCAAAACCGCCCATGTCTCCGGATTCGAAGCGCAGGGTTATGATGGCATTTCCGCCCCGCGCTTTTGTCTCAGCCACCACGCGACTGATGGCATCGTTCCGTGCCGAATAGAGCTGTCTCATTATTAGAGACATACCCAGAACCCAGAGAGCTGTACATACCATACTAGTGAACCATTGAAGCTCTCCACCTGCAATGCTCTTAAGCACCATTCCCATGCTAGCAGCCCAGTTGCGGGATCGCACGGTTAAGCCGTAGACGGCGCCGAGAACTTTAACTACCCGGTAACCAGGCACGTCGAACATGGTGGTTGTGATGACGCTTCGGTCTCTGTGAAACAGTGTAGATCCGATAGTTGTGCCGGGATGTCGGCCGGTTGATTGGTGTGCGATGACATCTCTGTTGAATTTATGTGTCTGAGAGATAGCTAGAATGTGAATTCACCATCTAGTTGAGTACAAAATCTCAATTCGAAGATTGAGACTGTTCAGCTCTTTTATGTCTCATCTATCAACGTGAGTCGGGTCATCATTCTCTTCACATGAAGAATGCCTAAGGGATTCCTAGCATCTGATTGGTTGGTTGTGCCCTGGACTTGCCTAAAACGGACAGCGTCTATGTACGCCGTATTTCGCATTCACTCTGCAGCGCTACAGTGCCTTACTTCGGCCCTATCAAGGCGCAGCAGCGCTATGGTCCAGAAGGGAGACGATCTCCGTGGGGGCTATAGAGGCCCATTTGCACATCTTTGCAAAAAAAAAAAAAATTTGCCCGGATTTTGCTTAAAGGGGTAAAGTGGTTGCAGTTAATTTTAATTAATTTAATATGTTAATATTTTATTTAAAATGATTTAAATAATATTTAAAATATATATAAATATATAAAATATTAAATATAAAATTATATTTATTTAATAATAATTTATTAATAAATAATTAAATAAAAAATTTTTATATTAATTAAATAAATAATTTAATAATAAATTAAAATTAATAATTTTAATTTATTAAATTTTATTATTAAAATATATTATATTTAATAAGTTATTAAATTTTATTAATTTAAATAAATAAATATAATAATTAAAATAATTTTTTTAATATAATTTTTTTAAATATAATTTTTTTAAATATAATTTTTTTAAATATAATTTTTTTAAATATAATTTTTTAAATAAAAATTTAAATAAATAAATAAATAAATAAATAAATAAAATAATATAAATATTATTTAAAGTTATTAATAATATTTATTATTTATTTATTTATTTATTTAATTAAATTTATATTTAAAATATAATATTTAATTAAATATTTAAAATATTTAAAATAATATATTTAAAATTAATATTAAATTTTTAATAATATTTAAATATTATTATAATTATTATAACTTTATTTATTTATTTATAATTATAATTATTTAATTATAATAATAATAAATATATATATTTATAATTAAATTTATATATAAATTTAAATATTTTATATTTTTATTTTTATTTTATAAATATTTTTTTATTAATTTTTATATATTTATTATTATATTAAAAATAATTATATTTATTATCCGAAAAAAAAAATTATTTTTATAAAAATATATATATAAATTAAAATAAAAATAATATTTTATATTATAATAATTTTTTTAATTAAATTTATTAATTAATAAATAATTATTAATTAAATAATAAATATATAATAATTACGTTTTATTTTTATTTAAAATATTTAAATAATTTTATTAATTTATTAATATTTTATAAATAAAATTTATTTAATAATATTATATATATATTTTTAATATTTTTATAATAATTAAAATTTATAATATAACGAGTAATATAAAAAACACTTTTTTAAAAATACACGATAATTTTAAATTTATTTAATTTTTTTATTATTTAATATAAATTAATTAATTAAATTTTTTTTAATTAATATAAACGGTTTTTCGCGGTTAATTCGGGGGGTTTAAAAAGTTATTACGTGTTTTTTTTTGTTTTTTTTATTAATTATTTTAAAATTACTTGTTTTTTTAATAAATAAAATTATTTTTTTAATATTTTTAATTTTTTTAATTTTTTAAATTTTAATTTAATTAATTTAATTTAAAAATTATTTAATTAATTAAAAAACCGTAAAAAATTAATTATATAAAAATAATTATTATTTTTTTAAATTAAATTTTAAATTTAATTTATTTTATTTTATATTATATAATTAATTTAACGTTTTTTAATTAATTAATTACTTTTTTAAAAATAATATTTAATATATATAATATTTATTATAATTTAATTATAATTTAATTAAATTATAATTTTAATTATAAATTAATTATAATTTTAAAAATTTATTTTATATAAATAAACTTTTTTTAAATTAACCCATTTATTTTAATTTTACATTTAATTAATATTTAATTAATTTATTTTATTAATTTTTTATTTTTAATAATTTATTTAATTAATTTTTATATAATTATTTAATAATTTTTTTTTAATTAATTATATTATATTAAAAAACATTTTTTTAATTTTTAAATATTTTTTTAATATTTAATTATAATTTACATTTAATTATTTATTTAAATTAATTTAAAAAACTTTAATTTAATTTTTTATATAATATATTTTTTAATTTTTAAACTTTTAAATAAATTTTAAAAACTTATTTATAAATTAATTTAAAAATTAATTAAATAATTATTTTAATAATAAATTTAATAATTTTTAAAATAATTTAAAAGTTAATTTAAAATTAATTTAATTAATTTTTAAATTAATTTAAAAGTTAATTAAATAATTTTTTAATTAATTTTTAAATTAATTTAATAATTTATTAAATAATTTATAAATTAATTTTTAAATTAAATTTAAAATTTATTTTTAAATAAGTTTTTTAATTAATTTTTAAATTAATTAAAT